AATCTGGCGGGTCGTTGTCAGGTCGCTTATGCTTTCGGAAGAACTGTAATAGCCGGTGGCTTATTAGTTAAAGGGACTTGATGTTACGGCGCTTCGGGCACCACGAACCATGATCGTTTGTGTTTCTCTTCTCGCGGTAAGGTGCTCGCGCCCGCACCCTCCCTCCTGGTGGAGTCTGTGTTCAAGAAGAAAAGCACTGTGAATTTGCATTCAGCTTGCTCCATCCTGTCCATGTTGCCAAGTTGGGGCCTGAGGCTAATTATGCAGGTGGCGTGGAGACACATGCAGGCCCCTTGAAGCTGGCCAATAGGAAGGTATCTTGACCCGCTGCCAGAGCAGGTTACTTCAGCACTGTCTCATGCTTCTCCCCAGAACGACATGGTGAGTGCGTTGTCGAACAAAACGGCAACGTCCGACCGACATTTGAGTGGCCATCTTCTATCAACGTCTTACGGCACGCTACGGAGATCTTGCTACTAAGAGCAAGAGACATTCGTCGTCCAGAGGGACTTAAGTTCTACATAATAATCATTGCCGTGGTTGGCATCATCAGATCCCCTTGATCAAGCCCGGGCCGTCCGGTTAGTGCTCGTCTTATGTGTGGAGAAGTATCTTGGCTTGGGGTTGGAGTTTGTTCGAAGCATCTACGATGGCTTTCTGTAGGAACTAGGAATTCTGCTTCGAAAATATATACTCGGATCAAATCGGATTCCAGGCCCGTCCTACATCAGCGATTCGAGATACCGAGAGAGTTCCTTTGGGTATTGTTGTTACCCAGAGTACACATGATATGGTTGAATTGGCGTGACTTAATGCGAACGCCAATGTCGTAAAGACTCTGGGCAACAATAATAGCGGGGGTTGTATGAACTTGTGCCATCGCATCTCGTCACTATAATTGCACGTTCATGTTCATGGGAGTGGGAAATGGGTCACTCCATATATGCGATTCAAGGAACAAACCCTCGCAACTCTCGCAGTGCAGGTGCGCGCTCAGGGGTCTGAGAAGAATAAAATTAGCCTGCAGTCGCTTGCGTACGCATCGCATCGGCTAATCGCTCTCCTGGCCCTCTCCGGACGCCTTCTCGACTCTTCCGAGTTCATGTCAGGTCTAGATAATAGTAACTTCCTGGACACCACCGTGGATGAACCTGCTCACAGCGACCCTGCAATTCTCAGGCGTGTCTTCGATATAGAAGTACCCAACTCTCTCCCAGCGGCCATCTTCCACTGACCTGAGGGCTAGGCCTTTAAGGTAACCCTTAAACCCACCGTCGCAGTTAGCCACGAGGAGTAATACGATTGGAACTCTAACTGCGGGGTCTAGGTACGGGCCTTCTGGGTACTGAATAACGAATTCCTCTGGCGTGCAGTCGTTATAAAACTGTATGTGCAATTTCTTTTCTGAGTCAGGAATATTCTCCCCGTCACCAAATACCACCACGTTGGAAAATGGAGATGGTCCGTGATGCTCATGGTGCCAAGCCGCATTTGACATGAACCCTCTCACCCGCAGCTCGCCGGACTTGGCAGGACCCCATGGCAAGTCGTCGTGAACTAGCTGGATGCGGCAGTCAGTGACGGCGAAGGACTCGTCAATGAGATGCGGGGGCACTCTCCAGGATGTGATCTTTGAATTCGGTGCCAACCAAGACCATGAGGGTGCGAGTGGTGGATTGGGATACTCGATGGGCTCAAGAGCCTCGTCTGTCCTGCTCCAGAGCAGCCCACCCGGAAGTTCCGATTCCATAAGCCGGCCAAACATTCGTCAGCCGGAGGCCCGCTCTTATCGTTGAGCCTATAGTAATACCTAGCGATGGCTATGAGCAAGGCAGCCCGCTGATTGGGGACCGCGATGCTATACCGTGAAAATTCACCGATGAGCGAGTCCCAATATCCCAGGACTTGCCGTATCGAACGCTTCCCGTCAGTTCCGAAACCGTCGGTAAACTCGGAGGATGAGATTTTGAATCATTATCGCACTTCCATGTCGTCATGAGCGCGCCGTAGGTGAGTCTGCGTCGTGCGAACTGTTCCTCAGCAAACTGCGACGCACTCTTACGGCCTTCAGAACCAAATGCACCTGGGGCGCAAGAATCATATCGCCAGTAACTCCTTCGCTCAGCGAGCACTGGATCTTGAAGACTGGTGGCACGGGTTCCTTTAACTCCAGTTCATGGCGGTATAAGAACCCGTATTCGGTGCTTGTCGGGCGGCTGGTCAAGATTGTGACTGTGGCATTGTCGTAGATTCTTTCGAGCTCGGCTATGTTGGTACGCCAATCCACCTCGTCATCTTGTATGATGCATAGTAGTCCAGCCCAGATGTAAGAGAGGCCCAGTTTCTGGGCCACGATGACTGCGTCTTGGACCATGGGAGGAAGATCGGCAAGGTCCATTCCCCCACCAAGTTGCTCAATGTTACTCGAGAGGAGTCGAAGAGCATTTTCCGTACCCCGTACGTCGACCAAAGCAGCATAAATCAAGGCTTGTCTGTCAGTAGCAGGATGCACGAGTTTTAGTTGGTATGTGCTGTCGATGTAGTTGACATGTATCATCCCCTTGGCATATAGGCAGGATCTGGCTCGGTGCATGATTCGTGCTCCTCGAGGCAACAGGATGACCATGCTCGGGCCAGGGTATACGTTTCCTCCGAACCTGGCTCGAGGCTAACGTTCAAGGTTGGTGACCGCGTGTAACTCCTTTTGATCTGATGTTTGAAGCTGCTATTAGTGCTTGCACTAAAGACCATCCCTCGTCGGACCGCCCGAAAGGAAGCTCACACCTCTGGTGACCATTGGCCAATAGCCTGTGCCTCTAAATTTTACGAATCATACAGATGGCGGTTCTACTTCCTGAGGTGCTCCGTCGGAACTGTTGTTACGCTGTTCTCGATCTTCAGGTGTGTAATAGGCCCCGAAGGCAAGTCTTGAGTATAGGCGGGGTAAGCAGTCATTGAAATCCCGAGAAGAAATGATCGGCCTCGCAGTTCCACGGCCTCTTCGGCGTATTCAAGGACAGTTTGGGCCAGTACACAGCCCTTCTCAACCGACTCTTGCCTTGCATCTTTACACATCCTCGTACACTGCTGCCGTATTTGCCATCCTCCAACCTCGACTGAAGACGTGGGGTTTTCCCGTTAACTCGGAAAAGTAGTTTGCGATCTCTTTTTCGCTTCGGGCGAGGTGATCTTTCGTTTGTATGACGACATTCCGGCACTGGTCGCACCGGTGTAGGGTCTCTTGGCTAGCGAACGCCATCTTTGCTCATGAGTCGGCTGCGCAAGAAATTTCACGAAATCCTCCGTACACAACGCTAAAAAATGGATGATGTCGGCGGGCATTGGGGGAAGTATTTTTAACCCTGGCTCCGCCACTCTGATTCCTATGCATATAACACCTCGACTCCGCCACGTCGCACAATGCGAGCGGGTTTTATCTGCCACCCACGTCCCGTGTCCCGAGTTCACTCTGCGCCCCGAGGCAATGCTGCCCGTCGGGCCGCAAGAACCAATCCCTCCTGGCTAAGCTACGCCCATCAGTGCTGATTCGTGAAGCTCTCTTCTCGTTCCCGCAGTTCTGTTGTGTTACACCAACCCCACTCTCCCCGCCCCCTTCATTGCTACGACAGAGGGAAAAGAAAGACGAGAAAAGGCATGAAAAGCCGCGGCCTCTGGGAGAGTCCAAGATCTAGACCAAAAGACACCAATCAGAGGGCCGAGTAATAGTCTGCTGACCCGACCGCAAAGAAATCAACTCTATCGCCCCCGCCCTCCATTTGTCGTCCACATTGTCTTTGCATCCGGGTCAGCATTTTCTTTCTAGCCGCCCGGTACAGATATTGGGAGTGGTCCATAAGATTTTAGTGGTTTGTGAAGACTGCGTAAACTACGCGTGTGATGGCTAAAGCCACGATTAAGTAGGTCTATCTGATGCTCCTGATATGGCACAGAGGCTGAGAAGGGGATAGAAGATGTTAACATGGGTGAGTGGGGTGGGGAGGCATAACATCTCGCTGAGGGCGCGGTTGACTCCCCAGACTTTAGTCACACTTCTCTATAAAGTCCATTCGGCATTCGGCATCGATGCTGGCAGGGCTCTCCCGTTGGATGGTCGTAAGGTCCAGAATGGTGAGTTCTCGTGCGACCGTTGCTGTATCGGGACAGGGGTTGAATGCGCCTAATTATGACGAGGATTTCCCACGTTCCCCACGTTCAGAGACCCGGCAACAGGGTGATTATCCCTTGGGCTTGGGGCTGATAATATGCAACAATGATTCAACTTGTTATCGGTGCGATGCATCTCTGCTGTGGCCTGAACGTACGGGACATTGAGGCTGGGGCGTACAGTGGTTCATCGAAGTGCCATGGGCCGGCTCGGCCCTTCGCTACGCAGCCTGCACTCTATCCCGGTCAAGGATGTTTGGCAGATCCTGTGGTTGACCATCCGCAAATCCTGCGTCTTAGCGTTTGACCAATTCTTGCACAAGCGAAGATCAAAGACAACCAGAGAAAAGGACAGCCGAAGTAAGATAAGGGCATCAATGTCGAATATATTAGTAGTCGTCCGCTTTCCTACCAACTACCTACCCACCAGCTCCAGAAAAATCGTCGATGGGATCCGTACCGACAGAACGGTCCCCGCTGAAACATCCGAAATGAACCAACAATTCAGGGATGCAAGGCTGTGGGGGGTCTCCTGCTCCGCCACACTTGAGGAGCCCCTGATGGTCAGTGATGGGCCAAAAATAGGCCCAACATGCATGTAGGCTGCAGGTAGGATCAATATCGCAAACATGGAGCGGGGATCATGTTGCATCGGGATGAATGGTAGGATCGCGAAGGTGATGTTGGGGGAATCGGGGATTTCCCATACAAATACTGCGCAGGCTCCATCACAGACCACCTGTTTGCAATTGAGAAACCTGCGGCTTCAATCCCTCTTGATTAAGGCACCTATTCGCTGCTTTAACACTATTATCCCCTTTCAAAATTCACTGAACATGAAGCAGCTTCCTTTTCTCCTAGGTGCCATATTTTGGGCGTTGGCTCTCGGAGCCATTATTGCACCCCCCGCCCGAGACCTCGGCATTGCCCCGGTTAGACCTCGAGACGCGATAAAGTCCAATGCAGCTGTTTACCACGCCATCCGGCGCGCGGTTTCCACTGCAAGGCTCACTGGAAGGCAAATCGAACAGGAAAGTAACAGCACCGTGCTCGACAAGAGTTGGGTGGACGCTGTCCTGTTTGCATACCCTCAGTATGTTTTTCCACGTCTGTGATTGTCACCAGACGGCATTTGGACCAGGGGTAAAGCTAACGCTGCTTCTTCTCTTAGCGAGACGGAAGTGGGACAGAAAGCTACCATTGAAAACTCCATCGAGATCGTCTGCACGACATGCTACATCAAGGGGAAGGCTAGCTCCAAGTTCACCATCGACGGGAATTTTGATGCGGGCCAGGCGCTCAAAAACTTCAGCAGCGACGTTATCAACGAGGTCGGCCAGCTTGGAGGCCAGGTCGTCGACTACATAATGGACTACGTCCCCGACGTAGCGACAAAGATGAAAGACGGGTTCGACCTCGACGACTTTGACCTCCCGCCCGCGAAGTTCGATTTCAATGTTGATGTGCCCGAGATTCCAGAATTTCAGTTGCAGTTTAAGTTCGAGGATATGGAGCTGTATATGCTTATTGACACCGTCCTTTCCTCCAGCGCTACCTACAACCTCAATTTGTATACTTCCAATACACCGATTGGACTTTCGGTTAGCAAGGATTTGATGATTGGTGTCGTCTTGTCCATCGACCTCATCCTCAGCGTCAACGGTGAGATTGACATAAGCACGGGTTTCCACATTAAACTCGATGAAGGTGTGACGATAGACATTTCTCTGTTCTCTGACGACGTTTCGAAGATCACCTTGTAAGCTGCAGCTCCTCTTCCCAGCCACGGGCGTAGGCTGCTAATTTTTGGTCGCTCTAGGAACGGTGGACAATTTGAATTCCTTCCCGTCACTGTTGAGAGCGCCGGCGTCGTATTCAATGCCATCCTCCGCGTCGGAGTTCGGACAGGATTTGAAGTCGCGACTCCCGGTCCGCCCGGGTTCGGGGCTAGTGCTGGTGTGGAAGTAGGCGTCCATGCCAACGTCGCCGAGTTCGTCACCAATGTCACAGCGTCCATTGGTGATGCCGAGGAGGACTGCCGCCTTCGGGTGGAGGAAACGTACCAGCTTGCCCTCGGCGCTCGCGCTGGCGCCTCGGTGGCCTGGCGGGAATATACCTGGGGTCCCGTACCGGAGACCAAAATCCCCATCTTCTACACTACTTTGTCGAATGGGTGTGCCATCCAGAAGAGCAGCCCTGTGACCACGTCGGTGCCAACGGTTACAGCCACGAAGGCGGTCGAGGCTAGGGCGGAGAGTGATGAAGAACTCAAAACCACCACCCTCACGACAACGGTCGTATACACAGGTGTTGCCTGCTTATCGCAGGAACTTGTGGCTTGCCCCGCCTCCCTTCAGACAACGTCTAAGTTTACGACCACCAAGACGCACGTTACCGTCGTACCATCCGACGCTGATCCGACCTTCCCCCAATCGGTTCTCAGTACCATATCAAGCGTCGTTCCCTTTGGCAGCGGCGTTCAGAAGTTACCCGCAACTTCTGGGAGTCCTGTATCCTACGTGCCTCCTCCGCCAACAGAAACTGCAAATCCAAAGGACAATGATGATGAAGATGACAGTAGCTTATCAGATTTTGTTAATGATAAGACAGGCGGAGTACCAAACCGCGTCATCCTCGGTGTCAGCATTGGACTGGGTGTGCCGGCCCTAATCGCCATCGTTGTTGGCCTTGTGTATGCTCCCGACGTTCCCGTTTTGACCCGAATACCTTGCCCGACGAAGATTGCTAACCCTCGGACAGATTCTTCATGAAGAGGAAAAAGTACGCGCCGGTGCAGACCGGCGATGCCTTGGCTCACGCTGGACCGTTACGGTCAGAGCCATACGATTCCGGCTCACATCTTTCCAAGTCGAACAGCCAAAATGTGGTTGGGAGAGCCGAATAATGGAACTGGAGTTACTGTATCACAGGTTTCGGCCCATGAGAATTCTTGGTGTTGCGGGTATTCTAAGTCTCGGCTGGAAGTTTGGATAGTTTACGCTCATTGATTTTTTTGTCGTGGTGTTTAGCGATTTGACTTACATTTCTCGCCTTTCAATAAAGAAGAGTTGAATTGATGACACACGGAGCTGAGAATGGAAGGAATGTTGTGCTGGGCGAGCATTTCGGCTCTCTCTTCCATGCGCGATCAATCCCCACCTGCCTGTAGAGCGTGCAAACGGGCTGCGCTCGCAAGCACCTTTCACCCCAGTGCTCTCCAAACTTTCGAGCCATAACCCGAAACCTGTCCAGTCCCCCATGATACACGTCCAGGTCATACCCCGCCCCGCAGCGGCTTTTCCAACACAATATCATTTCAGTCTCCTAGAAATCAACCAACGAAACTGCTTCATCCGCCGTACAATTCTACGGCAGTCGGTGTGAATTATGTCCGGGTGGATTCGTCCATCCCTTGGAATACAAAGTGCTTTACGTTGCCTTGTTTATCAGACGACGTATAAGAAACGCTTTCCCGAAATGCAACACCACTATCGCGTTCTAATGGTTCCTTGGTGATGGTGAACCATTCTTGAAGCTTATTGCGATGCGCCCGCCGCGGGTCCATCGAGTCGGACCAGTGCAGCTTGATGCAGTAGACATGAAATCGGGAAATGAGGCTAAATTGGACGAGCCCTTCAGTTGAAAATTATCTAACAGGTAGGCCCAGTGGTTTGAACAGCAGCTTTGAACTGAGGGGGCGATGTCATGACTGAGATGTAATTGGCCGAGAGACCCCTTGCTCAGTCAAGTCGTCTGGTGTGGCTGAGAATATGAACTCACGGCAATAACTGCGGGGAAGGTCGTGATGCCTCTATCACCCCTCAGCAATACTCCCGGTGATGCCTCGTTCTCGCCACAATCATCAACATCGAAGCCACCCTACCAGACTGTCGACGCCATGGTGGGTGGATGTAGATGTCTGGAAGGAAATTTACCTCGATCGACGTAAGAATACGATTCTCCAGCGGGGTAGAGTCGGTCTGGCCCAACCGGAGAATCCACAGAAGGAGCGAGTCATACCCCGAAAGTACAGCCTGAGATGGCAGACAGATAATCGCTGCCAATACTGGGAATTCCAGCACAGCTTGTTCAAATGCCTCAGGTCGGAAAGCCTCGGCCGTGAGGGGCTGCGACACGCGGCGCGATGGGGATTCCCACGCAGTGCCCGTCACTTCCTCGCTCGTGGTGTCGGTGCTAACGCTGAAATAGACGACGGACCGTACGGCCCAACGGCATTTCACGTTGCTGTCGCCTATAAACAATTTGAGGTAGTCGACATCCTCCTTGAGGCTCTTTTGAAGGGACCTGATGCCGAGGCGGCCTTGCCGGGGTGGCTCTGTCATGCGATATTCAGCCAAGAGATGGGGCTTGTAGCGAGGATCTTAGGGACGGGGTATGTCGATACGAATGCTTGTCGGCTGGATCTCTCAGAACGATGTCCGGATTCTTGGGTGGGCAAGTTCCCCCCGGACGGCTACCGACCTCAATACGTCTTACCCTTAAATTGCGCCATTGCGGCCCGGTCGACTCAGGCGGTGCGACTACTTCTCGAAGCCGGGGCGAACGTGCGCGGACACGACAGCATCAACGAATCGGGCAATCATCGATTGCATGAAGAGGGGCAGGCACGCCGTAGCAGCCCTGTTCCAGCCAAAAGAAGGAGGGAGGGCCTTTCAGGTATGGAACCATACGCCTCATACGGTAGAAGTAGAGCACGAACTCACGTCGGATCAGACCAACTGCCGGCCGACGTGCTGCTCAACCTAGCCGTCGCCAATCGGACTCCGAGGCAATTCGATGACTTGGACATCGAGATACTGCGTCTGCTATGCCCCAGAACGCCACAACCGGGGCAGAATCAATTCTTGGCACCATACTCGCTACGCGACGGACAAACTCCACTTCATTTCGTCGCTCAGTGCGGTGCTAGAAATGCTAGAAAGGTCATCCAGGTACTTGTTTCTCTAGGATCTAACGTTGATGCTTTGGACCGTTTTGGACGCACGCCACTGTTAGTCGCCTGCCTCAACGCGGCGTCCAAAAATGCGTCTGACCTCCCATCGATCGTATCAACCGTCGAATCTCTCCTCATTTTAGGCGCGAATCCAAACATAGCGGACAACGAAGAATCCACCCCGCTCCGCGTCGCCTGCAAAGCCAACAGCACCAATCTCGTCCTCACACTCGTGAATAGTACTGCGCTAACAGAGATCACGGACACGCAGTTAGACTCGCTTGTTCCACTCGCTAGGAGAGACTATACTATTGCTGCACTACTTACCGGCCCAGGCGTGCAGCCCTCAACGGCACTAAGGCTGGTCAGCCGATTCAATCAATGGCCTGCCCTGGAGAGAGTAATCGAGAGTTTCGCGTCTCAAGGCCAGGATCTCTGGGCCCAACCTGACAATGAGGACTCCCTTCTACATGCCATTTTAAAGCATCCATCATCGTGGGAGCGAGAATGGTTCCCATGGGCCGACATCATCGAGAGAATACCGAACGTTAAAGCCAAAGACAGTCAGGGTCACACCCTGCTCGAGTATGCGGCCCAGAACGGGTACACATCCTGCGTCTCCAATCTCCTGGATAAGGGCGCGACGTTCAGCATTCTGGAAACGTGGTCATATTGGTCATCATTGCGCCAATGGAGGGTCTCACGCCATGGGCGCCGGTCCAGAAATGGAGCCGGCGCAGGCAAGCAAAGGGGAATCCGAAAAGACATTCTAGTTCGGCTCTTTCAGCACGAGCAGCAGGTACTTGGCCAGGAAGCGACTGGGGCCGACTCCCCTACCTTCAAAACTTACCTGACATCCGGTCTCAAGCCTTTTGAATTGCTTCCGGATCAATTTACCCCTCCGCCCAGGAAGCCGACCCAAAACGTCCCAATGTCATCACCGTCCTCTTCAACTGGGAACAACAGGCTTAAAGAAGCATCACCTAGAGTTTCTCAAGCACCAGGCCGACGGGGACCTAGAAACAGGTGGAATTCATGCGGAGGAGATTGGGACGAGCCGTACGTTTCACGCGTCGTAGCGAGGGCAAGGCCTTCATCATCTCGGCTACCGGGAGGTTACTATGGCGGTGGGCAGTATGGAGGCACTTCTGGCGGTTGGTCGGGAGGAGGAGGCTATGCGGGTGATGGGGGTGGGAGCGGTGGTCCTGGTGGTGACGGTGGTGGTAGTGGCGGTTGTGGCGGTTGTGGCAGTGATGGTGGGTGTGGTGGAGACGGAGCAGGAGGTGACGGTGGTGGTGGTTGAATTACAGGACTGAGTTTCTGTCTCTCTGCCAATGGGGCGGCGCAGGGAGCCTGTCGTTACCTATTTATCAAGTAGTTCCCTTGTGTTCGCCAAGTAGATTATAGGAGAAGAGTTCGAAAGACGAGCCTAAGCGCTCAGGAGCTGTGTATAGTAACTTTAAAAGGTTAAGAAGGTAATTACAGATTGGGTAATATAGTAGCTAAAAGCCTTCAGAAAGGAGCCCTAGTATAAGTATTTATAGTGAATGTATGGAGGCATTCGGGTATAGGCCTCCAGGAGTCAAGGGCGTGTCCTTCATCTAGACGAAGGGTCAATTGAAGAGCTATTTTGCGTAAAGTCCGGAAGTGATCAGGAGGGTGGCCGACGACGGCTAGGAAAACTGGCGGAAAGGCAAAGTGCAGCTTGACATAGAAGACAGGGGTGATTCCTCCCGATGCCCGGGGGGGGGGAAGGTTATGGGAAGCGACTGAAGGTGAGGAAAATGGATATGTAATGTAGGCATCGTCTGCAGAGGACGGGAAGAGAAATTAGCTCTTCCTGGAACTGCAATACTACACCTTCACTTGACCTACACCCGGCCTACTGTTCTCCTTCGCCCCAGAACGGGACCACTTATAAGGTTATACCCCCTTTAGGTCTTCAGTTTGTCTAATAGGTAACGTACATGAGGATTCTTTAGCAATTATCCCAATACAACAAGTTGGCCAAAACCACTCAGCTCCTTGTTGTGCTGGGCTTTAAAGAGGATTATTAGTTTCGGAAGCTGCAGGATGCCTCAAAGTATTCGAATACATTCAAATTACAATTGAAGGAAGTCCCGGTTTCTACTCCATCTTGTGGAACTTCCAGGCGCCATCCCTCTCCGAGAGACAGACACTGATCTCCTTCGCCGTCTTTTCCAGACTCTCCTTTCGCAATAATTCCTCCTCTGGACTGTCTCTGTCAATCGGGTAAAAAAAAGCAGCTAAAGATGACGATTTCCAATCCATTGAGAATCCTTCACGCTTCCCAACGTAAATCACAAACACGAGGAAGACGATTTCAAGGAAAAGTAGACCTCCCAAGTAGGCCAGCCACTCGAAGCGCACACTGATGCAAGTATCCGTTCGGAATGTTTTCCCTGGAACAGTCTGCAGCTCTGGAGAATCTGGGCCTTTTGTCCTGATGCGCTCTGTCAAGGAGTCGGAGATACCCCCCATGAACTCCATCACGTTCTCCATATGAGTACCGCCGCTGCGATACAGTCTTTGCATATAGGGCTCCCCTTCGTAAGCCACATTTCGTTTATAGTCTAGCAGCGTGTGATTCCCAATTTTCTCCTTGAGGTTATCCGCGACAGCGGGCGCAATTTGCCACCTGGGAAACGTCCATACACAATCGGGGGGATACCAAAGCGTTTCGGCGTCCTGGCAGCTGCCGTAATCACTCATCAGGCAACTAGTTTTGTTTGATGCGAAAACCTCCTGCGTGTTGACGTCGGTTCTCTCGCTGGTTTCACCGCAGGCTGTCCAGGCACCATTGCGGAAAGCCTCATCTGTGGTTATCCAGTAGTTTGGGACAGAACTGTTGGCTGGAGCTAAGGTATTCTTCAGGTTTCGTGCCAAGACTTGCCTCTCCGTATAGGTTCCGTTGACCACATTAGCGTTGTAGTTCTTCACACAGGGATAAAGCGAGCATGAGGATGCCGCTGGTTCCCACAACGTTCCTCGACCAACCTGGCAACGCGGACTGCTTTTCTCAGCTTCAGTACAGTTCCTCGGGTTTATGACGATCGTCTCGACTGTGAACATAGGGTAATCGTCGATATATGTCGGCAAAGGTGTGTCGACAGCCACCATGTGAAGCAGCTGGACCATACTCCTCGCGGACTGAAACACCTTGGTGACAGCCCCGCTCTCCAGGGAATAAAACAGTGTCCCGGTTTTTCCGGGTTCCACGTCCATCTTGCATTGATCGGTGATGTCCCGGCAGGAGTGGCATATCCCCAGAGTGGCAAAACTACCGCGATCGTTGTCCTGTACAAAGGTACAGTTCCCCGTGAGGCAATTAATATGGCCAGCCATGCTCGCAGAGCTATTTTGTGGCGGATTGATCAACCCTTTATATATCGCAAGCTTGGTGTCCATGTCGGTTGTCTTAGTCCCCGACCTCAAAGTATCAATGACCGGATCAAAAGTGTGGGCTTTGGGGATCGACGCGGGTGCGTCTACTATAAACCATTGGCAGCTCTCGTACTGAACTGTCGACTGGGTAAAGACCTCAGTCGCGACGCTAGCAAGGATGGTTACAGCCCCTATCAGAGCAAGAAACTTCATCGTACTAATACATCAAATATCAGCATTCCAAACATCTCGCCAGGCGAGCGTCGACTCAGACGCGAACTCGTCTATTTTGGACTTACAATTTCTCCTTGAAGAAAGGCCACCTCTTCAGAAACAGTAAGCAGCCGGTCATGTCCCTGCTCGCTTGATCAAATGCTTCGAAATTCGAGAGAACCGTATCTTTTCGCATAAACCAGATCCATTTTAATTGGCTTAAACCTTCAGTCAAAGGGGGTAAGAGAGACGCTTTGAAAACGGCTGAAATGATAGCAAGAGCGGTGTTGATAGAGACAGGCAGAGGCCAGCTCGACACAGGCTTGCCCTTGAAATTTTGTAGCAGGACGACGATGCCAAAAATAATGGCGGCGCAGAAGATTATGCAGAGAATCTCCAACCACCACATCCGCCAGATCATGGATGCCGAAAGTTTTGAGCGGGTGTCGCGGGGGCGATCCTTGAGTGTCGGTCTATCCTCGTTAAATGCGGCACTGTCATAGGAGGTCCGGCCGTAATCAAACTGTCGCATTGGAATCGGCTCAGAGTCGCGTCGGTGAGGGGGGGTGAGAAAGCCAGACTCTCCCAGTTCCACTTGAGGATGTCTTCCATGTTCGTTGCCGAGAGTTTGGTGAGACATCGCCGATGAGCGGCTTGTCAAAAAAGCAGAAAGAAGTCAAAAGCTCCAACGTGCTAGTAGGGAGATGAGAAGATTTTAAACTGTGGGGCCGCTTTACAATCATGGACAGCAATCTCATGAAGGGTCGAAACTCGAAAGATGCAGCAGTAATTAAGCCTTCCAAGAGACTTATTCGCGGCCGCCGAGTTCAAGACGATACGATTCGCCGTAAACCACGGATTCTTTGTCGCTAGGGTCGAAAGGTTTGAATCAGTGGAAATTTACGGCAAGATCCCGATTTGGATGTTACCTTCTTCCTGAAATACTTGAAGGTGGCGCAGCCAAGAGACACATTTCAGCCGTAGCCTGCTACAACTTTCATCTCGCGAGCGCCAATCCTTCCGACCAGCCCCAATCCGTCCTGCCATCTCACCCCCCATCTTCTCGCGAATGGCCTATCATCCGTGAACTCACTTGCATTCATCCGTAGCCTGGGCTAAAGATATCAACCTTGGCGGCCGATGCTATGAAACCCTGACCAGTTGTCATTGCTCCCGGAGACATTTTTTTAACTTTCTCTCTTGTTCATACTACTTCCGCCAAGTGTGACTTCCATCATTCCATGCTGCATTCTGCCCAAGCCCCCGCAGCTCTTTAGTCAAACCAGGGTTCGCTTGCTTTCCCTCGTTAGTCTTTTCGGTTCGTTAACAAAGGAGTACAGTACGAGCGGCCGAAGCCTGCACATCCTGCCACGTTAAGAAACAAGTGTAATTGGGGAAAGACGGAGAGTGTGATATGCCAAATTTCAACTCATCCTCAATTTTCATATTGATTTACAAAGCTGTCTTTAATGATCCAAAAGGAGCCCCAACATGACGACAGCCTCCGTGTATTCCATGGACTAGCCTCTACGGGATTCCGGGCATTCCTGGTTCTCTTTGAGTTGGTTCGATTTAGTGAGCTTCATAGCGTAACTATTTCCACAAGCTCATCCCATTTTCGAATGATTACCAGCCCATCGTCCCTAGCCAGCACTCTATCCCGCTCTACAACCGTACCGACGATATCTCTGGCATCAGCGAGCCAGCCATAAAGGATGAAAAAGTGACGCGCATACTGATGCTGCTTTCTTCCCCAACGGCCGCATGTCCCCAGGAAATCGGTTCACTCTCTTTCCCACGTTTCGTTAATTCTCGCACTCCCAACAGACACATGTCCAGAAATTCTTCGAAGGATTCACCCTCGTCACCCACCAATCATCCGGCGTAGCTAACCGCTGGGAGAACCACCAGTACCATCACGTGTCGCACCTGAAGTCCCAATTTGTGTGAGAGAAGAAATCGGAGTAGTGAATTTGTTCGACGCATCAAGAGATGACATTTCTCCGCTCTTCCTCAGTGCCGTCGCTCGCACAAATGCGCCCCAATATGCATTCCCAGACTATTCACCCCAAAATATGTGTGGGAGATCACGAGTCCTTCATGAACTACGCAATAGAGATAGCAAAAATGTCACCTCCCTCACCCGATAAATTTTGCGTTGGAGCGGTCTTAGTTGACGGGGATACTGGCGAAGTTCTGTCAACTGGCTACTCACTCGAGTACCCGCAAGACTACAAGGGCGATCGTGGGAAAACACACGCAGAGCAGTGCTGCTTCATAAAGATCTCGGACAAGTACGATCTCCCAGAGGAACGCATCCGGGAGGTACTTCCCCCGAATACTGTTCTCTACACAACAATGGAGCCCTGTAGCAACAGATTGAGTGGCAACAAAGGTTGTGTAGCTCGTATCATCGGTCTCAGAGGGGCGATCAAGAAGATATATGTCGGCATTAAAGAGCCATCAACCTTCATAACAGAAAATTCTGGGCAGGAAAAGCTTGAGGCCGCTGGAATCAAGGTCTCTTTCCCTGTTGAGCACCTTCGAGCTAAAATTATGGACGTTACTTTGACCGGTCATGTTGGAGCTGTTGGCAAATCAAATTCATGAGGTGGAGGCCATGGGTGCCGCCAAAGTTCGGGGAGGAAATAAAGACTCGACTGCTTATCAATTTAAGACCGCGGTACCTCGTCCTTTCCCCACGACTCTTCTTCGAGAAAGGGAGGATCGATGCCGGCAACGCGCTGAAGTCACGTTTCCGCCAACGTTTATTTCTTTTCGTCTCTTTAACCACCTCAGTTTCAATCATTTAATTTCCCATGATGTCCGCTGCCTCCATAGGGTTCACTTCAGAAAATCCCACGCTAGATCCGAACGTCCGAAAGGGTGAGCATCCCAGCAAAGAAGAAATGGCCAATCCTAATAATTCTCTAGCATTGCCACGGGGTTGTAAAGTTCTCTCAAGAAGGACCCATGGAAAGAGTTTCTGGGCAACCACAGGCAGGATTGATGTCGAGCTTGAAGACCGGACTAAACAGTCTTACTTCATCAAAATATTAAGTCGAGACTCGGCAAAGGACATTGTCCATGGCGAGTTCGAATCGATGAAGGAAATATACAAGGTGGTTCCAACCTTTGTTCCTAAACCCATTGCGTGGGGTACCTACGAGTCCGCGCCAGAGACTTCATTCTTCCTCTGCGACTTCAAAGAGATGAAAGGAGACATGCCAGATCCCATCGAATTTGCCGCTTTGCTGGCCAAGCTTCATCGGAACAGCCGCTCACCCACGGGGAAATTCGGGTTTGACACGACGACGTACGCCGGGAACCTCCCACAAATGGTGAAGTGGGAGGAAAGTTGGGAGAGGTTTTTCGCCAACAGCCTTAGATATGCTCTTGACCTCGAGATATCCACCAAAGGTCCAGACAAAGAGCTCGAGGCCCTCATCCCTCTGCTATTCGGTAAAGTTATTCCCAGGCTCCTAAGGCCGCTGGAAACTGGTGATCGAATGCTGAAGCCGTCATTGGTCCATGGTGACCTCTGGTACGGCAATTCCGGAATCAACATCGCCGATGGTCAGCCGCTCGTGTTCGATGCGTGTAGCTTCTATGCGCATAACGAATGTAGGTGATCTCGACTCGTTCATGTTGTTTCGGCGAACTGACCTCCGCCTTTAGATGAGCTCGGCCAATGGAGACCGGCCTGTAACAAGTTCGGACCAGAATACATCGAGGCATATAAGTCCTGCATGCCAATTTCGCCACCCGAAGAGGACTTTGAGGGCCGTCTAGATCTTTATAGATTGTGAGGTTTTACCTAGACACCTGAGCAGATACGTGGTTTTGGCTTGGAACTGACATATGACCAGGCGATTCGACACACACGTCTCCGCCCTTTTCTCCGAGGACAAAAAACTTCGGGCGCAGTATGCATACCCTCTGAAAGCCAGAAACCGCCATAGCTAACATCTCGGTCAGGGTAATTGGTGTTATGAGGGATCTCGTTGAAAGATACGGCCACTAATTTCCCTGGTGGAGGCCATCCAAGAAGCGTGGGGTAGATCCCTCCTCTCCACTCGGATTCTCAGTTACGGTGGCGGTCACACATGCTGAGATATGTGTTCCTAGACGTAATTTGATTGCTGTTAGCCTAGCCTCGGATTCAGGGTGACTCATGTTACGGAGATCTTGTTAACAGAACTCGGTAGTAACTGCCGAGGCCAGACAGAACAGTTAAACACATTTCGACCCTGGGGGTGGGTGAGCGCGTAATTTAGTGAACTTTGGGGCCGACAAGCTCGTGGTTCATTTTCGTATGCTAACGTAACGTGGAGTGGTACGGCGGGCCATATCTTTTGCAACACGTTTTGAATAGTAGTGAAGGGCCCACGCCTAGCAAGCATCTAAGGCATGTGTGTTGCAAAGCTCTTCTGCGGCGGCCATCACTAATTAGCGACTTCCAGTTTGCGTGGCTTCAAAGGTAGTTGTGCTGGATACGAATGGGATTGGACAATAAGCGCAAGGAGTGACCTCGAAGATTCAAAGTCCTGGTAAAGGAAAAGATGTAGGCCCGGTTAGGAAAAGCGCCATTTCGATCCCATTTGATCGAAGCGTAGTCGAAGCATATTCACGACCGGCCGGCTCCCGACGGGTCAAACGGTCCAACTGATGGCGTTCTCCTTTGTCATCCCCGCATCGAGCCCCGCACCAGGAACGAAACTACGGCGGTTGCGTGCTTTGCAGAGACTTTTCGAGTCATTGCAGCCTACCCATGCCTTGTTGCCGAAATCTCCCATTCCCATTCCCTATTAATGCCGGCTTGCGGGACCATCAATTCTTGTGTCCCAAGGAATACTCAAGATCAAAAGAAACGAATACGCCATGGCCTCTCTGGATTACACTACTACCACCCTCTCGATAGAAGCGAAGCCGTATGCCTACACATTCAGACCATCGTGTACGGCTCTGCTACTCATCGACATGCAACATGACTTTCTCCACCCTGTCGGTTTCGGCGAGTCCTGTGGTGCAGACCTCAAGATGGTTCAGGCATGCATCGAACCAGCTCGGAAGCTCCTTGGGGCATGTCGAGCCTCCGGTCTTACAATCTTCCATACACGCGAAGGCCATCGGCAAGACATGTCTGACTGCCCGTCCAGTAAGATTACCCAACAAGCAGAAGCTTTCGGCATGGAAAGGAAGCCTCGCATTGGAGAAAAGGGCCCAATGAGAAAGACGCCAATCAAGGGAGAATACGGCCACGACTTTGTTGATGAGCTCCAGCCAGTTCCCGGGGAGATCGTCATTGACAAGCCTGGTAAGGGTGCATTCTGGGATACAGAGCTCATGCACAAATTCAAGGCTCATGGTATTACGCATCTGCTCGTCGCCGGTATAACAACCAAAGGCAGTGTGTCGACAACGTTTCGAGAAGCAAGTGATCGGGGGTTTCACTGTTGTACGTGATCCGAATCCAGGAAACCCAACTCTTTAACGGTGTTAACGGACTCTCTCCTGCAGGTGTTATCACCGAGGCTACCGCCGGCTATGATTCCTCATTTACAGCGGCAAGTCTCGATATACTTTGTTCGACCAATGGTGGATTTGGGTTTGTTGCCCATCTTCAACCCATTCTCAGCGAACTATCCCATATTCCTCGTCCTCTCCCTTCGTATACCGAGACTTCACAGGAGACATCGCCAGAATGGGACGGCAAACTCGACATTGTGAGCCTCCAGACTGCATACCAAGCGGGCTTTTCTCCCCTTACCGTTGTGGAGGATATTTTCACGAGAATTGAGGCGTACGAGAATGTCAACCCTGGCAGCTGGATATACCGAGTTCCCAAATCGGTTGTGTTAGAAGCTACCCGTGACCTGCTAAATCGCTTCCCGGATCGATCTAAACGTCCTCCACTGTTTTGCGTCCCATTCTCGATAAAGGATTCCATCGACGTAGCCGGTATCCCGACTACAACGGCCTGCCCCCCTCTCTCTCATATTCCCAGCGTTAACGCACCTCTCCACATAGCCCTCATCGAACAGGGTGGTCTCTTCATAGGAAAATCAAACCTCGATCAATTAGCAACCGGGCTGACTGGGCAACGTTCGCCGTACGGAGCCCCCTCGTCAGCCATTAATTCTAGTTATGTTCCGGGAGGGTCGTCATCTGGGTCATCGGTCTTGGCATCAACGGTACGAGATGCGCGGACAGTCTGGCGTATTCTGGAGACTTTCGATCCGCGAGACCCTTACACGAAGCCTGAGGAACTGAGGAAATGTCCTCACGTCGTTCACTCAACCGGGCAGACGGAAACAACTTTCCGCTTCGGTATCCCGCCCCATGATGTCTTAGGTATCTGTTCTGAACCATATCGCCGGCTTTTTGCCGAGACAGTTACCCAACTTCAAAATATCGGCGGGAGACTTCAGCACATTAACTGGAAACCTTTCGACAAAGCGGGGAGACTGCTTTATGATGGGACCTTTGTCCTTGAGCGTGTAGCTTCCATCCCGGATCTGCCGGGAAGTGGTGGTATCGACGGGCCAACCTGGTTTGAGAAGCACAAGGCCGATCTACATCCAGTGATATCAGAGCTATTTACCGCTGTGATAAATCGCAAGGTTACTGCTGTGGATGTGTTTCGCGACCTTCAGGCCCAAAGGCGATATACTGCCCTCGTTCATAACGAGGTCTTTTCACAAGGCGCCAGCGGAGTGGATGTCGTTGTTCTTCCCACCGCTCCAACGCATTGGACAGTCGACGAGGTAAAGGAGGACCCAATCGTGAAGAACAGCGCACTTGGAGTATTTACACATTGCGCTAATGTTCTGGATCTATGTGCGATTTCTTGTCCTGCTGGTGAGTTTGCCGCGAAGGAGCTTGGCGGCCAGGGGGTCTTGCCCTTCGGGGTCATGTTTATGGGACGCCGTGGTGGTGATTCGGAGGTGTTAGACTTGGCAACGAGATTTGAAGACTCTTTCAAGGAGGATGTTGATGCTAGCCGTGGCTAATGGTAATACTAGACATAAAATCTATGTAACGTTGACTCTAGATAGTACTTTGTCTCATATTAAATCCCTTAGTCGTCTTACCGCCCGCGTCCTTCTACCTCTATCGTCTATAAGCAAGATATTAAGTACGATGACGGTATTCTTCGAAGAGCTGTATAACGATTACACGTGCGTCCCAGGGCGGTGCAGGCAATCTTTGCCGTACTAGGCAACATGGAGTCTATTCCAGGTGAACCCCTTATCGACTCGTTTCCCAGCACTTTAGCATGCTTACGCTGAAGTTGGGCACGCCCGTTAACCGGCCTCAGTCGCCAGGGAATGATAGCTTTACGAAGTATGAGTGTCTACTCGCTATTAACCAACCCCTTTTTTTCGAGGCGTGACGGCCTCCAAGGGTGCGTGGTTAGCATGATGAATATGACGCTCACTGGGGCTTTAACAAAGATTTGCGGAATAATGGGCTTGCTACCGCGATTCAGAAATTCCCCTTTGAAAAGATAGTAGTGCTAAATTTGTAGTTTCTTCGCTGCTTGATTTATGCACGATCAAGCATTCGTGCCTGTCTCAGAAGGTGATAAAATATCGATCCTACTGCAGCAAAGTAGCTAGTAAGAGGCGATCGCTGCTGTTTTGATGGCAGACGGGGATCGAGGGCCAACGACTGGGGCCGTTGCTGCAGAATTGTCCCAAGCCTACTCGATTGATCATGGTGGATTGCACATTTTCCAGCACGTGCGATTTGGGATTAATAAACCGAACCTGTACCTTAGTAGACGCATGTTGCCTGCCGCACGCTCTTCGCTGGGGAAATTCCCCAGTGTGTGGTTCGACGCGACCAAACCCATTAATTATTGCGCCGGCTTTGAGCTCAACGGTTGAGATCGAGTGAGGGTGGTTTCCGTGGACATCCTGAGCACGTGCCCGACCAGTTGCGACGAAGATACATTAATTGATTTTCTTCGTCACCTCGTGTGTGTTCTTACTACGAAGTAGTTGCTAATACAAGACGCGGGTAGTGGCAGAGTAAGTGCGGAGTGGTGCTTCGTATTACCACAGGCATTGTTCAAGGGCTCTCCTCTTCCTGGTCGTCAGTTGGACAAATCAATTGATGCAAGCAAACCCCCATGCGTCGTATGGTCACTCGAAATAAAGTGTGTCATATCGATCCCTGGGAAGCGGAGATTTTCCCGCCAAGATACGGAGTAAACGAGAAAAGCCCGGGACGACGGGAGTGGGAGAAAATGAGGAAAATGGTCACGCGAGCTCCTTCTTCAAAAAGACAGAAAATTCACATCCCAGCCTCTTCGCACAGAAAAAAGCGTCTTGGCAGTTCCTGCCAAGCCAGCTAAAGCTGCAATACCACCCAGCACGCTCAAGGATGAGAGCTGTTGCAGCGGCGGCGGGGGCAACGGGAAGGGGGGGGGGGGGGAGAGAGAATGAAGTTATGTGTCGCGTGCTTCCTCGTAAATCAGCTGTTTTTGCCAAACTTTGCTGTTTTTGAATTTGGAAAAAGGGTATAAAAGGGTCGACGCTTTTCCTTCGTTCAGACCGGGCCTCGGATTTGCGAGAAACTACTCTTCTTGCGTTGACCGAGCACTCTGAGGAATGGACGATCAACTGCAAATTCAATTATGAGGAGGGCAACGCAACGACGGCAGCACCGTAAGTACCGGCGCTCTGTGTATCGACCCTCAGCCCTATAGTGCGATAGGTACGGCTTCTGTTTGTACCGCCTGGATTTCCTCGGGGGAGGTCCACAACTCCTCATTTAGAAACCGAAGCGACCCACAGCAGGGGACACCGATTAGGGGACGAACTGGGACGAAAAGCTGCGCTGCCAGAGCTCGATCTGACCCTATCGTTTCTACACGTGTGATGTTTCAGACTCGCGATTGGCCAGATTTCTTGGGGTTCTTCCACGCCCGATCTTTCTTTCCACAACGCAAAATCCCCACAGAGCAAAAAAGTCCCGCTCTCGCGCATCTGATGCGTACGATGTGGTTGGCCAATTGCTTGATTCCAGGCCTCCGGTGGCGTTTCTTGACTCTGTTGCGCATTTCCTTTTTTTCGAGCTCTCGTGCCGTTTCCGAAAACGTCATCAATCTCGTCGAGTCTGGTCCTCAGAATTGACGACTTCGTACTTTGTCTGCTTTGCCTGTCCTCATCCTGCTTGTTCTGCTAGTTCTGATCGGTCATGCTTAGCGGGACTCATTTCCCAGCATTGTCCAAATCTGATCTTGAATATTCTGTGCTGGAGTTGATGCGAGAATTGGCTGAGGCTGGCGCATCTTCTTCGCGATCCCCGTGACAATGTGCGAAGTATCAGTGCATTCGCTTCTCAGTAACATCTTTCGAGGCTTCGGCGACCGCGGATACCAGGCAGATAATCCCCACAAGAGGCGATCTGAAGTACCACCCATTTGCATGCTAGCACTTGGTAAAAAAAAAGCCGAAGCTCCAACAAAGGCCCTTGTCCTCTTCGGGCAAGATGCTTAAAACCTCTAGTGCCGCAAACCTGGTCCCGTCTCACCACAGCCCGCCCCGCCGTCAGATCTTGTTATCCATCCACCATCCATAAGCACTTCCTCCGCGCCGCCCTAGGAGTGAGCTACTAAAATTTCGAGGGAAAAAAAAATTCGTAAAAGATTCCTGCTCTTCACATCTGATAGCCGTAAATCCCACGTGGGCAAATACTACCCATCAGTTGGAAGCAAGGGATGAGGCCTAGTCCGTAAGCTACTCCATCGAAACCGTTTATATATCATTCCTCGCCAAGCCCATCATCCATCATCCTCTTTCTTCCGCCCTCTCCATCCCATCGCCTCTTCCCTATCTCCAACTTGGGTAGTCCATCTACCTTCCCTACTCCTCTTTAGGGAACCCTTCTCGCGTTCTTACCTGCTCCCTCTCATCCTCCTCTCATCCTCCTCTCTGCCGTTCTCCTTGTCCCGTGACGCACAGCTCGCTAGCTTCCACCGAGCTAGTTTACCGAAACTTTATCACCACCTCTCCCATTGAAAGCTTGTTTATGCTTCACCTTGTTTCCTACCGCCGCAAATAGAATCGACAGCGTGATCTCTACTCGCCGTCGTTCCACCTTTTCTTTCCTCCCTTTGCCTTTCGGCCCCCTCTTATTTATTCTTCTCCTCCTTTCCTCGAAGAAACACCGCATTCCGTGCGGATGGCGCACCTTTTGCAGCATCACCAACGGCATGACCCGCCCTTCGGTGTCATCCCTGTCCCCCATGGTCCGGTGACAGGAGAAGAGCACGAACATTACCCTACCGAGCACACCGCCGAGCGCGAGCACCAGATCTTCAGCTACCTCACCCACCCAGATGATTCCTACACTCCCGAGGGGACCTACTGGGCCGACCTCCCCCTCGCTAAGCGCATCTCCTTCGTCAACAAGGTCCAAAATGAGGAGGCTATCAAGGAAGTCAAGACGGTCTGGCAGATGATCAAGGAAGATCCCCTAAGCCCTTTCGGCTGGTACATCCGCAACGCCGTGCTTCCTGGTGCCGGCCTGGGTCTCGAGGGGTATGTCCTCTTCAGCATCGGGAACCTGGAACCCCTCTTCAGCGCCACTTGGCCCCAGTGCTGGGGTAAGAACCCTACCGTGTGCAGTCCTAACTGGATTGCCGCTGTAACCTACCTCGAAGTCATTGGCATCATGGTTGGTCAAGTCGCCGTAGGCTTCATTGGTGACTGGATCGGTCGTCGTTGGGGTCTTATCCAGGATGCTGTCATCATGTTTGTCGGTCTACTCATGCTCACAGCTAGCTGGGGCTTGACTCTTCAAGGATGGGTTATCTGCTATGCCTGGTCTCTCTTCTTCTATGGTACGTTTCCCACTGGGCACACCCCCACATCTTTGAAAATTTTGTCCACTCACACTTCGCACAGGTTTCGGCGTTGGTGGCGAATATCCTATCACTGCTACCTCATCTATGGAGAATGCTGTCAGCGCTGGCAAGCTTTCTACCCGCGAGGACCGACTTCACCGTGGCCGAAAGGTCACCATGGCTTTCCTCATGCAGGGTTGGGGTCAACTCATCAACCAGGGCCTCCTCATGATCTTGCTCCTCATCTTCCATCACGGTAGCGGTAACCCCCCTTACAGTTCCGTTGCCGTTCAGTGGACCTTCCGCGTCTCCTTTGCGCTGCCCGCCCTCGGTACCCTCTGGCTCGTGTACTACCGTACCTACAAGATGCCCCACGCCAGCCGACAGCTCGAGATTGCCAAGCGTAAGAGCAACGTTACCGGCTACGACGTCGCGTCCCTCAAGATCGCCTGCCGCGAGTTCGGTGGCCGTCTCCTCGCCACCACCGGTACCTGGTTCTGCAACGACGTCTTCTTCTACGGCAACAAGCTCTTCCAGGGCCAGTTCATCAAGGTCATCTCCCCGGGCAGCAACAGCGTCATGACGGGCTGGGTCTGGAACATGATCAACGTCATCGTCTCTCTCGCCGGCTACTACTGCGCTTCGCTCTTGATTGACAACAAGCTCTATGGTCGCAAGATGATGCAGCAGGTCGGATTCCTCATGTGCTTCATCATGTTCGTCGTCCCCGCGTTCCACTACCACTACTACACCGAACCCATGAACATCCATGCTTTCCAGGCCATGTACTTCCTTAGCAGTTTCTTCAACCAGTTCGGCCCCAACAGCGTCACCTTCCTCGTCGCTGGTGAGGTCTTCCCCACCCCGATCCGCGCCACTGCTCACGGTTTGTCCGCCTGTATCGGCAAGGCTGGCGCCCTCCTCGCCAGTGTCCTCTACAACTACATCGATACGCAGACCAAGTTCTACGTCGTCCCTTGGTTCGGTCTCGCCGGAATGGTCCTCACATTCTTCTTCCTTCCCGACACGACCGGTCTCGATCTCAAGGAGCAGGAGCGCCGCTGGACCTTTATCCGAGATGGCCGGGCATCCGAATACCACGGTGTTGCCGTTCACCCCAGGCATCTCAGCTGGTGGGAGCGCTTCCGAGGTGTCGGCAAGGCCTATGATCCTAAGCAGGATATGAAGGATAAGATTGAGGACATCAGGCGCGAGTGGGAAGCTAAGGAGCAGGAGAAGAAGGACCAGGAGGTGAATGGAAATTCCAATCCCCTTTCGGATCTCGATGATGACATCTTCTCCGACCACGTCCATGGCTACTTCAAGGCCACTTCTGGAAACAAAGATGACGAGAAGGAGAAGAACGCGACTACGTCGGGAAATGGACTCTTTAATGGCAATGAGAAGACGGAGAATCCCGCAACTTCTGGAAGCGGAAACAGTGAAGACGCGAGCAGTAACAACGAGTCTTGAGAGCAAAAGGCTGAGAAAAGTGGTCATTTGCATTTCGTTTTGAGTTTGGGTTTTTGGGTAATCTGGCTACACTGGGGGTTATTGGAATTTGAGAAACTTGGTGTATTAGATGAAATTGGGTACGGGCATCGATCGGGGCGTTCTAAGGAATCTTTTTCCACATTCACTTTAATTTCCAGCATGTCTAGTTTATCTGGTTTTAAGACAAAGTCTCTTTCTCTACCAAGGGACATTGCAATCACCGGTCTTGTGATTCTCATCGTACGCGCTAGATAGATCTCCGCGAAAGAGTGAAAGAGAATACTTACAATATCAACAGAAAGAAAGCAGGCTCCACATTCTGCAAAGGGCAAGAGCACATACAACATTCACACCACTACTAATACCTTTCTTAAAGATCGTTAATGCCGCTACACTCGGAGTAGAGAGCTAATGTCCAAGGAGGCACATAATACCTTAAGAACCAGTATTAGGACCGTAACAATTAGTTTTGAAGTATTACTAAACCACTACACATCCAACCTTCTTCCATAGCCTCGGGGTCTTTTTCACAGTTCCCTTTGACGACCCCGATAGTCCCATACTTAGTAACCGTGTAATCACAGAGCATGCCTCTTCCATCCAACAATTCGTGAGATACTGCCGACTCGGTTGGCTGCGTCTCGTGGAGCTCTGGCTGGTCGCGCCGGCCAATTAGCGACGCTTCCAGGATTTGAAGCCATTTAAACCATGAACTCCTTTCTGTTTCCATACCTTTTGTTTGCTGGAGCAACATTTTGGACTTCTCTAATGCATCTTGATCCAATGTGTGTCTTAGTTTGAATGAGTCCATATTATCTCCATGCCAGCGATGATGATGAGCAACTTGATAAACGTCACCGGCCAATATTCGGATGTCATCATAACGTCCTTGATCACATTCCATACCCAGACTCAGTTCCAGGCGGGTCAAAATTGCTGATTTGACTAAAGAGATCTCGCCTCGTTGATGACCCTCATTACTGACCCCTACCAGCTGAGCGAGCCGCGTGGTATCCACAACTGACTGTCTCAGCCACATTAGGGTCAATATGTCGCTGTGGGAAGGTGCGCAGTGAAAGATTTGTCTTGGGCGGCATAATGTGAACGCAAAGTCTGTGTTGCGCTGCTGCCATGTTTCGATGTTTTCCAATCGTCTGAACTCTAAGACCGACTCCTGAGATTGATGAAAAGGGCTGTTGGCTGCTCCCATCCAGATCGACGGAGGCAGGGAAGAGGCGGCAGTCATGCCGCGAGACTCTAGTAAACTCGCGATCTCCTTGACGGAATCAATCCAGATTGATGATATGAAGTCGGTAAATAGCTGACGTGTGTTTATGCCGTTCCTCCCAGAGAGACATCTCATTATCTCCAGTGCTGGGTGCATCTCTGGAAGAAACTGATTTCCCAACGCCATGGCATGTGTCAAAAACATTCTCGAAATGTCGTAGGGAAGCGTTCCCGTAAAGATTCTCCACAAACCAAAGATCCACACGGGAGGCTGTTTCTTATAAGAAAAATTTTGACGGGCCATGTCTTTGAAAAGTTTTTCAACGACCATAAAAGCTCCTCGGACGTATGAACCGCCTTCCCCAAATCTATCGAGATCGAATAGGCTGCATCCGTGTTGAAGCAAGAGGGAGACGCAATCGAGGATATTTAGTCCTCCAACCGTAACTAAGCGGAAAATTCCTGGGTGTTCGAATTCAGCTGGGGCTTTTGACATGGACATCTCTTCAACCCAAACCGTATACCATGTTTTGATATGAAGAAGTGCTATTTCTTTGTGCCGGAGACAGCCTGGGGGGAATATCAGATTTGGTAAGAGAACTGGGGATGGCGTTCGAATGCGCATGTGGTTGGCGAGACGGGTCACTGGGCCATCGTCTTTAGCTTGGATAAGATCCTGAAATTCCATATTCTTCCTTCTCAGATAGTTGTTGATCTGGCATATGTCGACTGGTTTGCCAGATCAAAAGATGATGGACGGTTTCCCAACTGCATCGCGTACTTGCTTGATGCGGACCAACGCAGCTACATCTTTCTCCCGGTTATTTTTGAATAAACCCCAACGCGATAGGCGGGTCTTATACATTTTCACACTATAATCTGGTTAGCACTCTTCCTTCCCACACGCAGGGCTTCACCAAGTGTAAACTTACGATGGCTTGAAGTCTCTTTCCTCTTTCATTTGCTGCATAACCTCATGCAACTTCTTATTGTCCTCGATATAAAGCTGCTGAATCCGTGGCTTGTACATCTCCCATACATCTTCCGAGTAGGACTCAGACTGCTCTCTAGCACGAGCAGTCCTCGGCAGGACCGAGGCGACATCGGTTGTACTAGTTCCAGGCCTGTCATCTTGGGTATTGAAAGTGGAGACAGAGCCGGAAACTTGAGAGTCATAGTTCACTATCGACTCGCCACTTCTATAGAAATCTATCGAAGAGAAAAGTGGGATTTGGCGAACCTGGCTTCATAGACGCCAACGTACGCTTACTGGACGAAACCTACATTCGAGAAGCGTGCCCTCAGCTGGCGATTGAAAAGATGGTAGGGTGGTCTCCCCAACACAAGGGCCAGGCTGCGTTCCGTTTCCGAGGTCGAGATATTCCATGTTTCTTCTGTCTCTGCTCTTTCGTCTTGATTCTCTTCAAATGTCCGTATGATAGGTAATATCGAGTGTGGAAAGCACTACGCTCACAAATTCCCATAGGCTTAGAGATTTGATAAAGGTTCAATAGAAGCTTAAAAGCATATGGGATAATGATAATGTGAGTCGAGAGGGGTTCAGGGCTCTTATACTGAGCCGTACGAGCCAGCTGCAGCCTGCTCCATCTGTTGGTGTCAAGCGCCCCCGATCTCTAATTGGCCATATTTGAGAAAGTTCCTGCATGCTACTACGGAATGCCAACAGAAACACAGACGAAAAGGGCGCACATTAAATCCATTTTCAGATTCGAAGCTGAGTTCTGGTATCATCAAGGCTGAGCAAGGGCTGCCGAAAGCTGAGCGACGCAAAACAGACCCACTTTTAGGAACGGCGAAGCCTAGAATCAGGCCAAGGCAATCCAATTCCCGCAACACAGGGGAAGTATAGTTACATGTCCAGTCAGAGTCACACAGACCAAACAAGAATAACATTGCTACATTACAAGCTTGTAAATACAGGATATTATTATTATTATTATTATTTTCAGTAGACCAGATACAACATCTAGCTGGTCACCAAGGGTTTCAATAGGAACTATCTACTTCCCAAAGGTAGTCTACTGTTACAGCCTACTAGTCAAAGCGGTTACGCTTGGTTTGTACAGATGAGCGGGGAACGCGGGGTACGCGCTGTGGGATATCGGGTACAAATTGTAAGCTGCATACGCGGATTGAAATTGAAACACCCCGGAAATACGGATATCCGGTTTGCCGGATCGTGACGAGACTACTAAAGCAATTCTCTATTCTCACTCATCTATTTCCCGCTTTATCTCATTTTCATCAAAATCAAGATGCAACCGATCACACTGGGATCAAGGACTCTCAAGCCGACATGCAGGTTGTCATCATGCAGTACGGAAATCTCTTGTCTCGATCAAGGTGGCTGACTTGGCGTGGTGTGAGGAGGGAAGCAATTCCGATTGGTGGATCGGTACTCACCGCGCCTTTACCGCAAAAGGTAAGCCACCATTCATCTACGAAGTACTGCGTGCAGCGTTACGTGAATGCAATAGGGCTAACTCGTTGTTTTCCCCAGATCGCTCCGCCGAGGTCTACAAGGCTGCTTCTGAGGGTGGTGGGGAGGCAATGGCGCTCCTGGTCCTAGGTCCCAGTGCTATTCTCCCTACTTTGGTTCTTTCGTCGGAGACCCCGTCAGTAAGAAAGTCGAAGCTGTGTGCCACAAACTTGAGTGAGGTGTTGGCTTGATGAATGATTGGCGTGTGACTTGTGATCTACGCATTGGCGGGCGTAGAGGAGTTGGTAGGTTAGATGCGTGATACCTTAGGCGCCCATGCACTAGAATCTCTCTCGCGCTTAAGCCTCCTTCTCCTCCTGCTTCCAGGGCAAAACGGAATTTGCAACCCACTGGTGCAAGATTTCGTGAACATTATCTCCCTAGCCCATTTTTGCTTTCCCTTCGACTTGAGCGACACTAACCCCGGTTTTTGAGGGCCAAGACCGTCCATTGCGGAAGTGTGTCGAGACTGTGACGTTAAGGTTTGTGACGCTTTAATCGTAGAGCCTGATAGGGAGGAATTGGGCATGGGGGAACTATTTGTTGGAACAAACGTAGTTGGATTGGGAAGAGCTTTTCCTAGGAAGGAAAAACTGTTCCCAAAACTAAACTAGTGCCGTGGAAAAGGTTCGGAAGAATCAGCACCGGCAGCCAGCCAATCAGGGCTGGTTGCCCACACTATTCAATTATTAATGGGATTATTATTAATGGGTTGGCCAATCAAAGTATGAGGTTACTAATCGGAGGGGATTACGGTGCCTATTCTGGCAGCGTTTGGGTCAAAGAAAACTTATAACTTTACAAAAGGTGACTAATGATAATCAATCCGATTCAATTTAATCTTCTTAATTGGTCTGTGAAAACCGCTTTTTAAGCCGCGGTGAGCCGAAATAGTGTGTGCTTTCTCCACTCGTCACGGCGCTAAGCATTTAGCTGTCTCAGGGCATCGTGCAATGTAGAAGGTTGCCACAGCCTAAGGCGGTTCTCGCTGTGTCGCAGCACCACTGAAGAGAGACTGGCGCTATCAACTTTCACTCGTGACGACGTCCTGGACGAGCAAATAACCTGCCTTTATCTATATCTGAACTAGGACATTGGTCACATACTGCCAGCGCACGGGCCGAACTTCGTTGATCTAGTTCCTTGAACTTCAGCCATCGTCATTTAGTTCTCCCAGATGAGCCAATCGGGAGGTTGCCCGATCATGCGGTCAGATTCCGTACGCCAGCACATCTGGTCTGGGACTCCGGGGCTATGAAACGCCCGTTCCCATCTTCTTAAGTTCGAGGATGGTGACTAGAGAACGGCATTAGAGGTGATATTCTCTCATAAAATATGAGCTATGGCACATCTCTGTTGTGATGGATGTGAAACAGCAAATTATCGGACGCTTGGCATGTGGAGGAGTTCTCCATCCTGCCTTGGTGGCGTCCGGGAGCAACCAAATGTCTGCTCTTCCCTCTAAGTCTTGATATCCCCGGAATCGCGCGACGATTGAATGTATAAAAGCCGAGCTTTACTCTACGGTGATTATAGATGGAAGTCATATTTTTTTTCTTAATACTATACTTCTAATTCCCGTGACGGAGTCTCTTGACCTTGGAAGTCTCATTTTTTTCCGTCATACTTTGAACACGAAACCATGTCTTCTTTTTCAGGAATGTCTCAGAGCCCACAAGATGAAGCTCCGCAACAGCCTCTCCCCCGGCCAATTACCTCCTTCTGCAGCGCTATCTCAGTTGCAGGCAGGCCCTCGCACTATGATGCCTCACATGGAAGGCACCCAAGACTACTTATTCAAGATATTGAAGCCAGGATTCACAGAGGATGTCGGATGGAGGAGAGGTGGGGCTTTACAACTCTTTCATCCTCCTTTAATGTTATGTGGTGGACCTTACATCTACTCGTCCCCATATCTATGCTCGATAAGCTCCAGGGTGAACCTACAAGGCAGGCGCTAGTATCGTTTCTAAGTGCCGTTCAGAATGTGAGAGAACTTGCTGATATATGTATGTGCACACCTACCACCTACCTAGAGCCCTGCTTCCCCCCACCCCCCCTTTTCCCCTTCTCCCTTCCCAACCCCACGCAATAAAAAAAAAAAACACCCCACACAACTAACAGGTGCTATTGATAGTCATAGCAAAAGGTCGACGTCTTGGCAGGCTCGGGATACCACTGGCACTAACTGAATGCAGTGAGGTGGTCAGACAAACGGTAACGACATGCTAGCTTTGAACCACTGAGACCCTTTAGAGAGGCATATAGTGACATTTTCTAGTGCCTTATACGGGATGTTGGCTGTATTCTTACAGGCGCTCCGAATCCTAGCGTATGCCGCATCTTCCCTACTCTTCAAAAGGAGAAACACAAAGTGAGAGAAGCATTATTCCTGCTCTCAGGCATTCTTTGGGATGCCGATTTTACCGAAAGTCTCCGCGATCTTATCCTAGGGGAAGATAACATCCTCGATAGCCCCCGTAACATGATTTGTCTTCAACCTGGGTTACACCGATGGTGGCATAATGGCTATATAGCCTTCGAGCCGGTAGCCGAACTTAGCAACGGCGTCAGAGTCCGGCTTCGCTGGCTAGGGGTATCGGGTCTTGTGCCCTCCGACCGCAGGCTGTTGGATACTGATCCTAGAGGATGCTTAACCACTCCTCTAGAGGTCAGTTCTATTCATCTTCGCGACTTTTGGACCGGACGACTGCTAACCGATGGCGTATTTTTTAACATCACGGCGTCTAACCCAGACAATGCGCCCTCGTATGGCCTGCTTAAACTACAGTGGGATCTTATGCGCTTCGTCGCAATATCTGGTATAGCTGGGACGGGGCATAGTCATTCGATCTCGGAGAATACGGGGGCGGCTACATGACCAACAGCCTCTCCCTCGGGTGCGACTGCAAGCACACGATCCATTACATGGATGCCGACTTCGCCAGTAAAGCTGGCCAGGTCGCAGTCATCGCTAACGCAATCTGCATCCACGAGGAGGATAACGGGATCTTCTTCAAGCACACCGACTTCCGCGACGGTTTCGTCACTACCACCAGCGCGCGCAAGCTGATCATCTCGCAGATCTTCACCGCCGCCAGCTACGAGTACTGAGTCTACTGGGTCCTCCACCAGGACGGCACGACCCAGCTCGAGGTTAAGCTCACGGGTATCCCCAACACGTACGCCATGCTTCCTGGCGAGGACACGTTCGGCCAGGGGACCGAGGCGTATCCCGGCGTCAACGCCCACATCCACCAGTACCTGTTCTGTCTGCGGCCGGACCCTAACATTGACGGGGTCGAGAACACGGTGTTTCAAGTCGACGCCCGTCCTGCCGCCGATGCTGTCGGCACTCCGGGGAACTGCTACGGAAACGGATTCTATGCAGACAAGACTATGCTTGCTACTGCCGGTACGTCCATCTCGGACTCTGACGCCTTGAAGAGCCGGACCTGGGACGTTGCCAACACGAACAAACGCAACTCGTACTCGCACAAGTCGGTTTCTTATAAGCTGGTCAGCCGCGGGGCGCCTCCTCTCCTGCCAAAGGCTAATCGTCTCGCGTGGAAAAGAGCCGACTTTGCTCGCCCCACAATACACGTCACAAAATGTGGGTACAAGTGTAGTTCTTTTCTGAATATTTTTTCCTTCTGGTTTTTTTACTTCCATCTTAGCCCCCTTGGATATATTATGTGTTTCACCCCCGAAATTAACTCTATGTTCCACGCAACAGATCATGATGATCGGACCCACCCTGCCGATCGCCACGTCCCCCAATCGTCCGGGGTACCCTCTGAAGGCCTTCCCGCCTGGATTGCCGCTGACCCCGACGTGAGTATCGCTAACACGGATATCGTCGTCTGGCACACGTATGGAATCACACACCTCCCAGCCCCAGAAGACGACTTCCCCGTATGCCGGCGGAGCCCATGTCGCTGCTCCTGCGACCTAGACATTTCTTCACGCAGAATCCCTGTCTGGACGTGCCCCCTTCGTACCCAAGCAAGCCCAGCGAAAAGGCGTTACAGAAGAAGGGTTTCGGCAGCGGGACAGAGCTAGATGCCAAGGATCGAGAGAGTAAGTTGGCGTTTCCCAGGTGAAGCCTGTAGAGATGGATTTTTGAGCAATAGGAATTATAAGTTGGCTCCGGCCAAAAATGGTAAATATTGTGTCTCCGTCATTACCCAAACCGTCTCCGGCTTGTTAAGGATCCTTTGAATTTCGCCGTAGCCCATTCACCGTCTCACGTCGCGTAAAACCTGCTTCACCACAAGCCTGTCACCGGAACTTTCGACAGAATAGCCCAGAATCAGCATAGACCAGGAGCCGAGATAGCAGCGAGTCCAGCTTTCGTAAACACGCGACATCTTGAGCATAGAGAGTGCCATATCGACCTGCCACCGGGGGGTGGCGGCCTGTCGTTCTCTCGCCTTGGCACGGATAGAAGAGACGGAGTCGGGCTGATGATGGCTTGTTTGGGTAGATTCGTAGGGTTGTCCTTCGTACTGTTCCGATATTATGTCAAGTAGGAGGGAAGCCGAAAGGATAAAGAGGGCCATAGCGTCTGCGTGAGGATTCCCCACAAGGGAGGTTCCGGCATGGAGCAAGGCCCGATGGGTCAAGAGGACGGCCTCCCAAATTTCCATCTCGTACTTGAGCCGAGTTAGTGCGCCAGGGCCAAAGCTGGCGGGCGCATTATGAAATTCGATCATGGTTGCAATCAATCGGTATATGGGGAGGGGTATGCCGAGAATGGGGCTGTTCTCGGCTGAAGAGATGTTGCAGTACGTCAGAGACCTCAGGATAGTCTCGTTCTGGCGAACAAGGGCCTCGTCTACGCGGAAGCTTGCGGCGAAGGGTTGCGCATTTGGAGGAGGAACGCTTGATACAAGACACTCTCAACCGTCATGCGATCGAACGGTCGTTCCATCGACAAGGGCGACGAGGTATCTTGGTAGCGGACGTCATCGGAGAGCATGTACTTGTTGGAAGCGCAGCAGGCCAACACAGCGCACTTAACGCTCTCGCAGTTCACCATCATGCTGACGACACGCGACCGATAGTCGGCATAGAAGCCCTTTTGCACGTTGGGGAGCAGAAGAACCGAGATGAGCTTGTCGAGATAATGTTGGACCAGCTCGACCTCAAGCTCCGAGTTCACGGCCGAGGTTTGGGGGTTCGAGAGGAGGCGGAGCGGGCTGCAGATTTCCGGAGATATGACGCCGTCGGAGACCTCTAGACCAGAGTCAGAAGGCATCCGGGGAGATAGGTCTTCGGAGACTCGCTGTCGATATCTTTTGTCGCAGAGATCCTGCGCCGAGGGCCAATAGCAGACGTGGCCGGACTTTATGCAACTTCCACAGCAGGGTTTCTCCTCCCCACACTTGACCTTTCGCCTCCTACCTATATAGTTTTTGGAGTTCAATCTGTTTTAGTAAACACTGTCTGTGTATTATGTGCTTCGATAAAAGTTTGATGTATATGGTGAGAGGTGGTAAACAGCGGAGAGGGGTAAGGGGGAGAGGAATGAGTCTCACAGGTGAGGCATACAGTCTTTGTACGCAATCTTCCAGGAAGCATGGCGAATAATATTACGCTCTTTGGGGGATAGATATGGGGGCAGATTTGTCTTTGATTATTTGTAGCAAAAGTGGCCTACTCTCTTGTAATATAAGATAGATTATAGGGTATTTGCAATGGGGTGGTTTCTTTATTTTATCCCAGGGAAATCCCTTTTAGCAAGCCAGGTCCTATAGTCAGATAAGCTACACTTTCCCAGCAATAAGAACCGACAGTATCTTTGAACTAGCAGGAGATATAGCATAGAGATGGAGAGAAAGGGGGAACAACCTCGATCAGTCGTTCATTTCGCTTCTCCACATTGAAATCCTCCACTACCAGGATAAGAAAATATAGGGAAGAGGAGAGTTTGGTCTATTTATTCCTGATCTAGTGGCATCGCATAGTGGAAATACAGGTTCCATAATGTTGCAAGCCCATGCAGCCCAGACCGCATTTTATTGACTAGCTCACCTTCAGCTGGCCTCCTTTTCACCCCATTTTCCAATTTTCTAACTACATAACAATCCACAAAAGTTTGTTCTCGGATTCATTTCCAACCCAATACACAGCATTCAGTATAACTTCAGTAAGCCAGTATCAGATATTCACATTCCTAGAAATAGCCCAGCCCTTGGAATTTCCTAGGTTAAACACGATAAAGTTAGCGAAGCTAATCTATCAATATGTTGTGCACCCTAAGGATTTTAAGTATCTTAATGATAAGCTTCTGCTTACACCGATGTGGGAATGGCCCTTAGGGAAGCGGCGAAGCTCTTAGGGCTGTTGCGAGGAAAGATGCCGCCCTCGGGGTAGTCAATACCGACAAATGCAAGGCAACCACAGGTATCAAGGAGGGGAGGGTCAGATAGCCTTACGAAAACAGCATAAGGGCCAAATTTGCATGTCTCCTACATGGCCCAGGCAATAATTCCAGCTAACTAGGCTGTACCTGCCTGTTCACCCCAATAACTGTGGGGAAGGGCATCTGCTGCATGCAGAGCCAGGATATAACATCACACTTATTAGTGATCACATTCCAGAGTCCATCCTTTTTTACTGCTTATCACTGTCTTGTGGTCCTTTCAGCGGCGAGCTTGTGGCAATCTCAATGCTCTATTAGAGGCCAACAGGACTAAAAGAATTAATACTTAAATAGACTATAGTCTCTATTTATACTTTTTTCTTTGTAATTAGATAGATGCTTCTGAGATCTCTTTTGTTCCAGATTAGTTTAGTCAAGCTCAACTCAATTCAGTTAAGCATACAAGAACAAGACCAATCAGTTTAATACAATCATCTGAAGTCATCTCTTTCCATCATATCTGACACACCGTCGATCCTATATATAATTCCCTGGGCTGCCGCTATGCTTTGCCGTCGGAATCCATGGGCTCGCCCATGACCCAGCTAATCACGACGTTCACCAGCAAACCCGTCACCTGTTGGAATATTTGCAGGGATATGGAAACAAAACTTAGCTCGGACCTGATCGGACAATCCAATACCGTCGGATGTCACGGAATTCCCAAAATGCCACTGTAAAACAGGCCTTTTTAGACGGCAGAGGGTCTTCCGAAGTCGCACCAAGGTCACACCATAGAAAGGAAAACGTTTTGGAAATGGGAACTGGTTTCGGCTAGGGTTTGTGACGTAGAAACTGTTTTGGCTAGGAAGAAATTACTAGGATAATTTCCATGGAATTGGGCCACTCTTTCCAACATAAAAACGGAAGGCAGTGCAGGGCCAATTCCTTCCCATCTAGTTAATACAATAATGGCTCCCATAATTATTTAATATCACCAATCCCCAGAAATATGCTACCCTAGGCCAAATGGAATTATTACTACTATTGGCTATTTTCAATATTAATCCGAGTCTACTCTGTTGGCAGTGGACTTGAGCCCATTGGTCGCCTCAAGCACAGCCACAATTCGAGGCGCTGCAGGGGTTAATATCCATATGGCTGGACTACGCCACAATTGAAGGGATGAAACAGAAGGGGGTTGGATCGTCTGAGTCGTTTCGTCACGAAGAAAAGTCGGCGCCGCCAGTGTTAAGATATATGCTCTTCTCGGTACTGCCTATGCATGATAAATCACGTTTCCGGGACTCTTACAATGGCTTCTCCGGACCCTATGCAGCAAATCTTCGAAAGCGCTAAGCGCGATTTCGAGAGGAGCCTCCCCAAGAAAGTCAAGGCACAAGACCTCCACGCCGTAACAAACGTGAAGCAACTGTGGGATGCTCTGGACAAATTGCAAGCCGAGCAATCCAAATCGCTGATCAGGATGCGTTTCTTGGATCGCATTGGGCCTTTTGTCACCCGACTCCAGAGTTTAGCTGGTGTCATCGAGGTCTTCGTGCAGGTGAAGCCAGAGGTGGGGGCTTTAGTATGGGGGCCCATCAAGCTGCTTCTGATGTGGACCAGCCAATGGCGGGAAGGGTTTGATGCTATTGTCCAAGTGACGGAGAGAATTGGGGAAGTGCTCCCCCAATTTTCGGTTTCCCAGGGCTTCTCTGATGTGAGCCATATCAAAAATGTCGTGGCTCTCCTCTTCAGAGACATTCTCGATTTCTATTCCGCGACTTTAGAGTTCTTCAGCATCCCGCGTAAGTCCTCCCTCGAAAACCCTCCACACTTGGCCTTCAAGTTTATATTAACAACTTAAAGGTTTGAAAATCGTATTTGAGACACTTTGGCCTAAACGCTTAGAGAAATTACGGGTTGTGGAGAAGAATATCCAACGACATTCACAGCTCCTTGGCCAGAACATCACTTTCGAACATATCAGAAGGGAAGAAGAAGCTAGAGATAGATTATTTAAGGAATTTCAAGACGCCGAGGACCACAGGGCCAGGCAAAAGTTCGAAGCATTGCGGATTGCTATTAGCCCACCCGAATACAGTGAGAGGCTGGCCTGGCTCGAGGGACGTATCTGTCCAGGAACGCCAAACTGGCTCGAGGATGATGACGACTTTCGAAATTGGCTAGACCAGTCTGATCAGACACCGAGATTGCTTTGGCTTCAAGGGATCCCCGGGGCTGGTAAGTTGGAGGCTCTCATCTAACTCGACGGAGTTGGCTGACGAAACTGCCTAGGGAAAACGTTTCTCGCCTCCCGGGTAGCTATCAAAGCTATGACTCATGGAGACACCGCATACGCGTTCATCAGCCACACCCATACCGATTCTACCGCCATATCCGTGATGCATTCGCTGCTGTTTCAACTAGGCTCTGGAAACCAGGATGTGCAAACGGTCTTGACCGACGCCAGCAAAAGCGACCTAAAGCATAGTTTAACTACGACCAAGGAACTACTTACTACGGCGATTACGTGTGCAGGCGGAGCGTACATCATCATAGATGGTCTCGATGAAATCGAAGAGTTCGAGCGAAAACAGCTCCTGACATCGATAGTGGACATACTGGACGCCTGTACCGATGCAAAAATCAAGGTCTGCATCAGCAGCCGGCCAGAGCATGATGTCGTTAGAATACTGCAGCCCAAGGCGACAACGATTCGCGTCCATACCAAGAATGCCGCTGGCGTGCGGATATATGTTAATGCAAGGTACAGGGAGTGGATGAGTAACTCAGACTTTTCGACCCGGGGGCAGAAAGAGATTCAGAGTCTTCTTGCTCCTCTTTCCATTAAAGCAAAAGGTGGGTAAATCGATCAGCTTCTATCTTCCGATCGGCTTCTCTGATCTCATATCTTGGTTTAACCCAGGCATGTTCTTGTACGCCCGTATCGTTATCGACAACGTGGTCGATTTGATTAGTATTGAGGATATCCGAAGGGAACTGAAGGCTTTACCAGCAGATCTTGATTCCGTGTACGTCTGAGTCTGACCCGTCAAGTACCTCTGCTAACTCCGCGTATAGGTACGAGCGTGTCCTCGCTCGCATTAACCAACTAGCTGCCCCAATGAAGGAAAGAGTAAAGAGGGTCCTCGGATGGATCGGTTGCTCTCCTACGCCGCTCAACATACACGAACTTGATCAAGCTGTGCTTGTTTCGGGCAAGACTTACGACGACGCACCGACGGTCAATGCTTCCCTCAATATCGTCAAGATGTGCGGCTCCATTGTCGAAATCGTGGACGAAACACCGAGATTAGTACATTTCACCGTCAAAGAATACATCTTTGACAGTCACCGGGACTTCATAAGTATGCGTCAATCCATACGCGATCTCCTAGACACATGCATCACGTACCTTTGCTACGACGCCGTCGGACCCGACGTAGATGAAGAACAATTACGGGAAAATATACTGCAAGGGAAATATCGATTCCAGGCATTTGCTTCCTGGTCGTGGTCTATTCTTGCTAGGCAGTATGTTCGCTTGACACGAGACAAAACTCATCTCAATGACCTCAATGATCTGCTGCGAACACTCTTTACCGAGAGGGAGAATGTCGAATTTGGAGTTGATGCCGAGAGTACGGAATCGGTCGATGACTTGATACTAAACCCCGAGTCCACTCAACCTACCAACGATTCTGCTCGACTGCGCCGCCAGCCATGGCCAGAAGCACCCGAGTTCATTCTGCAGACGACCGCATTCTATAGTGACCACCCAAAAGACCTTTGGACGGTGCACAACAGTAAGAACAACCCTCTCCACCTCCCCCCTTCTTCTCTTGGCCTAGTGCGGCATCTAACTCTCTCCGTAGCCCAGAGATGGGCATCCCTCGACCCATTGACTGTCTCCGCCTCGGCTACGAGAGTCCAAGGCTTATACGACGATCTACTCTGCCACGGAGAGAAGGACAAACCCTTTAAACATAAGGACGATTGCGTATGTGACGACTTGCGAAGACACTACGGAAAGTATATATACAAATGCCACTTCTTCTCGTGCCTAGTGCAGAGAAGCGGATTCGAGACGGACGATCAATGCAAGGATCACATAGTAAGCCATAGCCGGCCATGGAAGTGTACAGTCCGGTCTTGCGACTGGTCCGAGATCGGGTTTACAACACGCGGACAGATGAATGATCATGTGGAGAAGTTCCACAAGGTGATGCGTGAAGGTATATATACGCAACCGTCCGTAATGGAAGACGAGGCTTTATATCCCCTCCTATACGACCTAGTCGCGTCAGAAGGCTTCGACGAGCTCTTCGCAATCTGGCCATCATGCCGTCAGAAGGTCAATCAGTTTACTGAGGCTGACCTAGTAGTTATGGCGGCTGGTCAAGGCTCGCTCTTGATGGTTGAACTGCTTTTGGATTGGGACGAGGAGGAAAAGAAACCCTGGAACGACACAGTAAGATTCGGGGCCTTGGTTCATGATGCTATTCAGAGTGGCAAATCAGATGTTATACGGTGGATCCTGGACAAAGCCACCTCCTGGGGCGGTATAAACGGACGGAAATATCGAGATATTATCATCGCCGTCATCAAGTCGGAATCACCAGAGGCGTTCGACATTTGGCACGATATTATCACATCCACCACATCTTACAACCACAATATCAACCAGGAGCTGTTCGAGAAGATAGTGCTCACGACCCTCCATAAATATCCCGATCAAGAAATACGCATGTTTGATACTTGGCGGGTGCTAGACAAGAGATCCTTGTTGAGTCCGCCTTCTCTCGGCCGTGCCCTGACGATGGTTGCACAGACTACCCTTTCTATCGAGCAAGCCCGGGCCCTGCTTCAGTGTCGAGCCTTGATCGATTACCCCCGAAGCAACAGAAGCAACAGGGGGAGTGGGTACACTGCACTGCACTGGGCCTGCAAAAAGTCGTCCCTGGAGGCCGCTCTATTTATCAAGTATCTGCTTCTCAAGGGAGCGAACGCCTTTACCTCGTTCCGTAAGCCGGTGTGGGAAGAGGAGGGCGCTCTAAAGATCAAGACATGGCTTAACGTAGATTGGTCTGAGCTCGTGAAATGGACACGCTACCAGCGGCGATTGTCAGGAAAAACATCTCTGCGCGATTATGACGAATTACTACGCCAAGATTCTAGCATGCAGGAGAGGCTAGCCTACGAAGCAGACGAACTAGTCCGTGAAGAGGAGAACAGAATTGCCTATGAAAGAGAGATCCAGGCCATTGGCTCTCGATTACGGCCATGTAGCTAAAGGTAGCTAAGGGTAATAGAAGATCTTATCTGAGTGACGCAAGCAATTTCTATGAGGCATCGTCAGAGCACGATTCTTGTAAATTAGGTTCCGGTCCGGACCTGTATATACCTTAAAGCGTTGTCCGTCAACGTCGCTCTGTTTAAGTTCGGTTGCAGAAAGCGACTGGTGGATGAGGCGTATCTTGTCCTGTTGAACGTCACGGACATACTGGGTCAACATTAGCTTGACTGAATAGTACTACGAGAGCCGCAAGAGCGTCCCTAAGACGAGCGTTTCCTTACGAATTCAATCGAATCCTTGATAAGATAGCGAGTTATCGTCACATTGCGCGTTTGTCCGATCCTATGGACCCGGTCAACCGCCTGGGCCTCTGCCATTGGATTCCAGTGGGGCTCAACGATGTGGACATGGTTCGCAGCTGTGAGATTGACACTATAATGATCTATGCGGTAAGCATCCTGGAAAGTAAACGGCTAGGGGAGGGAAGACTCACCCCTCGCCGACGCTGCCGATGGTGGCAAGCATCACTCTACAATCAAGGTCTTCGCGAAATGCTTTTAGCGCGTCTGCGCGGCTGGTTAGAGATGTCTGTCCATCGATGCGCCTGAAGCTAACGTTGTGCTGTTCGAGCGCCCGTTGTATGAAGTCGAGCATCTTAGTCCAGCAACTAAAGACAACGCTTCGAGACGTATCAGCATCAGTATGAGGAAGGCATGGGGTGATGTTTGAATTCCAAGTACCTTCTAGAAACACCTCCGCCATCGCTCGGTGTCGTTGCGAGTTCCTTACGAAGGTTGTCCATTAACGCAACAATCTTGACGGACGGCTGATATTCGCCGCTAGCGACGCTTTGGCTTGGCGTGGGAAGGGGTGACCTGCCCGAGCATTTTGGACACGAAACTCCCGATGACTCGATGTCATCTGCACCGTCCATTCCGCGGCACTTTGCGCAAATAGCATGGCCGCAGCTAAGCTCAATAGAAGCCTGGACATCGCTGCCGTCTTCTTCTAATTCCGTACCGCACGAATCACACTTTTGAGACCACATGGCCATATCTCCCCATTGGGCAGCCTCGATATCCCTGTCTTGCCATGCGCGCACGGCCGAAGCCGGAAGCAGGCTCTGGCCATGGTCGCAAATGCGCCGAAGGTGGCCAATCAGTGGCAGGATACTGCTTCCAGTACTGGAGCCCCAACCGCTCGTCACCCTAGATTGTCTGGCCTTGCTCTTCTTAGCCCGTTCTATAGAAAGAGCTATGACAGCCGCTCGGCGTCTGAAGAAGTCGTACAACTCCCTCTCACCCGTGTCAAGCTCGAAGACTTTGTTGATCTCTTCCTTCTTGGGCAATTTCAAGCTGTTCACTATGCTGTCCTTGGTTCTGCGTAAGCACGTCGCCTTCACCAGGGCACGTAGACGAGGAAAGGCGTAGGGCTTTTTCTCCCTGACTGGGTTGCCTATCCACACTTTGAACTGCTCGGGTCTCTCTACAGAGTGAACACGGATGAATCTTATCAACGCGGCAAAGTCATCAATACAATTCTGGATTGGTGTACCGGTCAGACACCACCGGCATGAAGAACGTAATGCGCAGACGGCTGAGAACCCTTTTGAAGCTTGATTGCGAATGTTGTGGGCTGAAGAGGCCAGGTTTGCGGTTAGGTATCCGAGAAGCTCAGAAGAGATATAGCTAAAAACACTAAGGGTACGGGGGAAACCCAACCTACCTTCATCAAGCATCACCCTTGCCCATTCTGTCGCATATAGAGGCCCTCGGCTGGAGTATTCGGATCTCAGTGTGTCATAGGTGGTCAGTATCACATCCGCATTGTGCCAGTCCTCCGCAACTTGTTGCCGGTTGTTACCGTGGTAGGTCCGCACAGTGATACACCCAGGCTTAACGTGTCTATACGCGTAATTTTTAGATAGCCTGCTCACAGGAAAATACACGCAGAGTCATTATACCTCTGAAATTGATGGCTCCACTCCGGTATGGTGGACTTGGGCGTGACTATTAAAGTAGGCAGTGGAATTGCCTTCGACTTCGACGTCTGAAGGAAATCGAGATGCCATAAGATCAAGGATATCGCTGACAGGGTTTTGCCGAGGCCCATTTCCTAGAGTTCGCATTAGACGGGATATTTCGCGCGGCGAAGCAAAGCACGTACATCCGCTAAGATACCACCACGCAAAAGTTGCGGGTGTTCATCTGCCGTCTCGCCTGTGACTACATGATAATACCTACTCCTTGTCAGCATCAAATGATAAAACGTAGGCAAACCAGACAAACCTCTTTGATCCACGTGGGTCAGCCTTTAGAGTCCACAGAGCTGGGAACGCTGGTTCGTCGTATGTTCCGCATTCCCTTTCGATCATCATGGCCAGAGCACTGATCTGATGGCTGCAGCAAAGTTAGTTATCCGTCAGGAAGCCCATGGGATACGTCTTACTCCTTGAGGATTGTCTGCAGCCGCAAGCTAGGACGAACACCAAATGTTGCGTCAGGATCGTGCGCAGACTCGAAGATTTCTAACAACCGGTTCTTTTCGACTTCCGTCAGAACCTCGGCTCCCGAACGACTGAACCCAGCCGAAATCGGCAATTCCTCCAACGGAGGCATAGAACCGCCTGGACGAAGTAGGTATTGCGGGTTGAAGTAAGGTACACTCTTATCACATTCAGTCAGTGTCGGATGCTGAAGATAGAGGCCACCGTTGGCCAGCATTCTGGCGACATTGAGCTTCTCTGACATGAAGCCATAGACGACAACTCTCAAATCGGCCTTGATGTACTGTAATTGCCGATAATTCTCGGGGACTATGATGATAGCAGTGTAGACCACCCTTGCGCGCGTGGCCACGCTTTCGAGAACGGGGGAACAAGCTGCAGCGCCTGAGCCAATGGGTTGGAAGTCGAGCGTGGATATTTTGAGTATCCCGTCAACAGGTTCGATCTTAACAGGGAACCACCGTGCGCCTTTAGCAGCGGAAGATTTAATAGTTGCCGATATCTCAAGCTTTGTTCCGTTAGCGGAGCAATCTGGTTACTCATGGGATCTATCAAGTACCCACCAAGCCGAAGCATGTGTCATACGGAATCTTTCTAGACTCAGGGGACACTTGCATTAACGCTAGCGGTGTTGTGCCTTGGTCGGATGTCGGCTTGGAATGTTCTTGTCTAGCGCAATCGCTCATGGCTGGCTTTTCACACACTGTGAGCTCCTCGTGAACCATGTGCGCTCTTGATACAGCAGACGGTTGAGAAACGATTGACTTTTCGCACACAATAAGGTCCTCACGACTGTCGTGCGCTACAGGTTCGGGCGCGGGAACAATATCCTCGTCGTCATCACCAGTCAGGTCGATGATGATGGGCGGAACATGGGGTGCGGATGTCCCTGCTTCTGGTTCCGGACGGGGCGTATTCAAACTAGTAGTCGGGGCTACTCGGGCTCTCAAAGGCCGCCGCATTTGTGCATCTCCTCTCGCAAAGAAGCCAGGAGCGTACGGTGCGTTGACGATAGGTTAGGCTGAGGGGGTCGTTGGGTCTCGCCCCCTCGGAGCCGCTTCTTTTGTCGGCCATCGTGTCCCAGATCCCTGGTGTCAACTGGGCGCTTATTGCGCTCTCTGCCCTGCTCTCCAGCTCCGACCATCGTGAGTTTGATGTCAAGCTAGCTCAGAGTGGACCACAGGTGACTGGCTTATATTATAGGTAATGAGTGAGGCCTTGCATACTTGGTGTTTCTCGATTGACCCTACGAGACATTTCTCCCGCAAGACAGGAAGCAGGGGCGACAACCAACACATGGTTACATCGACGCAGCCTCCATCTCCTGACGATTAGTGTTTCGTGTAGAGTTATAACGCTTGGTCATCTGCGCGGCCGGGCGGGAGCCCAATCGGCGCACGGGTCCGTACACCCACACGTCCCTATACTTAGTCAGCAACGCCTGCTATAAATTCCTGTATGATACCGGCCGACGGCCAAAAAAGGTTGATTAATAAGCTGTGTTGAATCAACTCCCGGCGATTCCGACGTTTTTCTAATAGTTGAGGAAAGCAGTGATCGTCATCTGCGACTCAGATATACCCAGGCGTTCCTTCCCCGAGCAGACAGTCTAGGGCAATAGGCCCGATGTGTCCTCAATGGCCAAACGTTCGCTCGGTTGGGCCCTGGAAAAAGGGCGTTTACTCTGCATCGCCGTCTTCGTGGATGTCTGCGCCGCGCAGCTGAACCTCACATGCCCAGACTACGTAGCCCGTCACGGTATGTGTGTTTAATCTTTTGCCGCGACGAATCCTCTCCAGCTTGGAGGCCCCGACTGACACGGGAAGCGTAATCTCAGCACCCCTCCTATCACTGCACCCGGAGGAGCCGTACATGCCCAGCGACATACTCACCCACATCCAGCGCACCACACCCAAGCTCAATCACGAAGCCATCCCGGACCCCCTGCCCCCGCTCGACCTGGACAACTTGGAAATCCTCAACCGGTTCGGCGAGCAGGTCGCCCTCACCTCCATCGATGACCCGACCACGTACCCGCCGTGGCTTCTCGGCGAGCGCCCAGACTCCGACGGCCGCACACGGAACGCCACCCCGTGTGTGGTGATTGTAGTGGAGAAGGGCGATTCGGTTTTGGACGCCTTTTACTTTTACTTCTACTCGTACAACGAGGGCCCCAACATCACCCAGGTCCTCGAGCCGCTAAACGGCATCATCGATGGAGGTCGCAACTTCGACCGGTCCAAGCACTTTGGCAACCATATTGGTGACTGGTGAGTCGGGCAACTACATACTGCCGTCGCTCGCTTGGCGGGGGGGGGGGGGGGGGGGACAGTTCCTGACGTTTTGAGTCGAGGGAGCATAACATGATCCGGTTCCGCGATGGCGAACCCGTCGGCATCTTCTATAGCCAGCATAGAGACGGGGCTGCCTTTGACTGGGATGACCAGAGTATCTCCAAGTCGGGGGGTCGGGTACGCACAGGACTTTGCCCACTGCTGGGCACATTTCCCTCTTTATTCTGTCTCTCTAACATCCGTCCGATGTGTATGTAGCCCATCGCTTATAGTGCCCTCGGCAGCCATGCCATGTATCCCACGCGAGGGTGAGTCCTGCCCACCATCCCTGACATGATGCTAACGCTCAACTTTCCCGTGCTTAAAAAAAAAATTCCTATCGACAGGGACCAAGTCCATGATTACGCAATCATAGACTACTGCGACGACGGACCGACATGGGACCCGGTGCTTTCGGCCTACTTCTACCACTTCGACCCGCCCACCTTCACGCTAACGCAGTTGACGCCCCCAAGCGGGTTGCACTCGTCCCCGCCGCCGCCGCCGTCGAACCTCACGTCCTTCTTCTACTACCTCGGCAATTGGGGGGATACGCAGTACCCAGATTCCGACCCGCGCCAGGCCACCGTGCCCTACTTTGGGCTCAAGCGCTTCGAGACGGGTCCCAACGGCCCGCGGTACAAGCACCTGGTGCGCAAGGGCCTCATGCGTGACCACCCGCGGAAGCTGGCGTGGATCGAGTGGGCCGTCGGCGTGTACATGGCCTGGTATCCGTGCTGCTTGAGGGGCTGGCGGGTCTGGGTGTTTTTGGGACTCGTCCTCGCTGCTGTGGTTGGCACTGCTATCGGGCTATGGATTGGCATTAGGAGGTGGATCGGGGGGTTGAAGGCGCGCGCCAAGGCGAGGACGGAAGAGATCCCTCTAGACGACTTTGCATCCGAGGAACAGGGTCTTCTCTCTTCGTTCGACGAGGACACGGAGAGGAATACTAGGGGGGAATAGCCCGAATTTGTATACCGCTGTCGCTTGCCGACGCATTCTTCTGGGCGTCCGCCATCAACGCACGCAGGGGCTAGTAGCGGACATGTACAGCAACCGCCATCAGTGTATACGATTCGCGATGAATTTTTTTTTTTCCCAATGGCGTGAAAGCGGGTGCTTCACCCCTGGCACGCAGATGGCACGGTGCTGAAGCCATCCATTTTTATCCCTGCCCGTGCATTTCCCGGATATCACGCTGTCAACGGCACGAGCCGTCCTTTCCGCGATGTTATTGCAGTTCCAACGTCTCGGGGAAACCAAAAAAAAAAAAAAAAAAAAAAAAAAACCGCGCTGTCCGCGTGGTTCCGAGCGGCCGATGCCGTGACGGACAACCAAGCCGCGATGCAATAGATTTAAATTAGACCCCCTGCGACCGACCAGAGATGCAAAGGGAAACGGAAACATCACCCGCGTTCGGGTAGGATCCGCTCTCTTTTACAATTATGGCATCGGGCGAAGACAGCAAACTCCGTATCCAGACCTTGGAAGAGCCGCTCAAGCCAGCACAAGCGCGAGTCGAACAAGCACAAGCCAGAGCCGACCAGGCAGAGAAGCAGCTCGCCGAGACGATGTTTTCCGACTTTCTCCACATCTGCCACACCGACGTCTTCTTGCAGATCAAGGTGCAGAGAAACTCACTCCTCGCGACCACGGGCGGGCTATCGCACGTCAATGGCAAATACTACCCTCACCACCTGAAGCCGTGGTCGGTGTTCGACTCCCTAGGATGGGGAGCCTTTGCCCTCTTGCGGACAGCATTCGGCCAGCAAGAACTATTCCCCCCCCCCCCCCGGCCCTCCGGGGTGGCTTGGAGTACCTCGCGAGCAAATATTGGCTGATAAGAAGCTGGCTAGCGAGGAAGACCTGGAAAAATTTGAGTGTCTGGCCGTGGAAGGATGCGATCTCGACGTTATCCCGCGATTCCTCGAGCTTGTCGAGCAGGGCGATGCCGCTTCTCCTAGGATAAATAGCAGTGGCAATAAAAACCCGACTATCGCCCATGTTTCATTCAACAACTACCCCTTTGATGTGACTGCTACTGATTCTGATGAGGGAGAAACCGGCGAGTCTGGTTCGGAACCGGAAAGCGATGGAGCGGCCTCGTCTCAGCAACCGGAGTGGGGCCTGTAATCTTCCAGCTCTTGTAGTGGCTGTAACCGTGTCAGGTTAGTTTCTGATTCCACCGAGCCCACCCCCGTAACTGCCCGGGGCTGCGGGAGAGCGACGAACTGGGGTTGCCACAAGTGCAGCGCCAAAGAAACAGCAAAAGCAATGGTGAAGAAGATGGCGGCTCCCTTGTTCGGGGCGTAGAGGTAGACGCTACCCGGCACTATCGACAGTGTTAGAGTAACCCGCTTCCCGAGGCTGCCCAGCATGGCGGGCATGGGGAGGTTGGACCGCACCTATCTCTCCGGACGACATGGTAAATTGGTATGCAACGTCACGCCTCCCATGTTCAATAACACACACAACCATTCACAAGGGCTCTTTAAATAAAAGGTCAATCCTGTTCCTCTGGGAGGATTTGACTCAAGACGACCTGGCCATTTCCTAGACCATGTCATAGCGTACCGGATGCGTTGGGCTCACCCAATCGTATGCTCGCCAATCCGGGCTTGCAAGCTCACATTGTACTTGGGCTGTGTAACCTGAGCCACCAAGAGCATGGAATATGCAGGACGACACTTCCCCGCGTAGTATTGGCAGGGTTCCAGGTCCAGCACATTCTGGCAGAAAATGATGCAGCAAACTTGAGCTTGAAGGAGCTCATTGATGCCCAACATGTCCTATTCTTCCCAATGAGAATTGGTTGCCTCGATGTACATTAAGTTTTCTAGTCGGGCTATGTTGTCTTGTGCTTTTCACGAGACAGGGCACCCTTTCGCGCTCACCACACATTCCACGGTCCTAGAGGAACCCCCTTGGTTCTACATACTGCTCGGATGAGATATTACAATATTCTCCGGCAGGCTCGTTCGGGAGAACTGTCTTGGGTTACAATATGTACTGGCGAGGGATACAACTAGATGCACAAGCTAGGTACTTAGGGGTGAATATTAGGAGCTGGATCTAGATTTACGATACGGTTCTATTCGCTGGGCAAGGGTCGCTGGTGATGCGCCTTATCATCGCATTGGTATAAGTCCGTAAATTACCAGTCTGCCCTTCGAAGCAACGCGGCTTTTTGGCTATTAGCAAAAGATTCCCGTCTTGAAGACCATCATTTCCATGTTGGGATTTATCTCGACCACACATATATTTTGGATTGTAATACGCCCTCCCCCCCTTCTTTGCCCTTTCCCAACTTCTCCTCTTTTGCCAGCATCAAAGAACAATCATCCAGCTATCGAACGCTTCCCCAGCCAAAATATGGGTGTTAGCAAAGGCCGCGAAACACCTGCCGTGGACAACTGGACATGCATTCTCATCTGCCTGGCCACGTCTATGGCCAATTACCAGTATGGCTATGACACGGTGACGATTGGCGGGTTTCAGGTAAGTAACGATCTCGATTGACATCATAGAAGGACCCTTTCGTTGACGAGGTTTTCTGACACGAGAGTGAAATAGGCTATGGTGGGATTTCTCAAAGTGTACGGATACAAGGACGAGACGAGTCGACTTGGTTGGAACATTGGTACAGTACTGCAGCAACTAATCAGCTCGTTCCTGAATATCGGGACCATCATTGAGGTACTTCTCACGGCTATGTGGGGGAAGCGCTTCGGGAGGAGGCCATCGATATGGCTCGCGTCTCTGATAACATGTGTTGCGGCGGGTGTCCAGGTGGGGACGACTAATCTTGTCGGACTTTACTTTGGACGCATCCTCATAGGGGTTTCCAACGGGTTTTACGTTACCTTTGCCAACGCGTACACGACCGAAGTCAGGCCGGCCCATCTCCGCGGCGCCATTGTGTCCTTTTTCAGCATATGGGTTACTCTTGGTAGTCTGCTGGGGGCTGTCGCCAATAACTTCTCGAAAGACCTCACGAGCAAGCTCTCCTACCAGATCCCCCTGGCAGGTCTCTTTGTCATCCCAGTCTTCCTGTCCACGGCAGTTTTCTTTGTACCAGAATTCTCCTCGGTGGCTTCTGGTGCAGAATAGACCGAAGGAGGCTAAGGATGCGCTACGAAAGGGGCAGATCGTTTCACGGATTCCCCGAACTCCTGGAAGAGGAGTTTCAAGAGATGAAAAAAGGAATTGAGGAAGAAAGAGAGCTGGCATCTAACTCGTCACTCAGAGATATGTTCCGTGGAACCGATTTATGTCGCACCTTGACTCTGCTTTTCGGTCATTCTGTCTCATACCTCCTCGGGAATTTGGCTCGTCATAGCCTACAGGGTAAACATTGCTTTTCCATATCAGGTTCTCACTATCTAACGTTTGCCTACTAGACGTTCTTTTTCCAAATGGCTGGCGAAAATCGGCCGTTTGTAGCCAGTATCCTCCAAAATGTCACGTCTCTAGTTGGAGTCATCATTGGCATTTTCCTCACCCAAAATGTCGTGGGGCGCAGGTCGATGATGATGGTTGGCCATTCGACGGCAGCTCTGTTCATGCTCGGCATTGGTATCGCGGACACGGTAGCACCGCAGAGTGCTCCGGCCGGAAAAGCCATCATTGCGTGCGCTCTCCTCTACAAGGCCTTTTACAACGGATTCTCATGCGCCCTCAGCTGGCCAATTAGTTCAGAGCTGGCTAGCTCCAGACTTAGAGTCCTCACCATAGGCACCGGGACCGGCGTGAACTACGTATTTGCATGTAGTAATAAGTCTTGATCTACCTTTGCTGAAGAACATACGCTAACTGGGAAACGAGATCAAGGCTCACTTCGTTTACTGCACCGTATTTTATCAACAAGGAAAACCTAAACTGGGGCGCCAGGTACGCCTACATATGGGCAGGATCCGACTTCGCAACATTTGGTCAGTTCTGCAGAGTCTCCTCATTAAAAAAAAAATCTCACCGCCCCTATTTGCAGTATTTTTCTACTTTTTCTTGCCTGAGCTAAAAGGTCGGACACTTGAAGAATCAGACGAGCTTTTCTAGAATCGTGTTTCCGTTCGCGATTTCCCTTACTACCAGTGTGTATCTTCGGAGAATGCCAAACAGGTGGCCATTCAAGCAATGGAGGGAAAGGTGGAGCAGGTCGAGAGGGTAGACGAAAGGAAACTGGAAGTCTAGTTGTTGCAGAAGGTATTACACTCTCATCTGGAAACTGGCTGCTGCATTGAGCTTAATTGGGGCCTACCGCGGGTGTAGAGTGTGTATCTCGACAGTGCCAGTCTACAACTATTAAAGTGCTTTTGCTATGTTAGTGTCCCCAGCCAGAGGCCCGTGACGGTCTAGGTCGATCGCGTATGTATGGTGAATGTGACGAATCGTGTCTGAAGGATAGAAGCCGGCTTGGATTGAGACCCAATTTTAGACAGATGCATCGAATGCGTGATTTAGAAAGCTACTAGATGACCCCCGAGGAAGCGATGGCAAGATATCGCTCTCGCGATCGGCCGGAGGTAAGAGCAGCCCCATGACCCCCTCGTCACTCACAATTGAACGTTAACCCCGAACGAATGTCCCCGTAATCTACAAATAAATGTTCAGAAATCTCAAGCACAGCCACCCGGGACGGCGCCCATCATCCGGGACAACCCCGCTCCCATTGGTCCAAATGGCTTTGAGACACCCTCCGATGCGAATTCATCATTTCTCCGCAGATGATGAATACCATCCCACATGGGGCTCGCGCCGAGTAGGCCGAATACCGAACTTCAGCATTATAAATCACGGCGCCAGTTACATAAATAGAATTACGATAGGAAATCATTCCTTTTGTCTTGTTTAGTTCTGACAGCGTCCCTTGCAGGAACTGGGATGTGGGGATCCCATCGGCTGCCATCCGTATCGTGGGGGACTTTGCTGGCATCATCCGGGTTTCATATGATGCGAGACTGTTTGTAAATGATATGATCGAAAGTTCACACCCAGGGTCTTGATTGCAAGATAGGGTCTCCAGTCAAAAGATTTATATATACATCTCGGTCGAACTAATTAGATACACCCTGCCTCGTGGAAGCTACATTCATCGTGTTCCCGGATACAAGCGTCATCGCAACCTTAAAGCACAAGTTAACAATTCAATTACTTGATCTCCATGTCCTCCACAACTGTCGTAACGGAGACGGCCCCCGTCAAGTTGGCTTTGGCCTTTGATGCCAAGATTCATGACCAGGTATTGATCCCACATGAACAGAATACGCATGCTAACTACTAACCATTTCTCCAGTATAAATACACAGACTACCTTCCAGTGTACGATGAGGAGACTCGCTTCCCACCACTACAGCCATTCGAGTTCAATGATCGCGGTCTCGTCGCGGATAAGCAGAAGCCGAATCTTTTTTCCAAGAGCAACGCAGATTTGAAGGTCGACAAACTCACGCCTGTCATCGGGACTGAGATTCGCGGGCTGCAATTGTCCGAACTCGATGATCGCCAAAAAGATGAGCTTGCGCTCCTGATCGCCGAACGCGGGGTTGTCATATTCCGCGACCAAAACTTCAAGGACGTCGGCGTGGAACGTCAGAAAGAGTTTGCCCGTTATTTTGGCCCTCTGCATGTCCACGTAAGCTTCGGGTCGTCCTCCAAATGCGAGACATTCGTTAACAATCTTCTATAGCCCGTTGGTGCCCATGTGAAGGATAATCTAGAGTTCCACAACATTTACCTTGGACCCGACAATGAATACCGGGCCAGGTTTCACGACAACAGGCTGACCACTACCGGTTACCATTCGGATGTTTCCTATGAACACCAACCGCCAGGCATCACACTCCTAACTCTTCTGTCTGTCCCACCAACGGGCGGTGATACGGCTTGGGCATCTCACACAGCGGCATATGCACGTCTTTCTCAGCCCATCAAGACATTGCTCGAAGGCTTGCGCGCCGAGCACAGTGGGTTTCCCCAAGCCGAAAATGCGAGGCGAGATGGAAAATTCGTGCGAAGAGAACCCGTCAAGACGGAGCATCCCATCGTTAGGATCCACCCAGTAAGTTTACTCTCCTATTGGCTTGGGTAGTCACTCCTTCTAACGGCCATTCTATAGGCTACTGGGCAGAAGGCTCTGTTTGTCAACCCCGGGTTCACTAAGCGGATCATTGGCCTAAAGAATGAGGAGTCAGATGCATTGTTGCAGCTTCTATTCAAGGTAAGGATCACGGTTCTCATAGATGTCTAACTCTGGGTAATAACTTGAATGATCATAGCACATTACCTATGGACAGGACTTCCAAGTTCGTATCAGATGGGAAGAAGGAACAGTGGCTCTTTGGGACAACCGCGTCACTTCCCACACGGCTATCTCTGACTACAATGTTCACAATCCACAGGAAGGTCTGCGCCATGGTGTCAGACTCACCACCTTGGCTGACAAGCCCACGGGCGTGAATGGACTCCAGTCAGTGTGGGAATAAATCATATGTACGACGCGCCGTCCGTCCAATTGGTATGGGCGAAAAGAAACTGATTTTTTGAGCCAAATCACACTCAGAAATGAAATCTGGACATTTGCACAAGCGTTCATAAATGTGTTGTGAGCTGAGTAGATAGAAGATGAGAATACGTCCAGTCCCTAAGAAATAGTTTCAACCGCTGCTTAAATGGCTTATTGCCATGTTTTGAGCAAGAAGATGGAATAAAAAAAAATAAAAAATAAAAAATAAAATAAAATAAAAGCAAACCCAAAAAGAAAATTGGAAAAATGGGGGAAAAAAACATACAACACCAGGGATTCGCTGGTCATCATCGGCCCAACTACTAGTCCAGCGCTTCGTCGCTTGTGTACAGGGGAGCGGACGGAACCCTCAACATTCCTATGAGTCTATGTCGCTTGTGCAAAGGATGCTGGAGATGGAAGCTTGTGGGCCCTGATCCAGAAAATGAGATGCTCGCCTTTCCGGCAGCCGTAGGTTAGGGTCGTTAACTAAACGTTACGCCTTGTTGTCTGCTCCCGTTTTGAGAAACGGATCACCAACGATTTTCCAAACTTTGGGAACCAAAATGGCCCCATCGGCTCTACTTGGAGGGGTGTTGGACCCGCATATCCGGTATGTGCCCCCCACCTTGCCACCCAACCGCCCTGGCCCAAACGAATTTCCGGGCATACGTTCTCTCCCCAAATCTGTATTCAACCTCCAAGGTCCTGGTTTATGACTCTACATCTTGGCCGCCCCAGCATCCTGGCATCTGGCAGCTCGAACAGAAGAGCGGGAGGAAAACGGATCTCGGTAGAATGAATCAACTTACGACATGTATTGACCGCTTAAACTATTTCAAAGAGAGATTTCAACTCAACTCCCCCACTGGCCTCTTCTCCTTCAGTACGAACATGCCCGCAAACCAGCCACAAGCCCTGTTTAACCTCCTCCCATGCCGCCTCGCCACGACAAACGGAATCTTACCCCCTGGATGTGGCTCGTGGATCTGAATCGGCCGCTCCAGGTCCAGCCCCGTCGGCCGGAACTGCCACACCGAGCCGTACAGCTTCGTGGCCGCGAAGCCCGTCGACGTTAGCGCGTGAAGGAAGTCGGTCCATGCTACCTCGCCGGGCGTGGACGTCGTCGACGGGTTGAAGAAGAGGGTCCGAAAGACCTTGAGGGCCCGGGCGTCGACGGCAAAGGTCGGCTGCGGGTCGACCGGGTTGGCTTCGGGGGATGTCGGGTCGTTTCCGGATTGCAGGGTCGGGGCGGTTGATGAAGAGGTGCCTTTGGTCTTGATCTTGGTCTTTCCTTGTGCCGGAGTGAAGGATGTCTTGTCGGGGTGGTGGTGGTTGTGGCCCAGTTTGCCGAAGTAGAAGGCCGAGAGGGGCTTGGTGAGGAAATCGAGATCTGCATCTGCGGTCGAGACCGGTTGCTTCGACTTGGTTGTGTCGGTGGTCTCCTTTGATGATTTTCGAGGCGGCTCGACCCACTCTGGGGTTCTTTGCAGCACACGATCTTGGGATAGCAGGTGACCGAGAGCCGTGCCCTTCAGGTTGCCTGCCTTAGAGTAGAGACACTTGTCGATAGCGGCCCAGAAGTCATCTAAGTTAGCCTCGGCCCGCCTCAAGGCCTCCACGTTCTCCTTTGTCCTGCGCTTATCGATGGGATAGGCATACCTCCCATCTGCCATGTCCCCGAAGCCTATCTTCTTGTTATCCTGGAAATCTACGGCCTTTAAAATAGGCACGGCCCTCTTCTGGAAATTGCCCCACTCCTTTTCAATCTTCTCCTGGTGATCGACTGCCGCGTTGTCAAAGCTGTTTGCCCACGGCTGGTAGTTCTCAAGCTGTCGCGTGCACTCGGTCAAGACGGACAGAAAGCCTATCGTGTAGGCAATGAATGACGAGACTTGGTTCTTCACCAGCGGCTCTGATTCGATGAGACGATTCAGCTCATCGACTACCGTTGTCAGCTTGAGCAGGAAAAGGTCTCGACCGTCTTCCCAGATGATGGAAAGCATCCTCCAAAGGTCGTCTCGCGCTCTGTCCATCTTGGTCTTGCCCGGGCTCGGAATGCCTTGGAGCTCAACCGCTGCCGATAGACCATCCCCACCAATGCGTCTCCAGAAATTGCGGACCGGCGGCGATGGGGGAAAGCTTTGACTCAATCTCTTCTGCGGCCCTTTTGCTGTTTGGCTAAGGAAGTATCTGAATTTGAGGATGGCGTAGAGATACTCATCGGGTAGATCCTTCATCGGGGATATGGACTGACCGTATTTGGCGTGGAGAGCGCGAAGCTGCTTGGCTCGTTCGTGAAGCTCGGAAATGGCCTCCAATTGGTAAAATGACCTGGTGAGCATGCCCGAAATGCAACGGATCCAGAGGGTATCGGCATAGGGCTTGTCTAAGACTGGATGCTTCTTCCCCTTGCTGTCGAGAACCTGTTCCTGGCGATGTTCCCTGTGGTCGGCCAGTGTGTCGATGAGATAGCCAGGATCCTCACGTAGCGCCCAGAGGTGGTCTTCAGTAGCGGAAAGCCTGGCTGCAAGGAGCGATTCGACCCGTTCGAGATCAATTCTGGCAGGAAGTCTGTACGGTGCTTCGGCTGCCATAACGGCTAGAGACTCAAAGCCGTTCACCTCGACCTCACTCTTAAGCGTCGGTTCGGCTAAGACGGGAAACTTGGCGTCGTTCACGAGGTCCTCTTTGGGTATGTCGTGCAGAATCTGCCTACAGCACTTCACAAGAAATGCCATCAGGCGCTGCTGAGCCTCGAGTATCAGAAGGCCTTCTCCAGGCATGTATTGCTTTCGCCTAAGGCACCAGGTCGCAGCATCCTCATCCTCATCCCAGGCAACAAGCCGGCCGTAATCCTCATCCTTGGTGATGCCGTTCAGCATCATCGTCCACTCGTTGAGGAAAATTGGAACAATCGCTCCGCACACGTGGCCAACATGCATCGCTTCCCCATCAACGCCCGCAAAAGCCCGACGGAGGATGACGGGCCCGGGCATTGAGCAGCAGCGGCAGGGTTTTCGCCCCGCTCAGGTCTTCCTGGTTGATATACGGCCACAGGAACGAATCTCGGTACCTGGTCCCACCATCAGCAACGCGCTGCTGCGGACTTTCCTTCTTGAAGGCGTCGAAATCCGGTCGGTGTACGGCCGCCATCTTGGAGCCCCAAGCCGGTACGATGATGGCGAGGCGTTGCTTGGTGCCTTTCTTGGCCCATCGACGCTGAATGGTCGCCTCATGACGGCTGACGATATCGTGCAGCAAGTGGTAGTTCTCAATGATGCTTCTGGACCGAGTTCGAGCCAATGCACGGGCTTCTTCAGGGGGTGCAGGTCTTGGGTATCGGGAGGCCAGGACCTTGGAGTAGGTGCATGAAGCTGGCTGGGTCATTGAAGTCTATGCCGGAGAGATCAGGGCCCCCGCCATCAGAGGCAGAATCCCCTGGACCGAAGGGGTCGAATTGAAATCTGCGATCCATCTCGTGTGAGATGGGCGCAAGGAAGTTTGGGTGTGGAAATGTGAAATTGGCGAAAGCTTCATTGTTGGTACAATTATTGTTAAGGCTCGAAAGTGGGGAACATTACTTCGTACTGTGCAGTCATTTGTGTCTGAATTTTTGGTTGCTTGTAATCTACTGTGCAGATCTTGGACCGGATACGCTTGATCGGACAGCGCAAATATCGTCGAATGTCACAAGAATTCCCAAAAATACCACTGTACGAAGTAAAACAGGCCTTTTTAGACGGCAGCGGGTCTTCCGAAGTCGCAGCATAGAAAGGGAAAGGGAAACGTTTTGGGAATGGGAATTGGTTTCGGCCAGGGTTTGTGACATAGAAACTGTTTCGGCAGGGAAGAAATTACTGAATGGGATAATTTCCATGGAATTGGCCCGCTCTTTCCAACATAAAATGGAAGGCAGTTCGACTGTTTACTAAAGGACGAAATCTCATGTAAATGGTCAGATTTCCGACATCGGTGGCATACAGCTCTAGAAGGCTTGTTTCAGCCACCGTTATAGTTCTTTTATTATATCTGACCGTTCCACGCTGGTGATGAACCCAAATTTAGGAAGGAACCAAGGACCTAACGCTTCCCCCATTTTGGAATCAGTTTAGATAGATAAACAAATAGCAACCTTCCCCCCGTTTTCCAATAAATAGTGTCTATTTTAATTATCGTATCCAGGTCTCCTGCTGTCTTTAAACCCGTGCGAAAAATCCCTAGCCGTCCTCGGGAGGGATACTATCCCGTATATGACGCTTAATTGAGTCATGGAGCACAAGAGGCGGGGTAGAATCCTAAGAAAGCATCCAAGGATGTGTGCCCGCTTGTGGTCAGTCCTCGTCCAAGAGCAACCCCAGAGCCATGTCATAATCTGACGTCCGGGTATGGCGACGTTACTAGAGATTCCACACGAGCTGCGCCAAATCATACTGACCCTTGCAATCTGGAACCCGGAACCTCCGCCCAAGTGTCCCCAAGAGTCCCGAGATCGTATGCGCCTCCGAGACGACTGGGGCGTCTGGGTTCTTATCAGTGAGCGCGAACCAAGTGCCGTGTCGCTGCTCCTAGCGTGCCGGACTTTGCACGATGATGTCGTGGATCTCCTCGCGTCACAAAACGCTGCTCACGTGTATGAGCTGGACGTCATGCTCATTCCTGGGTGTGGTCTGTTGCCGACGTGGACATGCTGCCCACCTCCGAGCCAAGTTCAGATCAACACAATTAACGTGAACTTCCGGATCTTCGACGATGAAGACGGGTTATCTAAGAGATTCGGAGGGCACAGCTCTTTTGAGGTCTCCAGAACCTACCCGAATCCCCCGCATAGCGCCTGGAACTTTTATCGCCTGCTCGCCTCATTCCTCGCGTTGGGGCCACAGGCATTGTCTAGCCCCGCGTGGCAGCTAAGCCACCACGGCTCCCTATCGACATGCAGATTCACAATTCGGCATCTCGTAATCAGCATCACATCTAACCAAAGAACAGAACTGGATGAGCTCAGCGACCTCGAGGACTCTTTTTGGAACCCACTGCCCCTTTATAACCATGATTACACAACCCCTTACGGGGTTCCCGATGAGCTTAGAATATTCCCCGGGCCAGGTGAGGAATCTCCGTACTCCTGGCCCCGCACTACGAACCAGTGGAATGTCAGTTCAGCACTCGAAGAGCGCTTGGGTTTCTACCTTGCCAACGCCTTCTGGGCTTTACTAGACTTTGGGTGGCTGTCCCGGGGATTTGGCCTTATAGTCTATGAGGGTATTCTCGATGATATTGAGATTTGGGTTGATGGAGAAAGGCGCGTGAGGTATGATTTAGACGACCTACTATCGCATCTGCCCGGCATAGATTCCAATCCCGAGGATATGGCAGCTCTTATGCGGTGGAGCGAGTGGGTGAAAAAGTGGAGGAATAAAAGTCGGGAGGGGGTTTTGTTTATAGAACCCCGGCCATCTTGGCCGTTTACCAGGTATCGGCCACACAATCCTATTGACTGGGAGTTTGGCGACGGTGTCTCTGAATATCTTCATCCCTAGATGCAAAATAGCGACTATCGGGATCATAAACAATCGACTTATTATATGACCAAGCAGCGCCCCTTGACCCATAAGATACCATTGCATAGCATTGCCTATTTACCCCTGTCACGGGCCGACCTTGATGCAGGCCCAGGGCAGTAACATACAGCAAATAAGAAACCATCTAGCAGCTCGGGCGGTCTTGTACTATCGCTACTTAGCCAAAGAAATAAAATCGAACAGATATCAACCGTATCACTACACGTCCCAAAAGGCTTAAAACGAGCACTCCTAGGACAGTAGTGCTTGTTCTCATGAGGTTGGCTTATCAGCTAGACACAAATTGGGTTACCGTAGCCTCCCGTTAAGTATATGATCGGATCTCCAGGTAACATGATCTCGGAATTGCCATTGCGTTGACCTCTTCACGTAACCCATTTTGAAGGCCGGATCCTTGAATCGGACATGACAAGCTTGTTGCTACGCTCCCTGCGCTAACTTTTAATATTTAACCAGTCCGCTCCTTAATCTTGCGGCTTGGGCTCATTCTCGGGGTTCATTCGGCTGGGCGAGTTTCGGGTGTGCGTCATCCATTCGCATTATTCCGCCATGCGGACCCTGTTCCCAACACCACAGTCGGGCCATCCACCAGCATTCCGGCACCCTTGATGCAGCCCGGCCGATCCAATTAAGTTCGTCCGACGCAAAATCGGGGGCTTGGCGCGGGTGACAGTCGGTTGCGTATTGCGGCACCCCACGTAAAACCAAGGAAGCTTCTCCGCGGACGGATCACGCAACGTAACCATTCAGATGGTGAGTACTATTACTGCCAATATTGCTACTACTACCCAAAAAGACTGGATTAGGAGCATGCGGTGGAACGATGGGGGTCATTAAAATTAAATATGACAAGTTAAGCCCACTCTATAGAGCTCCGACACCAGGTGAGCCCCTCGGCGGAGGAGGGTAACATATTGCACAAAACATTAGCATTCTAACATCATCTACAGGGAGATGCCGGCTAGTCAAAGTGGAAGCAGCTATCGGGGACAGAATGACATGCTCTGGTCACCTCGGGGGATTATAAGAGGCAGTCGAGGCAGTGACTTACCGAGTGATTTGGAGGAAGGAGACCCGACATCATCCCGACTACCCCAAAAAGCTGCAACATAATGGCGAAAGAGAAACAAGAGGCGGCCTCTATCAACACCTCCACGGCGATTGACTACAGCCCCAAGTCGACCGGCGAGAAAACCCAAAATTCAGACACTGAGAACAGTGAAGAGATCCGCCAGCGCATCCTTGCAGAACAGGTCCTCGGTAATCCAAAGCGACCCGAGACCAATATTGCAAGTCTTTGGCGGCGCCAAAGAGGAAACCACAAGCCAGAGGATATTGCCACTCAGCCTTCAGTTTTCGATGATCCAGAGCTCGCCAAGTACTTCCAACCGAGTGAAAAATATGAGAACCGTCATCGATTTGATCCATCTTTCCGATGGACCTGGGCCGAAGAGATACCTCTTGTTCGGAGAATAGATTGGAAGGTCACAGCCTGGTCCTGCCTTGCGTTCTTCGCTCTTGACCTGGACCGAAGTAATATCAGCCAGGCCAATACGGACAATTTCCTTGACGACCTGGGATTGGACACCAACGATTACAATCTCGGCCAGACTGTCTTTCGAATATCCTTTTTGCTGGCTGAGCTTCCAAGCCAGCTTGTTAGCAAAAAAATAGGACCGTTAGTGGCACCCCTCGATTGAACCCTCTCTGTAGCTCAATACTAATTGTAATGGCTGAACAGTGATCGGTGGATTCCAGCCCAGATGATCCTGTGGAGCATCGTCAGTGGGGGACAGTTTTGGCTGAAAGGCCGCTCCTCGTTTCTTGCCACGAGAGCTCTTATTGGCCTGCTTCAAGGCGGATTTATCCCCGATGTGATCTTGGTTCGTCGTGCCCAGCTGACCTCCGACTACTTTCACAGAACTAATCACCCATGCGCCAGTACATGTCTTATTTCTTCAAGGGAACAGAGCTGCCCTTCCGCCTCGCGCTATTCTGGATGGCAAATCGGCTGACCGACGTGGTCGCACCGCTGTTGGCGTACGGGCTCTTACGGCTGAGGGGATATCACGGATATGAAGGATGGCGATGGTGAGCCGCTTCAGGAATGCTGCTGAAAACATGCCATCTAACAAAATTGTGTATAGGCTGTTCCTTTTGGAGGGCATACTCACTTTCGTGATCGGCGTATGGTCAGTATTTGCAATGGCCCCATCCCCAACTCAAACCAGAGCGCTATGGCGTCCAAAGGGGTGGTTTACAGAGCGAGAAGAAAAGATCATGGTGAACCGGATTCTCCGCGACGATCCTTCGAAGAGCGACATGCACAACCGTCAAGCCATCACACTGAAGCTTCTCTGGGAGTCCCTCTGTGACTATGACCTGTGGCCTATATATATTATAGGCTTGACATTCTCCATACCGGCAGGGCCCCCGGATCAATATTTGACCTTGACTCTTCGACAACTCGGATTTGATACATTCGAGTCCAATTTGCTGAGTATTCCTTGTCAAGTTGCCACGACCGCCAATGTACGATCTATCACACACGTGGTACTTATGAGCCAATATTTGAGTGCTAACGCATCATTCTGCAGATGCTTCTCCTCACGTTCATTTCAGAGCGGATAAATCAACGTGCTCTGCTTGGAATCTTTGTCGAAATATGGTTCCTCCCCTGCGTCATCGCCCTTGCGCTACTCCCATCCGGCATCAACAGATGGGCGGCCTATGCCGTAGTGACTGTCTTGTTGTCTTATCCATCACCACACCCAATGCAAGTTGGATGGTGCAGTCGAAACTCCAATACCGTGCGCACCCGAACTGTCTCAGCAGCAGTGTACAACATGCTTGTTCAAGTGCAGTCCATCATTAGCTCCAACATTTACCGTAAGGACGATCGACCAGAGTATCGACGCGGAAACCGCGTTTTGATTGGCATCGCCGCTATGAATATTGTGGTTTATGCGAGTGTCAAGCTGTACTATGTGTGGCGCAATAAGTCTCGGGACAGAGTGTGGAACGTCATGTCAACCGAGGAGAGGCAGACGTATCTAGATACCACGACAGACAAAGGAAGTAAAAGGTTGGATTTCAGGTTTGCAAGCTGAGGGACAAGAAGGACAGATACGCGGGCAGATCCAGCAGCAGTCAACTTACATACCTGCACTACGCGGCCAATTGAACGGCTTACAATGTGAAACGGCAGCCAGATAGTCGGTCAGAAATCAACTCATCTTCCCATCCTTATGCCTCCCATACAGGCGGTCCTGGAGCAGTGTAGCTAGTTCTCGGAGGTGAATACGGCCAGAGTAGCCCGGGATCGTTTGCCTTGTATGCCCCCGGGAATGCAACCAATGGCCCTGGCGTACCGTCTCCGCCTCCTGTAACCTCGACTTGTCCGCAACTAATGTAGAACTGGGCACCTCCAGGATTTTGTGCAAGATGAAGGGCAATACTCTCGACACGGACGAGATATTTGCCACTCGGCAAACTAGTAGGTACCGTAAAGCTCACTTCGGTCTTGCCTGGAGGCGTTATCAAGAAAAGCTGTCAGTTCATGTAACAGCAGAACAGTGGTGTGGGAGGGAACCTCCTTACGATAGGCAGGCCAAGCCTTTTCATCGCCACCAAGCGGGCCGTTGCCTTCCACGGCACTGATACTCCCAACCTTGAACCAAACGTCGCCATCAGCTTCCCATGTGTTTATGTTGGCGTCCTCGGGAACCCTCGCCATGTAAAACTGGCAGGGGCCGAAATGCATGATTCCTGATGACGCCACAAAACCCAGAGTATCGCCGGCTACTACGGTCGTGGTGGCTGTCCCAGGGCTCCCTCCGAAACAGCGAAAATCGGGACTATTCACGTCCGAGACGGCACCATTGTCGCGTGAATTCTGGACTTTAGTACGGCGTACGGAAAGCCAGTCGGCAGTTTCGGGCCGTCCGTTGACAATGAGCCTCGGAAACTTGTCTTAGGTCTTATTAGTGTTAAAAGCCACAAGATTGACGAAGGCATACGACTCACAATGGGCTTGTACTGCTACTACGAGTAGCAGGGTAGATATGAGATAACGCATTCTCTCCCGAAGTCAAAAGATCGATGAGCAGTTGAAAGTGGAACCTCGACTAAACTGCAAGGCGAGATATCAAAGAGGTAAATATCTAATTCACTACATCCATTCGCCCGGAATTGTATAAAGGTAGTCGCGGACTTATCGAATGCCATCTTTAATTCAGTCACTACGAATCGACATTGAGCGAAGAAAATAGATTATTTCGTGTGGCTAATGTGCTTGAGAACACCCATTTCAGATACCAGGCAACGCCAGAAGTAGGGAATCGTGCGTGCATTTAGCCTATCATCCTGTTTTGAAAAGAGCGAATGGCATCAAGGATATAATATCAAGTCGAACCTCCTCAGTCAGGTATCCAGGGGACATTGGAAAGTGAGATCCACTCGCCCGAGACTCGGTTTCTACACGGGGAGTCCATGTTAATACAAGTACAAGTCGAGATTCAGACCGCACAAAGAAAGGAAAGAAGAAGAGAATGAGGGGTGTGCTGTGAGATGGACTCTGGGACAGTTTGCAATTCACCAAATTGGGGAACTCTTCGTTCAACATGCTTCTTTCGTCGCTTTGTCAGTATCAAATGGGCGTTTGGTCTAGGGGTATGACGTCAGTTTTGCATACATTTCAATGCCTACTGAAAGTCGCTGGTTCGATTCCTGCAATGTCCACAATTTACTTTTTTGCCAATACTGGACTTTTCCTAACGAAAGAATTGAGGTAGCGTACCATCCTCAACTGTCTCTGAGAACCACAGGCGTTTTCTTTTACCCTGGATGTTTTCTTTTTTCCCTTTATTTATTATATCTACCTTTTATAGTACCCCGGTGTCCTCACTCCCGACACCAGCGTTCAGCAAAGGGAAAACAAAACAAGACGAAAAATAAACAAAATAAAAATTAAAAGAGCAACAAACCAAGGAAGCTGAAAAGAGAAGAATAGAGGAACAAAAAAAAGAAGAAAAAAAAAGACAAAGTCGAACCGATAGTTGAAAGTGGTCAGTATGAGGGTCGAACTCATGACCTTGGCATTTACTTGATAAGCCGGATAGCTTATTAGTACCACGCTCTAACCAACTGAGCTAACCGACCGCGGTGTGATTGTTGTCGCAGTAGCTTCGAAAGGCTTACCTTGTGTTGTGCAGAGCCCCAGGTGGAGTAACTGCGACAGTGGAGTTGATGGGATGAAGTGTAGAGAGAAAGGCCTAAAGTGCGATGCGCAAGACGTGTGGGCATCTAAGACATTTTGTCGAGGCTGCTCACCAATCTCTCCACGTAATATGCTTTAATACTATGCGTTGAATCGAACAAAGATATCACCGATTACAAACTCGAGCGAGCCCTGGAGCCATCACATTCCCCGCAGGGTAACTAAACGGATGCCATGGGGAGTTAAAGAAAGTTCCCGCCCTGTTTGCCCAACTCTGCATACGTTGAAGCAAGCTCGAGGTTGAATGGCCCTGTGAATTCAAAGGCATCCACGACTTCGTGAGGTGTAAATGGACGGGGATTGTTCAGTGGATTTGAGGCCTACTATATGCGTGCGTCTTTTCCAGTCTAACCTATTGATGGCGCTGGCAGGAAGAGTGAATATTAACAACTCGGAGTCTATCATCATAATAAAGAGTTATATATAGATATAACGCAGTCCACAACTCCATCATCATCAATACCTCAGCTAGAAAGATTATAGTGCATTCTATCTATTAATGTTACTGGATGGGGGAGGATGAGTCTAATAATGTAACTTCTAGGCCGTTAAAGCACTACTAACTCCTTCGCCTTATTATTCCAGAGAGGTGCTTACCTCAATACTTAATCATCAGAGCCCACGCGCAGGGCATGGCAAAACAACCGGAGCCGACGGAGGGCCTACTGTAGTTACTTGGCTCATGAGCGAGGAAGAATCCAGAAGAAAGCGATGCCCGCCCCAAGGTTAAGATACGGCTCTGTAGTGCGACTTGTTTTTTTTTTCTTCAATTTTCGGTATTTTTCTTCTTTTTATACGTCGGAATCGATGTTGGGCATTTTTCGTCAATGCTTGTCTTCTTTCAATCCATATCCAGGGTGATACGGACTGCTCCTTGGGAAATAATGAACCCCGGAGATCTCCAAGCCACAGGATACCCTTGAGAATGCCCCACTGCTGCACCGTAAAGCCTACCTGGGTAGATAGTAAAACCTGCACCATACTCTAGAAGTAAGAATCGACGCCCAATCAAGTTTTCCGTCTAGGTCGGCCTTAATGATCAGGTTGTCGCTCCACACGACGTGTCACTCGGCTTGAAGGTTGACGCGGCGTACTCCGGGACATAAGGAGTCTCTTTATGTTAAATACTCCTTGTCAGCGGAGGGGATGAAGCTTCCTCGAGGGCGGACGAACTTCAATCGCGCGTGTCATGAAGGGTATGTTGCCGTTCTGATTGTTTATCCGGGAAGGTGTTAGAACGAATGTTCCTGCGAAGTAGACTTTTAGGCTGGAAAGCGCTAATTTGGCACGGGAATTCGGCGGCCAAGGAATAATTTTCCAACCAACCCCCCTGCCCCTCCCAATTTCAGCTTATTCAATCCAACGCGGATCATTCCCTGCACGCAAAGGTCGGAATCTGGTCGCATCGCACGTGGCAGGTACTACAGTACATGATTTTTCGGGAGAGAATTAATATCCTCTTGGATTAGCCTCCATCAGATTATGATTCTACTTTGTCACTGCGTGAGTGTCAACGGGCTTCCTCTCTTCAGAATCTTGCTATGCAGACGCCGATATGTATTGTGGTGATGAATCTGGGGAAACTAGACTATCAAAGCTGCAGCTCGAGGGCTGGACGGCTAGAAGACGTGCTCCGGGCCACAATGGAATACTGCACGACCTGGCGTTTTCTGAGCAAAGTTCAGCCATTGTTATGTGCTACTAGCTCTGGACAGATACCAAAGCGACCTGGAATCGTCCCAAGAACCGGGCTTTGCTAGCTCGTCATTCTCCCCAACATCCTTCCCCAGTAGGAACTTAAGCTTACCTAACTACCTCGCTCCCTCTTGACCTAGGAAATCCACCCCTCGCCACCTCATCCTCTCTTGACCGAAGGTATCATCCACCATAGAGCCTAACCAACGGCCAACCTCTTTTCCTCTCACCAATCAAGCATCCTGACGCAGCGGCAGCTTGTCACAAGTCAACTTGTACGAGTGGAACTCTTCGTTTCCAGCCCAGAGACAGCCGACGGTATCCCTAGTCGTGCCGTCGTAGGGGTAGTCGTCGCAGACAGGGCTGCGATACGCCGTAACTGTGTTGACATTTGTCAGAGAACGAATCTTTACTGTCATTCGAGAGGAACATACTGCGGCAGCCCTCAGTAACCTCCAGCAGATCCAGACCGCGGATATTGCTGTTCAGAGGAAGACAGATGTCGGTGAGGGACGGATAGACTAGGCTCATGCCCATGGTGTGGCCTCCCTTGTCGCCGCAGTCGGTGATCCACGACTGGAAGGTCACGACGGGGAACCGGTTGTCAATTGCCGAGCACACCTCCGCGGCGACGGGCGCGGCGCTGGTGTTGGCCCCGAAGAGGACGAGGGCCACTACAGAGGCGAAGGCGGAATGGAAATGCATTCTGTTGGTTGAACTGTTGTTTCTGAAGAGATGTCTTCTGGAGAGGTTGTGGTAGGGAGCTTTTGAGGCTAAGGAGTGAGCGACAGATGGATGAGCTTGTGTCGATAGCTTCAAGATCGGGGCGAAGGGTGGTTGATGAGGGGAGTTTATATACTTCTTAAGACAGACATCATTCATGATGCCAGAGGCAACCAGATGCTCTTGGAAGCGACATTATAATCCCTGATTCGTCGAGTAATTCGTTGCTGAAGACTGGTCGCACCAAGTTCATTGGAATACCTACCTATTGCTACCCGCGATAGTACCTAGGTATTGAAGGGAGTTGACTTGCAGGCTGTGTTGTGAACGACGCTGCGAATGTTGGCGGCGTTTAATTGCACGACGGAGTCAGCCGTAAGTGCTAACTGGCGCCTCCGAATCGGATTTCGACTAGGCCAGTCTGGTTAAAGGGCCTCGCATCAATTAATGTCGAATCGGCCTCAAGTTAACCTCGCACTAACGAGTGGGCTTATCCGGCGGGTGCCAAGGTACTAATTAACGTCGAATCAGGTTTCGACTGGGCCAGTCCAGTGAAAGGGCCTTGCATCAATTAATGTCGAATCAGCCTCAAATCAACATCACACCAACGAGTGGGCTTAATCGGGTATCGGCTTGGCTAGTTTGGTTAAAGGGCCTCACATCAACCTCGCGCCAACAAGTAAGTTTATCAGGCTTGACCTGGTGTGGAGGTAAGGACGCCGAGGTACTAACTAATGTCGAATCGGGTTTCGACTGGGCCAGTCCGGTTAAAGGGCCTCGCATCAATTAATGTCGAATCGGCCCCAGATCAACATCGCACCGACGAGTGGGCTTATTGGGCTTGGCCCGGCGCGGAGGCAAGGACGGTACTAATTAACATCACATGACGTTGCCTCTGCCGCGTCAAGCAAGTGTCCGGCCCAGTTGTTTTCTAGATGGTCTAAGTCTTTTTCTACCGGAATCTCTCATGTTACCTCCAGAGCTGCTGCAAAACTGCCTTCCCTCAGCTACCGATTACCACTACCCACGTTTTGCAGACCAAGACTCTCCTCATCAAAATAGTAGCAAGTCTAGACATGTCTGCCCGCAGTAGCAATCAGCGAGGCAGGCTAAAATGGGCATCCGAGGACGATTTCAACAAGTACCGACAGACCATCACGGCACTGTACCACCAGCACAACATGACCTTGCCTCAAATCATGGCGGCCATGGAGAGCAAATATGGGGTTTCGGCGACGGCGAAGATGTACAGGACGCGCTTCCGTCGCTGGGGACTCTGGAAGCACTCGTCAGAGTCGGTCCCAAATTGCCGGCCCCACGCCTCGGATGAGCTGCAGAACGAGGAGATGGTGTATCGCGCCCTGCGGGGCTACTATGACGGCGCCTTCGCGACGCGGCGGTGGGCATTCGAGGGAGACGGAGACCAGCTAGCTGTCGCGCGCACAGAGCAGGCCATGCGCGCCGGGGAGGAAATCTACAGTCGCTTCCGAGCTGCCGTGTTGATGTTAGAACGGCCGTCGTGTGGCAACAACGGCGGCAAGACGGGCGACTTTGCCCAGGGGGTACGTCTGATGCGCATTTCATTTGCCGAGCTGCCGCGATTTCTGTGTTCTAGCTCAAGTTGCGAACCACCCCTGCTGCCGCTCTGGATGATGTACATCATGGCTCTCTTCCGCGAGGCATCGGTGCGAGACTTTCGGCCTGTCGAGAGGCAGCTGCTCCGACACCTGCACGAACTTACCATGTCGCCTACATATCCTGGACGCCCTCTTCACCCCACAGCCCTTCTCTGGCACGCACTTTGGTTAGGAGTAAAGAGACACAAGTCTTCTGCTCACACAGCCATGGGGCGGCATCACTTGGGCGTGTGCGCAGCCATCGCCGTCGAACGCTTCTCGCAACACATCGGCCCTTTCCACCCTCGGACAGTCGAGCTCCGCGGCCTGGCCATCGGACTAATACATCCTAACGGTGAGGGCAACCCAGACGACAAGACGCCACAGTTCCGTGACCTGCTACACGGCCTCGAGGCCCATCACCCCGTGTACGACCTCCGCCACATCGTGGCCGTGTGCTGCTGGGCCAGCCACTACCGCCACCACGGCGCCAACCAGAACCGCCGCGACATGCTCGAGGAGGGCATCTCCCTGCTCGAGGACGTACTGCGTGACCCCGCCAAAGCGCGCGCCATTGACAAGTATCCTGAGGGCGCGTTCAATATCTATTCGCTGCTGGCCAACATGAGTTGTAGATTGGACCGTTTCGATGTGGCTGAGCGTAGTATCCGCCACGCCACTAGGCTGGCCCGGCGCCATTGGGCCGCAACGGGCGAGAGCGGGGATTTGTTTGAAGGACTAAACGGCCTCGAGGTGATTTTGCGCGCCCGGGGGAAGGTTGCTGATGCTGATGCCGTTCAGGAGGAGCGCAAAAGGCTTGTCCACGATGCGCTGGAGATGGTGGGCGAGAAGGAAGATTCTGTGGAGGGATGATTGTTGGCATCAGTGAAAAGGTGTTTTGGTCGTGGAAGACGTCTCCCGACCCACCAAAGAAAGATAACAATGTCCAGGTGACACCATGCCCTCTCTCTTCTCGCAAATTTTCATACCAGTCAGTAGAGAGGAAGCCACCTGGCCCTGTGTGTCGTGGAAGCGTTGACCGGACACTAAGAAGGGCCTCTTCCTACTTGTCGGGACGGGCTACCCTTTCTCTTAACCAGAACCTCTACTCTGGATCGCAGACAACATGCGGCACAGTTAGCCGTCCAATACCCCAGAAAAAGCGCCAAAAAATAAAAAATTAAAATTAAAATTAAAAATAAAAAATAAAAAAAAGCTTAAGCTAAACGCCCAAGCTTCGCACAACTTGCCATAAAGAAGCCAATCCAAAGGAGTGGGTTGAACCCAGCATACCCGGATCATCGGCGTTGCTGTGAGAGCGGGATCGGCAAGATAAAATCCCAATCTATTTCTAGAATAGTGGATGCTGCGGAATGGGTAAGAACCTGCGCAGCTGGGGCCGATAAACTGATACGTTTGTCTCAATGATGAGTAATACGTTTATTATGGTGCTACCCTACCCTACAGGGCCCTACCTGTGTACTTTTTACTTGTCGTCCCAATTCTTCTTGGCCCATTGGCTGGTCAAGCAAAGACGCTAAAATCCCCTTGTCCCCACACTTCCCCGCAAACCCTTTTCGTGATTCAGAAGCCCCCAGCCAGATTAGGCATCGTCGAATGTTCTCTCCGATTGATGTTGCGTCGCAGCCCTGTACGAAGTACTTCGTACTGGGGCCTGGGCAATCACAATGTTGACCGGTGCATGGGTGAGGGGATGCGGGACCTGTGTAACAATCTCGAATCCTGCTGCTTCCACAAAGCAATTCTTGCTCCTCACATGTTTCCTCTGGCGAATCACAACAAAAAATACCGAGGTACTTCGTACAGGACGTATTGGTGTTAAGAAGACGTGGCCCGCCTCTCGGTCCTTCCTCCTCCGGCCCGCTTCTCGCCCACCAAACAAGGACCATGTCGATCCTTCACCCCTTGCCTCGTCGTTTCCTTGGTCGGCTCGGCCGCACCAAAATTTAGGCCATTTCACAAAAACGCCCCCTTCTTCTTTCTTTCGCTGTTGCTTTCCTTTGTCGACCTTTCCCGAACATCTTCCAAATTAGCCTGAATGAAGCTGTCTCTCTTTGCCTGCAGGTGTCATCTGGACAATATCGGCGTCATCCAGAGTCCCGCAGATTCGGATTCGGGGAACACGATGAATTTTGCAAGGTCGAGGTAATTGGCATTTTTCTTTTCGACGGACGCCAAGATGAAAAAGTCCCATCGATACTTGATCGCCGCTTGCATCGCCTGGGCAGCTCTCTTGTTTCTCTTTCAGTCGGGCGACGACGACTCCTACCACTCTCCGCCACCTCGTCAGCAGACCCAACAGACTCGACCGCAGCTCAATCGACCCGACGCCGCCATCCACGACAATAAACTCCACCACAAACCTCACAATGGCGCTCCGTCGTCCTTTCCCGATTTCTCCATCACAGATCGCCCACTGATGCCTCCGGACGATCCACTCTGTGCCCAGCTCCCCGGCCGCAACTCTAACATCACCCTCATTGTCAAGACAGGCGCAACCGAATCCTTCAGCAAAATCCCCACTCAGCTCCAGACAATCCTGCGATGCGTGCCCGACGTGCTCATATTCTCCGATATGGAGCAGACCATTGCCGGCGTTCGCGTGCGCGACTCTCTCGATACGGTTCTCGACACCGTCAAGCAAACCTCCGACTTTGACCTCTACCGGGCGCAGAGGGAATGTCTGGTAAGCCAGGCCGATTGCACCAGGCACCGCGACAAGGGAAAGGAGGGCTGGAATATGGACAAATACAAGAACATACACATTGCTGAAAAGGCGTACAACTTGCGACCGGGACGCGATTGGTATGTCGTTATCGATGCGGACACGTACCTTTTCTGGACGAGTCTCGTGTCGGTCTTGGGTCGACTTGACCCGTCAGGGAAGCTCTTTCTGGGCAGCATTGCTCACTACAAAGACTTTCCTTTCGCGCACGGCGGCAGCGGCTACGTAATGTCGCGTGGCGCATTGGACGACTTTGTCGGGGAGCACCCGGGTATTGGCAACGCCTATGACCAGCGGGTAACAGAAGAATGCTGCGGAGACTGGATGTTTTCCAAGGCTATGATAGAAACGTCAAATATTGGGGTGACTCAAGCCGTAAGTCTTGGCGTATTATGCCTAGCGATAGACATGTTTTCTTTCCCTTTTTGGGGCAGTCGAGGCTAACTTTAGCTCTGTAGTTCCCTACCATAAATGGGGATAAAGTTTGGAGCATTCCCTTTGGACCCACCCATTGGTGTCAGCCCCTGGCTACGATGCATCACGTCGACAGCGAAGAGATGTCTCTCTTTTGGGAGTTTGAAATCAGGAAATATCTTAGAAGCAGGTCCACCAGTAACGCCGAAGCGAACCCCGTTCTAATACGAGACATGTACGTCGAGTACTTTCTCCCCAAATTCACCGATCTGCGCGAAGACTGGAACAACGTGAGCGAAGACTTCATCTACCTGAACCGCCCGCCGACAGACAACGAGAAGTGGAAAACGGTGCCGATGGAACGAAAGGCCAAGTTTGAAAGACTCGCCCATGTCTCTCTCGAGAACTGCAAAGCAGCCTGCGAGAAAAAGCGCGGATGCTTCCAGTACTCATACCACCCAGAGGGGAAATGCGCCCTCGGCAAGTCGTTCAAGATTGGATACCCGACTAGGCATGAAGAGGATCCGGCGATGCGGCAGACCTCCGGATGGCTGTCGGACAGGATTAAGGATTGGGTCGAAAAGCAAGGGGAGTGTGACACGATCAAATGGCCAGGTATGAAATTACAACAAAATATTTCGACGGGCTTTTGAGGGGTTAATTATGACGTGGATGACCGACGAACCCGAATCCTTGATGCGCCCTCGTATCTATTGGACGTCGACGCGGTCACGGAGAACACCATGAGCTCTAATGCCTGAGAATTGGTGTCGAGGTCGCCTGCAATACGCAAGAGGAGACTCGAACACTAGCATCAGCTTGTATTGGGTGACATCGAGGCGTTTTAAGAAGAAGCCGTCTGGGCACTTCGATTCGTTAGCGATTGAGGGATCCAAACATATCTTACATGGTGGGAAGTGGTAATTATGAATCATGATGAATCCTGTATCTGCTGCTCTTTGGCATATGTATTCTTAATCTCCAAAACTATTACATTGATAATAATAGCATGGTGTTATACCGGACGCTGTTTTGGCCTTTTTCAGCCTGCTTGCCGAAGACGATGTGTGGTCTTGACTCGGGAATCGCTCGCTTCTCGAAATAGGCCCAGCTGCCTTTTTCGTCACGGCATGGCTTGTGCAAAAGTAAACATAGACTTTCATATTCCAGACCTCAGTTTATCTTCCTTCCTTTACAAATCCATGGGTCTCGCGAGACACGTATCTGAGACCTGGACAGTCTCATGTTGATTCTAATGCAAGACAGTTCGACTTTCGACATGATTGATGGGTCAGCGACGCGTCGAGGGCAAGTTCTTTCAAACTCAATAGATCCCGTGCTTTTCCTTACATTAGCGTCTGGGCTGGTAAGCTGGCTATTGTCAATCCACCAAAACTAGAATCTTTTAGATCTGTATCACGACTCTACCTCGATTCTGAAGCATCCCCATCCCCAACCTCCGTGACATCTCTGTCGACCCAAAATGATTGGTTAAAAAATGTACGACGCTGCGAATTTCCCTTCCCATAAATCGAAGCCAGCATTTTGGCGGAGATAGTGGGGGTTATTAGTGCAGCATCGCGTGTCCGTGATATTTGATCTCGGCGAGTTCGGAAGGTGGTCTTGGCGAGAACGGGATCGATGGGACTAATTTAGATACAACACCAATTGATGACATTCCAGAGCACCCACTAAACCTGAAAGAGCAACAGTACCAGGTTCCCCATAAAACAAAATTTGTATCTCCACCTTAACAGCAGTTGATCTTGGTCAATCCCTACCTCAGGAAAAGAAATAAAACGATAGAAAATTAGAAAAAAAAAAAAAAAATCGAATACGTTACAACAGCATCTGATCTTTTTATCTATTTATAAGTAGTGTATTATAGAAACTATTATCCTCTGCCGTACCTCAGTAAGGAACTGCCTAAGGGTAATGCTGGCAGGTCCGAGATGAAGTGTTCGGAAGGTTAACGCAGTGTAAAATTGCTGTATCGTGGATGTACTGGGGGCCTGTGGTACCTTTTTCAGGTGTAGTGATCATCATCTGGAAAAAAGTGGTCATTGATGTTGTATCCAGTCTCATAATTAGCCCGGAGCTAATGTGCGATTTCGTTTCAAAGAGTCCATTGCATCTCCAGTTTCTCCACTCTAATCTAGTTCTACCCTGCCCGTCGTAACCTCGCGTTACTTCCTGGATAAAGATCGCCAGGCCTCGCCGTAATCAACGCCATCATCATGGACTCATGATGCCCCGATTGGCCAGAAACGGTGCGACCACTTCCCGTGCCTTGATCTTTCCGAGATATTTTTAAAACCATGCGCATTAACGAACCAGGGATCAGGGCTCGCCAAGAATATGTTCAGATCAATAAAGACCGCATATAACCAACGCGTTCGTCCGATCTTCGCAATGCATGTAGACCAGCTCTTGCTTCCGGACTCGTCGGGCGGATATTTTGCATTTTCGTGAACTTTGGCCATTGTAGCTGCAGGCTCTCGAGAAAGGCTGACACTCACAATTCACAACCAGGAGCCACCAGTAACGATCTCGTCGACACTATCCGGTTGCTCAAATCACGATGCGTCTTGGTCAAGTCGGCACCGCGTGTCTCTGGCTCGCGGCACAGGCGGGGGCGGCCGCCACCAATTTCTCCTCCAGAGTCGATGAAATCCTTTCCAGGCCGACCTTCGCCGATGCCACCGTCGGGGTCAGAGTCTACGACCTTGAAACGGGCGACATTGTGTATACTCGGAACGAGGATTCCCCGTTGATTCCCGCTTCCAACCAAAAACTCCTTACTTCCGCCGTCGCCCTCTCCAAACTGGGTCTCGACTTCATCTTCGACACTGCGGCGTTCGCAACCTGCGCCGTGAATAGGAACGGCGTGCTTAACGGAGATTTATGGCTGGTCGGGTCAGGCGACCCCTCGCTAACTTCCGAGAGGTTGGCCGATCTAGCGCGGGATCTAGTTGCGCGGACAGGGTTGAAGAGGATTACGGGGAACGTGTATGGGGATGGATCGGTTTTCGATAACAAGTTCCTCGGCGAGGGCTGGTCAGAAGACGACGAGAGCTTTTATTATTCTGCTCAGGTGGCTGGACTCAATACCGATTTGAATGTGGTTAGTGTCACTGTCTCCCCTGGTCCTGCCGAGGGGAGCGCTGCGACTGTGAAAGTAAACGGCGTGCCGGCCGATGAAGAGCTGTACGTGGATATCCAGTCCACTATCGACACTATTGCCGCCGGCGGCCAAAACAGTGGTGTATTTGAACGGCTCCACGGTACCAACACGATTATCCTCGGGGGATCCATTTCGGCGGACAGCGGCCCCATAACCTTTCAAATCACAATCGACAATCCCAATGCGTTTACGGCTTATCGCTTCGCTTTGGCCCTCAACAGAGCCGGCGTGCAGGTCCCGAGGTCCCCAACTAAACCAGGCAAGGCACCCCGCAAAGCCGTGAGGCTGGGAACCTCAAAATCCGAGCCTCTCTCCTCGCTCCTTAAACTGTTTATGAAGCCAAGCGACAACATGTACGGCGAGGCTCTTCTCAAGACCGTTGGACGAGCGGAATATCCCAACCAGCCGGGCAGCAGTGCATCTGGTGTGCAGGTGGTGAAAGCGTTTCTGGAACAGGAGGATATCGACTCTGCTGGCGTGTCGACAGTTGATGGATCCGGCTTGTCAAGTTTGAACACCGTGACTGCACGCTTCATCACTGACCTGCTGGTGCACAATCGGAAAACGTTTACCGGGGAGGAGTGGAATACTTATTTCGACGCGCTTCCCATCGGAGGTGTCGATGGGACGTTGAAGGACCGGTTTGTTGGCTCACCTGTTGCAGGCCATGTGCGGGCGAAGACGGGTTCGTTGACTGGTGTTTCCTCGCTCTCGGGATATCTTTCGGCAGAAGATGGCAAGGAATATGTTTTCTCAATACTGATGAATGGTTTTACTAGTACGACAGAGGCGAGAAAAGCTCAAGATGACATAGTTATAGCGTTGTACTCATGATCGTTCTATCATGGCAAGGGGCACTGCGAAGTGGTCTGTCGGCGCAACTCGCATCTAGACAAAAGTATGAATAGTACACATCTGCAAATGACACTAGTTCAAGTGGTCATCATCGCCGGTTGAAGGTTCCACATCACGAAATAACTGTGATTTAGTGATAGGTGGAGGTTCGAATTGTTAGTAGAGCTATGGTAACGACTTCACTATACCTAGAAGCGGCCGCCTGGTGATGTGATGAAAGTAGAATTAGAAAGTTGTTCTGGATAGGTTGTACTCTTTCTTACGTTTCTTGCCTCAAGGTGTCCGGGACGTTAACTATCATCACACAGGATTTGCACTTGACATTTTCGTAACCAACTGCTCTTCTCGCCACCAACTTCAATATTGGGCGTAATTTCCATCCCCAACAAGCTGTTTTCTTCGACAAGGCTTCGGAGACAAGCGTGAAAATTCAAGCGAAAGTGGCAGCCTTTGCCCCCATGGCGTCGCGATGAGAGGAATAGGCAACCCAGAGTGCGTACAAGAGCTTTATCTATTTCAAAAGTCATGAATGCTTTCCAGTCGGCGCCGGGGGTGGCGATTGTTGTCGAATTGTCAAGCGGTTTGCCATGATCGGCTACTATCGAGCATTTGAGCAGAGCCTTAGGCATGCAGTTGAATCCTCCCGAAGTAGACAGTACAGCTACCTCACAAGGAGGAAATGGAAAGGCGGACAGGAATTCGCACGGATAGATTGGCGGAACCAGATCATTTGGTTGCCCAAGACCGGGTCGACGAGGTACTTCGTAGTACTAATCCTTGGATGATGACCCCGGGGTTATTGGTCTGGTTTAAATACCCCAGAAGGTTGGAATTTTGACCAGGAGCGTAGTGTCGTAATGGACCATCCTTTCACCCATTACCGACAAAATTTAATTCGCTAGACATTGTCTGGCCAAACTTCGTAATGTACCCTGGTGCACTAGGGACCGATGCCGCGAGTCGCGGACCGTGAATCACGGTCGGCTTTTGGTGCTTGTTGCAAGGTGTGGTGGAGAAGCTGAATTGAAGACACGAAGGAGTGGGCTTCGTACTTCCCCGGATGCTCCTTCCTCGTTTAGGTAATGCGCCGTCCAATCACGAGTAACACTCTCGAAGCGAAGCCTGTGCTGCATGGCGTAGGAAGACGTAATTTCTTCATCTTCAGATGTTGGTCTCATACTTGATCGGACGGTAAGTCCACTATTTTGTACACCAACTTTGTCCACGACAAGCCATTAGCTTACTTTGTGCCTTCGTCGGCAGTGAGTCTCTCTCATAAGTCCGTCTCATCATCCTCATCCTCATCCACCACACCCACGCTCCCGCTCGTCTCATGGATGGCTGCCCTTAGCGTGTCGGACAGGGGGTAATAGAATCCATATCATTGGACAAATTACTGCATCCTTCCGATAGTCTTGATGGGGTTACTCCACTCACGACCCCCTATCCTGCTCCCATCCACATCTCTCCCGGTGCCCCATTCACCATAATCCCTACCTTCAGGACCCAAAAGAGATGATGGTTGCATCCAAATTCCGAATTCCCTTGTCATTTGGAAAAAGTAGTGGACCAGACAAGGATATGGAGAATTATCATGGTTGGGGGACCTCCAAGCTGCCAAGGATGACGACCCCCCACTCTTGCCGGGAAGGCATCCCTCTCTCCATATGAGGGCCTCTCTTCCCAACGTGAAAAGGAGGAATCGCGGCGTTGTTCCTTCTCCCAACTGCGAGTTCGCCTCCTTCAAAATGGGCTGGCTCACATACATCTCCGAAAATAAATGGCTGTGGGTAGCCGCCGCTGTCGCCGTCTTCAGCGCTGGCAAGATTCGACAATACTATCGGCTCCGGAAATTCGGGGGCCCCTTTAGCACCGGCATGTCTGAGTTTTGGCACATTCGCGCTCTTTTCAGCTGGAAACCTCACGACAAATACAAGGAAGTGTGCGACAAATACGGTACGAAGATTCTGCATTTCCGATTCCCTGATTCCTCAAATCCTCTGTAGGAGGGTTCGATCGAGAGCGGCTCTCCTTATTTAATATCTACTTTGTAGGCTCCATCGCCCGTATTGGCCCGAACGACCTCGTAACTTCGTCTCCGGAACTTCTCTTCCACATGAACTCGATCCGCTCGCCCTATACCCGTGCCGACTACTACTATCTCGCCACGCGTTTCCAAGCTGGCAAGAACCATGTTTTTAGCGAACTCGACGAAGAAAAGCACAAGCGCCGGAGACAGCAGCTGGCTGCGGGGGTAAGTCTCCTTTCAATCATGGATCAATACGGTCGCCCCTCTTTTGTTTTGAGGATTATATGCCTAATTTGCTTCGCCTTCGCTACAGTATTCTGGCAAGGACAATTCTAGGCTAGAACTATCCATCGACACGCACATCACTGAGTTGATTGACCTCGTCCATAGCAAATACCTGTCTACAGAATCCCGGGCGAACCCATTCGACTTTGCACGCAAGATACAGTACTTCACGCTCGATGTCATCAGCAACATTGGCTTCGGCGAGCCCTTTGGCGACCTACGCGCCGATGCTGACGTCGATACGTTTGTCGAATCCGGAGAGATAGGTCTTGTTGTCAATGCCGTATCCATCGCTCTCGGGCTCACGAAATTCATCCACACTCCCATCATCTTCAAATTCCTCGGTCCTTCTGAGAAGGACAAGGTTGGCTTGGGCAAGTTGGTCGCTAACGCCCGGGCCGTCGTTCAAGACAGGCTCAAGCAAGATACCGAAAAGCGCTCCGACATGATTTCATCTTTCTTCCGTCACGGACTCGCGGAGGAGGATCTCGTATCCGAGACCTGTCTGCAAATCGTTGCAGGTTCCGACACTACCGCCTCTTCGCTTCGTGGAATCATGCTATACCTTTTGACGCATCCTCGTATCTACAACAAGCTCCGGGCTGAAATTGACGCAGCCATTCGAGACGGACTTGCGCCGCCATCTCCTGGGGTCATTTCGGATGCTCAATGTCGGAAATTACCATATATACATGCAGTTATCAAAGAAGCAAATCGATTGCACCCTCCCGTGACGTCACAACTCCCCAAACGTGTTCCCGATGGAGGAGATACCGTTGTCGTCGACGGACAGCCTGTTTTCCTTCCCGGTGGGACGCACATCAGCTGTGCCATCGTGGCTCTTAACAGACGAAAGGATGTATTTGGCGAGGATGCCGACGAGTTCCGACCCGAGCGGTGGCTTCTAGAAACGGACGACGCGAAGCTAGCCCTCATGAATCGAACACACGAGATTATCTTTGGGTATGGGAAAAACCAGTGTCTTGGGAAGGCTATAGCCCTCATGGAAATTAGCAAGGTCCTTTTCGAGGTAGGCTATCGCGAAGATGATCCTTTTTCTTTGTTTTTGAACTTGGTTTTGATCTAACGTCACATTGAAAATACAGCTGATACGGAATTTTGACTGGTCACTGGCCAATCCCGCCGAGCCCTGGACAGAGCACAATTACGCTGGACTTTACTCCCACAAGAATATGTGGGTGCTCGCATCGGAACGTCATCAAGAAACATAAAAGACAGTTTACGAGTATGAATTGCTACCTTGTATTGTAACATGCAGAACCGAGAATGGAGGTGGGTTATGGCTTTCGCAAGGGCATGAAATAGACTCACGGAAGTCTTGTCTTACTTTCGGGACTATTATAGCCTTTGCCAACCTGTAGAATGGCTAGTTAATAAGCTGCAAAGATACGAAACTCTGTTTTCGGACACTTCTCCTAGTCCAAGGTCCCCGAGACTACTGCCAGGAGGAAACAAATGAAATCACCCTAGTCAGAACTTAGAAGGAGCAGTATTGAGATGGAGATGCATGAGATGCTTTCTGTCTTTTCTAACACCGTTTGTCCAGTGAGAATAATACGCCAACATGTGCAACATGTGACAACGGTTACCTGAATTAGAGCTGCAGCAATAATAACAAGGAATTCCTTTTGTTTGTTGTACAAACAGACATGTTATGTAATGGGGACAACAAACGCGATGGAGCAAAGGCAAAACAAGAACCTTTCCAGTAGTAAAAGCAGGTATTGTTGCCTGCCGAACGGTCATAATCCTCTCCACCATCCCTCCCCAGCCATCATCAAGAGGCTAAATCCGTTCCCTCTGCCACGAGTTCCACACTTTAGAAGACTTCAACGCAACACTGCCGCGATGCCTCCAGTCCGCAAGGGAAAACGGGTCCAACTACATAAGGAGCTCGATGCCTTTCTGGATGCCTCGAACACTGACCAAGCCAGCATCGACGCGATTTCGAAATATCTACAATCTCGAGCCGATGAATATGGCACCATCGTGGAAAAGTTGCTTCCCGCCGACGAGATCGAGGAACGCCTGCGGATCGCCCGCAAGATCCAAGCGGAGATTTGGGATGGGATTGACGACGAAAAGCTCAAGGATTTGACTCGATTGACGGTCCTCCAGCTCGCCATCATCATGACTATCCCACTCGAGTATCTCAGACAGAATGTCTCCGACAGCCTACCATTTGATGCGATCCGCCGTCTTGTTCACCTCTGTACGTTGAACGTCCCAATATTTGACCATTCATGCCGACGAACGTTTATTGACTATGTGGTAATCCAGTTCTTCGTGCACCAAGATATTTTGCGTCCGAGGATTATTATTCCCCTCCGCCTGGCGATTCCGGAGCGGAGACAATCCCAGAGAGAGAAATGATCAAACAAAACCGCGATGAGGGATTGGAGGTAGGGTCGAATTATCCCCATGCTAGGCTTCCAGCTAACATCTTTGTTTCTCTAGTGTCGTAAGCGAGATGGGTATGGTTGTGTCCTGGGCACCGACGGTGACGAGGTCTGCCACATCGTTCCATTTGGTCTCAATTCGTCCAAGTCGAGTTTTTACATGACTTCTCGGGCCAAAGCAGCCCACATTCTCCTTCCAGGGCCGGATTCGAAGCGCCGATTCCAAAGCCTCCTCCTAGCCCATCTTGGCTGCTCGGATAAGGTATGGAATATGCTGGATATTGATGAATACATGCAACATGCGTGGGCTAGGGCCAGCTTTGCCCTGAAGTGTGTTGGTGTGGTCCCCGAAACCGAACAAGACTCCGCCGTCCAACTTCAGTTTTACTGGATGCCGAACTCTCAAGCTTTGCCGCATGGCGCCCAGGATCTTGACGCAGGTCAGGGCGAGGGAGAGACGAAGACAGGTGACTCTGCCTGGAAGCGAACTGTTAACCTTGACATGGGCGAAGGTAAAAAGTTGGTGGAGGATTGGAAACAAGGAATTTATCTCAGGGAGCTCGAGGTGTTCGAAACTGGGGATATCGGCTACGCTGAAGGGCACCCGCCCGTGAGTTGCCTCCCTCATTCGGGTGGCATATTTCCGATTATAGTGACTCCTGCCGACGCTGAAAAGATGAAAACCATGCTGGACATCCAATGGGCTTGCATTCAAATCGCCACCATGTCCGGCGCGGCTGGAAGTGCCGAGTTTCTCGCTGACGATACTTTCAACGAGGATGCGAGGCCCGCCGAACTTCGGAACCAACATCAGGTTCATCCGGCCAAGAGGCGCTGCCCTTCCAATAGAGGAAGCAGTGGAGCGAATCCGACGCGAAGCCTTCCATATCAGCTAGCCGAGGACTTGCCAAGAGCCCTTCCGACGGGAAATGAGATGGAGTGGGTATTGCCTGAGAAGTAGGCCAGTTTCTGAACCAAAGACGTCACGTCGTGTGCAGCTCAAACAACCCCCAAAAATGATCAGTTATTTTCCTTTCTTAATTGTAGTTCTTAGCTACAGCTTTCGAGATCGAGTGATAAATTAATAAACCCGCTGTTTCGCCTCCTCTTTCTTCCTGCCCCAACGATTAAGTCGAAATGTGATCAATTGTCGTACTGACTATTCCCTGTGATTCGATGGAAGGCACCACGTCGGTGACGCACTTGAGAGCAACGTCAGTAATAGTCCAGCCACCATTTGGCTCTACCGTCTCGCAAGGCGACGCTGGACAGGATTGCGTCGGGCATACAGTAATGGTTGGCGTCGTTGGGCAGCGGGCGTTGAAGCCGGGGATGCGGACCTGTTCCCCTGTCACTGTGCAGGGCTCCGCCGGTGGCAAGAACTGTGGACAGTCAATCCCTGGGCGAAGCGGTTTGGGGGACGGGCATGAGTCCGAGGAGGCCGTGATCGTGCGAGTGTAGGTGCAAAAGGGACATGGGGGCCGAGACTGTGCGGCTACGAAGCTGGCAGGTGGCCTACTTTCTGTTAGCCCTTGCGAAACGACATTGTCAGGAGTTTCATTTATTCTGCTCTTTGACAGGTTCTGCTAGATTTGGGGTAGGACTCCCACGAGGATCAATTGACGCATGTGACAAGATCAACTTGCAGAGAAGGTTGGGCTACGTCCAAGGGCTAAGACATACCAGAGAAGAGACAAAAACAAATACACGAGGAACTTCATGTCTATGGCGATAATGGAATGCCCGGCGTTGCGGTGTTCTTAGCAGACGATGAACCTTGATTCTGATTATTTAAAGAGCCATCAGAGTTGGCTTGCGCTGGGGGTTGAAGAGGGTGGGAAACCCGTAAATTATATCCGAGATTCTCACGTCTGCAGCCAGAAACCGGGTCGGTAGATTTAATGATGAAAACAAATTGCTTACGGGTCGATATATTGAACCTGCCAATATCAGCGAATACCAATGGCTTCCACTGGATGGGCCTCGGCCGGGTACTTTCGCTTGTCTTTTTGTGGAATCCATGTCACATCGGCGAAATGATTCTCTTGCCTGGGTGTCTACAAGGTAGACGATCGATGCCGACCGTGGGGAGTGAATAGCCAGAGTGCCACTGTAAAATTCTCCCTTACATGCCTGGCACCTTGGGCTGATTCCATACGAACTTCGACGTCGACGTCGGCATAATTATGCCAATTATTCCCGAATTTATGTGAAGTCCAGTTCACATATTGATGGAAGTGTGAGCAAATACGACATCTCGTATAACTCTTCAAATCATTAACGATGTACTGTTGTCTGCCAATTACTAAATATTAAACATAAACATTCTAGCGCATGGTTGCAGTTGCGGCCTGGCGGGGTCGAAGAACCACTCTCTGGTATTTTCCTCTCTCTGCTTTCCTATCATTGGCCTCGAGAACTGCAGTCACCAAGAGGACCGCCAATGTGGATGCTTGAGCAAGAACTCGTGCCTGGACAAGCTTCCTAGCAGCCGTGGTCGTCTTGTCCCTCCGCATACGCTCAAGAACAGTCGTCATCGTCGCCAACCATGTTGCTCCTAGGATATCGTATTGGTGGTCATATAGCCAATCCTTTGCCTGCTGCTTCTTAGGCTCCTGCTTGCGAAGGATCTTGCGCTCTTCGGCCGCCTCATCTGGCTGCGGCTTCAGTTCTGGATGTATGCGGGACAGGTAGGCGTGAGATGCTCGGTTTGCGCCAGTACTAATGCTTAGCATGCCAGGGAAAATGACAAAGGTAGGTTTTATGTAGAACGGGAGTGTTCTAAACGGGGGGTAATAGCGTTGCAGTCCCGCGGTGAGCGCTAGACCGACAGCGACCCCGACAACACCCGACGCGGTGCCTCCTCGCCATATGGAGCGGTAATACTCCTTATCTTCGAATTCGGGGATCGGGGGGGCGGTGGTAGTCATTTTCCTTGTGTTTGCCAACTGATTTTGCCGACTGATGTGGATAGTTATGCCTGAGGGTCGTATAATGCCAGCTTGTATTCGACCATGAGATTGGAATTGTCCGGGGATAAATATAATGGGAATGGGGTGGATTTCCTGTCTTGAATCATGTTATCTGCCGCTGATACATCATGTTGGAACTCAGCGAGGTTCCTTCACTGTCTATCGAGAACTGTGTCAGGAGTTTCCCACCACGGTCGGTAATACGTGGATATGATGTAAAGGTTTTGGGTTTGTTCATCTCGGGTCCAATCCTTGCCCATCGCCGTTCCAGTAACTCTCACTCCTTGCGATCTGCCAACCTGCCCCTCCGGAAAAAGCTTATGACCTATCTATCACAAGACCGGCAAACCACCTCGTTCAAGGAGGCGTTTGTGGGTAGCAAAGTACGTCTCACACGACATGCAAGTAGTGATGGAGACTGGTTAATTGTACTGCGGGATTATGGTAGGAATAGGGAACCGGTGCGGTCTCGAACGCAATGAGGGTTGCTGTCTGTGGGGTCAAGTTTCTGTAGGGATGTCGTATGGGCGCTATCCATGTGGATCATGTTCGTCATTGACATCATTGATGGCAGACACTAAACCGAGGCGGGCGACCACCATATTGAAACTGCCAACATGGTATGGACCAACGGGAAAGCTTCAGGTATATTTTCCTACGGAATCGAATGAGCAGTGTCTCTCCGACGTTGGACTGATGGAAGCTCACATCAGTGGTAGTGCAGGCTACGTGTCATCCACCGACATTCATGTACTGCCACTGGGACGCCACCAACATCATTGGGTCCTTGTGGCTATTGTGAAAAGCAGAATGTCCCGTACCCCCCACATGGGTGGATTCAATGTTCCCCGGCTTCCACTGAAACCGAATTCGGGGAGTGATACCTACACCGCTCGGCGAGCCTGACATCAATAGCACGCCGATCAATAAAGTTAGATAGCGTCACAGGCCCTTGATGTGTGGAATGCTGACTGTGGCTGGGGGACCACCTGGATGAAGAGCCGATGGCGGGGACAAGCCCACCAAGCCGTCCAAACATGTTTAGACGCTAGAGTCCCAACTCCAACTCCCACTTGTCTACGTTAACACAGCGGGAACGGAGGGCCAGGAAGTTGCAGTCAAAGATTATAAATTAGAGATATCTATACTATACACAAAGAAACTGATTTATGGCAAAATCTATAGTATGACAGAGAGAAATGAATGATTGGTGATATCACCAGAGGCGGCCAACCTCATCGAGTTGGCCGCGTCGGACATTACGCTAGGCACCAAAACGAACCGTCAATCCAACCGTCATCAGCATCCAGACAAGGCTCGGATCCAACACCAGTTCCCGAGATGATGTGGGCCAGCCTTGGCATCACATTAACCGTTTAGAGAAGGCCGCCGATAGCAATGCAAGGAATGGCGACATTGATGAGGCCGTTCTGGGTGGTCTCACCGCCGTGGCAGCAGACGGCGGTTTGCTTGCAGTGGCTTCCGAGAAGGTCGCCAACGCCGATGACTATGGAGGTTCCAGAATGTTAGCAGGAGCATCTAAAGTGCAGATGATATTCACTTACGGCCAGCAACGGAGAGCTTGGAGCATCCGTTGAAGAGACCAGCGCCGCCGACGAGAAGGCTGGAAAGGAGACCGAGACCCTCGAAGGACTGCTCGTCTTCGCAGCAGTGGAGCTCGAGATCGTTGCCGCAAGCATTCTCGGCCTGGACGACGGTTACATCCTTGCCGCCATTACCAGGGTTGGTGGGGGTAGTAGGGACCGTAGTAGGGACCGTAGGGGTGGTGGGCTCGGTGGGCTCGGTGGGAGTGGTAGGGACTGTGGGGACGGTGGTGGTGGTGTCGGGGACCTCGTGGCACTGGCGAGAAGCAAGGGCCGAGGCGGCGAAGAGGAGGGTGGACACGACTTGGAAACGCATTGTCAGTGAGGAAGAATTAGAAGTTGAAAATTCAACGGCGAAAGTTAAGAGAGATTGGAGGCGGGTGGTTCGGGATGAGGTCGAGAAGATGAGGTCGGATGACTGGTGTCTAGTGATTGTCTGATGTGATGCTGATCCGGAATGAAATCGAGAGGAAGAGAGGCGAGATCCTCGACCTTATATAGATTTACAATCTAGAATTCTCCGTTGATCCAAGCATGGTTTAGGACTCTCGGACGGGGACAATAGGACGGGCTCAGGGTTGTCAAGACACGCATAACGCCCTACCAGGCTCGAGACACACGAGACCAAGGCTGCTAATTTCCCCTGTCATTCAACAGAATGGAAGCTTCACCTACCCGACTGGAATCCAACTCATGTCCAGAAGAGGTAAGTATCTCTGCACATCATAACCTCGAAGTGGGCTGTCATCCCCAGACCTGCATACTCCCTTTTGCTACTTTTCTTTTTCTTTCGACTAGTTTAGGTGGACGTCCAGTCACCGGATGCCTAGCTGTCAGGGCGGACGTGATGTCGATCACGATCTGTCGCCGGGCTGTCCTCGGCGTTGCCCCTTGCCTAGTGTAGGGCGGAATCCTACGTTATTTTCGCGGACAGGCTAAGGATGGCTCCCCACAACCTGGAGTCTGCAGGTACGAGCTGTTCCTGACCATATCACACTCCGGACAAAAAAAAAAAAAGAAAAAAAACGGCATGGGTTTGCCGTTAAAGTCCGAGGTTAATAATCAGTTTAGCGTCACCGGGGCGTCGGGAAGATCGAACGTCTTTCCTCTCGTTCTAGTCTAGTGTCTCGAGGATCTCAATGGTACCTGAGCTGTTCTCATCAATGAGTTTTTACTACCACTTTCTGCTATCATTGGAATTCACGAAGAAAGTGCAGGGAAGAAAAAGAAAGGGTCAAAAATTTACGATAGCAGACTGCATGATAAAAATGGACTCCACGTACGATCTTTGCCCTCCTCGTCGATACTAGTCAGAAGCGGCAATATTCGGGCATCATGTATTTAAGGGCTAGAAATTTTTTTCCTCTCCATGGCGATCCTTAACCTAATGGGAAAAGGAGTGTGGAGTCTGATGACCTGAAGTCTGCATGTTGTGTGAGATAGTCCACTTCAACTTCGTAATCGAGGATTGAATGGATCAATTGATGGAGCGCGAAAGGATTGTTGACTTGGAATCTTGCTCAAAGAGGGAGAGATTTTCTGTCCTAGGATTCGGACTCGATTCATCGAGTCGAGGATCGCCAGTGCGTTCATCTCAAGCTGATTTAGAGAGCTGAATCCCCGATGACTGGTCAATGCATTTCTTCAGCCTCACCTCCAAGCTAAAGATCCGACTGCTTCCAGAGTCTTGCTGGAAATAGTTTATTAGAATCAATCAATTGATCAATTGGGCAAGCCCTGCGTCTGCATGCCGGATCATCACGGATCATCACGGATTATTCCCAACTCTTCAGAGTGGACTGAGGTACTTCTCTGTGTACACTCGAGAGAAAAATCTCGAGCCTCGAACGTCGGCCCCGAGCTTAAGCGATATTATGTACACTCCACTCGTCTTCCTCTCGGAAGTGGTTCGTTGAGACTCGAGAGTTGAGAGGGTCGAATGATCACCTGATGTTGGATACTGGCGATGCTCGTTATTAGAAAGGCCCCGTAGAGATTGATGGTGCGGGTACCTGCATCCAGTCAATAAACATTACTTCTCCATACCTTGCGGAATACTACACTACTCCATAATCTTCCAGAGGTATTTAATTTAGAAACAGTAGGAATGCTGCATGTATCTTCCCACACATCAAAACAATGGTTACTGGCTAGAATACTTCAAACCCGGGCTCTCAGCATCTCGTGTCCAGGGTCTGGGCGGTGGTTCAAGTGCACGCGAAATGCCGAGGTCTATCCTGCATCTGCCACGAAGATGTACCAACTAATGGTTCAAATGTGGTAGCACAGGCACATTGATGAGGAAACGCGTCGCGACGTATGTAGTAGTTTACCCCATTGCGATTTAGTTCGTGTCACTGGCCATCCTATCATAATCCCCAGATTTCGACGTTTCTGCTCTGTACTATTTTGTAGTGGCTCGACCATAGCACCAAATACAATCGTAAGCCGGAGACTGTCAGTTTGCCTCCAGAAGATGCATAAAAGTCCGTCGAGTTCCATTTAGTTAACGTGCATACATCCAAGTCGCGCTCCCATGTGGTTTGTGTTTGCATTGGACGTCAACAATTTAAAATGCGAGGATAACGCTTGCTCTCGAAGCTGGATGGCAAGAGGCCGGCATTTCAACCGTTGGAACCGTGCGCTTCTCCACTTGCATCATTACCCCTTGCCCCCTGTATTCGCCGTAACAGCTTTCCCAGCTCGAACAAGGGTCTTTCCGCCTTAGATCTAGGCCGCCCTTCGCTGCCTCTCAACGCTAACTTCCTCCCAGTACACAGGTAGAAATGACGACAATGACTACAATACAACATATTTCATTCCGGTGATTGTCTTCGCGTTTAGAGCCGCTGTCAGTCTCGAAGAGCTTAGTGCGCTCGTGGTTCCGTATGTCCTGAGATTCCGATCTTGGAAACACGCGAGTTCAATTAAACACAACGGATGCAAATAGCGGGTGGCGTGCTGTGTGGTCTGACACCAGCGAACTTGGGAGGGACTCCAAGCCCAAATTTTGAAAGCTGACCATTTCATCCAAGCCTAGCGGCCAATTGTAACGGCTACACTACCCATTGCGGACCAGTTCCACCAGATACAGTCTGGTAAACTAGCCTAAGGAGTAGTTTAGTTTACTTGTCCAGTGCCCTATAAGATGCGTTCGCCGATTGTGTCAGGTGGGCGTAACTACCGGCAAGAAAACTGAGGCTCACCGTAGGGCTTTTCCCGATCAATCAAGGCCGTCTTTCGGGATGGGGTGATCCTGCCTCAGATGCCCTGTGTGGTGCCATCATCCACTATTATTAGTGCACGACTCGATGTTACTCTCCAGGAATCAGCCCCAGAACCAATTCTCCAGTAGCTTCGTGGGCGGAAACAAACCGCACGCCTGGAGGATAATATTTCGTAGGTAGTTACGTCGAAGATAATCCATCAAATACTACAAGGTTTCGAGCGGGGCATATGGATAGGGTGAAATTGCTGGCGAGAGGCGTGCTTTTGAAAGCGGCGAGTGTCAAGCCCCCATCAACCATAGCCACGACATCTCTTGCCCACATCCAATCCCATCTTCCTCACCGGTATCATTATCGTAGTTTGGTACTTATCTGTGCTATCTCCACTGGCATCCGGGTATACTATGATCAGTGCCACTGTGTGGTATCGTTACCGGAGCATTCTTCAATGTCAAGCTGGGTTAGTTGACCGGAGGTGGTTGGCTTGAAGCGGAGGTATTAGAAAAATAGGTACACTTTCAGCATCAGTTCGTTGAGGCAAAGTCCCCATGGGAAGCTTGATCTGCGGGAGATGAGAGGTGCAGGTACTCCCACTGGTTATATGACGGAGATAGATGGTGATTTTCAGCTTACGCTTGACACGCTGATTGCTCAGTCTCTAAAGGCCCTGTAGGTCTTGGTAGTCGTCCATCGAAGCACTTTGATACATGGACCAGACTTCTAATCCAATAATACAAACTTCCCTAGGTCCAGGGAGAAGAGGAGGTTCAGGAAACACATGTGTCTTCATAAGAATATTTACCATGCACCGAATGTGGTGTGTTAGTAGGCGGAGGAGAGGGGCAAGGTTTGCTGCCGCGCGAGATCACAAACCAAATAAAAATATACTCAACTAATTTACAGCCCTCGTTGCCGCTCACTATGCTGCAGAGGGACGTCTAAAACCCTTTCCGATGTTAGATGTAACATGCGCTGTAAGAGGAAGATCAATACTGGTGGTGAGCACAGCTGTAATTGACATATTACAACCTCAGTCGTCCCATGCCCTACACGACACCAGAGCATTAGCTTGGGATTGCGTGCGAGACTCTTCGGTAAACCCGTAAGGGCTCTTAGAGACAGCCAAATAAATACGCACCTCTACCAGCGGCTCCACCTGCTCGTTTTTCTCTGCCGCCGGATAGATCGGCGGTGAAATGGTTGCCTCATTGCCTTCCCAGGTAAAGAAAGAGACATAATGGGACTTGTTTTATTGTCTTACGACAGAGCATTTTGTTATTACCGGAAAGATGCAGGCGTAGCAAATTTTGGAAATACGACTAGTAATACGACTAGTCTCATTCTGTTGAAAATTGGATAAAGGTCCGAGACAGAGGACAGTAGGGATGGTCGAAGGACGCGAGTAGGCCACAAACACGATGGGGATATAAGGGTCTTGTCCTGCTACCGAAGCTATTTTATGGGGTCTTGTTGCGGAGAAAGGCTGAGTTCCGGACCCAACGAACACTGTAGCGATGTTATTCAGCGGGCCCAGAACAGCTCCTTGCACTTTTGCCTAGCATCTCACAGGAAAACCTACAGTGCAATAGATCTGGAACCGAGACGAGCAATCCTTTCACTCGAAGCCCCTGAATAACCCCTTCCCTATTAGACTACCTCAGCCAAAAAGCCCATCTACTCATGAACAGTCAGGCAAAAGGCTTCGGGACATTATGACAGGTGAGTTACCGTTGATTGCCACGGGCTGAAAAGCATTTCCTAATGTATTAGATATATATGGAGATATGATTGCCTATACCTCTTAATACCCTCTGGGCACGAGCGTTCCATTTAGAATTCCGAGTCTCCCTCACCAGCTAACCTCCGTTACGTGATGTCCTGCGCTATAATTCCATATCCGGCTGTATTAAGCGTGCTCTGAGCGATGTAGGCCACCGTTCTCGATGCTGACGGGCTCGCTCCTCCTCTGCAGAGGGTAGTATTGCGTGGAATCTGTATCCCCTGCCGACCACGCCGTATTCCTTGTCTTCACTTTCCCGCCGAGGCACCAACGCCTCTTCGGAAAACTACTGCCGGGTCCTTTGAGAACCATCCCTGGGTGGACCGCATTTAGTGCAAATAGCGCGGCAAGCATCGGTAAGGCATCAAGACAAAGTTGATAAGCTTCATGTTGGAGGATAGGGTTGTCAGCTGAAGCACCCTGGCTGAACTCGACGAGTCGGAAAATGATTCGCACCTGCGAGAGAGAAAGTTAGCTTTGGGGAAAAAGGAATTCGACGTGTATCTGGCGATTCTTGTTTTACCATAATCAATGCTAGGACCGCGAATATTGTCCAAACGAGGGGCTGAACCCATGCTGTTGGCCGATCCAGCTTTCCAGCTTTGATGAGATTCGATAATCTGCGTTGGAACTGAATCGAAACCAATATGAAGATTATGACGAAGACGAGCTGGACTGCGATCCCAGCCATATACACCTTCTGGCCCAACCGAGCCTTATCCTTATCATTTTGATCAGCAAGCATTGATCCCCCGGCTGCCTGAACGAGGAACGAGACAACATCCGCAGTGACAAACCCCTTTGCCAGCCACCGCGCGTTAACGTTGAAGACCTTTTGCTCGGGAAGTAGGAAGTAGATGAGACGAGCGACAACCATGTAAGCGAATGCATTGATCCCTAGAAGCGTTAGGTATGAGAACGGCGAAAACATGACCCAAGCAATGACATGTTCACTCACAAAGCGGGGCCAATAAGAACAAAAGCGTGGATATAATGACATAGATCATTTCTTGTTGGTCGTGGGCGCCAAGGGTGCGGAGGACGAAGCAAATGCATAGCCAGAGGGCTCCCATAACGATGACCCAGCATAATCCCTTATTTTCGTATGTATTAGATGCGATAGGAAAAGAAAAGAAAATGTGAAGACTATGCTCACCTTTTTAAGAACCACACTCTGAACGCAGTGAGCCAGGGTCGTGATTCCAAAAGCAACAGAAAAAAAGAGATTCCATTCCCAACTGGGATAGAATCCGTAATTCGCATTACATGCGTCGGGGGGGACAAAGCCATAGTGGTCGGGAACAGCCGTCGTACACTGTGGAGTGGATGATGTCGTCGACGCAGCCGCTATGAGGTCGGACGTTGTTGGTGTGGGGCTCATGGTCTCTATGGCACTGCCAAGTCGTGTCAAAAACGTTGGGAATTGAGCGAGAGGAGATCTACAGGAACTTGATCGATTCAAGGACTGGTCTATTTTGGAAGAACGGCGGTATCGTGTGCTTTATACCTGCGAGGTCGAGATTCAAAGTCGAATGAGAAAGCTTGGAACAACGTCAGTGTATTCTCCGTCAAAAGGGTGTCGTACATCAACCGAAGAAAGCGAAATGAGACACGCTGCCCTTTTTACGCCTCTCCCTCCTAGGTGAGCCCAGCCTTGTTGTCTCCTTTGATAGCAAAAGCGAAGGAGACGAGATTATGGCCAATGGGAAGGTCGACTGCCCTTGCAGATATGAGCTAAATTAAAGTAGACAGCTGCGTCAACTCGGCGCAGCGTCGTGATCGCCAAGATATTGATTCTTAATTCGTCCCCGGATTGGTATCTGATCAAATCTCAACATCAGATTTCCTAACCCTTGTTAGGGCTACACGATCGACAACCATTGCTCAGCAAGGTTAGACACCAAGGCGTCATGTCTGCTGTGGCAGTGTGTCGTTCCAGTCTCACAGGCGCTGGCTGGGCTGTGGTTGGCGGCGATGCTCTGATTGGTCAGAAAGCTCGCTTTCTTCGCTTTGGTCTTCCATGGGTGACGCCCAGAAGCCCCAGATGCATCCAAGCCAAGACCCAACCACGCATCACTTCAAATCATACGTTTCGAAAACAATTCATGCTTAGAACAGGGAGTGGTGGATTCTTTCATTGTCTATTTTAGGCCTGCCTCATCCGACACAAGCTCAGGCTCTGTCCATCTAACCGCTGAAACACGAGTTTCCGGACGATTCAACCTCAAATATGGGCTGCGCCTCCGCAATGTATTATCAACTGTCTTCGTGTCATTTCGCTTTACAAGTATGGACGCGTCCTAGCGGCCATAATACATAACTTTTGTACGATGGCGGGAGGTTAACAGCCAACTTTTCAACCCAGGACAGAGTGGTGGCCCTGGTTGAGGAGTAGACGATGCAATTAGAGCCTAATGCCCAGGTTTCGATGATGTCGTCTAGGACGAAGAAATGCGCCAAGAGGATTTGCGCGGCGTAGTTCCTTGGCCCCGTAAAAGACGCAAACTCTTCATCCGTCATCTTGTTTGTCAACGAGAAGCTGCCTGCAAGCTCGAGGCATGCTGGCCAGGATGGAGTTAGCATGCGCACAAGGGCGAATTGGCTGAGCTACGTACCGTCGGAAACGGAATTACGTGCTACTTGCACAATCCGTTCGAGAGTCGCCAAGTACTTCAGCTCGGCAACGCTCCTACAGAGTGGCGCAACAAGGCGCAGAGAGGCTGATACGTCATCTAAGACGGTCTCGTCGTAGTCTAGGCTCGGGTGACAAGAAATGAGGCGCCGGAAGGACTCAACATAGGACTCCCTATTAAAACTCTTGAATAGGGAGTCTTGGAACGCCTGCGCCATACTCTCAATCACCAAGCAGCCCCTCATCGTGATAAGGAAGTCCATCAGGGCGTCCGGCATGCAAGAAGCCTGGAACATCAGAGTCAGGATCGCTCCATATCTTGCATCCGCATCGGAACTAGACGAGCAAGGTTTCGACAAGGTCTCATTCAGTGACCTCATAGCAGCCACACGATGGTCGAGGGCCATGGACGAGTAATCGGCGTCGGTTGTCAGCGTTAGATGCTGCGCTGCTAGACCAAGTAGCGCATGGGCGAGAAAGTCATACTGTGAGGAGGTTAGCAAGCCTAACAGCAAAGGCGAGGCTCATGCGACGCGAAGGATTGCTAGGGACACACTTCGTGGACCATCGATGCAAGCGACTGCCAGGTAGATTGCGAGCCGTATGGTACCGGTGGATATGCAGTGAGGAGAAAATGGTGAAAGAAGCGCAAATCTTCTAATCGAAATACAGTAGGCGTCGTACGCAAGGGCATCCCAGGTCGTGGCGAGTCCTCTTTTGGTCGAGGGGGGTACTCGCACTCAACGTCCCTTCGCACGCAGTGCTTGCACCGCGGAAGGTCCTCCGAACACTTGACTCTCCGTCGCTTACAATTGAAGCAACCTCTTGTCGACTTCCGGTGGCCTTTTCCGGGGATTGGTCTCCCCCGTGGTTTAACAAGTGTTGGAGCTGCGTGGCATTCTGTGTGTTCGGGTGATGTCCGGGAGTCGGAGTCCGTAGTCGGAGGTGAGCTCCCGACGGCCGGTTGCTGGCTCGTAGAGGACTCGGAAGCAACAGGGCTGCACATTATTCGAATTCGACAGCGACAAAGAGGCCCTTGTTCGAGGTCGTTACACTTCTAGCGGGAGGCAGGCGATGTTGAGAGTCAGAGAAACTACGCCCATCCCAGCATGGGGCTTGTCCGCGACTCGCAAGAACAGGGATCATTTCCCCTTCAAAATGCGAAATACGATGCTGATCACGTGGTGGTAAGGCAGCAACCAAAACTCGTTTTGGAGGAAAAATCTCAGGTCCCTCATTTCAATCGGGGGTCGAAGAAGGACAACCCATTCCAGCTTTCGACGAGAGGCGAGCTCTGCTGGAAATTGAGAATGCGTTAGATGCTGAAAAAAAAGTGTGAGACACACAACAGTTCAGCAACATCTGGGATATCAAATGAGGTCTTTCTCTTTCAATTCACATGTGTGATGGGATTGGTCACTAGTCACTAGTCATTACTGTATTAATTTTATGCTCGCTTGTTATGATTTAGGTCTTTGTGTCTCGGGGAGCGCTTCTATCAGGCTGTCTGTCACCAGGTCCCTGCATCCCCGGGTCCAAGAGAGCCCCTCTTGAGACCTGAATTTCTCTCTTCACGGTTGAGTCCTCGTCTAGGAAAATCTCGGGTAATTTATAGCCTCTTTTTCACCAGCACCAAGGCGCCTGTCACGCCGCCCGCCAATATTTCCTTCCCAACCTCCACTCCGGCATCGTGCAAGACGCGCTCAACCTCCCTCCTCATGAGCCTCACTATATCACCTTCAGTATTTGCCATGCCGGGGTTAGACTCGCGCCAACGAGTCACCGGGCTCATCGTTCCTAGCATGCTCTCCAGAGTGTCTAGGTCGACTTCGGGCTGTGGAAGAGCGTAGTACTCATCTCGAGGCTCGGACGAAGTATCATCGGTACCCCATTCTTTTCGAGTAAACGAGGCTCGGTTAAATTCGGGTGCGGGTGTAGGTAAGGTCCAGGGAAGCGGTAGGTCAACGTATAGGTCGCGAGCAAGTTTATTTCCAGGCTCCATATAATCATTGAGGCGGCCGTTGACACTATCGATGGCAGCTTGGGCTGCGGTTTGGTTGGGCACAGAGGAGGCGACGGATATAGAGCCGCCTACCCAGAGCGCAACAGTCCCGTGTGGCTTGAGAACGCAAGCAGCTCTCAGCCAGAAAGCCGGCATGTCGAACCAATGTGCGTCGTTGGCGGCAGTAATGAGATTAACAATGTTTTCCTCGATCGGCGGCACAAGAGTAGCCCCGAGATTTTCGGCTGCGTCGACTTCAAAGCGGATGGGCTCCGAAGTGGCAGAGGCGCCGCCCAGTGAGTCAGTGACCTGGCCGTGCTCAGCATTCCATCTGACGCGTCGATGCCGATAGCATGGGCAAAGTGTTTCGACAGGGCGTGAGTAACGATGCTGGGCCGCAGCCGGCATCTAAGACAGTGTCTAGTTGTCCCTCAGTAGATGTGTGATATTCGATGATTTTTTGATACAACTTCGGATGGTAATCACGTCGATGTTGGGCGTAGGTTGAACCTTGATCGCTAGTATATGAACGGAATGTTTTCTCTTGGGACGAGGATGCCAGCGGCGGAGTTTCAGCAGACATCGTGAAAAAGATATAATCCAATAAAATTCACTTTGATATTCCCAGAGAGCCGTCTGTCGCTGGAATGGATGCCTGGAGTTGGAAGGGATCGGGGTTGAAATGGATGGAGATCCGCCAGAGTAATTATACTTGTCTCCTTCGGTAGTTTCAAAGAGGGTCTCTGGATCGTCTCCGGATCCGAGATGGGATGAGCGAGGACGGTGGCCGACAGCCCCAAAGTTAGGAGGGTGGTAAGCGCATAGCGTCGAGATTTGCTTCGAAAAGCCTGTCGAAACAGTTTGACGGAAGCTGGGAGTGATGAACGGTTAGTAGATGGATATATTCTTGAAGACACCGACTAGAAGGATCAGCATTATAAATTATGGGCGATGGTAGGAATTGATGTCGTCTGGAGTGACTGAGAATTGACGTCTTCCGGAGCAATTCCAAAATCTCCCAACTTCGTGAATTATTAAATGGACAATAATATTTTAAAGACTGACATACTAGTGAATAAATTGCCGTTGTATGAATAGTTGATTGAGATAAAACGAAAAGAAGAAGACACCTTTACGCTCATCATGCTACGCCCTCGCCCACCTGCACTGATTACTCCCCTTCATCACCGTCTTACTAGCTGGACTTGGGGGAGCCAGCCATCAAGCGCTGGACCTTCGATGCTCTCTGCTCCACAGAACCTCGCCAAACGGGGGGTCTATCGGCCGCCCACCTACCAAGACTCGAACCTTGAAATCCCCCCAAATCGCGGTGACATCGGTTGTCCAATCAAGCCATGTAAGTGTGGAAGAAATCAACAAAGTCAAACATGCTACGTTTGAAACGTCTCTCAAACATACCACTAGTGCGGTTGACAGTCTGCAAACCAAATGCGTCGCGAATTCATTGTTGTCCATGATGCTCCATGCCAGCGCACCGAGCATATTCACTCCATCCTCGTTGATAGCCTTGAGGACCTCGTTCAAGTAATCCTGGTAATACAAAGTTCGTTCCAAATCGTACACTTGCTGGTCGATGGAGCGATCCATTTAATGGAACTCTGGGAAGCCAAACTCGGTGATCATGATTCCAGTGGGACGAAATGGCTTCCACACGTAGCCGACCTGCTGCCGGACATGCTGAGGCGCAAGGAGAGGATAGGATTCGGAGCTCCTTCCGGTGATCCAACCGTTTGCCTGTGTTGGTCCAAGGTCGACGCACTTGGGATACTGGGGATGTTCCGTGTTGCGCGCACACGCCTCGATCCCCCCGGAGGCCGGAGTTGCGAATTGAACAGTGTATGGATCATATGCCCAAAAATCGCACGTCCCCTTGATCTCCGCTATTTGAGCCTTTGTTAAAGCGGTTAAATTCAATCCCGGAGTGTTCAAGACACTATCCGGATACTGTTTTCCTCGGAAAAGCGGGTTGCCCATGATTCCAACCATGAAGTCCTGGTACCGGTTGGCTGCGTCGATATCTTGAGAGGATTGGGTATGTGGGAGAGCCAAATTGTGGGCAAACTTTAGGCTAACCTTGCCTTTGCCCTTGAGAGTGCCCTTGTACCAGCGGTAGACTTCCCATGCGCCAAGAGGATCGAGGTGTAGGCGTTATAGCTATGTGCAGTGATGCCTTCGCTGCCGAGGTTGGGTTCGTTGAATGTAAACCAGATGGGGATGCGATCCGCATATCGCGCAAGAATGATTCTTGCGTAGTATTCGAAAGCAGCAACATACTCCTCCTGGTTCTCGATGTTAGACTGCATTGGGCTCGTGAAGTGAACCATTGTAACCATCGGCGTGACTCCGTATTGAATGCAGGTATTGATCAGGTCATCATAGTGATCAAGTGCTTGCTGGTTGATAGGGGTACCTGGGTGGTAGAAGGGGACAATTCGAGACCATTCGATGGAGAAGGAGTAGTACGGAATGCCAATTGCGGCCAAGCAGGATCAAGCGGGCAATATCCTGCTTGTACAGGAAGTAGTTCATGGCGTTGGTGAGGTGAGCGACTCGCTCAAGCCAGCCGTGTTGGGAAGCGCGCCGATATAGTCGAGGAAGGCTGGTCCACGGCCTTCGTGTTGCAAAGCGCCTTCAACCTGCCAAGCACTACTTCCAACACCCCAAATGAAGTCTTTTGGAAGCTTGTGTTTTTTTTTTGGCGGGGTGGGCTTGTTGTACAGCTCGGGCGGGAAGACGAGCTCACTGCCCGGCACGGGAGTAGGCGAAGCAGTGGTTGTGAAGGGAAGATCGCTGGAGTAGCTGATATTCTGCCACATCTTGGCGTAAGCGCTCTGGCCGTAGGGGCCATCTTGAGTCGCTGTGGCCCCTCTGTCAAGCGACCAGGTCGTGTAGTTGAGCTCGCGTCCAATGAGTTTGGAAGCACTTTTAAAGGAAGGAGCATAAGTCTTGGGCTTCAGTGGAGAGGGTAAAGGTGTGGCGTAGCGATTCGTCGACGCCGCAGCATACGAGTAAGTTGTTGGGGTGGTGTTGGGGCGCGCTGCATCTCCGGCAGAGATGAGCCCAAGGAGTAAGGCAGCAGGGTGGGAGAGCTTCATAGCGAAGAGTGTTGAAGATAATCAGTGAACCTTGATAATCTTTAGTCCGATGAGGAATGCTTCTTTGCTGCATCACGGTGATATTTTCGTACATACATATATACTTTCAGACATGCTCGTGCGGGTCTGTCCATCATCGCCACCTATAGGATCGCAGCTGTCACTTTTCATAGCTACCGAGTCCTCCGCGTATAGTTTCTCTGCATCTGGTGTGCGATATTCCACCTGGCTTTCCCAGGTTGCACTTAATTCGTTAAGTTTCCCTTCTCCTAGCAGACACCACCGAACACGGTGAACCTGGGAAGGCAGCCAGGTCGATTCTAACTAGCGTTGTCCTAAATGGCCGATTCATAGTATGATCGAAGCACAAGCGTGGGATTTCATCTGATGTCGGGTTGCATTGAGAGTGAAGAGTCACGGGGGAACACGGTCAATGCAAGTGCTTTACCCCAGGTTTTCGCCGCGGAGCCCCGCGTAACCTTAGCTCCGCCGTATTTTGGCCGTCGGAGACTCGGGGGTAAATATGACTTAGAGGGTGGTGCGGCTTAGCGTGGCCTCTGTCGGCTCGGTACGATACAGATAATCAAAATATCTCCCTATTTTCTGGTTGAATAAAGACTGTCCAGGTCCTCACGAGCAACCATCCAGGCGTGGCTCTATAAGCGTATGGCGACGCTGTGATCCCTGTACACATGCATTCGGTCCTTTGGGCTCAATAGTTCTTCGATTAAGTTGCGTCCTACCTCGGTACATCGGCTCTGAAGCTCAATCTGTAGTATTTCGGCGAGCCTCGGACTAACTTATCAAGCCTACATCTTAGATATGCTTAACGCAGTTAGAGTCTGAAGTGGGGGAGATGGGGATTAGTTTATGGCTCTGAGAACAAGGCCGGTTGGGGTATTTCCTGCTCTATCACTTCGTAGCAAGCCGACCTGAACACCAATGAGATATCTCTCGATCCAGCAATGACGTTAACTGACCGTTACTTTCCAAGAGAGTGAGTGGAGTCGTGACTCGTAACAGTGACAGCCTGCATAGATCGACGGGAGATCGAAGATGGGTGGTGATACGTCGGGATAAGAGCTCCACTTGTTAAAATGGAATTGGAGAAGGCAATTTGGCTCTTCCCAGCCAGTCACGGGGAGCTCAAATTAACGTCGCGATGCCGTCCTACCCTTCAGGAGTGGCAAGTTCCTGTGATTCCCTCGCCAGGCCTGACGCAGATTCCTACATACATGCCTAAGATCTTCTACGCGCAAGTGTAGTATCCTCGAAATATTTTTATTATTCCTGTTCCCTCATCTCTTGAAGCTCAATCTGTAAATGTCCCTAGGCCCGATACCAACTAATCTCCTACAAATTCTTAGTGCTATCATGGTGGAAACAGTGACGTACTTCTGATTTGCTTTACCCACGTTAAGTATCTTCCGTCAAGTGATAAACCTCCAGCTCAGCAATCATGGTTTTGGCTGGAATGGTAACAGCAACAGGGAAGCCACCATAATCGGGGTCCTCATTTGGCATCATGGCAAAGAGGCCCGACCGCGTCTCGTCTCCATTTAAGTATCTCCCCGTGCGGAGCTTCCCGGCTGCGGAATCCACAACGAACTTCTCCTCAAATCTCAGAATGCCCGTGTATGTGGCGTTTGGGTTGAGTGACCGCGCTACCACCTGGAAGCCCCATCCAATAAGCAAGAAAACGCCACCTCCACGGTGGATAACCATGCCTGACCCAGGCCCGGGCCTCCCGAAGACAAAGCAGCGCCCAATGGTCAGCTCGTAGTCTCCCAGTCGACACACAACAGGGCTGCTCGGGTCGCTGCCGTCCTCTGCAATCTCATCGAAGAAGAAACCCACGGAGCTATTTGGTCTCCGCTGTGCGTCCAGGACGATGGCTGAGACGGATTCAAGGAGCCCGAAGTGTCTGGTGTAGGGATTACTTTCGGGAGCGACAGTGTCGAGGCCGAAAGGCGATGCGCCGAGGGCAGCATGCGAGCCTAGAGCATGCCAGATGCGGCGTGCACCGTAGGCATCGCGGCGCTGCTCGGGTATGAACAGAGGCTGCTGGCGGTGGCGGTACTTTGTGCAGATGGAGGAATAATCATTGAGATAGATATCAGGGGAGATGAAGTCTAGCGTTGGGGCGAATTTCTGCCAGATGTCGAGGGCGCAGCTTGTGGCACCACCAGAAGGGTAGTTCCCGGGGTCGCCTCCGCCACTGGCAACGTTGGGGAAGTCGTTGTCGGCATCATTACCGGATGAGTTGAGCCAAACGTTTGTGAAAAGCGGAAGGGCATATGCCTCTCTGCCCGCAGCAGCAACTTTCTCGACGAACCGGGAGTAGTGATACGCCATAAAGATCTCATCCGTCTTGGGGCCTTTACCAAAGACATCCTCCCAGCTGGCATTGCCGGAATCGGCGGTGCGAGCAGAAAAGTGAGCGAGGTTCTCCTTCAGGTCGTCATGCAAATTGTCGTATTCACTAGACAGGTACTCAATCAAATCATCGGGAACGGGCTCGGAGAACCTTTGAGTCGCGGCAGCTGAGGCGTCTCGAGAATCACCGATCAAGCCGGGCTCGTTCTCGACTTGAACCATCAACACGGTTGAGTGGGCTTCGTCGATTTCTCGAACGTGGGACATTAGCTTCTTGAAGGCCTTTGCGTCTGCTGTCACGGCCTCGGAGGAGAAAAGCGAGAGCACTTCGCTGGTCCTCAGGGTGTTCTCTTTCGTCCTCAGCTTGGCTCTTGGGAATCTCTTCACGTCGGTTTTAACCCAAGGGGGAACATATGTAGAGACACCTGCATGGATGGGTCAGTAACCGAGTGGCGGAAGGGCTTGAGGACGCGTCTATAAACGAACCATTTTTATAGGAGCCAAACCACAACAGCACGAGGTGGAGATTGTGTCTGCGAGCGTCGAAGATGACCTTGTCCAACTCCTCGAAATTGTACAACCCTTCGACAGGCTCGATCATCTCCCAGGTGACAGAACCTAGAACCGTATTGACATTGGCATCAACCAGGTTCTGCCAGACTGTGCTCATGTGCTCCGCGCATGTCATGGATGAGTTCTGCAGCTCGGCAGGAAGCATGAGAAAGGGCTTGCCATGGACGACTAGCTGCTTGGAAGTCTCGGTGGCCACAAGGTGAGGGATGGTGATGGCGGACATGTTCAACAAAGAATAATACCTTTTTTTTATTTTATTTTATTTCATTTTTTTTCTTTTTCGCAGACTGAAGGGATATGCCATAAAGGAGCCGAGTAGCAGGGGGTTGCGTCTGCTTCTTGTATCTTTTACAACAGCCGCATTCCAGTCCCGGCTCTTAACTCAAGCCATCCCCCTCCCTCCTCGCTTCCGCCTTAACTGCCCATACCCCACATCTTCCGTCTCGGACTCGAGGTGCAACTCGCAACGTACCCCGCGGGGAATGATCAAGTGAGTGGAGAGTGTTTCTGGATGATTTGATCGGATATTCCAAAGATGGGACCGTTAAGTCGCTCCCGATTGGTAGCCAGGTTCTCGGGCTTTTGGCAGCTTTAGTCAATTTCTTCAGACCAGTGATAGGCCCGCTTAATCAATGACGCTTAAGAGCTTTGTATGTATACGCGGAAACCTTCGCTTTTGATTGGTCGTTATCGTTTCATTCGGGAGCAGGATTTGGATAATTTTGTTAGAGCTGAACCCTGGTCATACGCGGGATTCGTCACCTCTGATTTGGCACCTGCTGTGATGTTTTAGCAGCTTTGCTTACCGAGTGACTGGGGCTGCACCCATGAGATGATCAGAGCCAAACAACCTCGGTGGCACGGGAGGCTACATTAAACAGTCTAGCTTGGTATCGGCAGCACAGCTCTACTGGGAGAATAGGCCGAGACATACTTGCATAGATATATAGATATATAGAGCCGTCGAGACCATCACCTCTTCATGAACATGCTTTTCAAGACGTGTGTTATTCAACCCTACGTTGCTTCTCTAATGCGACCTTACGATGGCCAAGACAAACATTAGGACAACTCAGGACATTGAGGGCCGCTCCATTTCGGAGCACCTCCCTGGTGGGCTATTACGCCTGGAAGTTCCCCACGTTATATGGTGGAAGCATGCTGGACTCAGGAAGCTGTATTGCATGATGCCCATACTTTTCCTTGGTATGCCTCAAGATTATACCCACCCCGGATATGCTACTCACTGATGTCAGCTTCGACCACCACCGGCTATGACGGCTCACTACTCAACGGTCTACAGACCATGGAGCCTTGGCAAGAGTGTTAGTATCTCCATCTTGTCATCCCTTGGATATACTTGAGATGCTGATCTTCGTAGACTTTGACCATCCCGACGGTTCAAGACTGGGCTTGTTCACCGCCATCATGAACATTGGTGCGGCGTCGGCCCTTCTCTTCTGTAGGTCGCCCCCTTCAAGAATCATCTATAGCAATATGCGTCCCGGCGCTGATTCAACGTAGCCTCATACATTGCCGACCTTTTCGGCCGCCGTGTTGGCTCTGCCATTGGTCTTCTCATCATCTTCATGGGGACCATCCTTCAGGTTGTTCCCACTGTCAATCAAGCTATGTTCCTTGCTGGTCGGTACTTTGTTGGTCTTGGGTGAGTCTCGCGCTTCCTCTCCACAGGTACTGGTACTACAACGACAGGCTTTCTGAGCAAGGCACTGAATATTAACACTGCCTTAGAGCCAACATCTCGCAAGGCTCAGCGCCTCTTCTCATCATGGAGCTGGCATATCCCCAACACCGCGGAAAGGTTACAACCATGGTGAGGCGGCTGTCCACAGAATATGTCCCGCATGACACTAACGACCCGATATTAGTACAACACTCTTTGGTACGTCGGCAGCATCATATCAGCTTGGACCGTCTTTGGAACCATCAAGTACGAGGGCGACGCCGCTTGGAGGGTCCCTGTCGCTCTCCAGGCTCTCATGCCCCTGGTAATGTTTGTTCTCATCTGGCTTCTTCCCGAGAGCCCCCGTTGGCTGTGCTCCAAGGACCGTCTCGAAGAAGCTCTCCAAGTTCTCATCAAAGTAGGTCTTAGGGGTTCTATGACAACCAAATGTTATATAGACCGGCTAACACACATCCTCTACAGTACCATGCCAATGGTGATTCGAACGACCCCTTTGTTCACGCCGAGTTCGCCGAGATCCAGGAAACGATCCGTCTCGAGAAGGAGAGCTCTAAGGAGTCGTGGCTTGTCCTCGTTCAGACGCCCGGAAACCGAAAGCGCATGCTTCTTATTGCCCTTACCGCGTTCTTCTCTCAATGCTCCGGCAACGGCTTGGTCTCATATTATTTGCACGACATCCTAAATTCGGTTGGAATTACGTCTTCGTACAACCAGTCCCTTATCAATGGCGGACTTCAAATTTGGTCGCTCCTTGTAGCTATCGGTTTCTCTGTCTTTCTGGTTGATAAATTTGGTCGAAAGACGCTCTTTATGATTGCCGGCGTCGGCATGCTCGTTAGCTTCAGCGTTTGGACTGGGTATGCCGTCTTTACTTTACCTGCCAGCACCTTTAGATCGATTACTGATGATACTAACTTTCTTCAGTTGCTCTGCCGTCTACGAAAAGACGCAAAACAAGGGCGCAGGTGGTGCCGTCATCGGCATGATCTTCTTGTTCTATGGCGTTGCCGGTTTTGCCTGGCCCGGCCTGACGGTCGCCTACTGCGCTGAGATTCTTCCATACAACATCCGTGCCAAGGGCTTGGCTGTGAATCTGGCAATAGTTTCTTTGGCCGGCGTCTTTAATCAGTACGTGAACCCGGTGGGACTCTCCGACCTCCAGTGGAAATTCTACTTTGTGTACATCGCCATCCTGGTCATCGAGTGTCTTTGTATCTGGTTCCTGTTTATCGAGACCAAGGGTCCTACTCTAGAGGAGATTGCAGAGCTTTTCGATGGCGAGGATGCGTACGTGGCTCATATTAAAGACCACCACAAGGTCGAGGAGAAGACGGCCGAGCACACTGAAAAGGAACTGGCGACCTAATTAGGCGTTAGGCATTTTGGGACGATTGCCTATCTCAAGTCCCGAGAATAGCTAGATAGTAGAGACTGGCCATTAGGAGAGTTCAAACACTTACTTCTTAGGTAATGCGCTAGATAGCATGGCGCTTTAGTCGGTAGTTAGTTATTAACCTTCATCATTGCTTTGGACAATGTTTCCCCATAACTCTATTAATTCACTACGGTAGCAGTAGGTTGCATATCCACGCAAGACCAGAACTACCGTACGAATTCGTGATCGGCCTCGGCACCTCTGGGGACAAGCCCCTTTATGAGCGCCAAGCACCGCCGTGCGTTTGGAAACATTACAGGTGTCTCACGAACCTGCAGACCTGCGTGCGGGGAAAATGCAGGTTCCTGGGGTCAAAGCCCTTAGTTTAGCCTTGGCATAGGCGAACACGGTTAGCATAGAAGATAGAAGAGCCCCTCATTTTTGTCCAGGGGCCTCTTTAGTCTCCCGGCTAATGGGCTCCTAGAGTGCGCTATCATTCCTAAATGCTCTGGCACCCACGCGTGTCCAACTAGTTGGCAACACTGGTCTGAACCCCCCTGAACCCCCCCCCCGCCCGAGTTGCACGCGACCCTACACACCACCATCACATCGTAAGAGTAGTATCCAAGAGGGTCACTTTGATTGGGGCGGATGCAAATGCAGGTCGCCACCGGCCCGGCTTCTCGCCGCAAAGATTCCAATGGGCTGGACTCGGTTCCTTGAGCCCAGCTTCTCCAACCCCAGGAAATCCTCCCGCCCCCGCAAAATGGGGTATTAATTAATGTGCCCAACTCTCTGAAAACGTGGGCATTGTGCATTGCATCGATTAGACCTGGAGACATTTTAGACTGATTGACCTAACATTTTAACGATGCGGCGACATCATCGAAAATCTCGCTATGGCTGTGGCGAATGTAAACGACGGCACCTCAAATGCGACGAGACTCATCCATGTTGCGTGAACTGCAGCACCGTTTCAAGACAATGCTCCTTCCAGCGGCTCAGCGTTAGCATTGCCAGCCTCGGACCAGAAGCCATGAGGACTATCGGGGCCGTTAGGACCACCAGCAGCAGTCGTAGCCCTATTAGTTCTCCTAGCCCTATTAGTTCTCCAACCGAACAATCGCCCATTGCCCCGGGACTGTCGCTGGGACTACAAAATCATAACTACTCCACAATGCACTTGCAGTTTCTTCACTTCTTTGGAAGTAAGGTAGCCGATACTATGCATAGTGCTCTGTGCATGCCCAAGAGCTTATTTCCGTTTCTCATCCAAGAAGCCTTTGGTGCCCCCTACCTCATGGATCAGATCCTCGCTTTCTCCGCCCTTCTACTAAGCCTGGAGTGTCCGGATAAGTCCGATATCTATCGCCAAGAAGCAACAACTCTACAATTACGTGCACTTGCTGCCTTTAACTTAGTTGGAGGAGGGGTAAAGTTTAGCGACTTTCCCACCACCCTATTCTCACAACTTGTCGCCAATTACCAGCTCGTCGAAACCTTTACCCTGCAGGCAAGCCTGGCGGAGTTTGTCGATAGGTTTGCATCCTATCTCAAATTGCACCAGGGTGTCTCACTATTGGCAAATATGCATTGGACGACTATACTGGAACGGATTCAACCTCAATATAATATAGCTTTTGTTGACGTCTTTCGTCCACATAACAACGAGGTGGAAGAGCAAGGTGACTATTACGCCGCATTGCTCAACCTACTTGAAGAGCCGTCCCTTTGCCCTAAGTCTCGGGCTGCGTACAGCCGGTGTATAGAACTGCTCTCCTGGATACATGGCTTCCGCCACGCTTCGCCAATAGAACGGAACCTGGTTGTTCGCGGTTGGTCGGTCCTAATCCCTCCTAAATATGTCGAACTCCTACGACAGTGTCTCCCTGAAGCCCTGGTCATTCTGGCCCATTATATCGCACTTTGGCACGAACTCTCGAGCGCTTGGATTAAGCAGCAAACAATGCAGTTCGTGGTCGGATCGATAGTGGACTATCTAGGTCCTGATTGGGAAACATGGTTGGCTTACCCAATTCAAGTCATGATGTCCTGTGAGGACCAGATGATGTTGCGAGACTTGGGAGGGTCAATTGATCTCGACCTGCTCTTATAAAGCGATCAACCGATTACCTCAGCTTCTGATCATTGATAAAGAGATAGGAAGGAAAATAAAATTGGGTGTCAGGGTAGGTAAAAACCAAAAGCCATACAGCTTCCTGAATGCTATGGCCTCCATCCTATGGTCGTTATAGACCTCTCCCAGTGTTCAAAGGTGGCCTATCGCGCTGTTCAAGTTGTCACGTTAGCTAACGAACTGAGAGACCGGCAGATCCTAATTAAAGGAATAGGAAAACGAGACAGAGGGTTTCCCATGGACCTGGACCCTATTTGCCAGTACCTCTCAGGCAGCTGAGTCGGACTGGAGGGGGTAAAACTGAAACATAGATTTATTTCTCCAACCTCCTTTTTCATTGAAAGATCTATTGATCAGGTTGGAAATTCATGGACATTTTCAATTAAAGTTAACTATTCACCGTCGAAAATATGGCAGAAATCTCGAGGTTGTCACGGGAATTGATCTAATTGTCTGTGAATTCGCTTGTACATAAATTGGTGAAAGCCTCCCTAATACCATTCCTATCCCAACTCATATCAGCCACCGGCGGGTGTTGAGAATACCTAGATCTTGGAAGAGGAAACAAGGGCAGGTTTCTACTGCTTGTACCAACATAAACCTTGTATTCACCCTTCCGAAGCTTCTACTTCTGAGCCTCGGTGTCCCAAGTACTTAGATCTCTCCTGGTTAACTGAAACGATACCTCAGTTGACTTGCCAGGCTTGAGAGTTGGCTTCCGGAATCCACGAAGCTGCCTCAAAGGGCCGCCCGGAATTTGGACGTAAAGCTGTGCGACCTCAGCTCCTGGCATTTTTCCAGCATTCTTGACTGTATCTTTCACAGTAGCTAGCGTGTTCCAGAGGTCCTTCTGTCCTCCTTCCACAGCGTCGCCCATGGGGTAAGTGTAGGTAATTATCCTTAGATCCGGGATTCTCAACTTTCAGCCCGGAGACCTAGAATGTGGTATAACTGAGACCAAAGCCAAACTCGTACCGAGGTGTTATATTCTCTTTATCGAAACGTCTGTAATCGATGTAGACACCTTCATCAAAATTGGACTGGGGGAAGTACTTGTAGACACCATCTGCCGCATCGGGGTTGAGTAAATGGCCGTAGTCAGACTCGTTCTTTGCATCCGTGTAAGGTAGCTTGCTCGACAAGTTCTCGTCACTCTAAAGGAGAGACACGAGGCCGCGCCATTTTCCTGGGCGGGCAGTTGTGCAAGATTCTGGCCGTGACATTGGGGTGGCCGACAAAGCCGTCTACCAACCGAGTTCCTGCATTATGCAATACCGCAATGGCCTTACTACACTGGTCTGCCACTGATCGAATCAGGTTATCCGTGTATTCGACTCGAAGAACCGACTGGTCGTAGCCCTCTCCAGCCCAAGCGTTGCCCATCATAATGCGTGCGTCGGAGGCGGGATCAACAGCTGGTGCAGCACTTGTCAAATCGTGGAAAATGGCAGTACTATCCTTATAGGCTCTTTGATTCAGCGCATCGAGAGGCGAGAGGTATGCGGAGGGCGTTGTGGATCCGGAACCGCCTCCACTGAGAATTGTGCCGTTGATTGCAATTGGGGGGATGGGTGCGTCACCAAGTCCGGCCATACGCAGCAGAATTTCCCTAGTGTCTGTGGCTAGGAGGCCCAAGGCCCACGCATTTCTGCCGCCGGTGCCGACACCAGGAGCACTCTGATCGGGTGCCTTCGCCGAGTATCCGAAGACTGAGAGCATCTTGGGAGTCTTCAGGGGAAGCTTGTTCCTGTTCTTCACAAGGACATGTCCCTCATCGGCACCCTGATATAGGACCGGATTGGCTGCGGGGTCTCAGCCATCAACGAGCTCATGGGGCGCGGTGACATCCAGTGGCATCCCGAAACCAGGCCTCGGGAATCCCTTGTTCTGGCCCGTCTTGTACCACGCCGCCAGAGTTCTAACGGAGACATCCCATCAGCCCTTCGTTTATAACTTTTATCGTCGTATCGGACGTACTTACCTAGCGGCCATGTCCGTAACGCGGGACTCTGGAGCTGTCCCATTGCGAACAGCCTTGGTAAGGTTGCCACCCCATAGATTCGGACCGGGCATGACTATATCCAAACCTGCAAGGGCTGAAGACACACCGGACCCGGGATACTGAGCACCCCAGTCCGACACCACGAAACCCTAGCCACGTTAGCAACCCAATGTTCGCGATAAGAAGACAGCAATACCTTACCTGGAAACCAAATTCTGCCTTCAACAAGCCATTCATGGCTTTACTGTTGGCACATACATAAGAGTTATTTACCTGCTGATAGGAGCACATAACAGAGGCGGTACCGGCCAAGACTGCGTTTTGGAAAGGCCTAATGACAACAACGTTTAGACACGATCCAAGTCCCGCTGTGGAAATGGAGAAGAGCAGGCAGTAACTCACCACATGTATAGTTCGTGCATGGTCTTATCATCGACGTTGGAAGAAACTGCCGTGACGTCACCAACTGGCTGTCGGTGCAGCTCCTGCTCGTTGGCGATAAAGTTCTACCAAGAGGTGTTAACGATAACCACGTCAGTATCTTGTGTGTTCAACTCACCTTAGTACATGCCATGACTCCGCGATTCTGCATTCCGACCACGGTTTCATATACAAGAGCGCCCGAGAGATAGGGATCAACAGAGAAGGCTTGCTCATCAAGTCAGTAAAGGCGTCAAAGCAGTAATTATAGGCCAATGGATTCGACGGGGGAAAATAATCACCTTCCCGGTTCCTCCCGCCGGTAACGACGCGGCCAAGAGCTCCTACAGCAGGACCAAGGGCTACGTTGACTCCCTTCTCCTTGAATTCATTTGCCATGGCGGAACCACGCTCAAGTGCGAGTTTCTTGTTCCAGCTATGCAATAGACGGTTAGTTAGTGAACGTTCTAATAAAAACGGACACAGGTTCAATGAAGCTCCTACGCGGCACCAGCGCGTAAACCACTTGGGAATGAGCTGACAAAATCAGTCTCCCTCACACTATTCCCGGAATCACCCAAACACAATCCCGGAAATCCAGCTCGGTCAATGGCAGAGATAAACCCTCCACAGCCAGTCGTTCGCTCAGCTCCCGTTACGAGGGTGACCTAACGTGTTGTGAGTGTTTGATCCCTTTTCGATGCGAGACAAAATGACGCTACTTTACCTTTTTCCTCGAGAGTTAGACGACTGACAAGTGCTTTGGCATTCTTGTAGGCAGATTTCCAATCGCCGATGCCCTTGCCCTCCGCTGCATCTGATCAGTTCTTGTCTCGTGTCCAGACTCGAAAAGCTCATATTACGTGTGGGCTATACCGGCAGAGACTGTCCGTAGAAATGCATGTCATTCGTAACGACCGAGTCACTTTCCAGGGAAGTAGAAACAGCCGAGAACACGGCAAGTCCGGTGGCAAGCAGGTGAGAAAACGAAGCCATCCTTGGCGGCGATGCAAGATCTGTCCTGGAGGAAAACCAGTGACAAAGCCTATTTCTTTTCTTGAGATGGGAATTTGTTTCCATTATGACTATCTTTTTTTCATAACATATCGCCTCCGCGTTTTAAATTCTCATGTTTTTATTTAGAGAACTCACCCCTCCCCGGGAAATACCTCGGACATTGGGGTTGCAGTAGGAAGTATTAGTGTCGGCCCTCTCGGCCTGGGGGAACTGGTGAAATTAACCCTGTTTCCTCGTATAGCTGCAGTCGTGGTTGGTCAATTGTTAAATCTGTGCGCAATTTTGAGCGAGCCGCGAAGTTAGGACGGCCATCCTCACTAGCAGCAAGATGAAGGAAAGAGGGAGAGAAATGGAATGCAGAAGAAAGGTCGTGGAGCCCGCATAACACGATTGCCGAAGACTGAGTGGGGAATGCACGATTGGGCCGATGCCGCTAATGAGACAACAGCGAGCTACATCGGAGCAGCTGCAGCACACCTAAGCGGGGCCGAGAATTACGGGCATATGACTCTAGCTGTCGTTTTCAGGTTAGTATTTCTTGAAGCTTCCGATCATAATGTGGGGTTTGATGCTTAAACCTATCGTAAAGGCCCAGCTCCGCGTATGCTACTAGGCAAGAAAAAGCACATTCCCCAAACTTGACCTAGCACTCACACCTAGAAGGCCGAACGTGACTTTACCTGGTTGGGCCAAGCGAGCCAATGCTTGTGCCCAGATTGTAGAGGAGAGGCCCAATGGGATTCTTCCTCGCAGAGTCTAGACTATTGCTGAGTAGTGAAGAGATTAAAGTCCGAGGTATTCATCCACCGCCGGTCCAGGTAAGAGTACATACTATACGTAAATTTGACGGCCTCCCTAGTCTCTAGTTCTCGACGGAAATTATTTAAGAGAGTGAGGACACCTCCCGACCTACACTTTCCTTCATGAGACTCACATTCACTGCCACGACCCTTATCCCTAAAGTTTTCATCGTCACAAGTCATAATGAGGTTCAGTCTTATCACAACTGCCTTACTGGCATGCACCTTCGACACGGCATCGGCCCAACTTGACTTTTGGGCGAAGAAGGCAGGACTGAAGTACTTTGGTTCTGCTACAGACAATCCCGGCATGCGAGAGCGTGCTGGCTGGGAGAAGAAGTATCCTAAGTATAACGCGATCTTTGCCAACAAGAAGGAGTTTAGCTCGACGACGCCGACCAATGGCATGAAGGTTCGAGTTTCCAAGCTGCCTGTTCAATGACTTACACTAATGCTCTCTGTTAGTGGTCAATTTTGGAGGAAACTGAAGGTACCCTCAACTTCACGGAGGGCGACTGGCTCGCCCAACTCGCAGAGAAGCAAGGCAAATCTCTGCGCTGCCACACCTTGGTTTACTGGGGATCTTTCCCGCGCTGGGCTTATTCTAAGCCCTGGACCAAGGAGTCACTAACCCAGGTGATCACTGACCATATCACCAAAGTTGTCAGCCATTATAAAGGTAAATGTTATGCTTGGGATGTTGCCAACGAGGCCCTCAACGATGACGGAACGTACCATGATGGATATTTCCTCTACAAGGTACTCGGCGAAGAATGGATCAAGTTGGCCTTCCGTGTTGCCCACCAGGTTGACCCCCATGCCAAACTTTACTACAACGATGTTGGGATTGAGACGCCAGGTCCCAAGGCCGACGGTGTTCTTCGGATTATCCGCATGTTGCAGGATGAAGGCATTCGTATTGATGGCATTGGGTTGCAGTCTCACATCGTGACGGGGAAGGCTGCCTCGCTCGACGAGTACATTTCTGCAATCAACGCTTATGGAAATCTCGGGATGGAGGTTGCTCTGACCGAGCTTGATGTCGGTATCAACCCCCCAGTCACTGAGAAGGCTCTCGCTCAGCAGAAGCGCGACTACAATACGGTATGTCCAAGTACCACTGAGAATGTACTCTACGGACACGCTAACACCAGATTAAAGATTGTAGGCGCGTGTGTCCAAGCCAGCGCTTGCATCGGCGTCACGCTGTGGGACTTCTACGATCCTTTCAGCTGGTTGGACTACTACTCCAACACGACTCAGGGCACCCTTTGGTTTGAGAACTTTAAGCGCCACCCCGCATATGACGGCGTTATTGATGCTTTGAAGAATGGCACCTGTAGTGGGCCTCGGGGTCATCGCTGGGCGACGTGTAAGGGCTAGTGCTAGGAGAGGTAGTCGGGGCTACGACCACCTGTGGCGACAAAAGCGCCACAATTAAATAGAACCCGCCTCCTGGCGCACTACCCTACCTTCGTGTAAACCTTAATATTTCCTAGTGCCTCGTGTGGAAGTGGGAGGAGGGCTCGGACTGAATTTTCGATCTCTGGCATTGGTCGGTGTTCCTCGTCGGCGAACCTGTTACCATCCACTAACAGTCAAATAATTCCACCAAGTCTAGGACATACCTAGATCCTCGTTGGCGCCACCAGTAGCCCGTGGTGGCAGCTCCTCCAACTTCTCCACACGTCGTAGTCACTATCTTAGACGTTCAGTCCGAGCATGCTCCTAACGGAACAACAGGGCATGTGAAAATTTCTAGATTAAAAAACTAAGCCTTTTATTCTGATCCGGCTCTGTTGAAAAAGCGGATTATTTTCAGCATACTACAATCTTCCCGGAATCAATCCGTATCTGTAGACGCTGTAGAGCGCCGTGTCTCAAGTTAGACGAGCTGAAGGGCACCCACTCTATGACCCGGTCACCCTCTGTGGTGAAGAGCGAGCCCGACCCGGGTGCAATGCACAACCTGAGAGGAAAAAAATAATAAAAGACGAAAAAAAAATAAATAAAATATAAAAGACCGGCCAAGAACTTGGGCAAAACGCCCGGCCTGGAGACCCGGATGGCTGGAGCAGAGCTCTTCCTCCAAATGCCCCGGGTTAAATGACCATCAAAACCGAAAAGGCCGCGAAGCTCGGCCCAAAGAGGTACTTTCACCGAGCATGACGACACGCCAATCAATACCACGACTTGCGTAATTATATGTAGAAAAAGTCGAGACTAAAACGTTCCTGACCGTCGACATACAACAAAATAGGCGGTCTATATCAACAAAAGAAAAGAGGAAATTCCTAAAAGTATTGCAGTTGGCCGAAATATGAAATTATGCGCAGCGCTGTCGTTCGGTACCCTTTTTTATTTTTATTTTTATTTTTATTTTTATTTTTATTTTTTATTTTTATTTTTAGAATTTAAGTGTTCTTTTGTCGGCGGCATTCCTTGATATGTCCAGGTGGGCATCGGCACTGCCGATCTTGTGGCCACAAGGACAGCGAAATTTAGGCCTACACTTGGATACGCACTTCTCATATAATACTGTGAACACTGCGTGACTGCCCTGCTTATTCCATAACGGGCACCTTCGACCCTGACGCTAGCAGCCCTCACCAAGCACACCGAGAACTATAGTGTTAGGATCGTACCACATTCACGGTGCCCTTGCCTCCATGTGACCACTCTGTGCCAGCACTCCGCACCTATATCATTAGAGAAACTCCCTGGCCACTTCTCATAGTTGGATAACAAATCTGCAGCGGATGATCATTCTAGAGACAATGTCGCGATCGAAGCAGGAGTCTGGAACGGAACACTTGGATTTAATGCAAAGCCTGGTTGAAGCAGTATGGAACTATGACGACCTTGATCCTGATCTGAGATTGAACCATAACACAAAGTTATCAAGCATTGTTTAAGCAGGACCTTGGATGCTATCCTTTGCCTAACTTAGAAAATTTATAGGGAAATCTTCTGGGTAGAGCAAGAAGAAGATTCTAGCTGTTCTAGTTCACGTTGGTTCCGCGAGACAGGCCACGCTTAGAGCGTATATCGGAACAATGGAGACCTATCTCCCAAGGCTGCAAGCTCCTCCTCTGTATATTTCTCGCGCACTTCAGCCTCCGACATCTGGTCTCTCTTCTTGTTTATCCGCATATATATTACATCGAGTGTCGTAGCGGCGATAATGCCCATTACCGCGAACGCCAGGGATGTCCCGAAGCCTGTAGGATAGGCTGGTGCTTCAGACTGGATGAAGATGTATGACGATACGATCCCACCAAGGTTACCAATCATAGCAATATAACCAAGGCCAAGTGCACGCTTTGCGGTCCCGGCAAGGTTGTTACTGATCCATGAGCTTGATCCAGGGCTGATCGGGTACAGGCCAATATTTGCAAGCACGATCGCGAAGTAGCATGCTCCCATGTTCTGCTTGATCTTCGGCGCCAGAGGTGTTAGAATGGAATATCCGATAATGACAAGGAACTGGGGAATAACGAGGAAGTAGGAGCGTCGTCTGAATTTGTCGGATAGCCTGCCGAATACATATGCGCTGATGGCCCCTGCGATATAAGGTGGTATTGTCCTTGACAGATATGTGTAAGTTAAAGGCTAAGGAAAGAAGCTTTTGTATACTTACATGAGTTGAGCATTGTTACCACTAAACCCCATATTCTTCATGATCTGAGGCATGGTGAACTTGAGACCGTAGGTTGGAATGTTGTTAGAATAATAGTTGAAGGCGAAGAGATAGAACTGCCAGTCAGACACAACCGCCCATAGCAGTTTCCAACTAAAGTGATGTCCAATTTCTTCGGCCCCGGAGCCGCCGTTTTGTAAAGTCATTCGAGCGACTAGATATCGGCATTCATCCTTCTTCAGCCAGCGAACGCCCTGCGGCGTGTCGGCAAGAATAAACGGGATTAGGACACCAACTATGACAGTCATAAGACCCTAGGCCAGTTTCAGCATTCACAGGTCCTCGCGTGATCGGATGTGAGTCCTACCTCCATGATGAAAATCCATCTCCAGCCGGCAAGGCCACCCACGCCGTCCATTTGGGCAAAGGCGTAGGCCAAAAGTCCCGAGAAAGCCCCAGACAAGGCAGATCCGACATAGAATATGCTGAATCGAGTGGCTAATTCGAACTTTGCATACCATTTCGTCATGAAGAGGAAGGCGCCCGGAACCAACCCTGGGAATTGTCAGCAAGCCGAAGCGGGTCAATTCATAGAAAGACACATACCAGCTTCAAAAAGACCCATAAGAAGCCGAACTGCCATGAGAGAAGCATAGCCTTTGACGATGCCGTGCTAATAATAAATCATCAACTCGGGTGCTTAAAGAATGGCAGCTTGGAGGGGCTAACCAGAGTCATCATTATCCCCCACAGAAGAGTTATTCCACCAATATACCAAGATGGATGCAGACGGAAATATTTCTCCAGGATGTAGTTGCTAGGTATATCTGCATTGATTCGTAAGCAACTCTAGCTCGTCATCAAGAGTAATACATGAATGGGAACGGAGACGGGTTGTAAGAGACCCACCAAAAGAGATATATGTGACGAAGAAGATGGAAAGAACGACGTTATATTGGTTCCCCGTCAGGCCTAAGTCCTCGCTCATACCCTTGGTCATGTCAGATGAGTTGTTATATTCTCAAAGGAGGGATTGCCACACCTCAGCCTGGGCGTTACCGATGTTGGCTCTATCAATAAAAGACAATACTTTTCTCCTATTAGTCGCCTGAGAATGCACAGCACAAGGACTTGAGGCCAGCTTACTGTAGAGACTGATGAGGATAGGTATAATGTGCAAATCCATCTTCCTGAGGAGCATTCTTCTGTCCTTGTCAGGGTAAGCTTCAACAAATTGTCGATCGGCTAATGCTGACGCGTCCCCCTTGCGACCCTCCATGTTCGTCTTGACTTCTGCGTGAACCGCGTAGAGCTCTTTGTCATTTATACTGGCCCTATCGAGAGAGCGACGGTTGGAAACCCCGTTCGGCATCGTAGAAGACAGTGGTTCAGGGTTAATAATGAAAGACGAAGAGGGATGATGTAGAGACGATTTTGTAGCACACAGCTCCTGGCTGGATATTCATGGTTTTTATGTGCAGAGATTCTGGGGGAGCAACTGTGGGACTTCCGCATTTCCCCATGGGGAACCTAATCATGGGTGCCGAGGCTAAGCCTATTCCGGATGGTATGCCTAGTACGTGCGGATACTTTGGATATATCGCTATGGTCCGGCAACTTCGTTTTATATCCACCTTGGTTTTAATGTTCTAATGCCGGCCTTTTCTAGACGTAAGTTCGGATCGCGCGTGACGAATCCAAGAGTAGCTATTCCTAAGTCCCAATCACGGCCCGCAAGCGACCTGCATTACCAGTCCGCTTCAGCGGGGCATTCTTGCTCGCGACGAAGCCTCGCAAGGATCTATCAATTGACTCTTTCGTCTAGTCGTATGCTAATACCAGGGTAAGCTTGACGATGACAAGAGTGAACATCAAAGATCACCAGATACATATAGAATTCATCAAGAGCTAGATCCATTGTGATAATTTCCTATCTACAGTTGACAGCGATTGGCACTTCAAATCAGATATTCCACACTTCCCTCTCTGCCGTCGAGACCACACATAAGAGTCATACATGGGGATTCTCATCATTCATCCACCACAAACCCATCTTTATGGAGACGCATTTTAATGGGCTGTACAAGTGGCGGTCTGATGGACTCTGCGTCTGCCAACAGATTCACACCCAGGCCTGGTCCTGATGGAATATCCACAAATCCGTCTACCGGTACGGGTACAAAATCGACAATATCGCTTCCCAGATGCTCTGACCTGTTGGTCAAGACCGTACGACCTTCGAGTCCAGTTGTGTACTCCTGAATCGAGAAATTAGGAATACATGCTGCAATCTGCAGACATGCAGCAAGCCCGATCGGAGAGAGGGGGTTGTGAGGCACTACCTGGACATGGTGTGCTTCTGCCATGGCTGCTATCTTCTTGGCTCCGGTAATACCACCGCAGACAGCAACATCGACTCGGACGTATTCGACAGCGTTCCGCGCCAATAGTGCCTGGAATTCGTAAAGGGTGCAGAAGCGCTCCCCGGTGCCAATCGGCACGGGCCCAATTCGATCAGCCACGCGAGCCATCGCATCAGTGTTTTCAGGACGAATTGGGTCTTCGACAAATAACGGATGTGTGTCCTGGATACCCTGACAGAATGTAATGGCTTCTGCTGGGGTTAGCCTCCTATGTACTTCCAATAAAAGATCAACATCATTGCCAACCAAAGCTCGTATCTTCTTGACGTTCTCAATGGCATCCCTTATTTTCTGTACATGAGTTTTAAAGTATTCGAGGTTCGAGTCCTCTTGAAGGAAAGGATTAATCTGACCAAAGGCTGTAAAGCCAAGGGCCATCTTTCGTTTGCATTCGTCCAAGATAGCCTCGATCGTACTGCCGTAAACATGACAATACACACGGGCTTTTGAGCGGCACATTCCCCCAAGAAGCTCGTAGATAGGAACGCCCAAAGCCTTTCCCTTTATATCCCAGAGGGCGATATCAATCGCTGAGATAGCGGAATTGATTGCAAGACCTTGGAAATAGCTGAAACGGTGCATGACATTCCAATGATGTTCGATGTCGAAAGCTCGTTTGCCGATAAGGTACTCTGCAAAACGTTTGATACACTGTCCCGCTGCCTCGATATGTCCCCATATCCCAGCTTCACCATAGCCAACAACACCTTGGTTGGTGGTGATGCGACAGAACATGAACTGGCCGATATGCAAAGGCTCGACAGCCTGTATGAACAGATCCTCATGAGGCATCTGAACCAGTTAGCTTACAGTGTAATGTCAAAATGAGCCCTCAAACTTACCGTTGTGGCAGGGAGGTGGCAAAGGATAAAGTAGGTGGAACAATAGAGGGAGAATGTGTTTGCCTCCTTGGCTTGAATTTGGGAATATGGCTCCTAATTTACAATGCCTGTTAGGGGTGAGTATTTAGAATCGAAGGAAATCCGGGGAGTGGGAGTTCCAGGAATTTCAAGGCGAACCACCGAGGACCCACTTTCATATCCGGGATTGGATACTTCTTAAGTACCCGAGTTGAAGGAATGCTTTCGGCCGATCATCCGTCGTCTACAACCGAGAAGAGTCACCCCACTCCCCAAACTTTAGGACCGATCGCTGAAAGGAGGTCATCGAAAGTTAGGACCTTGGCAAGGAGCTAGAACGGCGGCCGACTTGAATATGTTTCTCTTCTAAGTAGCGTGCTTTGATGGCGCCGTTACTGGCTGGAAACCGTCTCGGAACCACCGTGAGATGAGGCATGGGAGTGGATAAGACTCGGGAATCCATTGGCGACTTCAGAGACAAAGCTTCTCAAGCTTTCAAGGCGCAGCATTCACAGAACACAGACTATTAAGGGTGGGACGGGATTTGCGTAGCTTAATATTTAACATCAGTGAGAGATGGTGCATTCAGCCCTTGCCCATCGGTGGTGTCGAAGAAGCCATGACACGAGAACGTTCTATACACCATTGATCCTACATCTATTTCATTGATATGCAACAATGGTACTAGTTTCAATCTCCAACTGACGGGATCTACAATACGCTACCTAGGTTGGGAAGCACGTCGCTAAGATCAAGTGCCTGCATGTCATATCAGTAGCGGTCCTACCAGGAAGAAAAGGGAAAAGGAATGAGCGGTTAAAGGCAAACACAGGCTTACCAGGGAGCCGAGCTGTTCCCAATTGGGCATATCAAGAAAGTTGGCGATCTGGTTGCTGGAGTCATCCATCCATGGGGACTCATCTGTATCGTAGCACCCAAATAGCTGGTCAACCTCGTCGGGCTCCTGTTCGAAGACTGCGTTTGGCGATGACGAGTCGTGCTGGATTTGCTTGGCTACTTCGAGTCTGAACTCCTCCATGATGATGAGGTATCTCCGAGCCAGAGGATCAGTACCTGCTACAGCAGCAATCCGCTTTTGGCAATTTTCTGCCGCACGGTAGTTTCCCAGCCAAGTGGAGGGATCATCGTGTCTGTCGAGCGTCGCACACGTATAGAGAACCACTACAGCGCAGAATGCTGTGTGGTTTGGTAACCATGAGGCTGCAGGAAGGCGGTCTGAGTCAATCATGCGAGTTATGATATCGACTATACCCATAGCCGCGCGGATGCATCTGTCCATGTTGCTTCGGCTTCGTTCTGCTGTAGGCGAATGAATATTGTTCAGCAGGCATGGCCTGAATATGAGTATCTCCAAATGCCGTACTGCTAAATTGAGTACGTCACTTTGGTCCCGGAAAGGTCCAACTAAGTTCCAGGAATCCACCTTCTCTTGGTTGAGAAATGCTGGTAGATCTTCCCGCCACCTGTCGACTTCTCTACCAAGTTCCGCTGTGATCTCAAGCAACGCAGAATGCTCCAACTGCTGGATTCCATAAAGACGACGGAGAGTCTGGCTGAGGATCTGGCCAAGTTTCTGGTGGTAGAGTGGTGCCATCATACTATTCATTTTGTTTGTGCCCGTGGTGTTGATCGCAGTAGCCGATATGTCGGTATCCTCAATAACGGTAGGCATATCTTGATCTATATCGTTATCATGTAAGGCACACGGGCGGCCAAACATGGAGCTGAGATATTTATCGAGGACATACGCGCACCAAAATACACGTTTCCCGCATTCCTCTTGCACTAGATCACTGTGACTAGTATCGGAAACAGCTTTCCTGCGGTTGAGTCCAAGTGCTAGTAGGAGCCGTGTCACTGTGCCGAATAAGGTCCAACAGTGATTGAAGCGTTGATTTGACAGAACCCATAGAGAGCATCCGAGTAATGCTTGGACACTACTCAACGTAGCTGGTTCCACCTCTCGGCTCGAGTATCGCTCAGAAGCTTGAAAGTATTCAACACTGCATGGAACATGATAATTAGCGTACTCGAAGAAAATTTTCAGTTGTAGGAGTCAATATACCCGGTCCCTAGGCCAGACTCATCTGACATTCTGTAAGGATATCGCGACGCTCGGGCAAACACCATCAATACGACAGCATACTTGCTATTTGCATGGTCTTCCAAGATCCGGCCATGATCATAGAGTTGTTGGATCCAACTCTCCACGGTAGGTCGGTGGAGGAATTTATAAGTCGGCGAAATCAGCTCAAAGTATATCCTTGATAGCTCTTCTGCTTTCTCTCGTGGAGGAGGGGCAAATCTTTCCTCATCAAACTCGGGGAGGATCGCGTCGCCGCGTGTGAGAACTGTTGATGAGGCATTCTTGCTCGCCCGAGTTTGACTTCGAAGCCGTCTTTGCAAACGTGATAGAAAATTGAGGCTGGAAGAAGCCCCAACGAAGGGGCCGTGCCCGCCCCCTTGGCAAGCCCCTGATGAGTCTCGAGTATGTATACTTTCGTCGCGAGCTGTTGTAGTGTCCACTACTCGAGTAGCTGATCTTGCTCTATTTTCGGGGGAAACGGTTGGAGACACGGTTGGGTTAGTAGGTTGCAAATGTTTCTTTCTTCTCTGCCCTCTATGATATGGTGCTTTGTATTCGCAGGTTATGCCTTCGGCCATGCAATGCTGACAGGGGCGGTCTCCGGTGCATCGTATCCTCTTCCTTTGACATCCTTAGTACAAACGCCCAGGACATGCTTGGGAGGATGAGAGCTGGTGCGGCTCACTGATCCTCAACCCCCAAAGGTTGAAGGTCGGTCATAAGTGACAAACACGAGAATTCGGCGGTGTAAACAACTATACCGATGACTGTACTTACCTTTTGCAGTAGTCGCAGGCTCTCCCAACCCGTCGACGTTGTGTCGTTGCCACCTCTCCTTCCCTTGTAAGGTTCGAGGTATCCGGTATGGATGCTGTGGAGGATAACCTAGGGTATGTCGCTTCTCCGGCCATTGACGTTGTCAAGGTTGAGGAATACTTGATGTTTCCTTGAGACAGCTGAAAGAAGTTCCCCGCTGATTGTGACGGTGGATTCGGGAATGAAAATATAGCCGACGAATATCCACACCGGATATTTCAGATCGGAAATAGCCACCCCGCCACTATGTAGCACTTGGTCAATTCCTGAGGCGCTAAGCTGTTTTTTAGCGATCTTATTGCTGTTTTCGGAACGCTCTGGCTACTATTGGGAGGGGTTGGTTCGCCATCTTCGGATGCTCGATCGGTTGCAACCGAAATGATTATCCTCACAAGCAGGTAACCATCCAAGCCACTGGGCCATCGCTGGAGGAAACCACACAGGCTAAGCATAGAGATGTTGGAAAAAAGGTCTGGGCGCTGGACTCTCAAAATAGATCTATCCATAATCCGCCGATCTCACTATCATTGGTGATTAGAGTAAATTATTAGGGATTCCAGCGGCCCTCAGAAAGCAACTGGGAGTCGTCTCACAGCTTTCCCAGTTAACCAAATGCTTAGGTCTTACCGCTTGCCAGTTTTAAATTCTTCATTTCCACGCGGGCTGTGTCTCGCCCCTTCACGAGGTTGGGAACGTGGAATGTCGATCCCTGACCGAGAAAGAAGAAGAGAAAAGAAAAAAAAAAAATATTGGCGAATGGTGGTTTCCCTCGCCAAGTTCTTCTCTCTTCCTTCCCCAAGACATGTCTTGGGCCCAAAGTCCAGGAGAGATCCGTATCAGCTGTGATTTGGCCTGGTAGAATGCTATCTTCTTCAAATAAACCCTTTAGCGTCTCGCCGCGTCTCCAATTCAAGAATTCCTTCGCGTCGGAAGCCAAAGCCGAAACTGCGTTGGGTCGGACTTTCGGAGTTAAGGCATCCCTGATTTCCGATGACGGAACACAGCTTGCGTGTGACGACATTGTTCCCCCGCCATGCTTCACGATATTAATTATTAAGGCACATTAATACAAGTACACGGGATATCTTTGACGTTTAAGAGACAGTTAGTAACAAGTGCATCTGTTCTTAATCAACTACCATCCTCTCTGTGTAGGAGGATATTCCAGCAATGATAAGCGAACATTGGAATGCATATTTTCTCACGGTCTCGCGCTCATGCCTCGAAGAGCTTGGCCTTGTATCTTTTTATCAGACTCCGGGTGATGTGAAGTTGATATGTCTATTGCGCGCCTCACGAATGTTCGCCTATGGCGCCTTGACCCTGGTTCTGGTCGCCTTCCTCCGGGAGCTCCACGTGTCTCAGACGCGCATTGGACTGTTCATGACCCTAACACTAGTCGGTGATGTTCTGATCAGCTTCGTGCTCGCCATCTTCGCCGATAGTGTGGGCCGCAGAGCGGTTCTTCGCATGGGCGCAGTGCTGATGATAGTTAGCGGCACTACCTTTTTCTTGTCACAGAATTATTGGTTTCTCCTCATGGCTGCCATCTTCGGCATCCTCAGTCCAAAGTAAGCACTTATTTTGCCTAATTCATCCGAGGTTCTTGTGGTTGACGCGGACATGTATCTCAGTGGAGGTGAGACCGGTCCATTCCGGGCCATAGAGGAGAGCACGCTGGCCCACCTGACCGACCAGCGCGCGAGGAGTGATGTCTATGCATGGTACAATGTGTCTGGAACCATCGGGTCTGCCTTTGGCCTAGTTATCTGCGGCTGGGCTATCCATTACCTACACACGAACCTAGGGTGGCAACTCATTGATGGGTATAGAGCTATATTCTGTGGCTATGCTCTTGTCGGGCTCGCGAAAGTTTTCTTGGTTTCCGGACTCAGTGATTCGGTCGAATTGAGTGGGCCAGAGAAAGCAGGGCCTCAAAGTCGCGGTGCCGGGAATACGGCGGAATCCACGCCTCTTCTCGGCCAGGTCACGCCGGAAGAAGAATTGAACTCGGTGCCTATCAAATCAGGCAAAGGGCCAATGCTACCCACGATCAGCCAGGAGAGCGTCAGAGTTATATCTACTCTCTGCCTCCTATTTGCTTTGGATAGCTTTGCGACGGGTCTAGCTCCGCTGTGAGTAGTGGCTCACTCATTGCTTCTACTACGGCGCGCTGTCATACTAACTTGGAGATTTAGAGCTTGGGTGACATTCTTTTTCCGGTCGCGGTATGGGTTGGAAGAGGGCGAACTTGGCTCCATCTTCTTCGTGACAAGGATCATCGGTGCGATAGCCATGATTCTGGCGTCTTCCTTGGCTAAACGTCATGGCAACATCAAAGTAAATCCTGCTTTTCCATCTACCATACCCCTATTCAAAATATCTTTGCACTTACAACTCTGACTTGTTTACTTAGACAATGGTCTTCACGCACCTACCGTCTGCATTGTTTCTGGCCCTTATCCCAGTTCCAAACGATGTACACTTCTCGGTTCTCTTCCTCATTCTACGCTCTGGCCTGCAGTGCATGAGTATTGCTCCTCGCTCAGCCTTCGTCGCTGCTATTGTCCTGCCACAGGAGAGAACAGCAATGATGGGTCTAGTCAACGTCGTAAGGACGACGGCCCAGAGTATTGGACCCTTCGTGACCGGAATGCTGGCAGATGGGGGCTTGTTTTGGACGTCTTTTGTCTGCGCTGGGAGCTTGCGGGCCTGCTATGATATCGGCCTTCTAATCTTGTTCAAGAACATTGAGCAAGAAAGGACAAAAGAAGCTGAGAGCGTCGACGAGGAACGGATCGTGGATTAACTCGCGCACATACGCAGTTTACTCGCATCCTGTTCTCCTGTATTTCAGACTGGGTAATTATAGACATAGAGTGATTGCTAGATTTACGAACAAAATCATTCAAGACTGAGATATCTGCAAGCCTACCTATTAATACAGTATACTGTATTCTGATCATCTCCCAAAAATAATTCTGCAAATCGAATCGAATCGACACCCTATTTGAATTAGCAACCCATGACAGCACGTGGGATAATTCACCACTACAAGAGGCGGATATATAATAGGTAGCACTAGTCACACTTGCCCCGCGGACCCGCAGAGTGGGAGAGAGGGGGCTATATCTAGGCTATCAAAACGCCAATGTGCTAATCAACAACGACCGGAACGACATGGCGATAGGGAATGACCACGTCTCCTTCAAGAATGGCCCTATCTAGGTAAGATGTCAATTCAAACACCGTTAGAAGATGGCGGAGGGGTCGCTCCCTCGTGTCAAATAAAGAGTGAAATCCCAATCCCACCAGATCAGCCCAAGTTTCGTAAAAAAACGAACCGAAAAAGCGAGCGCCCAGTCTCTAGAGTAACCCCTGACTGCTTGAGAGTAGTATCATACGACGTATCCACTCGATTCGGATTAGCATCCGTTCTTGTCATCAGTTGGTATGATTCTGACAAAAGCCTCACGAGGCTCTCATCTATGCCAGTGTGCGAAAATTCCTCTTCGAGGTAGTCGGTCTCCATCTATCTCGTCTATATGCGGCATGCAGGGCAGACGACCCATTTTAGTCAATCGTGTTTCTTTGGTGCTCATGTCTCCAGGGTGCCCCGGATATCGATGAATCGAGTGCCTCATCTTAAGGACCCGCAGTTACATGGATGTAAACCTAGGGAAGCAGGGAAGCCCTGTGGTTATTCGAGCCATTTCTAACGCTATACACAATCTTAATCGAAAGTTCGAAAGTCTTACCAGAATCTCATAGATGAATACCATTCAGAGAGATTGCTGTTTTGTCTTGACCTAATCTATTACGTTACACGCAGGTCCCCCACTGGCCCTGGGCTAAGGGCGGCCGAAAGAGACGTGCAATCGATTGAATTGCGACAGGGGATTCTAATGCCAGGAATTAAGTGCTCACGTCCCGTCGTCTGGCGGAAGCGTTCAATGTAAGAAATCTTCCAGTTTCACCGACGCCGACCCACAACCCCAAACGACAACTTGAGAGACAACGCTCTTGGGGGCGAGCTGGAACTGTCGAACACATCAGTATTTTCGACATTTAGTGTCCTCGGCATGAGGCATCTTCCACTGTTGTGCCAAGCCCGCTGGCGTCTCTCCTGCAGCCACCCCCAGATCCGGGACGCCGGGGAGACCGACACTCCATCTCAAAAGGAATCTGGAGAACCGAGCCCCTAGGGCAGGATGACACCGGAAAAAAAGATGGAATATTCCATTTGGACCCATTCCCGTTCGTAAATAACAGCTAATTGGTTTTGAGCCCTATCTTTTAGTGGATTAAGCTAGCAAGTTCCCACAATACGGGGATGGCTCGGCGAGAAAAAAAAAATTTGCACATCGCCACTCCACTGTCCTTCCCATTTCGGCCACTCGGCCAGGCGTGGCCCCCATGCCCACTCCATTGTACATAATGGCCGATACAAGATTTCTCCGGGCTCGATATTTGTGTGCTGATCAATTCTCTATTGCCATATGATGAACGTGGTATGACAGGGCCCAGCCTCCTCATTCTTGTCGCGTTGCTGCCTTTCGACTCTCCCTTGACTTCTCAGTTCTGAGCTGCGTTTTCAGAGCCCCACCGACGACAATCTCACCCCTGGCCTCAATGGCTAATGCAATATTTTCAGAAAAAACCGACCCGACATCTTCGGGTAGAATTCCGGGATCTAAGAGCGATTACGATGTTGGGGAAGGCGCTAGTACCGAGCGGTCGAAGGAGGATGTCGAGGCCGGGGAGGGTGGTCTTGAGCGAGCCCTGACAAGCCGCCATCTTCAGTTCATCGCCATCGGAGGAACAATTGGAACCGGCCTTTTCCTTGGTCTTGGCAACGCCCTTGCCACCGCTGGCCCCGTCTCACTTCTCATCGCCTTCGCTTTTATCGGCACCGTGGTTTTTTCGGTCATGGTTAGTCTGGGTGAGATGGCGGCTTTCATGCCCGTCGCTGGGTCCTTCACGGTCTACGCGACTCGGCTCGTTGATCCGGCCCTTGGGTTTTCTATGGGTTGGACCTACTGGTTCAGCTGGAATATCACCTATGCGCTCGAGTTGACAGCGGCGGGTCTCATTATCCAGTACTGGCAGCATAGCCTAAGTATTGCCATCTGGATCGCGGTTTTCTGGGTGATCTTCTCCGCCGTGAACTTTCTACCAGTCCGCTGGTTCGGCGAGATCGAGATGTGGTTCTCCAGTATTAAAGTCATCACCGTCATTGGTTTTATTATTTTCGCGATCTGTGTGAATGCCGGCGTTGGCGATGAGGGGTACATCGGCTTCAAGTACTGGAAAGACCCCGGTCCATTTGCGGAATACATGGTTGAAGGGGCGATTGGAAAGTTTGTTGGTTTCTGGGCAGTTCTCGTTACCGCTGCCTTCACTTTCCAAGGTGCTGAGCTGGTGGGAGTGGGCGCTGGCGAGACGAAAAACCCGGAGAAGAGCATCCCCTCGGCCATCCGCTGGACATTCTGGGGCATTTTCGTTCTCTTCCTGGCGGCCGTTTTCTTCGTTGGGATCAACCTTCCTTACAACCTCGAGGGTTTAAAGACCGACGCGACCGACGCATCTGCATCTCCTCTCGTCCTTATTGCGCAACGGGCCGGTGTCCCCGTCCTACCACATATCATTAACGCCGTCCTTCTGACCGCGGTTCTTTCAGCAGCGAACTCGAATGTCTACTCCAGCAGTCGAATCCTTGTGGCTTTAGCGGAAGAGGGACTTGCTCCGAGTTTTATCAGGCGAACGAACCGGTATGGCACGCCATATGTCGCAGTCGCGTTATGCTCTCTGTTAGGTCTTTTGGGGCTCCTCAATCTTTCCGAGAACGGAACACGGGTCTTCACCTGGTTGCTTAACATAAGTTCCACGAGTGCCTTGGTAACTTGGGCTGGCATTAATGTGTGCCATGTCCGCTTCCTCAGCATTCTCAAGGCCCAGAAAATCGACCGGGCAATCTTGCCCTACCGCGCCCCGCTTCAGCCATATTTATCTTGGTACGGTCTGTTTATGAGCTCGTTGATCGTTATTACCGTCGGCTTCACGGTATTCATCCAGTGGAATACTAGTGATTTCTTTTCATGTTACATCAGCTTAATGCTTTGGTTGGTTTTATATGTGGGATATAAACTCCTATGCCGGACGAAGGTGGTTCCCTTGTTAGAAGCGGATGTAAATATCGGCAGCGAAACTAGTTATGGGAGGAAGCCTTGATTGGCATTCATCGTTCGAGAGGAACCGATATTGTACTTTTATGTCAGCGGTCACTATTCATTTAAGCATGCATATTCATTCTGTATAGTTGAAATACCTAGCCCCTTTTTGATAAGGTTCCCGGGTCCTAAAGTGTGTATGTATAACGATGCAAAGGTTGTAAGAGCAAATGCTAAATTGGGAATGGAAAACAACCGTCGAGGTCAGTTCTATAATAACTTCTCGAAAGCTGCGGAGGGGAGAACATGATCATAAAATAGTTACGGGCGTCCCCACAAGTAGCCTGGTAGGCATTCACAAAATAGACTTCACGAGTAACAGCAATTCCCCGTTATTCGAAGAGTCCTGTTGCGCAAGAGCAAGTGGCATGGCCTCACTCCATATCTACAAGCAGAATTGACTATCCTCGGCCATTGATTGTGGCCATCTGTTATATTAAACTGATGTATTGTGTTGCCACTTTTTTACCCGAATCTTATGCTTGTTGAACATGACAAGTCCAGTGCAGAACATAGAACTTCGTGGCTAAGTATTATTGAATCTGGGAACACAGAACCAGGGATGTTCCTGGAACATCCTGGAGTTGATTAGAGTTGCCCTTAATTTTCTTGTCGTTCCCAGGCGGATTGAAGTAGAATTATTGATCCTGATAGACTCTCTAAACCTTCTCAACAAGTTCCGCTGCCTTCTTTTCCGATTCTACGTATGAGGACTTTTGCTTCAATTCATCTTGGTAGAGAGTCTGCGCGCTCTTGGTCTCAACGGAACCGAACTTGCGTAGAGGGACGCCGCTGGCGAAGAGCTGGTCGACCTCCTCGAGAGTACGACCCTTGAGCTCAGGGATGAAGAAGAAAGTCAGGACGACCATGATGACATTGATGGCACCGTAGATGAATCCGACCTTGGCGCCGAGGTTCGCGTATCGCTCGTTGATAAGATACGGGATCGTGAAGGACGTGACGAAGGTGGTTAGAACTGAAATAACACTCGCTAGGAGATTGGTTTTCTCCTTTAGGCGTGAAGCGGCAGCTTCGGACAAGACGACGTAGGACCTGCAATGAAAGGGTTTGTCAGAAAAAAAGAAAAAGGTCAACCGATAGGTTAAATCGCTGTAATCGGAAAAAAAATTCCACGTACGAAGGCGCCCAAGATAAGTTGAAGAAAAACTGGAACAGCATCACAGAAGCAACCACCAGTCCTTTTCCCGCCGAGTTGATGTTGCTGGAAGAGCCCATTCCGCCGAGGATGAATAGCCAAAGGGCCATGAGTGTGCCTCCGACCATCAGAATCGGCCTTCGGCCGATGCCATCGATAAAGGACCACGTAAAGAAAATGGCTACGAGCGAGAGAATGTTTTGGATAATGTTGAACAAGAAAGACTTGTCGCCGAATCCCTGAGATTGATAAAAGACCACGCCGTACTGCGAGGGGAAAGCCTGGCCGGTGATTTGCTGGCCGAACATTGCGAGCACTGCGACGGCGGTTCGAGACTGTGGAATGTTTGTGTGAGTGAAAGTGAAGCAAGTGAAAGAGGGAAGTTTAACGTGGGTTTTATCGGGGAGCGCGGCGGCCATATTTGACGCGTAAACAGCAACTAACCCTGTTCGTCCGATTAAACACTTCGGACCATGTGCCTTTCTCCTCGTTATTATTTATATATATCAGGGCCTCGATCTCTAGCTGGATTTCGTCATCGCCGTCTCCGGGCCTCAGCTTGCGCAAGTTCTTCGTGGCTTCCTCTCGCCTGCCGCGCCTTAATAGCCAACGGGGTGACTCAGGGACAAGAGGCAGCAGGGCTAAGATGATCGCGGGGATAATAAGCTGCAGGCCAGTAGGAATGCGCCATCCGGGGTCGCTATCAATATTCTTCGTGCCGTACGTGACGCAAGTAGCAACTACCTGTCCGAGGATGATCATGAGCTGGATTGTCGAGGCGAAAGTGCCGCGGAGCATCTCTGGAGACGTCTCGGCTTGGTAGATGGGTACGACAACGATGGCCATTCCCGTCATACCAAAAGTGATGATGCGGCCGACGGTGAACATGGCTCTATCGACTGCGGCGACCTGCAGGGTAACACCACTGTTGCGACATGAGTCAGTGTGGATGCTCTCGGAAATTTGGCGGGGTGGGAATTGGGGAGAGAATGGCGGAGAGAATGACGGAGGGAAGATGACGCCACCTACATGAAGGACACAATGCAGAGGCCCAAGATAGCAGCGCGGCGGCCCCATCTCTCAGCGATCCAGCCGCACGATATGCAACCCTTGACGTTATTAGTCTCCACCAAGAATTCCAGTATTATGTATTGGGGCCTTGCTGCGTACCAGAGCTTTACCAATGAACGGTGTAGCTGTCATTACTGACGACAGCCATCCCGGAAGTTGCCATCTGCCTTTCGCCTCATTGTACTCGCCGAATTTGCGACCGAAACTGTTCATAGCTTGCACTCCGGAGAAGATACCGACGTCGTATCCGAAATTGAAGGCACACATTGCCATGTAACTGGAGCAATTTTGGTCAGCACGTCCACATCCCACAGACGGGGCCATCAATGGAAGAGTGATGACATACAACATAAGGAAACCGAGCATCCCATTGAGGCGGCCCAAGCGCTGAATGAGAGGCATGTCGCGTGGTGTCTGGGACGCCGTGGCAGCCATCTTGCTGGTGATTGCAAACGCGTTTTGTTCTCGAGACGACAGGGCGCACGGCGTCTTAGGAAGTATAGAGGAAGCGAGTTGGGGAGAAATAGAATATCATCAAAGGAAGGATCAGATACACCACGGAATATCTCCAGGCTGCCGAACACCACGGCCACGAGGATATTTATATCTGAACTCCAAAAAGGAGTTCGGTAGTCGAGGCTATTCGCTTTTCCACCACACGGACAAACGAGAAAGTTGGAGGTGGCCCACTCCCCCATTTCCCCATTTCCAGATTTCAGCATTTCCCCAGGTTTTTGCGACTTTATATGGCCCCATTGAGGAATAGAGCTCCAAACTAAAGCTGGGATGTGACTAGGGTGCATTCCACAGTCCCGCCACAGTGATGTCTTGTTGTGTAGGCTCTGACCCAAGGCGAGGGGGTTAGTGCGAGATCCGGTGCGAGTTGTGGTGCGAACTGCGATGCCCAGCGATGTCCGTCTGGTCAGGCAACGCTTAACTTAAATTGGCAAGTGGAGGCGTTCCATGTTTTCAGTTTTCACGGCATTCCGAAGTAGGCATCAAATGATACTCACGTGATCGTGATGCCTGCACAACCTCTGCTGGTTTCTCTTTGGCGTTCAGCATTCCATCTGAAGATTTGGAGCTTGCCGTTTGACCTTTCTTCCCCGGATTGCAACGCTAATTAACGGTCTCCTGCAGAGTATAGACCCACAGCCCGCCTGTCAGCGTTCCCGTGGGTCCATCACCTCGTGCCATGGGTCACTGGTATGGAGCTGTCATCCGAGTCTCCCGCAGAGGGCCGAAAGGCCCAAAGAGGTACGTTTGCGATGTGTGTCTCGTCCTCGAGATGTCTCTGACGTGGACAACATGGACATTCTATTGACATACTGTTATCCATAGCATGTATCGTGTGTCGGTCCAGGAAGGTACGTGGTCCATCTCCCCCATCTCCCGGCCCTCCCTGCTAAATGTCAGTCAACATGCACCCTGTTCTCACAATATCTTGGCTATCTAGGTCCGGTGTGACAGGGCGCTTCCCGCCTGCCGTAATTGTATCCGCCTCGGTGTTTCGTGTCCAGGCTATGACAATGACCATGAAAGTCTCTCCAGGAGTCAGATGCTCCAGTCGACGCAGGAGATTTTCAGGGCTGCTGGGAAGGAGAAACGCCGCATAGGTTCCTGCGAGCCGTGCCGACGGTTGAAACATCATTGCACTAGGACGAGGCCTTCTTGCAAGAGATGCATATTAAGGGGACTGGACTGTGTATATGCTACCAAATATGATAGGGACAGCGGTAGTAGCAACCTTTCTGTTGCTGCTGATCCATCTGACAGCTCACCCGGGCGCAATATTCACCCGCTGTACCTCGAAGTTCGTGGCCTGAAGATTCACCTTGAGCAGTGAGTCTTATCCTTGACACTCGAACTCGATAGCTCTCCTTTCCCTCTGGACCTGCCTCTCCCCATCACCCTTCAACCTGACCTTTGCTCGTGTCCTACTCATCGCTGCTGTCTGTTTCCGCGGTTGCTGGAACTTCTAGCCGTTCGATACTTCTGCTGATATTTTTTTTTGGGGATTAAAGGCTATATTCGGATACGCTACCTGAAGACCCTGTGTTGAGATCTCACCTTATCGCTGCGTACTTTGAGCGAGTCCATCCTCTACGTTGCTTGTCTTTCATTCATAAGCCCTCTTTTTTGCACGCCCTGGCTCGCGACAGTATTGTTCAGGACTACGGTGAGCCTCTGTTATACGTTATATGTGCCCTCGGTATAAGGTCGATTTCGTCCTCCCCTTGCCCTCCTGAACATGCAGGAACTGTCTGTCCCTTGGCGATCCGAGTTGACATTTTCCTGTAGTGTTCTCCTTTCCGATGCGATTCGATCCCGAACTCTGGAACAACGAGCAGGGGCCCCGACGCCGGGTGAGGCGTGGGCCGAATATGCCCGCAAGAAAGTGCTCTTGGAGGCTCATGTCCCGACAGTCCAGCATGTCATGGTGAGTCTCCTGTTTGGGCTCACTAGCTCGCGCGTATCACCTTCAAATCGCCGTATTGACCATCCTGTCATATAGACAATGGTGCTTCTTTGCGAGTACAGTATCAAAGCGGACCAACATGCGCTAGCCTTTACGCTCTCAGGCTCATTATTCCGATCTCTTCGTCTTCTTGGGTTTGACACACCATCGCGATTTCCAGTAGCCTCGGACACGCCGAGTGAGCGCCTGACCCACGAGACGGAAAATAGACTCGCCTGGGCATGCGTCCATCTCGACCTTTTACTTTCTTCCGGCGTGGATAAACACTCTCTGTGGCGTGATGACTTCCCCCGAATCCCTCTCCCCTGCTCTAACCAAGACTTTCTTTCCCTTTGCCATTCCGCTCCATATTTTCTTACCGACTTTGAGGGTCCTGATATGCTACCTATAATAAACCAGTTAGACCTGCCCGCTCTTTCGACCATTTTGATTCGATTGCGATCCATGGTCCTCAGGTATTTTTTTCCCTTGTTTCCATTTCGTTGAATGCGTCGGATACTGGGAAAAAAAAAAAAAAAAAAAAAAAATTAGAAAAGTTGGCTCACGGCGTAATAGACTGATCCGCACTACACCGTCCGCAGATTCTCGTATATGGGAGCCGTCTTCTCCATTCAGGACAGCATTACAGCAGCTAGAATTGTTCTACATGCACCTCCCCGCCAGATTTCACCTAACAGATCTCAATATGTACATGCACGACGATCAGCATGTAATCGGGGCAGTTGTCTTTTTGCATCTGATATATCACGGTGCTATAGTTGACCTCACCAGGATAACCTTGGCCGGTTTCAACTTTCCACTCGCCGAGGCGTTCTCCAACGCTCCCGTCGAGTTTCGATCGGACTTGCAGAGGCGCTGCCGCCTCCACGCAAACGAAGTCTCCGGTATCATTGAGAAGGGCTTACTCCACGGCAACGCCGCTTTTGATGAGCCCTTTTGCGCTAGTGTTGCCATGGAATCAGCCAAGATCCAAATCATCTACTCTGCGACGGCGGAAAACTGCCCCCAGTCGGCGGAGACTACCAGACATAACCTGAAGACGAACTTACGGCTATTAGAGTTATTGCATGCTGGAAAAGAAGGTCGGAGTCCATATGTGAGTAACTCGCGTGTTATCCTTGATTCACGATTGTCCCATTGTGCCTGCTTTAGCGCTAATGGTGGATAGATTCGGACCCTGCTACCCCTTTGCGCGGTTTTCGGGTTCCAAGACGTCGCGGAAGAATGGGGAGGACTTACATCGTATGGACTTTCGGATTTTCTTTTCGCCACCTACCCCCTTGCCTTTGAGTGGCCGGCATTCTTCGTGAACAAGGACTGACTAACTCGCTCGCCTTGACAGTTCCGCCACCTACTCTGCAGAAGTTACCGGCGACGCTGCGATAAATCACTTGTCAAGCATCGCTCCGTTCCGTCAGGCTCAGTCTGAGGTGAACGCCAAGCGGCAGAGAATTGCGACTAATAGTGCTGCCTCATCGTCGCCGGACCCCACTGGGAATACTGCCATACCAGGTCAAATGCAACAGCCCGTGCCGACTCATACCTCTCGCGCGAACTTAGCCATGCCTGCGATGGATCAGTGGATGAACACCAGCTTTCCTAGAGATCAAGGAATATCCCCGCCTCCCCGCAGCCCAATAGCTACACAGCCTCCGACCGGCGGTGGCAATAGCGCCGAAGGCTTGAGCATGGGAGAAGAAGTCCAAGCATCCTTGCAAAGTGCTTCTTTTCAAGGAGCACAACCATCGATGGAAGATTATATCAGGACGGCAAATGGCATGTATGATTATCTGACCTGGGATGTGTCTGAAATATCCGAACTACCACCGTTTGTTACATTTAATCTCCCGTGCCATCCGGACGGGTAAGCTAGACTAAAGACTAAAGACTAAAGACTGAAGCGCCGATATATATATCTATCTCCTTATATGCTCGATACCTTGGGGACCACACTCTCGAGCCTTTCCGGTGTAATGTCTGGTTTTCCGATGTATTTAATCCACGCATATGGGTCATCCATCTCGTCAAAAACTGACCCTTTCCCTTGAATTATCTGGGGATACTCTCCCGCCACTCCTATGACCCCAACATCACTTTTGTATTCCTCCCAGAGTGCCAGCATCTCGCTCAGAAGCTCCGGCCTCTCCTCCGCGAGGTCGGTTATCTCACCGGGATCGTCCATAATGTTGAACAGCTCCCACTTCTGCGGGCCTTTGGGCGCCGGGACGAAGGTGATTTTCCAGTCCCCTCGGCGCAATGCGCCTGACCCTGCTATCTCAAAGCCCATGACGTAGTCTGAGCCGTGGATGCCGTGGCGCCCGGATGGAGAGTCGGTCGAGTGGATGAGGGAGAGGAAGTTGACCCAGCTGCGGCCCCGTAGCGGTGCGATTTTACGTCCCTTGTAAGTAGCAGGGTGGCTGAGTCTCGCTAGGTCTAAGAGCGTGGGGACAATATCCATAACGGTGCAGAAGGCATCGGTAATGACGCTGTTGCTAGCCGCTGTTTGAGACACGAGGCGCGCAGGAGGCTTGACGACGAGCGGTACTCTACATCCTCCCTCTGTCGAGTGCATCTTGAAAAGGCGTGAAGGCGCGGTTGCAGCCTGTGCCCAGCGACAGCCATACCAGACGAAGCTGTCGGCCCTTCCAATATTCTCCAGACTGTTGTTGTAGTACTTTTCGATATGGGCCATGATGTTGTCACCGACGAGAGGGGTAGCCTCGTAGCTGGCGCCCTCAGCCCCATTGTCACTCATGAACAAAATGAGTGTGTTGTCATACGTGCCTGTCGTTTTGAGGTGCTCGAGAACACGCCCAATATTCCAGTCCATGCGGTCTACCATGCCGGCATACACCTCCATGGCGCGGCTTGATGCCTTGCGCACGTTTTCGGGGAGTTCGTCCCACTTCTCCGGCTTTCCACCTGCGATAACCACTGGATGAGGAATAACTCCAGGGTCGACCATGCCAATGGCCTTTAGCTTCTCCAGCCGCCTCTTCCGCAAGGCATCAGGTCCGTCGTCATACATGCCCCGGTACTTGTCGCAGACCTCCTTGGGGGCCTGCAGAGGCCAGTGGGGGGCACTGAATGGCAAATACGCAAAAAAAGGTTGGCGCCTTTCTTCCTCGGTGCGGTTTTCGAGGTACTCAATAAGCTTGTCGGCGTACGCATCGCTGCTGTAAAATCCGCTAGGAAGCTTGCCCAGGATCTTGTCATCTTCTGCATGAAGGGCTCGCGTCGCAGTCTCGAAGAACTTATCCGGCTCCGAGCGCGGGTCATCGTACTGCGGCTCGTAACCGTAGTGGTTCGCACACCCCGGCAGAAGAGCAAACGACTTCTTGAACCCTCGCTGGAAGGGATGGTGTTCCGGCTTTAAGCCCAGGTGCCACTTGCCGGACATGCAGGTGAAGTAGCCGCCGTCCGATAAGAGTTCCGGAAGCGCAACGACACGTTCGTTAAGGTAGCCCTCGTGACCCGGCTGGCCAGCATGGGCGGACGATGCCCTAGTGATTTCTTGAAGTTGGCCGAGGCCTGCGATGTGGTGGTCCGTTCCTATATATGCCGGAAAAAGGCACTCTATTAGAGCCTGTCCATCTTAAAGACGACGAAGAATATTCACTCTTTTTTTTTTTTTTTTTTCTTTTTGCCCCTACTTACCAGTCATCAACATTGAGCGCGTAGGTGAACAGGCTGCGGCGACATGAAAGTTGGTAAACCGAAGCGAATTGCCGTCAGAAGCGAGGGCATCTATGTTCGGCGTAGAGATTTCCGAACCAAAACATCCGCAGTCGCTGAAACCCAGGTCATCCGCTACGATGACGAGGAAGTTTGGGCGGTCGTCTGCCATGACTCTGGAATTGACTCGTGGCACAGTTCCTCCAGCCGGGAGCTTCGCTGGAACCAAAACAGGAGAAGGGTGAATTGGAGAGTCTAGACAGGTTGAGCGGAATAGGGGGCCAAACATAAGAAGGAAAGTCGAAAGAATAAGTTGCCGACCCGGGTGTGCAGCTGTGTCGGTTTTATGGCGGAACAACTGGACCCTCAGCGACGTAAAAGTACGCAGCAGTGTTGCCGTTCTCACTTTAACTGACATTGACCGACCATCGGGAACTCCTTTCTTAGCGGTCAATGGAACCTCTCAAAGCCATTCTTCTTAACTGGGTCCTGTGGGACCTTGTGGGGTGCGGTCTTGGATCTCGGCCCTCTTGTCGAGATCGAGGGCGGTATGTTATACTATGTATGGTATGTACTACGTCGGAAGAAAGCGATGGAATTTTCTGAGGCCTGGAGGACTTCGCAGTTGAGATGGAGTAATAGGCCAGCCACGTCGCCTACGTCAGCACCTTGGCCCATAATTCATAGTCCAAGGAGCCTAATAACCCCGGCATTGGATATCAAATCTTAAGCTACCGATCTGTTCAGTTGAGGCCCACCATGCGAAGTCCGGTGCGAGCTCCGGTGCGAGCTCCTACACGAAGATCACCAAGATCACCGGATTCGAGAGTGACGGCAAGGGTGCCAGTCGCGTAATTTCCCACAGGGAAGTTTGGAGACCCCATGGAGCATTGATGTAATTAAAATGCGGGGAAGTTTGGGGCAATGGTACGCTACGGCGAGGGCTGGTTTCTGCTTTGATGAACTGCAGCTTTTCTGCCTCTTGGCCGCCACCGCCGAGTCCATGTCACCCACACTAGACAAAGTGGCATGCCCGCAAACAAGAAAAGATTCAGTTACCATTCAATTGCACGCGACGGGTTAGCGCTAGCGACTAGTGTAAATAGGAGATAGCCCAAGGCGGCATAGACCTTTGCGCTGGAAGGTGAGCCATGTTGTGCTTTTCGAATTAAGATGTAGCGAGACCGCTAGTATTGTCCAAATTCTATCCTGTATATAAGGAAGGTGATTTTCCTTCTTTTCGCACTCATGAAGAAGTGTTAATCGTGAACAACAGACCCTTCTAGTAGTTCTGCCCATATCACGACCGATCATGGTGTTCTCGTCTTCCCTTCTCGCGGCTGCTTCGATTGCCCTAGCCGGCATTGCCACCGCCAAAGGGCACAAGGTCAACGTGAATAGACCCCTCGCCGTGACATCGCCTGAAACCGTGCCTGCTGGAGCTTCACAGGTCGTGCCGCATGACTTCGCATCTTTCTCGTTCCCAGCTCACTGGTTTGCGGACTTCTGCGGTGAGCCCTCAATCTCACATTTTGATAATGGAAGAGGGAAAAAAGAGCTAACAATTGCCAAGGCAACTCGACGCACCCCAATCTGTTCTCTCGAGACATATTTAATCTCCTCTATTCCAAGACCGGCGCCCACCCGTTCATCCGTGTTGGCGGTACCTCGACGTGAGTCCTGGACGTGACCACCTTTCCCATACTTCTCGCCCAATTATAAGCACTGCCTCAAACTTGCAGGCGCTAATATTGCTCTATGTAACACCCAGCGACCGTGTTTGGTACAATGCATCCCAAGAAATAGCTCTCTATAACTGGTGGGACCCTGCAGGAAGCTCTACAACCGAGTATGGCATACCTGATAAGGTGTTTATCGGACCCGCCTTTTTCGACGGCTTCCTCAACTTTCCCGGCTCCCGCTGGTCCTGGCAAGTCAATTTCGGCAACACCTACGGCGTTGAAGGTGGCCTGGAGAACGCAATCAAAGTGGCCGGGCTAGTTGTCGAGCACGTCAAAGCGCTCCTAGAGAGCTTTGAGCTTGGAAACGAACCGAACTTGATGCCTTGGTTCAATCATAGGCATAAGAACTACACGATGGCCGAGTACGTTCGGGAGTGGAATGAATACGCAGATGCCGTCTCGGAGCTGGTTTTGAAAGGAAATCCATACGGCCTGGAAGAAACACGTTTCTTCCAAACTCTTACCACTGCTGGGGCTAGCCATGAAGAATGGAGTGTGTGAGTGGAAACGCGCCATCTCTTGATCAACAGAGACGGGCAACACCATACTAACAACTGTCCTACTTCCCCATAGTCAAAATGCATTCAAGCACGATATCGACTCCAAGGGTCATGTCAAGTCTGTTTCCTACCACCAGTACGCAGCCAGCAATCAGCCGTGGGTACGCCTCCAGAACTCGTACATGAACCACACGGCAAATTCGGGTAACGTAACGCAATACTCAGAGGCCGTCGAGTTCTGCCGCTCCTACGATCCGCCCTTGCCTTTTGTTCTTGGCGAGACAAATAGCAATTCGTACAACCTTAATATGGGCCACATTGAGGGAGTCTTTGGCTCTGCCTTGTGGCTCATAGACCATCTCCTCATGGGCATGGCCACGAACATTACCCGCTATAACCTCATCCAAGGGACTACGTTCGGGTATACTGGCTGGGTCCCTGTCCCTCGTGACGGCCGTGATCCCTATGTGCGCCCCCCCCTCTACGGCCAGATATTCGCCGCTGACGTCGTGGGCCATCATCCCGAGGTCCAAGTCTATCCTATCGAGGGCCTCCCGTGGAACATGTCCGCCTACGGTATTTACGAGGCTGGAGAGCTCGCGCGCTACGTTATTATCAACTACGACGAGTGGAATTCGACCACGCCGTATACGAGGCCCTCGCAAAGAATCAACCTCGAGGTGCCGTCCCGGGTTAATCGTGTCGAGATCAGACGCCTGACTGGGGATGGAGCCAGCGCTGACGAGGGGATCCAGTGGGCCGGACAAAGCTGGAATTACACGGATGGCAGGCTCGTCAAAAACGGAAGGGAGAAGTTTGAAGTCGCCCGTGCTAGTGACGGAAGAGTGAAGCTGGCCATCGAAAGCACCGAAGCGGTGATGGTGTCCTTTAAAAGTCCGGCCTGCAGGCCCCACAGACCCCGAAACTAGTAGCGATAGAGGCCGAGACCTAGACAAGGAACGGAGAGGATATAACGGGCATTCTCTAACAACGGTAGAGTGAATTTGAAGGAGTGGGGAGGGCACTAATTTTAATTCCTTCATGAACCGGGGCACGGATTACTTCGAAAATGCAGCCGTTTGATCGGATCCCAGTCCAAATTACTGTCACCAGGCAGCCGTATGTTGGTTCTTCAAGGTCAAAATATAATATTAACTTTCTTTGAGTCTTCAGTGATCATAGCTATTTAATTCTGTTCTCAGAAAGGGCAAAGTAGTATTCAGAGGCGACGGGGTACCCTTGTGCGCTCGCGTAGGTAGTGCCACCTGCGGTCCGTCTGGCAAGCTGGGTCAGGATTCGAAACCAATGCTAAGCATACCAATGGATTCAGGAGTGTCAAGCCACATACCTACGTACATGTCCACTTCAAGACTCGACGCACCAGTGGAGGGCTTCGCTTATATATATCCCATTGCAGTTACTGCCTATCAGATCCTGTGCCATGCTCCTCTATCCCTCCTCCGCGTCATAATTTTGCATCCCAAGGTAGCCTTTCCCTCTCGATCTGCTCTCTACGGAACTGTCATCTCATCAGCTGTCCCAGATGGCGCCATACGCGGGGATGCCTCTTGTCTCTAAGCCATAGACTATCTTCTTCGTGATTTTTTCATTTGCAATAACAACCACAGCCTCAGCATTGAAGCTTTTGGCCATGTTATAAGCAAGCCGAACCATATCAGGCCTGCCTAGTTTGGCGGTGTCCCAAATTGTAGCACCCGGAGCTTTTGTTCGGAGGGTCTCAAGGAGAGGTAAGCCGAAGTTCCGTTCTGGGTCGCGGGTGCTCCAAAGCACTTGGGTAGGGCAGCTTGGCTCCTGAATATGTCCCAGACAAGGACCAATCCCGGAGCCGGTAGCAACAACCACGATGCGGTTGAAGAGTGTGGCGATGCGCATGACGCCGCATGTTGGGATTCCTCTGACCCACAAGTGCGTGGGTGGGTTTCTGATGCAATAGCTCGTCCAGTCTCCAGCGTTGGAAACCATGAGGGAATGACCAGCTGGGAACTGCTGTGGGTCGTGGGGCGGCCCATGTGGCTTCGGTGCTGGGATGGTCGCGAACGAGTGCCATTCGAGGAGTGGCCGGGAAGATATTCTTGTAAAGCTCCCGTTTACCGGTACTGAATAGTCAAAGTGTAGGCGGACAGCATGATCCGAGAGTACCTCAGAGACAACGGGCACTCGGCGCAGCCAGAACCATGAGAGCGCAATGCTTGCCGTCGCCACCCACAGTAACCAAAACGGCACAGTACCAAGGAGGGCCTTTCCGAATGAGACGGCGTTTTCCTTGGCAGTATCATGAATACCCACGAAAGTTTGGGCCCAAAAGAGGAAGAGCATGGTCCAGCCCACAAACCGATGCCACCTCTCGAAAAAGTCGTGATGCGTCTTCCTAAACGGCGGGTACGCGAATCCTATCATGGTGAAGAACAACGCGGTAAGAGTCCAAGATAGGACAATGAAGGCGGGCGAATGACGAGGATAGTCTGAGCACTTGGAAGTAGACAAGCAGACTACGTCGTTAATGTTGGCTGCGAGGAGCCACAAGCTTGCGCAGGAAGCTGCGCTCGCATGGACTCCGCCCAGGTGATAGATCTTTGCACACGAAGCGCGAATCCAGAGAGGCCAATTCTTAGGCACTGAGCAGCATACCGTGTAGAGCGCATTGATGACAAAATCCTGCCGGATAAGAATCGCAATCACCAAATTGATGGCGACCATATTCCCAATCCACTCGCGACTGTAGTCATAGGTGTATACCAGAATAAGCGCTACCACGTTGGCGATCCAAACGGTAGAAAAGAGGAAGCGATAAGGTATCAATAGTCGATACACTAAGCCTCTGAGTGGCTGCGGAAGATCCTTGTCTGGCACTGGGCCGTCAAGTGTGGTCTTGTCTTCTGTCACAGAGGTAGTCATTGATACTGATGTCGCACACTCCGAGGTGCGGGAATCGCGAGTAGATTGTGTGGATGAGAAGTTAGATGCAGATGTCGTCTCATCCGAGTCGTCGCCATCCTGAATGAGCTGCCTCAAAGATTTTTTATCCGCCTTCCCATTCGGAGTCAATGGGAAGGACTCAAGCACATGGTAGTGGGAAGGCCGTGCATAATATGGCAGGCTCGACTTGACGCTTTCCTGAATCGTCGGCACGTGGCAGCCTTTGGGTTGAATGAACGCGTGAAGCTCTCCTTCAACCAAGATCACAACTGCTTTGGTAATTTGAGGAGCAGCGCAAAGACAGGACGCAATGCCGTCTAGTTCTACTCGAAATCCCTGTGATTTGGTGTCAGCCTCAGTTTCCACCAGCCAAGGATCTCATCAGGTGTGACATACCTTGACTTTCACCTGGTCATCACATCGACCAAGAATTTCTATCGTTCCATCCGGCTTCCACATGCCGACGTCGCCGGTGTTATAAATCATTGTTCTGTATACTGTTAGCCCAGTTTTCTACATGAAAAGGTCTTGCAGATCACGAACCCGTCATTGGCGAACATGTCCGGTAGGTATTTCTCAGCAGTAAGTTCTGGTTGTCCGACATATCCTCGAGATATGCCTTTCCCGCCAGCCCAGATGATCCCCGGCCTCTCGATTGGCAATTGAGCCTTCTGGTCATCGAGAATATATACTCGATTGTTAGGTGTGGGCTTTCCAATGGAAAGACGTTGTCCCGCTATATGCCTTTGCATTGTGTTGACAATTGTGGTCTCGGTTGGACCGCAGCAGTTGTAGTACCTCAAGTGCGAAGCCCATCGGTCCGCGAGTCTATCGGAGGCGATTTATTAGCAAAGGCAATTCCGCTTTCTCAGGTAAGAAGACTGCTTACTGTATTGAGATCGGTTCGCCGGCAGTGGCAACAGTTTTGAGGTTAGGGAATTGTTCAGGTAGATATTTGGACAAGATTGATGGCGTGCAAATGAGAACGTCGATCTGCAGTGTTCAATGTCAGCCCTTGCCTTCACCGTGGAAATTGTCTCTTTCTTTCGGTACCTCGTGAAGTGTTTCCATCCAGTCAGATCCTCGCAAGACAAGCGTTCCACCATTGCTGAGGCACCCTAAGATTTCCCATGCCGCTACCAGGCACCGTTAGTTTCATGAAATAATGAGCCGTGTCATTATCGCACTTACCCATATCAAAGCCAATATTCAACACTTGACCTACCCGAACCCCCTGGCTTATGCCCAGGTTTCCGGGGCAGGAGCAGACAAGGTTTGCGACATTCTCGTGCGTTACGTCAACTCCCTTTGGAGTCCCAGTCGTGCCTACAGTGGCCGGTGAGCGCTATCCATACAAGAGGATTCTAAGATGAATGGGGTAGTGAAGAGGAGATATACCTGATGTGTAAATGACATAGCACCCGCTCTGTGGAGTCACAAGCCTCAGGCTTTCCTCGGCAAAGGCGCAAATATCCATGTTCGGCGCTTCGCCAACGTGGCCATCAATACTGACTACCTTGCAACCACTAAGAGCGAGGTCTTCGACACGACGCCTGGTTGACTCAAGGCATAGTACCAGATCGCCCGTTGACTGCTCGATCACCCTCCGAAGAGTCTCCTTTGCCACCACCTTACCGTCGACAGGGACATACTGTGCTCCGCAGCAGAGGATAGAGATGATACCAATAATCATCTCAATGCCGCGTTTAGCCACCAGTGGCACCCTGTCACCGGAGCGAAGTCCGCCATTTTGAAGACGTCGAGTTAGCTGGATCGAGCGTCTTCCGAGCTCAGCATAAGTTACCGAGCGAGGTCCGCGTGCCGAATGATCTATGGCAGCGACCTCATCGGGTATTGTAAGGATATGATGTAGGATGGCAGCAGTAACAGTTGGGAAAGCGGGGGCAATGGATGAGCCATGGGTAAAGTCTCGGCCGGGAAAGGCTCCTTGGGACATAGTGAGAGCGTCTTCGGTCATGGTAAGGAGTAAAAGTTCGGGTTGCTTTAGCCGCTACAGAGAGGAGGTCCTGAGAGCGGGGAAGAGAGCCCTAATATATTGACGGAAAGCTGGCCATCCGGCGGAGGACTCGATACATTCACGAGCAGGATCAAGTCGGAACCAACAGAGCTGCGGAATCGTCTGATTTCGCCCATTTTGGGATACTTTTTGGCGCGAGTGACTCCATTTTCAGTTGGGTCGTTGGCCGCTTCAGGCAATGTCTCATCGCGCACGTGTATGCGTGAGGCCAGTTTAAGGCTTCGATTACCCGTTCCCGTGAGGATCTGAGGTCTCCGAGACTCGGAGACCACGGCGGATGAACAAGTTGAGCGTAGTTTGGCGACGATCATGGACGAATCTTGTCAATGGTGTTGGTTAAACTTGGATGAAGTCCTTGGCAGAACCGTTCGCATGACTAGCTCTGCCGACGCAAGTAGTTGCGTGCTGATAATCCCTCGTTAGCTACGTGACATGGCAGGTCGATCCGGGCGCCTCTCCTCAACGCCGGCGGCTCCGGCCCGATACGGGGACGTAAGCGGACAGGTGACAGGTTCCGGGATGAGCTGATAGTTTAGGGCTGCTAGTCCATTTTCGGAATGGCCTTTGGTTTTCCTGCACGAATCAGGAAGCCAGCGCCAGTTTGCGGTGGCTAAAGATCCTTGTCGAGGCGTTTTTTCGAGGGTTTTGCAGCTGGCTTGAACTCCGAGGTGGATCTCGCACTCGATCACTGACGCGGATAGCGGTTGGGGCGTATGTGGAGCGTAATGCAGACTATTGCAGAGTGCCAGGGCGTCTGCGCAGACTGCAGTCTGTCCGACACGGGCCAACACCGCTCGACATGGTAGGGTGGATTTATTCTCCGCCACTTTATGCGGTATTATCGGTGTCTATCGGTGTCTCTCCCCAACCTCCCCTCCTCCATCTCCCCCTCCCCCTCTTCCCCCCGCGCTTCTCCTGCCCCTCCCCCACTTCTCTGTTATAGTGTCCATCGGGAGTGGTGGCCTAGCTATGACCCGTGTGTCCAAGTCACAATTGTGTCAGTACGCGAGCCTTGCTTTTTCTCGTTAGCCAGTCGGAAACAGGGGTCTGACAGCCGATCTTTTGGCTCTGTGTCTCGGCGAAACTTGCACATTTTCACCTATTCAGCGAGGATTCTTGAAATTTTACTTCCCCTTCTCTACCAGACTCAGCCATGAAGTAACCGATATAACCAGGCCTGTCCTCTTCTTTTTCGGTTTCCTTTTTTTTTTTTTTTTTTTTTTTTTTTTTTTGCCCACAACACTCTATGCCTCGGAACACCTTTCGACATGGATAATCGTAAAGAAGCCGAAGCCTGCCTTGTGGTCACTACGGCACCAACACCCAATATCCGAATTTTAACTTTCAATCGCCCGGAGAAAAGGAATGCTCTTTCTCACGCCTTAATACAAAGTTTCCTCGAGGAGTTATCCAGGGCGTCCAGGGACGCAGATGTTAGAGTTATCATCCTCACTGGGGGACAGTCCGTCTTCTCTGGTACGTGCATTCTGATAGGTTATCCCGGCTCCCGATTCCTGATCACGGTTTATTGTCTAACTTGGAAGTGGGATAGCTGGGGCCGACATTAGTGATATTGCCGCTTTGGATGGGAAAAGTGCAAAAAAGTCACGGTATCTTCAGAACTTATGCCATGGCCTGGACTCCGTAACAATACCTATCATAGCAGCAGTAGAGGGAATGGCGGTTGGTGTACCCCCGTTCTCTTCACACTCCTGTATTGTCCCCGAAATGGAGCAGTTCATTAACGGCTACTTGTTGCACAGTTTGGTGGAGGATTTGAAGTTGCACTAATGGTAAGATTACATTCATTCCGTTTTCTTGGTCATGGATGGCTTGCTAATGGTTGAAGTGCGATATGATTCTCTCGTCGGTCACTACAAAATTCGGCTTCCCCGAAGTGAAAATAGGATTGATTCCAGGCGCGGGTGGGACTCAACGCTTGACGAATGTGATTGGAAAATTTCGCGTAAGGCAACTGCTGGTCTCGAATAATGAATATTTTGGACTAATCATGTCCTAGGCCATGGAAATGATTCTGTTTGGAGATCCTATCAGCGCCGAACATGCAGCCACGTTGGGTCTTGTGGCAGGGCTCTTCCCTCCAGGGAGTGTGCTCGACCACGCAATTGAGCTCGCCAAACGCTTGTCAAATCAGAGTCCGTCTGCAGTTGGGTTCGCTAAAAAAGCCATTTCTCGAGGTAAGCCATGAACCTGTTGTTACCTATCTTTCGAATCTTTCTGGAGACTTAGTTAACAATCCATTATTATGAAGCGGATGATTTAGGGAGAGATGATGCATTCGAGCGAGGTCTTTACTACTCGGCATTTGGTACGAAGGATAAAGCCGAAGGCACAGCCTCATTCTTGGAAAAACGACCTCCAGTATGGAATGGAGCAGCAGATGAGCACCTTCATGCACATAGTTTAGTCCACCGCGTTCGGCAGGTAGCCAGTTCTTGGTATCAGGCAGCCTCGGCTCGCCTTGGCTTGAAGTCAAGAAGACTTAGAGAGGCGTGAACGTCAATTTTCGTGCGTACCACGAGTAGAAGTTCTATTATCCTAGTTGTAATATCACAGATAATACCTACCAACTGTAGACAGTCAGATTGTGCGCCCCGGCTGGGTATTTCGTCATAGCGTCTACCGAAGGCTAATAGAACCGAGGCGGGAACGGAAGTCATCCCAACCAGTTATCGGTTTATCTTTATCCTGCTCATCCTGGACAATATGCATGGCTTTCAGCATGGCGTCAATCATCACCTCTTCGGGATAAATGGGACACATCCACTTCCTCTGGTGTAGCTAAGGCCTTAGCGTGGCGGAACTTTTGTAGGCTATCCAGTGGTGGGCTTTGCATCCTGCGTGCGGAGAAAGAAAAAAATTCGACAAAAAGATATTTGACATCGCCACTCACGGTCGTGCGGGCATTATCGTTGTCCTCGGCTTTCCTGGTGCGCCCACGGGTTCCCGGATCCATCTTCCTGGATACTTGACCGCCTACGCTACGGCTTAGGCACGGGAGGGGATCCTAGCCCCGCCTGCTGGTCCGGGTGGATCAGAATGGAAAGATCGTCGTATCAATGGGTGAGCAAGAATATCTGGGCCGGTTGAGCGGTGGCGGTTAGCCATGTCCTCGGAACGTTGCCAATTCCTTTGGGAGGAGAGCTGCAAAGTACCCGTATGCCCTATACGAAGTGACGATCCGATGACGGAGGCATTCAACACCACTTTATTCAGACTCCCCAGCTAAACTAACGCCCTAATGTTCCCACGCACTAGTTGTCGTACATCAAGGTTACCTCTCGCTTGTTACCATAGCCTTGTCTCATCTGATTGGCTCTGTCAGGTAGCTCCTCTCTACCCCGATGCTTGATCACAGCCCTGCTGGAAGCAAAGACTACGGTAGATTTAAGAGCCGCTACCTAAAGGAAACCAAACATCCTCATTGGTGGCAAGCGCTATGCCACTCGCTTCTCAGCTCGACCCGCTCTCGACTTGAGTACCAATAGAAAAAGGATATGGATGTGATCAACGGTACCGAGAAAGCGGTTGGCGCCCCGCTCCTGTTGCCAGTGAGAGAAAGTGTAGCGGCGTGGGACTGAGATGGACGCTTACATGCATTAGGTGGCATTGAACCGCGTTACCATGCCATCGCGCGCATCCCAGAGAGTCCGTTTGGCACTCATTGGCCAGAATTTGTAGCTGTGAGGATGCATATTGATCGGTTCCCGCATGAAAAGAACTAAAGCAAGCCCACACAGGCATCCGTTACACAACAGGACGGTCAACCATGATGCCACTGTATCTTTTTTGTTGGGGATTCACGCCCCCCTTCTCCACTTCCATCTAAGTATATACGGATCCGATTCGGAACAAAGCAGTGAAGTGCATCCTACTATCGAGACTCGAGGGATCACCAACCGCGTTAGGGATACCGCATGATTGCCAATACCACCAGGCCCGCTAGAACGGGGTAACATGCGGAAACTAGCTGCTTTTCCTGCAGAGGTCACATGCGTGCTTACTTTTTCGTTGAGCAGAGCGTATAGCGCACTAGTAACGTAACAAACCAACTTCCTTCCCCTCGACAGCCCGTGTACTCATTTGGGCGCGTGTTTTCGACATGGCGACGAAAGAGATACCGCTGTGATTCCACCGGCATCCAAAGCCGTAACTGCTGAAAGTGGGCCTGAAAGAGACCCCCTTCTCACAGCTCCCCTTGCCGCTCGACCAGCCGCCCCTGGTCAAGAAAGTGGCTCGGGTGACCACTATCTGCAGAGATAGGAACGGCTTTGGTGCGCCTTAAGATGGCACCATTTCCATCCAGGGCTACGGCTGACACATACCACACGCCCCGGTCCGCCGCTCCAACCAGTATTGAGTGAGTCTCGAAGCCGTTTCGGGGCACCTCGCCGAGTAGTTCCGGTTGTGAGTTAACCGAGGTGTGGCCATGAAATTGCCACAACGTAGTTTCAGTGTCGCCGTTCCATGAGACGAAGACCTCAAGGTCTTTGCTATTATCTTCGTTGGATACGACAACGGCCGGCTCTTCGGATGGAGTCCCCGTCCAATTGGCTCTGAAGCCACGATAACTCTGGACAAGAACGCCCTCCGGCGCAGAGTCAAGATAACTGTGGAATAAGACAGATCCACTTCGGTCAAACTCAGTTACCGCTCCCGCTTCTCCCCAGTTGACAAAAACGTTGCCGTTTGGCAGAAGTTGAGCGTTTCCTTGAGTCCGAGCCGACAGGCCATCCGGCGCGTCGAACGTGTGGAGGGCGGTTGCAGTTTTGGCCGTGTGGTTCAGTTGGATGATGCGGGCTCGCGAGAACGAATTCGTTTTGACCTCTGAAGAGTAAGCTCCATTATCAAATAGCGACAAGATCTCTATCGTTTCATCGTTCGAGCGGCCGTGGAACCGGGCGTCATGTTGGAATGCAAAACGATCTTCCTCGGAAATGCTGAATGACGAGCCACCGTGAAGTCCACCTAACTGCCAGATGACGTCTCCATTTGTACCGTTAATCTTAAAGAGTGCCGCAATGTGACGTGCCGATAAGAGGTAGTTTCCTTGATCATCTTTGTCGACACTGTTGATGTGGAAGTAATTCCAGGCGTCGCTCTCACTTCGACCACTTCCGGGAACACCTTCTCCAGAATCTAGAGGGAAGGCGGAATCTGTAGGGAGAATCAGTTCTTTCCGCTACAAGATGAGTCGTTTGATGGTGTAGTTGCTTGAGGGGGAGATTTAGCGGGCTCTTACACTTTGGGTCAACGTGGTCTAGGCTCTGCCACTCGAATAAGACCTCTCCAGTCTCAATGTCAACCTCTACACTTCGCATCAGCCATCGGTACGTCAATGCGACAATCATTATCCATCGGTGGGGTTTATCATTACCCTGGAAACCAGCAGATAAAATCCAGGTTTGTTCGTCATCGCCTCCCCATGGCTTGAGCGAAATTGGCCTCGGAATTGGCGTCTCGATTAAAGCTGTCTTGCCGTCGACGATGCGAAACTCGTGGGCTGATACGAGTCTGTGGGATCCTGCCCTTACTACCTTCCTAACCTCATAGTCACTTCCGAGGAGTGTGTGAAAGCCGTACATACGTCCATGGAGATGGTCAAGTTGGCCTTGAAACGCTCGGAGATGGGGTTTTCCGTCCCAAACATCAGGCCGGAAGTTGGCAACCCAGCCGGCGTGGTATCCAACTCCAGACCACACCAACTCTCCATCGTCTCTGTATATGTACGCCCCAGGCTGGACGGGGCCTTTATGGCTATCCGCAAATCCTCCGTATGGAGCGATGAAGATGAATCCGTTTTCAACTTCCCCCGCCTTGGAGGGCACCGTGATATTTAGACGAGGAGCGGACAAGTCAGGCCGTGATCGGAATTGCCAGTCTGCCGTCACAACTGAAATCAAGCTTGATAAAGCCAGTAGAACGGGCCCGGATGTGAGCATGGTTGGTTAAAACTGAATGACTATGTGATGAAATTTTATTACAGTTGAAAAGGACCTGGGATTCTTTTCTTTTTGGTCCATTGTACAGGTAGTATGCGCCTTTTATTCTCCCACAATTACAAGCAGCCTCCATGAGCCCGCAATGGCATCATTTGGCGTGATGCTTAAGATGCCTTCGGGTCGAGCCAGTCTAATCCGAGATGGGTAAGGGCAGGGTCGTGGTTGGATCCTTGATCTATTACATTATCAGTTTGATATAGTTTGACGCTCTCGACCCGAGTCAAGGGCAAAGCGGGCCTTCACACTTGTATGTCAAATTTTTAAATCTTACACTGGTTCCTTTCGCCTTGTAAAATTATTCAGAAGCATACTAGGGAGGCCGAGCTGGTCATGGTGTGCACACTCGATGTCGATATCGCGGAGAAGGAACCTCCCATCACGTCATCTGTCGGCATTTGACGATATGCAGCCATGTCCTGTGCCCGACATCTCAATAATGGGCAGCGTATGCTCTAAGAGCAGAGATACTAAGGGAATAGGAGTCTTTTTACAATATTAGGCCGGCCATTTTTCATGGTTAATGATTCACCAGAGCTCGACGCACGCAAGGTCGGAGCTATTTTCTTACTTCTCCGTCCCTCCCAGACTCAGGGAATTGTTAATATTGGTCCCTAGAGGAGCCCAACAAATAGATAGAAGTTCAGTTTAAGAAAAAAATATCGTGGAGGGGTAAAATTCAGTTCTTGACGTTGATGTAGCGGAAAAGCTTCTAGCAACATGTTCCACTTTCCACCTAGCAGTTAACAATTCGAGAATGTCAAGAGATGATAGTTCTATGAGACGAAGATAGATTCATGTCTCAACTGTAGGTAAGCTATCGAAAGCTGCAAGCCTATCATGAATTTCACAGGTGAGGGGTCTTGTCTTGTCCAGATGGAGGAGTGCTATTTTATATCAACGTATTCTACTAACAATCCAGCAGCGGCTCGGGGTGGAAAAGAGCGCAAAAGCAGCTCACATAGACGGGTCAACTCAAGTACTGTCCTTTAACGCAGTAGTCTAACGAGATACAAAGAATATGAAGCTGGAAAAGCCATCTAATATTTCGGCCCTCCTTATTACCCTACAATCTAGCTGCCAAAATTACTGCTCGAGGGTCGTGTATCTCCAGGGGTCATCGAACCCAATGAAGCCTTGTTCGTACATGCGTTTCGCGATGTGATACACCGCCCTTGAGAAATCGCTCTTCCGCTCTAACACATATCTCGGTGTAATGCGGGCAAAGCCCTGCGGGAGGCGCAGTCCTCTTCTTTCATGCCAGGAATGGAGGATGTATGTATCGGAATAATCATGCTGCCACGATGGGTGCTTTCCCTCGTCTTGGGCGTAATTGGTGAAGTCTCTTAGTGGAGAGCCATCCTGTAGCCCCTTGAGGTTAGATTCCACATCGTTATGGACGCGATAGAAGACCTGCGTATAGCCTCCGGCCCAGTGGACAGGTCCCATCACAGGCGATTCCATGATCAGAATTTCCCTTTCAAATGCAGAGAGTGGTTTCGCCAGTTTTCCCATGAGATGGTTCGAGTGGGTGATCCATTCTTGGTCAAAAACTTGATGCATGCTTTCTCGCCATTGGGTGAAGAACCGACATCCAGCCTTTCCCATGAAGTTCCCACTCATTATATCCCCGTCAGCCTGTCTTCCAAGAACTGTATTGAATCCCGTCTCTATTAATGGCCGAAGGTCTCGGAGCGGGATTGCGTCCATATCGAGATAGATGCCGCCGAATTCCTCGAGGGCCGCTACCCGAACGAAATCGCCCTTGTGTTGCATCTTCAATATCTTGACGCCATTATTCGCGTGGTCTGGAGATTCGACGGGCCTCACGACAAGCTGGGGAACGTTGAGAATGATGGAGTTCCATTTCCCTTGCGTGCCAGAGCGAGCGCGCTGTATCGCCTCTGGACTCGCGTTCGTATGTAAATAGATGGTATCGGGGTCGGTAAAAGCCCACGCCGCATAGACGGCAAGGACTTCCTTGAATCGGAAACTGAAGTCTCCTACTCCTTCGGGGAGGAGGTAGACGAAGTGGACGATATTCGGTATGTTGGCGCCAGACTCGTTCCGTCGAGGAGGGTGGGTTCCCGGAATCGTCGTCCAGACGTTGGGCACAGGTGGCGACCCCGGTTGGAGAATTTCTTCTGGGGCTTCAGCGGTGTTGCCCACCCCATAAGCTTCAAAATTGACGTTTAAGAACTTCAGGAGGGTGATGAGAATGCCGACAGCAAGAAGGGCTTGTAATATTCGAGACCGGAGAATGCCACGCCCAGCCATACCTCGGGATTCCTGGAAAAACAAACCAAAAAATTTCGAGCTGGGACATCCATGGGGAAAAACGGCGAGGAACAAAATTGAAGAGAACACAAATCAAATTTGGTACTCGGACGCACAGGACATGAATCACTGTGGATAGTACGAAGTAGAATCATTATGACATCCATCTCTTGGCGGGCCGCGGTGGGAGAGGGGCCAGGTGGACAATCCTAATCTTAAAACGCCCAATCACCCGCTGGAGGATGCCTGGGCTCGTCGCAGTCTCGTGCCGTTCTCATTTTTCGTAAATTGACGTGGATGAGTTTCGCCAGGGGGCCCAAGGGGGATAACAAATCACCTACGAAGTACTTCGTAGTGTGGTACTGAGGTACAAGTACATGGCAAAAAAAAATTTGCAACCCCTTGTCCTTCCAGGTCTCAATTGTTCTTGGCGACCCCGGTTGTTTCGGCCAATCACTTCGTCTCTGCCACCTGAGCTCCGACGCTATCAGCCCTGCGAAGGATGCTTGGCTTTAATACACAGGTCCACCGTCATGAGGGTAACAACAACTTGAAGATATCTTCCAGCCGTATAACTTGCTCGACGATCCCCGCAAATGTTCTTTCGGAAGGTAAACTCGGTCTCTCCCAAGTCTACGTGCTTCGTAAACTACTCCGTAAATGGATACGCACGGAAGCAACGAAGGATTCAGGCTCCAATGGTCGCTGCCGCAGAAGGATCACTCGGGATGTAACGCGATTGGTACAATCATCGCATGCGCCTCACGGCAGCAGATACGACCGTAGCATACTCCGTACGCATGGACAGCGAGCGACGATCTCCTGCTCTGGATAATAAAAGTCCGAATCGCACGTGACTGTGTTTTCAGCACGCCGTTCACGTGCGGCAAATTTAGCCGGAATATTTTTCTTCCCCTTGTTCGAGGAATGAAATTGTAACCGAGAGATTGGTTCTACAAAAGAGAGAAGGGTTCATGTTGGTTTTGTATTGTACTCTATTGAAAGGTAATACCGAAAATAAGCGAGAAACGGAGGCGTGGGCCGTGGCTGGCAAGAATAGGACTCGATGGCTCAACTAGGTCACGTCTTACGCCAAAGAGCACAGCATTTAAAAAAGACATTCGATGAGGGTTGTCTGTATTACAGCTTCTCAATTGCCGACGCCACCCGCTCGCCGATCGGAATCATGAAAGCCTCAAGAAACGTTGAGACCTGAGCTGCACTCTCAAGGGGGAGAACCTTAGAAACATCTAAACCCCATCTGTTAGTATACGAGTAACTTCCTAAGTGGATTGGAAACCATATATAGGCCCAGGATGAAGAGTCGGGGATCCATACAGTGGTCCGGCCTAACAATAATAAGTGCGCCGCGACTGGGATCAACGCCATATTTCTCATAAGCGTGGCCATGAGGCGAGTAGGGCCCCGCCTCATCGGTGAATACGTTGTGGAGCCCTGCGTTCCGTATTAGCAATCTTACATTCCATTGTTTTCCTATTCCACGGCTAACAGGAGATCCGGTGGTCTTACATCGCACACGCCGACGACCGATCGAGGGAGTGTAAAAATCAGGAATTTGGCTTTGTGAGAGGTCTTTGCGCTCCGTTGCGAGCACTACGACTGGGTTTATGACGCTGTTCAGATCCTCATCCGGGGAAGTGAAGTTGTTGACGAGTTTTATGAGCTCGAGAGTGGCCTGCGTCGGTATGATTAGGATAATCCCCAGTGGGTAAAGGAGAGGAAAGTGGTAAATTGACGGTTACGTTTACTTACCGTTTCGAACCGCTTCATGGAGTCTTTGTTATTAATGTCGCCCGGGAAAATGACAAGGTTCCACCTCGAATCGGCGGGGAGAGCCTTAACCAACTGCAGCGGGCGAGCGTCGGAGAAGCGCATAACGATAGTGCTAGGGAATCTCTTTCCAACTTCGACACCCGAAGCAAGAGAGCGATCCTCATCAGAGGGCACAGTGAGGACGGAGGGCAGGTATTCAGTCGCAAGCCCGGCGGTGTACAGACCGGCTTTGACGAACTGTTTGGCAAACTCCTCCTCGGAAATGTTGTTCTCCTTGCGATAGGCGGTATTGAAGAGCTTCGTGAAGAAGCGGTCGAACTCTATGAGCTCGGTGGCCGTCTTCTGACGCTCGCTGACGTATGTTTTCAGAATGTCCGGGCGAAGCTCGCCGCGGAGGATACCAGCAAGTTTCCAGCCGATATTGTATCCGTCTTGGAGGCTGACATTCATTCCTTGACCGGCCTTTGGCGAATGTGTGTGGCAGGCGTCGCCAGTGAGGAAGACGCGGTGACTCTGGGTGAAGTAGTCGGCACGACGCTGTCCGATAACATAGGCGGAGAACCATACAGTCTCGGCAATATCCATGGTGTATGGGTGGAAAATGTCTTTGATCAAGGGAACCAGGTTCTCAAGCTTGACATCTGACGCGACCTTGGCATTCGGCAGCTCCAGATAGAAGCGAACCATGGAGTCCCCCTCTCGGGGAATGATCATAAGGTTGCCAGCCTGGGAGTGGATAATCGTCTTCTTACGGATATCGGGAAAATTGGTCTGGGGATGGATGTCCATGACAGCCCAGATGGCGTCGGTACTGTCGCCAACCATTGAAAATCCAAGAGAGCGCCTCACTTGACTATGAGCGCCATCACAACCCTAAAAGAGTGAGGATAGTTCCCTTAGTTACTGGGTATTCAAGACATGCGATGAGCTAGAAAAAAAAAAGGGGGAGGGATGGTTGAAATGAGTTCGCGTCTCGAGATCCACATACCAGAACATATTTAGCTCTGAAATTTCGTTCTACCCCATCTTGAATGGCTGTGACGGTGACGCAATGAGCATTCGGGTCGTTTGCCCTGGTCTCATCGACCTTAACATCCTTCACTTCGCAGTCGTAGCGTATCCTGGATTCGCCGCCGGCCCTCTTTGTTTCGTTGATCATCAACTCGTTGATGCGGCCCTGACTGAGGATGACGTGTGGGAGATGGGTCAGCCCAGGCTGGGTATCGGGTGTCGTCTTCCCCCGTGAGATGCCACCTTTTCCATCCTCGCCCCAGAAGGCAACTTCAAGAACATGATATGACTCCTGAATGAGGGGTTCGGAAATGCCAAAGCTCTCCATAACCTCGACGGTACGACACTGCACACCATCGGCCTGGCCGTGTTTCAGGGGGCCACTCCCACGCTCAAGAATGCGGTAATTGATCCCGGTCCGGGCGAGCCACACGGCTGCGCAGAGACCGGCGGAACCACTACCGCAAATAAGCACATCAACTTTTTCTTCCAGGGGTGGCACAAACGCGGCACTAGCGCTAACTCCCGGTTTCTCTTGCATTTTTGCTCAAGCGTGCTAATTCAAGATGTAATGTGGACAAGGGGGCAAGGGTGGTTGATGATAGTCTGAGTTTCTAACGTAGTTGAACGGTTTAGGGCAGAGGCTGCAAGGACTGGGGCTGCTAGGAGGATTGGAGAAGAGACATTAGTCTGAAATACCGGCTGTTGAGCTCTCATGAACGCGTACATGAACGCAACAGGACGCCTATATATCTACTGCTGGCTTGATGCTTGAGCCGCTGATAGCTGCCGACATGGGACGTTTTGCGACTCAAAAAGGCGGGGTGCGTCTTTATGGAGGACGCCGGATCACAGACATGACCCGCTCATCCCCGAGATCAGGATAAAGCTCGGGGTGCTACGACCGAGGTAGGGATGTCACAGCCTCCGGGGGCGGGGACGACGGGAACCCTACCGAGGATTATTTGGAACTCCAGCGCATTGATTGGCCCTGCTGTGCGGACTAGAGTGAAGCTTTGATTAGATGAGGAAGAGAGGCTAGCTCCGATGGGCGCCTCAGTCTCCACATCAATTCCTAACTCCCCGACCCGATGTCCCCGATTGGTTGTGGCTTTTTAGTTCACTTGATTTCTCTTCTTTTTCTCCCCGATGACGAACCCGACTCGAGCGCAGTGTGTTGAAAGCTTACTTTACCGGCGCAGATCTCGGGAACTGTCATATCAGTCGAAGTCATAGTTCTGGACGATGAGAATGCAGCGATCTTCTCCAAATCCATTCGCAACAGCAAGAAAGTGTTCTGATGTGTGGCGGATTGTTCATTGTTTATCCATCGTGGTCTTGAAGTAGAACATGGCCTGGGGCGCCAGAAAGTGAGCGAAAGCATTGAACTGTGACCAAAGACGTCATCCCTGGACACTTAATATATCGTGGCCACTGAATTGTTACCACGGGATCAGGTATTGGTGCGAGAATGAATGTCGATGATATTTTTAACAGCCAACGAGGACCCAAGATGAAAGGAGAGCCATATTGTTTTCTGCACGGGGCGCTTATTTGCCGAAGGCGTTGCAACATGCCTTGAATTCAATTTATGGGGCTCTTCTTGGCCAACCCTCGAGTTACCGAGTATCCTCAGTATCAAATCCCCATGGCGATTCATAATATTAACCTACTTGTTCATTTCTAGGGGCCCAGTATGCTGAAAATATCGAGAGGGAACTCCATGAGCTACGAAGTAGGTTTCTATATGGGGGGAGGGTCGACACATGAGCGGGAGGTCGAGACCTAGTCACTGTGACTATTAAGCCAGTTCCTTAAGTAGGCAATTCGGACCAACTCATCTCCTTGGTTCTTTGGTTGTTGGCATGGGAGCAACCCTACTTCACCTTGGTCATAGCTATATTCTATTAGCAAGCCGCCCCGATTTCCACTCCCTTCCCGTAAAAGCCAAGGACCAATAGTAATCAGGCTTCGGCCGTCGAGCTCTGCGTTTAAGGCCCTTTACTTCCCAACATCTCCCATGCCCGAAATTTTAGAAGGGTTAGCTTAAATTTCCGGGCGAGAACGGGTAAGACAGGCAAAATCGAGGCTGGCCGTGCGAGAAGCTTTTACCTTGCCCTGGAGGAGAACGGCCCGGAGGGATTGTGGTTATTAGGAAATTTACTACCCATTACTAGATGGGAAGGCCCTCGTCAGTTACTTGTTCATACAACCCATCATCTCAAGTTTCCTCAGGCTGCGTGCGAATGTCACCCCACTCATAAGTGTGCGAAAGTATTATTACTACCTCCCAAGTTGAAGAAGGGATTCAACATCGATGGGACGCTAGATCTTGCTTTGTAATGAGATTGAGCCGCCTAATTCTCATCAAGTTTGTTTTCCTCTTCGCAGATGGTGGTCTTGCTTCCCTTGTTATCACCCATGTTTCTCGTGGTGTCAGTCGTGGCGTCTTGGGCCTTCAAGCACGGAATTCATCGGCTATAAACGTCCTCTTGTTGAAATATTGGCCGATCTGCTCTTACCCTTCAAGAATCACTTTAGAGGGTTGTCAAAAAATGCACTAGGTTCCGATGTTTCCCTTGTTCGTGTTTCTTTGGTTTACTATCATCTCATCTAGGCCTTTTTAACGTCACAACAGTATAAACATCTATCCTCCGACACCAGGGATACGAGTAAATGCTCTGAGGCCATTATTACACGGGCCAGAAATGCGAACAAAGGTCCCCGATATCCACAGATCCACCATTATTAGTTGGAGATAAGGGTCGGCTTGGCTAATATACCTAGGAGATTGAGGACATTTTGGATTTCACCAACGTTTCGTTGTGGTTGCGGATACCACCGCTAGCTAGCTCATACGTTTCGCTAATTAGTAACGGTCTGTTCTGGAAGAACATCGCCAAGGTGTGAGCAAGTTATCCATGCTCAAGCTGCTCGGTACGTAAAATTTCCGATAGAGGAGAAACGGCTGGTCCTACAATCGATTTAGGATTGTCTCGTCCCAATCAAGCATATTTCTTGCCGCCTCTCATTTTTTAATGCGCTCGAAACTACGAGACATATGTGTGGTTTGGATGTTGACACTCCACAATTGAGCGGCTGTCTCCAGCGCTCGTATTTGGCTCCCAAATTTGCCGCGTATGTGGGAGCCCAACGAATACAGCCTATGAAACGGATATATTAGCCCAAGTGTTGAGACGGATCAGTGCAGCTCCCACCGTATTAACACACATAAGAAGGAAACAAGGGAGTATCCAATGGTCATAAAACAGTTCCCGTTGGAAGTTATTGTACAACTCCTGCAAGAGCTGACAGGTTTCGACGACTTAGAACAGTAGATTCCCGCTCCATTGGCCCTATTTCCAGATCTTTCATTTCCAGAATTGCGTCTGTTGGTCCGTCCACCGTAGCCACGTGTGATACCATTATAGTGTTTCCAAAAAGATAATCAAGTCAATACTTTGATTGTGGATCCTGGCTTGATTTCTTTTCACTGGGTTTGAGGCCGCACCATCATATGCCCAGGTCTCAGCACTCAGCGTCAATGGAGGGATCCTCAAGACGTAACTATCGGGAACAAGAAGGATGTACGAAGCACTCATAGAGCAGGGGTGTTCTCGGGTTCGGGTAGAGATGCCACATGGTCGCGGGGCCATGAGAGAAAGGCAGCGCTCTTTTTTATCTAAGTCAGCATCAATGATAGAATTATTTAGTGAGAATCTTTCTGACCGAGTCCTTTCGTTACGGACCATAGATAAGTTTATGATAGATCCGATACTAATGTCAGAGCTTGAGGCGGCCCAAACGCCAGAATTTAAAAGGGATCGACTCAGAAGCAACAGGTCGTCTCCGGTTAGTGTTCATCTTGGTTCTTTGTACGAAGGTAACCAGCGAATAATTATCATTCGAGTGGAATCAAAAAACGGCATGCTGGACCAGGATGGTTCCATCGGCCCGTACTTCAATCCATCATTGTTACGGGGCTGTGAATGGCGCTTTCCGCTTTTGATTGATCTCATCCTTGCACAACTCGACATCACCAGCTTTATGGGACGATTTCATCTCTTTTCGGTAGCCAAATGTGGGGAAATGGAGTGCGGGGCAGAGACGATCGCCAAGCCTCTGTGGACGGAAGCCGAGGCTGGAGCACGTGGTAGCACGGACATTCCACTCCGCCCGAAGCTTGTGATCTTCTCCGTCGCCAACTCGAGAAATATATATGATGTTATCATTAGCGATTTAATATTTGGGAATCTGAGGCCCCGAGTGCGGCAAAAGACCTATTAACGAAATCAACGTTGCTTTGCTTTATTTTCAGCACGATTTATCCAACGACATCAACTAATATCCATCATCTACAACCACCACTCTACTCTCATCGTTTCATCATGCCATCCTTCTCACGGGAAGGATTCACGATCGATGTAGTGGGTCGGGCGGTGCGGAAAACCCTCCTCAATCCTACCCTCTCCATCCCCTTAGCTCTTGCCATTCGCTGGGCCTTGTCACGAGGTTCCATCCACGACGTCAAGGTCCTACAAAGGCTAGAGAACACCCGGCGCTTGGTCTACTTGCTGGCTGCTTTCGGCGCCTTCCTCAACGCCAACGAGTACTTGAACCGGCAGGTGAATAACAACTGGACAAGCAAGTCGCAGTGGGATTGGGATAACAAGGAGATCATCGTTGTTACCGGAGGAAGCAGCGGTATTGGCGCAAACCTCATTGGAAAGTTGCTCGACCGCAACCCAAACACGAGGATCGTCGTCATTGACTTCGCGCCGCTGGCATGGGAGCCGCCAAAGGGTGCGCGAATACACTACTACCAGTGTGACTTGAGCGATTCCGCTAGCCTTCATGCCGTTTGCGAGCAGATACGCCAAGAAGTCGGCCACCCCACCGTCCTCGTGAACAATGCGGGCATCTGTCGCGGCTACACCATTTGCGATAGCGCGCCTATTGATGTAGAGGCAACTATACGGACAAACCTCACAGCTCCTTTCTTGCTGGTCAAAGAGTTTCTGCCAGAAATGATCCACAATAACCATGGCCACATTGTCAACATTAGCTCCATGAGCGCGTATATCCCCCCCAGCAAGATGGGCGATTATGGCGCAACGAAAGCGGGAGTGCTCTCGATGCATGAGGTATGTTGACGCTTCTCCTCTCTAGTATATATGAATAATTAGGCGCCAGCTAACACGTCTCGAACAGGCACTCCAGCTGGAGCTTGCCAATATTCACAAGGCGCCCAATGTTAGGCTGTCGGTTGGCATATTCAGTTTCATCCGCACACAGCTCATCAGGGGCGAAACTAGGCAATTCAACTTCCTCTTCCCTGTTCTAGATGTCAATACTGTAGCTCAGGCACTCGCCGACACTATACACAGTGGATACGGTAGGACGATCTACCTGCCTGGCATCATGAGTTATGTTGCCATCTTGGTATGAAGCACTCCCTGGTACTGAGCCCCACGGGTTGTATTGATCGAATACTAATGTCGTAATTATAGAGGGGAGGACCGGAATGGCTCTGGCGTATGATTCGACAAGAAACGAACAAATTTGCACTCGACTTTACGGGAAGGCAGAGAGTGGATCCGGAGACAGGCAGGATTTCCGCTATTTAGATTCTAGATTAGCTGCTCCATTCCTAGGTATCAGTCACTCCAGGTGACCTAGGGCAATCTTTCTATTTCTATTGATGTCTTATTTCATTATATAGGCGGTCTTTCTAATAATATATTGGCTCTTTGAACCGCTTTCCCTTTGCCTTCGACCCGAACCACTTAATTCCTCGGCGAGCACGCAAGCTCGGTAATACTAGTGATACTATCTATCGAAGTAACGGCGCCTGGAATACTAATATTCACCTGAATTTCGAATTGTATCGACAATCCCTGTAAATCTGCGGCATTGCGGGATCCAAAACGCCACGGCATCCATGACTCAGACCAGCAACACCGCAATCGCGCGCTCTTGTCAAGCACCATAGTGAATAGCCGCATGTTTAATGGCACACCCATTACGTTAAAGAGAGGTAGGCGGATAACTATATTGATCGTGAAGAGGTATGTGCAACAACACGAAGAGTGAGGCGCAGAAGGAGGCGGGTGTTGTTTTATTTACTCGAGATGCCCCGTGTTCCTCGAGTTCCCAAGCAAAGGCCATCATCTAATAGTTCGGGCATCGGAATTTCGGTTAATCGAAGAGAATATATCTGAAGTGCGGAGTTGTTTCCAGTGTTGGATCCATCATGAAGTTGCGAGAGCGCAAGATACCAGGGGTTATATCGTGAAATCAGTCAATGTCTTACGAGACTGTTGCGGAACATCAAGAATGCGGCATAAAATCATCAGAGGCTTAATTATTAATCTAAAAGACGACGGGGGAAAAATAGAAAACAAAAATAAAAACACAGGCTCCGGCTAGCATCTTCTGCAATGGTCAGACCTTGTACTTGGATCAAGGTGACAATTGGTCTTTCTGCCATTCCATTAGCATCTCAACTGAGATGTCGTTTCCACCACAAATAAGCAAAACCACCTTAGAGTTCCGATCGAGGCGCCGCCCGGAGTACCTCTCTAGTTGGCCATTCTCGCAAAGTGCAACGGCCACTCCCGCAGTAAGCTCAACCATAAGACGTTCGTGACAGGCCATGAGCAAGCAGCCCCTGGCGGCTTCGGTGTCGGTAAGGACAGCGTTAGCAACTTGTGGTCGCTGGGCATACTCAAATGTTGTCTCGGACACCATGGACACGCCGAGGCTACGTGCTCTGGAGGTAATCTTCTCGAGCTTGACCAACTGTTTGGCTTTGAGCGCCTGATCAAGCGAGTCGGCACCGGCAGTTTCCATCGCCAGAACTGATGTCTTGTCGCTCCAGCCAAGCTCGTCTAGGGCCTGAATTATTCCATTCATAAGGCCGCCTCCACCGACGCTACAAACAACCAGGTCTGGCTGTTCGTACGAGAGTTGAGAGGCAATTTCGTACATGACAGTGGAGTTGCCTGCCCAAACATCAGGATGGTCAAATGGAGGTACATAAACTCCATTGGGGTCCCGAGGCAAAACGACAGAGCGTAGGTAGTTATCGGCATCCATGACACTCTGCCCATGCTGGTAGACGCTGTGAGCCCCTTCGTCCCGTAGCCTCATCACCATAGCTGGACTAGTCGTCGTCGGAACCACAACAGATGCCTGGTAACCGAGAGACCGGGCGGCGACTACGCAGGCGATACCTGCGTTACCACCCGAGGAGGCGTAAAAGTGTGGTTGTTTGCCGGCTGCCTCACAGTCTCGGATGCGGCAGAGGAGGTAGTTTCCAATACCTCGAGATTTGAAGGACCCAGAGGGTTGTAAATTCTCTAGTTTCAAGAAGATTCTACTGCTACGAATTAGCGTCTGCATCTGTGTCTTCCTTGGGTGGAGTGGGACGGGTCGTAACGTGGGAGTGAATTGGGATCTGTGAACACATACCACCCTGCGAGTTTGGAGAGGCGCGATGATTCCACCAAGGGGGTGGAAACCCACGGTTGTTTACGATCCACCGTCATGATTGTGGAGGATTGAAGACCTGCCGTTTATAGACAGTAGATTAGGCCTTCTTTATTATGTATGCAATAGAGAAGGTAAGAGATGTGACTTGATCCTCGAGTGGATGGATGGGGGTAGAGGGCAGAATGACAAGTGTTGAACTTGCTGATGCAGAGGTAAAGGGATGATGTTCAGGAGAATTGGGCCATCTTCCTATTAACCAAAAAGATCCCACCCTGTGTTCGTGTTGCATGACATTCAAATTAGTCAACAATCACTGAGAAACGACGCCCGACCGGGAAGGTGATTGGGTTGACCACCGAGTCAGGAAGTCACCGAGTCAGGACCCACAGCGGGCGGGGGGTACGATGCGACCTCGGACCGCTTCGTGAAGAAGACCCGATCTGGAATTGGATTTCCTTCCTTACTGCGGTTGAACCGGAGGGCCTGGATAGAATTCCGACCATGTGACAGGAAGTCTTCTCCATTCCGCACTCCGGAGGGTAAGATGAGACAAAAATATCCTGGGAGATACGCACCGTGTGGGAGAGAAGGAGTTGATTTTGCGTCAGCGTCAGCCCGCTCAGGTTTCTGTTAGTTTGAATTTATTACCCTAGTTTCACAATAGTTATTGATCTCGTTATTGATCTCTCATTTTACTACTGGCTTGACAGTTTTGGCGATGCTCTGAGCCACGTCCGAGCTGAGCCTGCAGACCCTGAGCAAGGTTGGGTAGGGTAATCGTCCTAGAAATGGCAATCTACTCAAGGATACGCTGCACCTGCGATAGGACCCCCTGTGACCTGACTGAGTTAGGCTTTACATATAGGAGAGGGTGCTTATCCCTTCCCCCGAGCTGACGCGGAGCGGTCTCTTGCCTGTGGCAAGAGCGCTCAGATAATAGGATAATTAATTAAATGCAAGATGGAAGAGTCTCGGCGAGAGGTTGAAACTCAACTCTTGGTCACAGACTTTAACTTAGAAGCCAAGGACTTGAACGATCGGGGAATAGCAGGGAGGCATCAGGGGAGTAGTAGAATTTAGTGGTAAATGTTTCTGCATATTTATGAGTGATGAATTTATGATGATTGTCCCGTCGTCAGTATCCACATCCTCGATTCTGAATATTATTGGCTGCCTCTCCTTCGGGATCACAGTCCGGATTTTCTCGTTCACTGCCAAGCAGTTGCGCGGACCGGGGAAACGATGCCAGATTCCGATTTCAACAGAAGAAAACGGCTCGTCCCGGACTACTTAATCCACCCTCGCGCGACCGAAGCCGGAATTGCGCGATCATTTGACAACATGGCTGACTCGCTTGAGCCCCAAGCCCTTTGACTCAGTGACAATGGGAAAAATGACAAGGGGCAAGGGGCAAAAGAGCCACAGACTCGGTGACACTGCCCCGCTCGGAAATCGGCAGTCATGCCTCGTGAGCCAGTGACCTTCGTAAACCTCCAATATCCGAAGCGACAATAACCGAAACCGGAGAACTTTCGTTCTCTTCCGTTTTATTTTCTTTTAGAATCGCCAACCGCGAGAGGAACGACGGAGACTATGGGCGTGAAATGTTAAGGCAGCGCGAGCGCCCGCACCAGCATCTTGGCCTTCTTGTTTTGTTATATATAAGCGGAACTGCTCAAGACAAAATATTTCCCAAGTAAATGCGAGGCGACTGTTGTGTTAACAAAACTATGGACAAGCCACCCGCCAATGATGAAATCTCGAGTGTTGAGCATCACCTTCTCGTTCTGGTTTTCTTCATCTCTTATTCTTTTAATTGTTTTCATTTATTTATCGTTTATTTATGTATGTATTTATTTTTTCTTTTCCGTACTCTAGTTATTAAAATGCGCCAAGCCTACTCCTTACCATGGGTAATGCAACTGAAAGGGCCAAGATTAGATCCACGGTTCAGAGAAACCACTGACCCATTCCTCGACCTCCTTCCTCAGACTGGTGATCTCAGGAACAGTTGACCCATTGCCCAGGTATTCTTGGAATGCCTTGACGCTGGACGGATTCTTGACGCCCTTAGCTGCGGATTCCTCTCTTGCCTGCTTATCGACGGCAATCGTGATGGCCACACCGCGATCTACGATGTCAGCCACTCGCGTGAAGTCATCGGCCGTGAATCCTCTCGTAGTCATGGCTGGAGTTCCAACTCGGAGTCCGCCCGGCCTCAACGCCGACTTGTCCCCTGGTACTGTGTTCTTGTTGCTGGCAACTCCGCAGAGCTCCAGTACGCGCTCTACGCGGGCACCGTCCACTTGCTTTGGCTTCAAGTCAACAAGCACAAGATGGGTGTCAGTACCTCCTGACACTAATTTGTAACCCAAGCCATCCGACAGTCGCCTAGCCAGTGCCTTCGCGTTGGCGAGAACTGCTTCTTGATACTCCTTGAATTCTGGCGTCGCAGCTTGGCGGAGCGCTACACCCAGTGCCATGATCGTGTGATTGTGAGGACCACCCTGGTGTCCGGGGAAAACGGAGGCGTTAATCGGGCCCTCTAGGTCATACATGATTTCGACACCATTTTTGTTGATGCTCCGGACCCCTTTGCGGAAGAAGATCATGGCCCCACGTGGACCGCGTAGTGACTTGTGCGACGTTGTAGTGACCAGGTCGGCATATTCGAAGGGCGAAGGGACAACACCGGCAGCCACGAGCCCAGATATATGGGCCATGTCCGCCATAAGGTACGCGCCAACCTCATCAGCAATGGCACGCATACGCTGATAGTCTATCAGCCGCGAATAAGCAGAGGTACCTGCGACGATAATCTTCGGTCGGTAGAGGAGGGCATTTTCTCGGAGCTTCTCGTAGTCAATCAATCCGGTTGTCTCATCCAAGCGATAAGGGAAAGTTTCAAAGTACTTGGAGACTGCGGATATCTTTTTCGAGGGGATCTGATAGCCGTGCGATAGATGGCCGCCATGAGGAAGGTCAAGACCCATGATGCGATCATGGCATTGGAGAAGGGCGGAATATGTATAGAGGTTGGCCGGTGAGCCGGAAAGGGCTGTCGCAACTGGTCGTTAGTAGGGACATGAAAACCGCCTTCAGGCAGTTGGACTGACTTTGAACATTTACGCCCCAGGTTTCAGCACTGAGACCAAAAGCCTGAAGGGCACGGTGTTGGCAGAGCCTTTCGGCTTCATCAATATGTTCGTTGCCTCCGTAGTATCTTGCACCTGGGTAGCCCTCGGAGTATTTATTCTGCATGACACTGCCGAGAGCCTCGAGCACCGCCCTGGAGGTGAAATTCTCCGATGGAATGAGGTTAATGAAGTGGCGCTGGCGGTTTTCCTCCTAAGTGTTTTGGTCAGCTCACCAGTTCACACCGAGATCACCCCCACTGGGCTCAACTTACACGTTTCAGGATATTATACATCTCAGGGTCATTTGTTGAGAGATTCGAACCGAGAAGCTGAATTTAGATTTTAGAACATTTTCTCAGGTTGCGGGAAACTGGCCTTGTCCTTACATTAGCGTGGTCCGAAGCCAATGATGATGCTGGCCTCATGGATTGTTGACGAGGGCCCGGAGGTATCCTGACCTTCCTGCAGGTGTTGCTGAGTATTCGTCGCGATGACATGATGGCGCTTGACATGGCGAGTGTGTATTTGAAATTGGTGAAGAAAAATGAAAGTTCATAGATTCGACACGAATCTATGTGAAGAAGATAATGTGAAGAGGCAACTTAACTTGGGGGGTTCTGTACAATGCCTCAGGGCCTGAGTCCGTGGGTGAGCATATTAATATGGTCCCAACAGTCGGTGTTAAAAAGAGGCCAGTTATCACTAGATACCCCAGATCTCAACCACGCCGGAAGGAGACGGGGAGAAAAAAAAATTGGCCAGGGTTGTGGGCCGAATTTCGGACTGCCGGAATTTGACTCGGTGAATCGTGACTCGGTGATTGTCCTCTGCAGACCACAGCGGCGCTAGTGGGCCTAAGCCGGTCTGTGCCCGCCTCGCTCTTGTGAGGTTCAGGAGTCTCGGTTCAAACTTCTCGGCTTAATTACGCAGGCATTGATGGATTTGTCGGACCAAAAGCGGCATATTTGCTCTGGAGAGGCCCGCCTGCATACATGCAAACCAGACTGGGTTCAACAATATAATAGCCCAATTGTGCCCCTTTGAATGCGAAGTGTCTTCACAAGCTTGGATTTTATGTAAATTGAGTATTAATGATATCCATTTTGTGCTTCGGTCAGTCGACCACGCCAAATGAATACTGGATGGCGGTACAAGCTGGTATTAATGGTGATGGTGATGATGGTGGTGATGGTGGTGGTGGTGATGGTGATGGTGGTAATGATGATGGTAGTGGTGATTATGCTGAGGTGGACGATGGTAGTTCCGGTGGCTCGACTGACTAGTGGAAACAGAATCCTCTGCGACAGCGACGGGGAATACAAGAGGCCGGCCGCGATCAACATCATTGTACGACTCTTCGACGATATCTACAAACTGTTGGCTGGGTCTTGATGCCATCTCGACAGCCAACTCTAGCGCCCTGAAGTCCGACGAGTTCGGCGGGGGGTTAGGATCTAGGCCAGTTCGTGGCTGCCTTGGAGCTTGCGCTGCTGCTGGAGGCCCTGTGACCTCTGATGCTGTCGGCGCTCGCCTTCCAGGGGCCGGATCCGGAAAGGGATCAGCCAAAGCAGGACCCTGGTCTCCTAACGATGATCCCAAGCTCCAATAATCTGGCTCCCCGAAGTTCATGTCGGGAAGCCCCTCAAGACTTTCTGTGGTCGTATTCAGCAAGCCGGCATGGACACTGTCGACCGTCGGCTCATCGTCTTGGCTTATGCGGCCTAAGGGAAGCTGAGCATGGTGCCCATCCAAAGCTTCGCAGCCAGCGGTGACACGATTGCTCGCTAATAATGAATCCGCCATATCATGAGCACTGGTTACTGCGGAATTTTCACAGGTGGAAGTTGTGTCTAGCCCGCCACCGTCCCAAGAAACAGCGGGGGACTTAGAGAGGCAGGTTGTGTCACTCTGCGGAGTTGGTTGGGCCGGAGGAGGCAATATCCTGTCGCCGCCCGCCGTACCTCCCGGAGACCCTTCTTGTTTCTGCAAGTTGCGCCATCGATTTCGGCACGTGAGCGGGGGACGACCGGGAAGTCTAGCCGCGACTGAAGTCCATCGGTGGCCAAGATCCCGAACGCTCTCGCGAAGGATTTGGTCTTCCTCCGGTGTCCAATCGGATAAACGATTAGAGGCTAATGGACCTAGAATATCTCTGTACCTTTTTGAACATTGATCATCCTTTCTACCGGGAATGAGGTTGGCGATCTCGTTCCAGGCCGGTCCAAGGCGGGAGTATGCATCGAGAAGAATGCGATCTTCATCCGCTGTCCATCGCCCCTTGCGTAAAGAGGGGTCAAGCGAATGAAGCCAGCGCTTGCGGCAGTCCTTATGTTAAAAAGTATCGTCAATCACAGCTCTCTATCATGGTCTTAAACCCTTTCACATGCATGGAAGGCAGTTGAATGCTCATGCTGGACACTCTCACCTTGGCCGTGCGTCCAGGGATGGCTTGGGCAATCTCCTTCCATCGCCATTGAGTCCCTCTCGCATCGCTATACTGAGCTATGCGGCTCCTGAGGGTCTGGTCTTCCCATGCCGTCCAGCTGCGACGCGTCCTTCGCGAACTGCCCCCTGCCCCGCTTTCGGTCGATGCCGACGGTGTGACGATTGGCGAGTGTCCCGCTGCGGACATTTGTGGAATCACCCGCCAAGTGTCCAATCTGAAGAAGAAGACGTGACTTCACTTAGCGATTGATACTTATATCGGCTGCGAATGATGACGTACCGTTTACCAGAGAGATGGATGCATAAATCGGGAGGTAAATGAGGTCAACAGGGAGCCAAGGCAATGGTTTGGGTTCGAGCTATCCGACGTGAAGCACGTGACGAGCTAGGAGAAGGACTTGGAGTCCGAGTCACCTGTCACCACCTGAATTTTGCTGGACTGAAGTTTTACAACCATCGTGACTTCGGCGCAGTCTCGATGCCCGAGACGCTCAGTTTAACAATGATTTGATTTCTCTTTCTCCTTGACGTTATAAATCAAGTTGCCATCATCATCTAATTTCGCGATTTCCCACAACACGTGTTCTACCGGCTGTGGTTTGAGTCCCAAGTGCTTCGCCTCCAATCTTCTCGCAACAAGGGCATCCGCAATCATGCGGCGATGGCATCGCCACCAAAGGGTCTCGCTACACATAATTGCCGTCCCTTTCCCTCCATCAGATGCGTGCCGTTCGGCCACGTCCTTTAGCTCATCCATGCCCTCAACGAATGTCGGTGTACTCATATAGGCGGCATAGTTTCTGAATGATTTAACCCGGAGGGCGGTGTGCCGATCCGCCCCGGGCAGTTTCTTACGAAGGCCCCCGAGTTTTTCTCCGAATGATTGATACTTTATGCCCCCTGCCTGCAATTCGGCAGATGAGCTGAGGGCATCTTGGTTAAACTGAGGGTTTGTAAAAGAGCGTGGTATAGAACGGACGTCGACGAGCTGAGTGATGTTTGCACCCTGGAGTATCTCGATTAGTTCGGCAAGGGTTCGAGTACCATGACCGACAGTGTAGATGGTTAAACGAGGCGAAGTTTCACGAGAAGGTGGCCGTGATGAATCCTACTGTTCGGTTAACATAGGGTTCTGTAGTCCTTAATTTCATACTCACATGATTATTGATAGCCGCTCGTCTCTGCCGTTTAGGGTTCGGTCTGTGTTGCTTTTCCACAGGCGACGGTTTTTTTCGTTTCCGACTGCTGTGAATTTGGTCAGAATTCATTTTGCACAACTTCGAGGCGCCTGGATTTGATAGAAATGGGAATTTGTCTCTCGTAAAAGCCATTTGCATCGGGTCAAATTCAAAGTTTCTTAAAGGGAGCGGGAAGTCACATCATGAAAGAAGAAATAAAGCTGTTGAGATATTTGGTAATAATAGCAACTCCGCGGAGATGCCAACCACATATCCCTTTCTCACCAGGACTTTCTCTGGATTAATGGAAATAGGCCACCCCATATATACACGGAAAAAGTTAACTAGAGGACGGTTCTAGCATCCAGCTTCTCCTTCGCAAACTGCAATGCAACCGCAATTGCCTCCTCGCCTGGCTTAAACCCGGGAAATACCGTAAATGCGTGCGGCACGCCTGGGTAAATTTTGACGACTGCTTCGCTGCCGCTAATCATCCACTTAAGGCTCATAAGCAGCGTATCGTCGAGAAGAGGATCCTCTGTCCCACATAGAAACAAAGCAGGCGGGAGAGAATTTTCCGGAGCCACACGTGCGAGAGTCTCCATGTCATCATACAAGGGCGAAATAAGAGGATTCCGTCGGCCTTCGATACTCATGCCTGGAGTATAGGCGTCCCCAAACTTCTGTAGCTCCTCACGATTGATGATGAGCGGGCGCTCGAAGAGGGACGCCTTGGGGAGATTAAGGGTCAAGTCGAACTGCCCAAAGGGGAAAATGAGCCCCGCAAGTCGGTGATTCGGTCGTGCGCGTAGGAGGTGGAATGCAGTTAATGCGGAGAGACACGCGCCTGCAGACTCGCCGCTTACGAAAAGAAGTCTGGCACCGTAGTCCGCTACCCCATGGTCGACCAAGTACTCCGCTGCATCGAAGCAGTCGTGGATGGCAGCAGGCCAAGGGTCCTCGGGCGCAAGGCGGTAGCCGACGGAAATGGCTGTCAGTTGACACTCGTTGGCATAGCGCTGAAGGGTGCGGTCTTGGCTATAATTATAAGAGAGAACGTTGTCAGCTGCACGAGCGTTTGACGGGATTAAGGGGTAATGAAGAGCCCAGAGTTAAAAATTAGTGGCAGGGACGTTTAGCAGAGGTCAAAATCTAAATGGATAGCAGGACAAAATAGATGGAAGAAATCTAGGCATAAAAGCCTGCCTCACGTACTGTCGATGCGTGGCAAGCACAAAGCCTCCGCCATGGATGTGAAGGAAAATCCCCTTGCTTGGCTTTCCGTTGTCAGGTGTGTAAACGCGGATGGGAACTGAACGACCAGTGTCCCTCGATGGCACCGCGGAATCCTTGGCCTCGGGTAGGTAGACTGGCAAAGGGAGAGGAGTCTCGCCAGTCTCTCTCATCTGACGGTATTTTGGCGCGCCGATCTCATGCCATCGTGGGCCTTTGATAGTAATGCCCTCGATGAACGCATTAGTCTTTTTGGTATCATCGGCGACACTGTCAAGACTAAAGTTGGAAACGTTGAGAGTGATATCACTTGTAATCGGCATCGTAGCTGACGGTGGCGTGAAATTGTGCAATTATAACCTGTCTTGTGTCTCTCTTTCATAAGTTCTTGAGAAGAAGATCTCAAGAGTTCAAAAGTCCAGGTAAGTGCGGGGTTTTGATGACAAGAATTGACTGAATCACTGACACGAGCTCACTTTCACAAATGTTGGTTATAAATGGCGGCTACGGCGTGAATCGGTTTTCTTGCCTCTAAGAGGAGTCCGAGCGTCCGCCTCTGCATCTGCATTGCCAGCCAAGTCAATCGTAAGAGATCAGTAATCGCACATTACCCTCGGCTGTCAAAGAATAATAGTTGAGGATTTCCAAGTGTCATCACCAACTCCCCACTTTCGCCCTGGCATCCCTTCTATCAGTTATACCGAAAATTGCGACAAATGCTAGGTGCTTTCTCTTGCAGTTGCTACCACACCTGGGTAGGCGCAACGTACCAGCTCTGGCTGATACTGCGTGAAGGTTTGATGGGATAGTCTTTATGGCCTCTTGTCGCCACTGTGGACAATGACATTTCACCAAGGTATTGGATTATTGTTGGCCATTCTACCAGATACTGTGAACTGGTAGTGTGGTAGTTCACTTCTCTGCTACTATATAAAACGCCGATTCACCTCGTATTATCTATTTCTATATCTTAAAGCTGGTTCCAGTGCGAATATTAAAGTGTTGTTCCCGTGATTGAACTGCTCATGAAATCCATGGTTCGCATCACCGTATCCACGACGCAATAAATGCTTGATATTTGGGCTATAAAGATTTCATTTAAGACCTAGCAAAATGTATAGGAGAAAGTACCAGATCAGAGGCGAGAGCGTTTCTGACAAGTTCTCCTACTGCAGTCCCAATGATGCACCCTGCTGAAGTCAGGACTCGGCTAGTCGAGAGCTACAAGCCATATTCGGACTACGATAACCAACGGCGTAAGCTGGGGGCGATGAGAATGAATATTTGCTAGGCTAGAGATATGCTAGGAGGAGGATGCCCGTGAAAGGGCATCAATTAGTTTGTGTTAGGCCAAGAGATATTTTAGAGCAAGTAAATAGTTCGGGGCTCATGGAACTGAGGATGACCGACGTATTGGAAATGCAGCTAAAGAGGCACCACCCAACATGGTATTGCGGTTGCTCGAGCCTCAGGTTTGGTATCTGGCAAGTTACGCCAAGTATCCGTCGGGAGAGTCACCCGAACCCATACGCCATTATTTCATTGGGCTAATGAAGAAATGGTCATTCGTCGTGGCCGTGACGTCGAATCTCATCCCAACTTCAATTAAACCCTCCTCCCTCGGAACGCAAAGCATCCCAAAGCTTGGTTTGAACTTCAACCCCGGGTCAATTCGTCTATAACTCATAAGCTGGTTCCAGGGCTGGCGCGGGTGCTTCTCGGCCGTCTCAGGGTCCACGTTGGGCACTTGGCATCTCAGGCAGCGGCATACAACATCTAGGTTTAGGGCGGCTTTGCCATCGCTGATTCGCAGGGCTTTCCACCTGTCCTCGTCCCATGGCTGGCTGCCTCGAATGATGACATTTGGTCGGAAACGCTCAATCTCAATTTCATCCTCACCCTCGCGGGCAAGACGTTTGTTGAGCTCCCCGATGCTAGCCATAGAGCCGACCAGAACAGGCATCATATCCGCAAATTTGGTAGCCTCGGTCCGCCCCAGAAGCTCAGGAGCTCCGCAGCCACGAAGCACACGAGGAGTGGGGCCCTTATATACGAGGCGAACGTCTGCATTCAGGAAATCAGAAAATGGCTGGGTAAGGCTAGCTTGATATTCCCAAGCGTCTGTCTTCTCGCCCCAGATGCCAGCCATTACGAATCGAGTATTCTCTTGCAGCCATGAAGTCGTAGGGTGAGCGGGGATCTTGATGGCATGTTCTTTGATAGAAATAGCGAGCGTGTCAGTATCGGCGTCAAAAGAAGTCCGAATGAGCGTCATGCTAGAATTCGTTCGGATTGTGATGAATTCAAGAGTGTCCGCTGAGACGAACATCCAATTACGGTCCAGGTCTAGGCCTGTCCGAAAGAGCCGGGCAGACTTGACTTCGAAGCCACGACATGACTTTACAGGGTAGACGCGTAAACCGATGATCTCATCCGTGGGAGGCGTTGCTGGAAGAAGTTCAGAAAAACCGGGTGCACGTTCGGCGCCGGGATTGCGGAAGAAGGGGCGAAAGAGGGGGCGAAAGAGGAAGACGGATGCCACGGCGACAGTAAAGAGAATGAATGCCGTCGATGGAGTATTGAAATTGTCGAGGAGTGCTAGCATGACTTACGGCCAAGGAATCGAAGCTTCACGGTCATCGGAGTAGGGGATAAAGCTAGGTCCATGACTATGACGGGCGCAGAAGCGGAGAAGATGGGAATTTTAATAAGTCACTTCGATGCGCGGAGAGACCACGGGACTGTCTAAAGATGACAAATCAAACATTTGGCACGCAAACAGCCTTAAACCTCTATGAACGCCGCAAAACACCCGGATTCGCCGGAAGGGGGAAAACACGCCGCTCTGATTCTTATTCGAGCAAAAATTATTTCCCAGCCCTGTAGAGCTGCCGTGTAAACGGCGAGATTCGGTACTTGAAGGTCCAGAAACGAGGCTGCATGACTGACTCCGTTGGAGATCAACGAGAGACGGAGCATCGGTGTTCCCAACATAGTGGCAAGGCCTGCGCTTTCAATTGCTATGATGATTATTTGGGCCATGCTGCTAGCATAGATATAAAAGAAATAATTATTCTCTAGCCTAGAGTATAATATAACATTTTTCTACTGTCGCCCTCAAGCTACCCCTATATCTTAATACTAGTATTACCTTTTTCCCTATTATACTACTTATTAGTTGTTATTACAAGGGAAGAACTCCAGGTCCTGGTTTACTGCTCTACCGCCAGACCAATTTGAAAAGGCTTCCTCCCCACTGCATACTGGAATTGTAATAACACCGGGGGCACGGATATCATCATGGTAAAGCCGGTCGAAAACTTCGTCATCTGAAGGATCGAGTTCTATGTTCCCTCCATTTTTTCGGCCAGCTTTAATAAACGTTTCGACAGCCCTATTAACCATAGACGTTGGGGTATTAGTGACTACTATCTTCATCATTCTCTCGATGACATGTAAGGGAGAGTAGGATCATTGGAAAGAAGTCGGGGTCCATCTCGACGTTTGAAACTTACCCAGCTATAATGTCCTCCCTTGTGACGCCGCCCCAATCTTCTCCGTCAAGTAGGTATGATCCTGCTGGGTATCTGAGCGGCGTTAATCGACACGGCTGAGTTGTGACAACGGGTGGCGGAATACACTGTCGACCTCTTGTGTCTCCGGGGGCAGCCACTAGCGAGTAACCCCTGCCATTGTAGCAATAGAAGTCGTACTCGTGATCTGATATTTCCACTTTCCCGCTTCCACTACATGGTCCAGAGTCCACAACAGCCGGGTATTGACCTGTTTCCATCCAGACGGTCGGAATTGCAATGGCGTAGAACGCTCGTCTTCCCCTGCCCTGTGTCACAGTGTTGTTGAAGGCGCTGATATCTGCAATGGCGTTACCATTATGACTACCTGATGTTAATCTGCCGTCCTTGGTGAGGGTTTCGAGAAGGTCGAGGAGTTTGTTGTCTTGGCCTAGAAAGATATCGAATAGCAGCGTTTCGGACTGTTGTTTCCACAATGTAATAGTTTTATCGACAATAGAGTTGAAGTTAATTTCATTCAAAGTTGCCTGCCTATTTCCAACATCACATATTAGTCAGTATCTCTCGACGTTAATTGTAAGTGTTTGAAAAAGTTCGACTACCGGCATTATTAAAATAATGGTTTTTGGGAGGGAAGCCAGGCCCCTCGGGGTACTTACGAAAGCTGTCTTCTAGCATAGCTAAATGCAGCCGTGGCAGTCGCCTGGGACATGTCCTTTGCAACATCAACAAATAGTTTATCGTCGATTAAACTTGCAAAAACTGTCGATTTTAGTTAATGTAAGCCCTATCTTGCATATGAAAATTGTAATGGATTTGAAGATACTGGACTAGTTCACCTACCACCTTTATAGGCGACTGTCCCTGCAACTGTGGCGGGTATGAAAAGTAAGTCCAGAAGGAGTTGTAGTGAAGAAAGATCCGACTTCTTCGGCGAGAATGCCTCGATAAACTCATTACTCGTAGCCTGAACTTGGTTACCAACTGTCTCGAACGTGTCGTAAACAGTGCCGATAATCTACTCATCAAAGATTGGTATTGTTAGTAAACTGCATCGACATCAATGAGGGGTGTCTTGCCAAATCGGCACCTTACCTGGTTAACTCTGACGAGGGCGTTCCAAACAAAATAGGATGCAGCGCCCGTTTTTGATTCTGGGGCATCAAACTCCGTGTTGTGCACTTCACATTTACTGGCAATGCAGTTGTTCCCCAGGCGCCCGACAAGGCTACACTGCGCATCCTCTGTCTGGTGGAAAAACTGACTTGCGGACTCCGAAAATGTCGAGTTTCCAGAAGGCCGGTCACAAGTTTTCCATCTGTGCATCATATCGTTCCACGCCGCGCCCGCCTCCAGGGCGTCCCAACGTTCTTTCGGCAAGTAACTCGTTGGCATCGTAACTTCACGCTGAGTACACTGCCGGTTGACCCACGTGCCTGTTCTTTTCTCCAAATCGCAAGCCTCAGGCTGGCTTTGGCCGAGGTTGGGGTCAATGATGGGACCGTCGTCACCGCCACCTCCACCGGGGCAGCTATTCATATGAACAGTGGCACGACCCGAAATCGGATTCACAGCAATCATGTCGGCGCGGCCAACGCCGCCAATATTGGCAAAGATGGTGTCCCGGCCGCCCGTTGCGCCGTTGTACAACTTACCCTTGGGCGCCCAGTAGAAACTGCTTCCTCCTGTCTGCATCTGGCCACCGTTAATCCAAACATGCGTATCACCTGTGAACTTATCAGTCCAGAGGAAGTCGGCGCGGCCATCACCTAAAGGTTCGTTAATATAATTATCGTAAACACCATAAAAGGCAGGAAAGAGACAATACGAACCGTTGACATCAGCAAACAAATGATTAGCTCGATCTTTCTTCTCGCTGAATTTAATCTGCCCCATATAGACACCGGCAGTTCCTTTCTTGTTGAGCCAGCCAGTGGACCGGCCGTCTTTCTCCATACAGATGTAATCAACCCGGCCATCACCACTATATGATAAAGTAAGCTTCTATATCGTGATGCGTAGCGAAAGGGATATAAGTGGACAGATTTAAATTCGAGGATAGGGCAGGGAATAGGGAGATGTGACTGGGTTGGGAAACTGGGGAGAAGGCAATATGTAGTCAAAGGTTTCGGTGAAAGGAATGATGATAGTGAGACAAAATAACTTACTCAATGTCAGCATAGCGAACACCAAGATCGCGGAACCCAACACCCCAACCCTCTGCGCAGTTAGGGCCGATTGACTGGCCAGAGCTCGCGACACGGGTCTTGGCGCTGAAGGAGAACTTCTTCGCTGCGGAATCCCAACGAGTGAAGTAGACATCGGCGCCGCCGTTTTTTCGGTCTGTGACGATGACGTCGCATTTGCCGTCACCGTCCCAGTCACCGAACTGAACTGCTTTACGATTCGCGTTCGTATTGAGCACATTTCGGTGCTCGTCCCATCCGTAAGTGACTATGCCTGGTGGGTTTGGATTCCGGAAGATGGTCAAAACGCCTTTACTGTCGACAAAAATGTAGTCATCGTTGCCGCTGCCATCCATATCGCAGAAGAAGATTCCGTCTCCCTTTTGGTACGTGCCGCCGCTACCAAGGTTCTTCCACGCGTGGACTTCGTACTTGGCTGTATCTCCATCGAACGCACGTCTTATGTGGAGATAATCGCGCCTCCCGGAACCGTACACCTTACCGAAGCGGATCCCAACTCGATCTGGCATCCTAACACCTAGGTGTGTAACGCCTGAATCCAACCAGTGTGGTTTCAAAGTCTTCCCTGCAGGCCTTTGGTTGATATGTGTTGTGACAGCACCGTTTTCGTCCATATATAGCCAATCCGAGCGGAAGTCGCCATTAACATCGACCAGCATAATGCCAGCGTTCTGACGCCCTTCGCCGGCATGGATAACTCCAAAGTCCTGCCAGTACGAAGGCCGGTCTCCAATACCTCCATTCCGGTAGCACGTAAGAGCATTGTTTCCATCCATGATGCAATAATCTAGGCGTCCATCGCCATCGATGTCACCAAGACGAACATGTTCTCGACCTTTTCCATTCACACCCTTCCTATACTCGCCGAGGTTCTCGAATGTAGGTGGGTTCCCCCCCCTATTGATAGATACTTCGATCGACGCCCAGGTTGTAATGCAAATAAAATCGTCGAGACCATCATTGTTGACGTCACCCCAACGGATTCCAGCAGTAGGGCAGTTGTGCTTGGGATCGATCTTGACTTTCGGTTCAAACACGCCGTTGCCCTTGTTGACCTGCATCCACATGCCAGTTGAATCTTTGTACACAAACTCTTCATTTTCGCCACCACGGCCGTTGCCAAAGTTGACGAGCTGAGCGAAGTCCATTGAGAAATCCCCTTTGAAAGTGCCTTGAAGGATTATACCACCACTCTCCGATTTGTGAATATATTTTCCATCATCGACAATGACAGACGAAAGGGCCTTCAGGATCTCCATGCCAGACCGTTTATCCCCGAAGGCACTCCCAAGCTTCTTGTCACATGTAGCAGTGGCAACAGAAACTGAATCATCAAATCCAGCATAGGATGGAGGGGCAAGGAAGCCAGCTTGATAGGCCTTATTGATACCATCGTAAAACTGGCGGGCCATCTTCTTGAATCCGTCATCACTCGGGTGTGTTCCATCAGGAAGTTGGTCAACCGTAATCCAGCCATTATCCATCTCAGCAAGCACAATTCTCCAACCTTGCGTGCGGAGGCGGCTGACTAGAGAGCGGTATTGGGTGTTGATTTGAACTGCATTACTTGGCTGGGACTTAAGTGGTAAGAGTGTAGAGACAATAAAGGTAGCGTCTGGCACTTGAGATCGCAAGTAGTTTAGTAGGTTCATCATCCGGTCGCCAGCTGTGGCGACATTATTGCTATAAATAGCATCGTTTGTACCGACATTAATGGTAAAGACATTAGGGCGGAGGCTAGGAACGGATGCCATAGCTCTATTGTGGACTTGGTCGATAAGGTAGCCAGGCCAACCTTCATGGTCCTGAATCATTTGATGCGCCTCATGTCAGTATGTGGTGAGTGATAGTTTTAGGCTAGCTCTACTAATGGGAAAGCACGCTCAACTGCATCTCGTAGAGGGTATTATAATAGGAAGTGTGGATGTGGGTTTTTAGTTCAGGGGGTAAGGTAGAAGTAGGGAAGAGAGGGGGGCTATATTAGCACGTACATTATCATTCATGTCTCCCTTTCGCTGGCTGCCAACCATGTTCACTTTCCAGCCGTCAAAGCGAAGTTGCTGGCGAAGGTATTTACGGTACCCAGTTTCATCTGAAGATCCCATACCTTGAGTGATAGAGGCACCGAGGGGCATAATACGGAGAAAGAAGGTGTCAGCGCGTTTGTGGAGGGAAGAGAGGGAATCTCCAAGCGTGCTATTTTCAAGGTTCCCTTCAATGGACTGTGAGAGAGTCTTCAGGCTGTGGGAATTTCCTGCCGGCATAGCAGCCGTAGGCGAAATGCCCACAGTGAGGAAAGTGGCACCATAGGCCAGAAGGAGAGACAAGCGCATTATTTTTTTAAACGAAAGGCGAGAGCAGTAGTCTCATGAAAACAGGATAGAAAATGAGCGACAAGAGTAGCACTGAGGAGCAAAATCTCACAAGACAGGAAACAAAGAAGAGGCGATTAACCAGTTTTTATCTATTCACGATGCTCGCCTTCTTGTGCGATGGAGTTCTACGGCGGGAAACCCCCACGTTCAATCTACATCCTTCCAAGCTCTGCGCCAGGAGACCCCGAACAACTGATCAAGTTAAAAAGGAGAGAAAGAAAATAATAAAACTGATGTATCTATCATGCAATTAGGGTTCGCGTAGAGATTGAGGTCCACGATACGGGATGCTGCCGAGGAAGGATTCTACCTGATGGCCATTTCTCCGGTGCGCAATACGACCTCGCGTAGAGATTGTAATACGAGTAATAGGGGATGTGTCTACTCCGTACCTTCCGGGGGCCGTTTATCATATACTTTGTAGCAGATGATACCGTCGTAGAGAAAGACGAGCTCAAATCCTACCCATTATTCGATGCACAGGGCACGGTCTCTGGTGAATGAAGGTCGGTATCGCTTAAGATTTCACCGAATCGGTCACCAGTCCCAGAAGGCGAGCCAAGACTTAAAGGATTACACTAAAATCCTCCAATTAAAGTTTCATTAAGGGAAGCGAGCATATAGCTTCACTGTCGATGTAATTTCCAGGCGGCACGGCCACAAGATTCTCGGCGGGAATTCTGCCACTAAGAGCACAAGGCGCCGTTTCCTGTCCGAAGTGGAGCACGTTCAGCATTGATGGTGAACATGTGCACCGCATTCCTGAGCTAATTGGTGACTGAACATGGAGACGGAGACAAGGGACTATCAAGGTGGTTTTTATAGGTTATCTTGACTGTTTCTGTCCCGGGCCTCCCGGCCGCTGAAATTCTGGCCAATACACAGTCCTCCGAATGCCCTCGGGTGACATCCGAGCACCAAGAAATTTTTAGCGAGGCGCCTTGGCGCCTGATTTCGTAGACCGAGCAGCAATGGCCGTGTAACGGTCCGTCGCATTGCAAAAGGTCATTGATCCTTCTCATGCAAGTCGACACCATTTACCCGATAAAAAGGGTGATAATGAGCAAAAGGCGATAGCGCCTCATACGACCGAAAGTATGCATTTTTTATCGCAATGTAACCGTCTCACATAGTTGAGGCAGTGCTTCACACAGTCGCGGAGGCATGAAGAATGCACAGCTTAATCACTTCTTGCCTGCATGTCACTATACTACACGCGCGCATACAACTCTCTCTATCGACAAGGTAGCTCATCTATGCTTTTTCTTCCATCTTGAGAACGAGACCTTCAGCCTGCAGAAGATTATTGATCTGTACTTCCCGGCGCAATTTTTTGGTTCTCGACGACCTCGCTTGCGCTGGTTGGGGATATGTTGCATCATCACTGTCTTAACCACCTCACCTGGAATATTCCTTTCTGAGGGACTGCTGACCACGTGGAGGATGGGGCGGCCTATGCAGTTAGAATCTGGACGGAGAACAACACACTGATGAGATCCTAAATCCTACTACTATAGTACAATATTCTCCATCTCATGACCTAGAAGCGTGTTTTCTAATAAATAATCTCGCACGTAAAAAATATATAAAGACTCAAACTCTCCATTTTATTCCCTTCTTTAGTTCAAGACCAGCTCAAACCATAAGGCCTCAAGCTCCGACCTCATTAATCAAACCTCCAATACTTTGTTAACCGCTATCTACTCCTCCTATTAGGCCTTCGCCATGGTTTCTATTAAGAGCGCTCTTCTCCTGGTCATAGCCGCCTCTGTCTACGCCTCTCCCCTCGCTCCCGGGCCCCCTTCCTCCAATGGCCCTGTGCCTACTGAGGGCACTCTTCTTGACTTCATTGAAGGTTCCGACGACACCAGCATCAACCCGGCCCTTCTAGAGCGCCAGATCTCGGTCATGTCCGGGCCTTGTGATCAGGGCTCGTGCCCTGACTACAGCCAGAACTTCGACCTCCTCTATACCAATGCCCAGGAGGGAGGAAACACATTCTTCCGACGCACCAAGATCCGAGTCAAAGACTGCGGTCAATGTCAGGACAGACAGGTTGGCACGACCGGCGGCGGATGCTGGGATTTCACTTCGTGCAGCCGACCTCAGTCGATCTGTATTGATACTGGCAATTCCCGCGCTCATCGCATCTGGAAGGACAATGGCCACAAGACCTGTTATAGGCTGAAGAAGGTTAACTTGGGATCGTGTGGTGCATCTATCAAAGAGCGTGCCATTTGGCACCCAGAGGCGGAGGTCCGCTGCACCTGGTGAGAAAAGCTATAAGTGGTGCGGAGGTAAATCAAGAGGGCATTTCGTTTCTCATCCTTGCGCCAAAACCTTTTCGGAAGGAAGGTTGTCGGGTATCCTTGACAGGTCTTGAAGAATACTAGTTTTACGGATTCCAGTTCTTGTCTCTCCTTAAAGACTTAGTTGAATACATTATTTCTCTGTGCCTACTCTGTGCTACAATCCTAACACTAGGCCAGGTTTCCGCTCATGTGTCTCGCCAGTCCATTCGTTCTTAATGACGGCTTCGCCTGCGTGTGATGGAAATCATCAGCGCGAGCGTGCGACAGAGACCTAGCGGCAGTTTAGAGGCTTTATTATGTTTTACTACCTCTATGTAGAAAGCTGGCTTCAACCTAAATCCTACTAGGAGGAGGCTTTGTAAAATGATCTTCAAGACTGGGGGCAGCCAGCTAGCCCGAAATGAAAATTCTAACAGACTATCTTGGCCACGAGCCAAGCATCACGCCATACTTCGATTGGCTTGCCATTTGATGGTCATGGAGAACTATGTGAAATATATACACGAATCACGGATCTAGTCTCTAGTCGGACGAAGTTCATGCGTGGGACTAAGACTCTTTCACCGCCCTGAGATTAGACGAGGGTGACCCTAACTAGTTATCCAAGCTCGCGATAGCAATGATAGCTTCGGAAAGCGGCTTATCTCCCCCAGAACTTAATATAGTTATCGCCTTAGTAACGCTTGCAAGTATTTGATTGACTGCGCCTCTACTCGCAATATGCGTATTAGAGAAGAGGTTTATTTTCAAGTAGCCACCATCCTGAGGATACGACATCAACATCCAACTTTTTGGCACAACATCGGATCGTTTGAAGTGCCCTAAGCGGGACCTGGCGTTGGCAGTTCCAATCTCAGGCGCTTCATCGACGTTTTGGTGTTGAACAGTAGAATCGAATTTTGAGCCGCCTGGCCAGCGTGTGCAATGGTCGATGATATCTTGGAATCCAAGAGTGTCAGCGTCCCCTACAGAGACGAATTGAGCCTGGACCCCGCGTAACAAATCACCTGTTGTACGCACGTCTGACAGCCGCACACGAACCGGGATATAGTTGAAGCACGGTCCCGCCATTGTTTCAATCCCGTCAATGGGAGCGTTGCGCCCGGATACGAGGTGTCTAAACACAACGTCGGTCGACCCTGTGACACGGGAGAGCACGACAGCCCACGCGGAGCTGGCTAGGGTTGCAGCAGTGATATTGGCTGGCAACAGCGATATATCAACCTGGGCTTCCAGTTTGATGGTTTTCGCTTCTTCCCTGAGGGCTGCTGTTTCGGGGTGTACCGAGGAACTTAGCTGTGTTAACCGGGCGCCCTGTAGGACGTCGCGCCAGTAGGCAATAGACTTGGAGCGTTGCTGTGAGGCATAGGAAAGAAAGATGGAAAAGTTGGGCCCAAAAGCGCTGGAGCCGGTTTGGTAAACTTGGACAAGTGCCGTGAGGAAAGATTGAAGGGAAATTCCGTCATACTGGCAATGGGAAATGCGTGTAATCAGAGTCACGCCCTTAGCCTTGCCATGTCGCACGATAAAAAATTGGAACGGCAGCGAAGTTGCGGAGAGGGTTTCGATGTCCCGGAGACAGAACTCGTCAAAGAATTTATCAAAGTGGGCCAGATCTACATCGACGGTTGAAATCTGGGCTGTGGGATTCTGCTCAAGCACAACCTGACGATGCTTTCCATGGAGGGGTAAGAAACAAGAGCGCAGTAAAGGGATATTTTCTATGGCTGCGCTGCATGCCCTCTCAAGTTTTCTCAAGTCGACTTCGGGGCCAAGGAAGAGGCGTAGGTAGTTGCGATTCTGCCTGTAAGCATCAGGAGTTTCGACGCATAATTCTTGAAAGTTTGTAAGGGGCAAGATATCCTCGATGTTCCCAGGTTGGATCGCATCGACGCCTGATGCGTAAGCTTCCTCGATGAGCGACCTCTTCGTCTCGGCGTCAAAAGGAACGGATTCATCCTTTGGGACCCCCGTTGATTTGCTGGTGGGTGCTGCCAAAGTGGCTAGTTCCTCAAGGCTATTGGACCGGAAAGTGTCTGCTACAGAGATTTGCACCCCGGCTTTTCGACATTCGGCGACGAGCTGCATTACTCCAATGGAGTTGCCGCCTAGTTCGAAAAAATTATCATCCAAGCCAATCGTGAATGTGTCGATGCCCAGAACCTTGCCCCAAATGGCCTGCATGTCGCGCTGAGCTTGTGACACCGGCTGTCGGCTAGTAGTGTCCGCTGGCGGCATGGAATCCGTTGGCGTAGCAGTAGGCCTCAATCTGCCGAGAGCGCGGTGATCGATTTCGCCACTATCGTTTATCGGCATCTTGCCTACACGTTTTACGAATTCCAGCTGTCCATCAATTGGTCGGTATCGTACATACTGGCCAGTTAGGTATGCCTTGGCAGGTGTACCTCCGGTGCTGCTGGCAGTGGTGATGAAACGGCCTCGACTTCGCACAGGGTCAGCATAACCAGGGGCCAAGCTATCTCCTGTAATCGCAAGCTCCCCGACAACGCCCAGGGGGACGAGCCGCCTTTCTCCGTCCACGATGAAGGCGTTGGAGTTGGCTACTGGCCTCCCAATTGGGACACCGTTGGCAAACGTACCCTGCGTTTGAATCAGGTAGGTAGTTGCTATGGGTGTATGCTCCGTAGGTCTGTAACAGTTCACAACTCTGCAGCCGAGGCTGCTAGCCAACGCTATATCTCGAGGGTCAACCTCCTCCCCAGTTGTGTAGATGGTGTCAATTGAGCAGATGGCTGCTGTCGAGAAATCGTCTAAGAGGCACTTTTTTAGAAGCGACGCGGAGAACACGGCGCTCCGAACCCTTTCCTGCATAAACTTTTCGGCTAGTTTTCTGGGATCGAGAATAACTGAACTGTCAATGCAAACAAGCGTACGGCCGGTGAGCAAGGCGGAAAAGATTTCCGTGGTCGCGACATCAAACTCGATATTGGACATGTGAGCGATTGATGCTGCAGGGGTTATATATCGTGCCAAACTCGCTTCAGATACCACAAGTTGTGTGATGTTTCGATGCTCGATCAGGATGCCTTCCGGGTCCGAACCACCGGAAAACATGACAGTAGCCAGGCTACTTGATGATGGTGAACATCGTTTAGCCAAGAGTTCGACTATGTTCCCGCATCTTTGTTTGTGGCGTAGAACGGCTTCTTCTTTCCCAATATCTTGAATATGAACAAACTCGACGTCCTGGAGATGGGGTGATTTTAGCGTATTTTGCCCGGGTCCTATTAAGACCAATCTTTTCCCTGAGAGAGACCGCATTATTCTTTCTAGATGGACGATGGATGACTGGGGATCTAGCGGAATGTAGGCCAAGTTCGCTTTGAGGATGCCCAGAAATGCGGCGATGGTCTGACAGGAACGGGCAGCCCACACCCCCACCAATGTCTTGGCGGCCATTTCTGGCTTGCGGAGGAGGAGCCAAGTCGCAATTGTGTCGGAGAACTCATCCAGTTCTCTGTATGTCAACTGGTAACTTGAATCCTTGACGGCGACCCTCTCTGGGTTGCAAGCCACTTGTTGGCGGAATACATCGGCCACACTTGTATCCCTGGGATAAGATACTTCGCGAATCTTTGTCAGCTCGAATGTCTTCAGCTCGGCGAGGGCCTCGTCAGTAAGCAGGGGAAGGGCACCGATTCCCACACGAGGAGCCTGTAACACCCTTTCCAGCACTGTTGTAAAGGTGGAGAGAATATTGTGGATAGTTGGGAGGCTATAAAGATCTGAGGAGTAGCATAGGGTACCGTCAAGCCTGTCCGACTCTTGATGAAAGTGTAGCTCAAGATCGAATCTTGTCGATGGTGGTGGGGATATTTCTTCTACCTCGACATCTTTAAAGCAGAGGCCCTGCTTCTCTTGCTGAGAATGATAGGCGAGTACGACTTGGACTAAGGGATGCCGAGAGAGGTCCCGTTTAGCCGATTTTAAGACGCGGGAAACGATGTGGTCAAAAGGGACGTCTTGATTATCGAGCGCTGAGGTGACGGTCGCTCTCACCTGCTCCACCAAATTTTCAAACGATTCTTCCGCTTCAACAGTGATGCGAATGCACTGGATATTGACAAAAAATCCGATCAAGTTCTCGACCTTCAACCTGTCCCTGTTGGCGTTTGGCGTGCCGATAGTGACGTCTTCGGCCCCTGTCAATCGGAAATGCGCTGCCCTAAAGGCGGCGAGTAGGACCATGAATGGCGTCACATCCCGCTGTTCGCAGAATTTCCGCAGTTTGCGGTAGAGTTCCCCAGAAATTCGAATCTTCTCCACTTGCGCGTTGCCCGCCAACGTTGCTGGGCGAGGTTTATCACAGAAGAAGGTAGCGGGTTGACTGTCAGCTAGCTTGCTCGCCCAGTAGTCTAGTTGTTGATCGAATCCATATTGCCCGATCTGTTCATTCTGCCAGACGGAGTAGTCTCGGTATTGAATAGGAAGCACTTGCGAGAGGGGGTCCTCGCCTTGGACTGCAGCTGAGTAGAATGTCTCTAGCTCTTTGCTAAGAACGTTTAAAGACCAGCCGTCGGATATAATGTGATGCATGACTATAGAAAGCACATGATGGTCATCGCCGAGATGGTAGAGCTTGAACCGCCATCCTGGCTCAACTCGCAAGTCGAAAGGGACAGAATGCTCTTGATCCAAGTCTTTTAGAACCTCCTCCACCGACGACGCATCAACCATTTTAAGCTCCCTTTCTTGAAACGCCAGGACCGTCTGTAGACTGAGCCCTGACTCGGAAGTGCTGAAAATTGTTCGGAGCGTCTCATGACGACGTTCTAATGTCATGAGAGCTGCGTGCAGAGCACCCGTGTGCAGGGGACCGTGAATATCCATCGGAAATGGCATCAGATACCAGGTAAGGCCTGGATAGAGCTGGTCGAGAAACCAGAGACGGGCCTGCGCGAAAGACTGATTTACTGGTCCGTCTAGCGAGCCAAGACTCTTGATTATCATTCTATTTTCGTTCCCGTTACCACGGCCATTGACATGCGGGATTTTGGCTTTTTCGGCAGATTCTGCGAGAAGACCAAGCTTGGGGAAACGGAAGATTTCAGTTATGGTAAAGTTAAAGCCAGCCTTGCGAGCGTAGCTGACGAATTTCATGGCCGTAATCGAGTTCCCGCCGAGTCGGAAGAAGCTGTCGTCGAGACCCACAATGTCAAGACTAATGTTGAGAACTTGGCCCCAGATTTCGGCGAGTTTCCGCTCCGTCTCGGATGATGGTACTCGCTTTGATGCCTTTTTGTCCCTTTGAAGTGGCAGGATGTGTAGAGAGGTACCCTGCTGTAGGGCCTGCCGGTCGGCCTTACCGTTGACATTCATGGGCATTCTATCGACGACACTGATGGAGCTGGGGATCATGTATGCCGGAAGCTTCCTGTTAAGGGCATCGGTGAGCTCCTCATAAAGAGATACCATGTCATCCGAATCGATGCCAGGCTCGCTACCCCTACCGTTAGACTCATGGCCATGGAGGGCGACGAAGGCGACAATCCGACCGTCTTGACCCTCTGGCTTATGCACCATAGCTACTGCATATTGAACACGTGTGTGGCTGAGAAGTGCGTGCTCGATTTCTCCAGTCTCGATACGGTTACCTCGCAGCTTGACCTGCCCGTCGGCGCGTCCAAAGAATTCTATGAGGCCGTCGTGCGGTCGGCGACGGGCGTAGTCGCCTGTCCGGTAGGCTCGAACAGTTTCGCCCCCGAGTGTGACGTTGACAAGCCGATTCGCGTTTCTAGCTGAGTCTGTGTATCCTCGTGCTAGGCCATCACCCGTAACAACTAGTTCGCCGACGACACCAAGTGGGACGAGACGCTGGGATGCATCCATGACAAAAGCTCCCGAGTTACTGACGGCTCGACCGAGGGGCGCACCGTTGGTGAATGTATCATCTCGTTGGATGTTATGAGCTGGAACCTCCCACAGCGTTGAGAAGCTGGTATTTTCCGTCGGTCCATAGACGTGTATTAAAGCGTGTCTGACCATCTTTCGCGCCGCAATCAGATCTTCTGGTTCCGTTCTTTCACCCCCAACGTGCAAAACCTGGAGTGCGCCAACTGGACAAGGTTCGTGGCTAAGGCATTCCTTCATGTAAGCGGTTGTCATGAACGAGGCATTGACCCCTTCGTCATGAAATATTTGAGTCAGGAGACTCGTATCCAAAAGGGTATCCTTGTCTATGCAGACCACCATCCCACCATTGAGCGGGGCCGCGTAAATCTCCCACGTCGCAGCGTCGAAGGAGATGGTGGATATGTGGGCCATGGTAACTGGAGAAGGCAGAGCATCTGCTACGTTACTGTTCTTAACAAGCCGGACGATGCTACGATGCTCGATCATGACGCCTTTGGGTTTGCCAGTTGAGCCTGATGTGAACATGGTGTGGGCAAGGCTGGTAGGTGACGGTCCGGCCGGAATAGCGAACTCGGTGGTACTGCCGTCGCGGTTGGGCCCTTCGCCTACATGTAGTCGTAGAATTTCAGATATGTTAGCGAACATGACTTCAGCTCCTGGATTCAGGACTAGTGGTGGGACGCCTTGGCCTAGTAAGACGACGAGTCGTTGCGGCTCGAGTGTGCCTAGAATTCCTTCAATCCTGCCGGCTGGTACAGTGGCTTCAAATGGCAAGTATGCCATGTTGGCCTTCAGAATACCTAGGAATGCGACTACTGTGAGGCAAGATCGGCTCGTGATCACAGTTATTAGATGTCCGGGTTCTAACCCATGCTGCCGTAAAAGCCAGCCAGAAAGTCGATCCGAGGCGCGGTCGAGCTGGGCATACGTGAGTTGGCTTGAGGGGTCTTTGACGGCCACCCTGTTTGGATAACGAGACGCCTCCTGTCGGAAGATGTCCACTACGCTTGATTCGGAGGGGTACGAGGAGTAGTGAGTGTTCGCGAAGCCCATCTTGTCAAGTTGAGAATACCTCTCCGTAGTCAGAAGCGGCAGTTGAGAGATGGCGGTCTCGCTAGGCGTATTAAGCACCTCTCCCAGCACTTTACGGTAGATCGAGAGCATGTTGCTAATAGTCGATGCATAATAGAGGTCAGTCGAGTACACGAGGTCACCACGCACACCCTCTGCTTCGGTGAAGAAGTGGAACTCCATGTCGAATCGCGAGGTGTTTGTTGTAGGGAGCGGCTTGGCTTCTATTCCGTCCAGACTCAGCGTACCTGCACCAATCTGCGAGTGTACGGTGAAAGCGATTTGCACCAGAGGGTGGCGGGACAAATCTCTGTTCCTATTCTTGCTGAACTCGGACACTATTCTGTCGAATGGGACGTCTTGGTTGGCGTAGCTGGCTTTAGTCGTCTCCTGTAGTTGCTCAACCAGGTTGATAAAAGAATCTTCCTCGTCTACCTTGGTTCGGATGCACTGGACTGCCACGAAGAAGCCAATGATATTCTTGAGCTCGGGTCTATGACGGGCGTTCGCGACGCCAATAGTGGTATCACCATAGCCTGTGAGGCGATACAACGTACACTGAAACGCAGCCAAGAGGACAACGTGTAGAGTCACACCGTGACACCGGCAGAACTCTTGCAGCTGGCCATACAACGGCCCGTCGATGTGGAAGTTCTGAAGCTCTGCCTTCCCCGACAATGCGCTCGGTCTGGGTTTGTCGCAAAGTAGCTCCGCCGGCCGGCTAGACGCGAGCTGGTTGACCCAGTACTCGAGCTGGTGGCGCTGTTTCTCCACAGCTGTTTGTCGGATCTGCCATATAGAATAATCCTTGTACTGAATGGGCAGTGCCTCGAGCTCCGGCGAGGTCAGAGGATCGAGACCCTGCTTAGCACGGGAGTACATAATAGCCAGTTCTCGGCATATAATGTTCGCGGACCAGCCGTCAAAAATTATGTGGTGAATGACGAGAGACAGAACATGATCGAGAGGCCCTCGTCGATAGATTCGAATCCTACAAGGGGCCTTGGCTCGGAGATCAAATGGAACCACCTGGTCTTGCTGAAGGGCCTGCCGTAGTGCTTCTTCGTCTACACGGCCGTCTGCTGTCGAAGCCAGGTGCACGACCTCCAAGGGCTCAGGTACAAAAGGATGGACGACCTGCTTGCTTACGCCGTCCTCCATTGAGAAGGTAGTCCGAAGCGACTCATGGCGCTTCCGGAGGGCAGAAAAGGCGGTCTCCAAAGCTCTGAGACATAGAGGGCCCGACAGTTGGATAGCACTAGTCATGTTGTACCAGTTCAAATTCGGATGCAATTCCTGCATGAACCAGAGTCGTTCCTGAGCCAACGATAGAGGAACGGAGACCGAGGCATCGCACCGGGGTATTTTGTCATCAATCATCTCATCTAACACAGAGAGACCCTGGCACATTTCGCTGAGTCTTGGCCGCATAAAAATATCGGTTACGGCAAGGTTCAAACCAAGGTCACGGGCTTCGGCGGCTAGCTTCATGGCAGCTATGGAGTCCCCGCCGGTGTGAAAGAAGCTGTCGTCGAGGCCAATCGAGGAGAGCGATAGGCCGAGCACTTGGGCCCATGCGCGTTGTAATTTCCGCTGTGTGTCGGTCTCCGGCTGCCGTTTGGGCCGTCCGTTCGTCTGAGCGTCAGCCAGCTGCTCGCTAGTGAAGGAAGCCCCAATCTCGCGAAGTCGCCTCCGGTCGATCTTTCCCGTGACAGTCTTGCGAAGTTGACGGCAGGAAAATAGGATACCCGGAATCATGTACGAGGGTAGGCGGCTGGCTAGATTCTGCTCCAGGTCGGCCGTCATAGGCACGACTTTGATCTCACTTCGTTCATCAGTGTAATTATCGTCATCGAGATTCATCTGGAGGAATGCGGCTAGAATTGGCCGACCAGGAGATGAGTTGTTTTTCGCTGGCGGGACCACAACCTCGGCAACGACCTGTGTGACACCGGGAATGCACTCCTTGACGTGAAATTCAACCTCCGCTAGTTCAACACGTTGTCCCCGTATCTTTACCTGCCCATCCTTGCGGCCGATGAATGTTAGGTTACCATCCAAGTCCCCGTATCGCACTAGGTCCCCCGTCTTATAGAGCCGCCCCGTACGGCCGGCGTGATGATTGGTTCCCTTCAGTAGCCAGACCGGATCATGGATGAAGGCTGCCGCCGTCTTTTCTGGGTCATTCAGATAGCCTTGACCAACCAGCGGGCCTTCCAGCAGGAGCTCGCCAACGCAGCCTGGAGGTAAGAGCTTATCTGTGTCGTTGCGGTCCACAATCCACGTGTTGACCCCCAGACCTTTGCCGATGCTGGTGGCTTCGGAAGGAGTTGAGGCATCAGCGTTGACGGTGACAATGTTACATTCGGCTGGGCCGTACGCGTTCACAACATTGACCGTACTCCACCAACGCGACGCATCGTCAACTGACACCGGCTCACCTGCCAAAATCAGCGTTTCGAGATCGGGAACGATGCCTGGATCGATCAGTCGAGAGACAGACGGGGTCAAGTCTGCGATAGTAACTTTCATGTCAGCCATGATCTTGCCGATGTTAGCGCTTTTCCGATCCTCGTCAGACGGGATGCAGAGGCAACCGCCAGTCGTGAAGGCTGCAAATGGGTTGTGGACAGCAATATCGAACGCGTAGGAAGCAAAGTCGAACACTCTGGATTCCTGGTGGAAACCGAGCTTTTCTGTCTGGTACGCGAGGCATGAGGCAAAATTCGAATGGGTGAGCACTGCGCCCTTGGGGGTTCCCGTAGAGCCGGAAGTAAATACAGCGAACATCGCAGACGATGAGGGCTGGGATTGAGACGGTGCTGACTGCAATATCGCCAACCTCGTCCTTCCCAGGTGCCGTTCCAGTTTGACATTCCGCGCCTTCTTCTCTTTACCCATGTCAGCGATCGTTGCAGCGCTGACTTGGACGACAGTTCTCGCAAGCTTTTGGCCCAACGCAACGTTCTTTTCGGACGTTAGAATCACATCTATAGTGTTGACTTGCCGGCATATTGTCTGGAGGCGCTCTACCGGTAGCTGCGAATCTAGGAGGACAAAAGCCGCGCCAGTTTTGAGTACGGCGAGCATCGCAACGGGCGCCCACATCGACTTTTCAAAACACAGCGGGACCATAACGCCTTGCCGAAGACCTACAGCTACAAGAGCTTCGCTCAGAGTTTCGGCGTTGCAGCTCATCTCAGAGTAGGTTAAGTCGCCGTCCCAGCTATGCACAGCCGGGGCATTGGGTACGGCCCGAACTACATCTTCAACGATGTGATGCACACAGCGCTCCACCGGAACAAGGGCGGAGCTGTTCCATCTCCAGATCTGGGCAGCTTCCTCCTCTCCTAGCAGGCTAATTCCGCCGAGGGTTACTGAAGGGTTTGAAACAATGGCGAAAACGGCCTCGCTAAAGCGATCGGCCAGCTTGACCGCGTCGGCTGAAGACAGGCAGCCCGGCCGGAAGGACAGCAAAATTTTCATCTGGGCACTGTCGTCTCCCATATGTACGACAACGTCATACTCGGTAGGGTCGAAGTGATCCCCGTGTTCTAGAGTGAGTTGGCCTTCCTTCACCGACTCGGCCTTGCTAGCAAGCTTCTGGGAAGACATGATAGTGTTGAAGAGAGGACATGAAGGGTCAAGCCCCATTCCTTTGTGGATCGCGGCCAATGAGGTGTGTTGATGCAAAGCACAGTCGAGCCCTTCGTTTTGCACCTCGCGTAGTGTGTCAAGGACCGATTGTGTTTTGTCCAGGCGGATGCGGCAGGGCATCATCCCCAAAGATATCCTCGACATGGGGCACGGGCACGTCTCGGCCGGATGACATATTTCCGAAACAAGGAGAATCGGTGCCGACGTACATGCCCAGAACCAGTGCCTACGCCGTCTGTATGATTGTGGCAGGTGTCAGGTCCCACTCCGCGCAGAAGGCGTGTAGTCTTTTGCTGTCGAGCCTGGGGACGAGTACGGGCGTTGCACTGGCGCATTCGGAGCTGCTGCAGTTGCCTGAAGATGTAGGAAAAATACACGGCTCTGTGTCGGTTAAGTACGTTGACCAGAAATCGATGCCGGCTTGCCGGGGTTGTTGGGCGAGGTAGCTTATAAAGGTCGAATATGAGCCGCCAGGAGGCAGCTCTCCTCCGTCTTCGTAGGCCCGGATGAGGTCGGCCTCCATAAGCCCTAACGAGAAGCCGTCACATATTACATGGTTCATTTCGAATCGAAGGCAAGCGCTTGCCGCGTCGGGGTGGTGTATAGAGAGACAATACCGAGGAGCGAACGCCGTCTGGTCGTTTCCTTGGGACACTGATCTCCTTTCTTGCAGCCATCCATTTGCTGTCGTAACCTTTGATGTCCTCAGTACAGTGTCCAGTTCTATATTCTTTAAGACCACGTGCATCGGTCCGTCGCTGCCCGGGAGCTGGGGCACAAGTAAAGCGCGGAGGAGGCCATGCCGCTTCACTACAGCGTTCCAGGCGGTCCTGAGTCTCGGCACATCCAAGACGCCGGGCTTGCTATCCTTCCTGCCAACCCGAACATTAATTTCGAACCAAGTACTATAACTCCTTGGATCTTTGGCCTGGGCAATCAAAATGCCCTGTTGCACCGGCGAGCACGGGTAAACATCCTCAACATCAGCTAGCTTGATTCCTCTTTCAACTAACCACTTGGCTTTGAACAGGTCGAGATCGCCGTAGCGTTTGAAGGCTAGCGGAAAATCAGCCAGGGTCCAATCAAGTGCCCACCTAGGTAGTGTTGTTGCCACCTCTTTTAGAGTCGCTTCGTACTCGCCGACCCAGGCAAGAATGCGTGGCTGGTGCTGCATGGCCTTGTGATATGTAACTCTGGCGGTGAGGTGCCCTCTATTTACAAACGAATCGACGTCGAAGAGCGAGAACCTCCGAGTGTTAGCGCTTGATGATGGCTCGCATCCACTCGGGAGGTTTAGCATCCCAAATAGGGCATCATTTCGCTCCAACTGTTGGTACTGGCCGGCAAAATTGAAGACGACTTCAAACGGAGAATGGTTCTTGGCATATAGTTTAGCTCCTGGCTCGGTGTGGCAGAGGCCTGTAAAATAGGACCACCCGTTGCGAGCAAGAGTGCGCAGGCCATCTTTTGTCTCTCGAATAATGTTCCTGAGGCTAGCGTCCGCGTCATAAGATTGGGCCCGAACGGGAAATAGAGTGCTGAACCAGCCGACCGTCGATGAGATATCGATTTCCTCTGTCCAGGCCTCTCGACCATGCCCCTCCGTAAAGATATTGGGGGGCGGGCGATCGGTAAAAGTCTTGTTGAACGAAAATATCAAAGCCGAGATTATGAGTTCCTGCGGACGCGTACTCATGGTGATGTTGCAATCTCCGAGAATCGCCGAACTGGTGACTTCGTCCAGGACGAACTCCTTGACAAGGGTATCGCCTACTTGGTTGGAGGCACTCTCGATGCCCCAGTATGAAGATGATGTAAAAGTAGCACTATCATCTCCGCCTAGGGTAGGATAATCGGAACTACTGGTTTGCTGGAGATTCTTGGCTGCGTACTGAGCCTGTGACTCGGTCCAATACGAAAAAGCGACGGAGGATGGTACGGCGGTTGTTTGTCCATCCAGGAGCTTCTCTAGCTGCCCAAGTATGACCCTCCACGACACCAAGTCAACAACAAGGTGATGAATGGAGATGAACAGCCTTTGGCTCTTGCTTTCGTCTACGTCGTCTCCGTCAAAAAATACGGCGGAAAGAAGAGGGCCTCTTTGGATGTTGAGTCGGCCTCGACAAGCGGAGATGGCGTCGACTTCCGCCGAATTGCTCTGCGGGCCTTCTATGCTGAAATAGAATGATCCGAGAACCTCGTCAGTAACGTAAGACTCCCATGAGTTGCTAGTCTCGCTCATGAAGAACCGCCAACGTAGAGCCTCGTGTAACTTGACAATGTCCGCTAGTGCCTGGTTGAGAGTTTTAGGGCAAACACGACGACGGAGTTCGAGAAGAAAGCACTGGTCGAAGCAGACTGTAGGGTCGGGTTGAATGGCGAAGTAAAGCCTCTGTATTGGTCCGAGCTGAGTTAATACGCCCTTCTCATCGGGTTGATGGTGGCCGACCGTTGCTAGGCCGTGCTTTTGATTTTGAGGTGTCCTTTTTGCCGCCTTGGAAACCACGGTGGCTTTGACAAGGTTCGAGATGGTCTTTTGCCGGATGATGTCGGCGCCGCGGATAGTGATGCCTACGCCTCGAAATGAGGAGGCCACCTGCATCGCTGTGATGGAGTCACCACCAAGCTTTAAAAAGCTGTCATCCACGCCCACTGCTTTGGGGTCTAGGTTCAAAACTTGGGCCCAGATCTCTTGTAATTGCCGTTCCAGCTCGGTTGTCGGTTGTCGCTTGCCCGCCAATAGCCTGGACTGAGCAAGTTCTTGGGAGATCAAATGCGATCCGATCCGCCTCAACTCACGGCGATCCACTTTTCCAGTGGCGGTGATGGGTAGAAACTGTAAGGAAATGAAGGTACTCGGAACCATGTGTGTTGGGAGGTGTTCGTTTAGTTGATCAATGATTTCCACTCCGAGTAGCTCCACCTGTGCGTCCTTTCCTACAGCGTCACCCATTTCCAAGAAGGCGACAAGCTCCAAGGCCGTGGTTGGCAACTTGCATTCACGCGGCGTGTCTGTTGTAACGAGCTCTGCAGCTACTCGGGTGACACCTGCCGCGGCCTGCTGTACCCTAGCCTCGACTTCTCCTAATTCGACTCGCTGGCCATGAATCTTTACCTGAGAGTCTTTTCGCCCGAGAAAGACAAGATTGCCGTCTTCATCATTATAGCGTACCAAATCTCCCGTTTTGTACATTCTCCCCTCTCTTAATAATTGATCATCGTCACTGGGAGCGAACTGTAACAACCAGGGTGGGGATGAGATGAAAACTTCCGCCGACTTCTCAGGCTCATCAAGGTAACCTTGACCCACCAAGGGCCCCTCGAGAACAAGCTCGCCAGTGCATCCGGGCGGGAGAAGGCGGTTATGGTCTCCAGGGTCGACAATCCACGCAATCTGGCCCACGGCCTTTCCCAGTATGACGGCGTCATGCGACTGCTTAGCCAAGACAGAGTTGGTGATACTGGCCATGATCGAAGCTGGAGTGGTTTCCGAAGGGCCATACGCATTGATAACGCGTACTCCGGCCGTACACCAAGGTTCAACGTCCCCAACAGTCAACTTTTCACCGACAAAGATGATTGTGTGCAAACCAGGAACTTTCTCAGGGCGGAGGATCCTCGCGACGGACGGGGTAAGGAGAATGGTGTTAGCTTGGAGAGAGACAAAACTTTGGGAAAGGCGGGTCTGGCGGTCTCCATCGCTCGGAATGCAAAGACAGCCGCCAGACTCGAGCATGTTCAGGGTATTAAATATTGGTGCGTCAAAAACGTACGACGAGAAGTCGTAGAGCCGCGATTCGGATGCGAACCCGAATTTGGCCGGCTGATGGACCAGAGCGGTTGCGGCTCTCCGATGCGTTATGATGGTACCCTTCGGCCTTCCTGTGCTACCGGAGGTGAACAGAAGATAAATGATGTCAGATGGGCGTCCTGATGGAAGTGCTGCGTGATGAATATTCCCGTTGGTGAGGTCCTCGGAGAAGAACGCGTGATCAACAGTTAGAGCTCTCTGGCCCAGTAAAAGGCTTAATTCCTGACAGGAAGCGCTGCATAAAACAAGGCTGTTCCCCAACTGCTGAGAGATCTCCTGAAGCCGCGCCCGTGGTGTGGAAGGGTCCAGCAGTACGAATGCAGCTCCTGCCTTCATAACGGCTAGCATGGCTACAGGAGTCCATTTTGATTTCTCAAAACAGAGAGGGATGAACGTGTTTGATATGGGATCAAGGTTGGCAACGAGCCACTTGCTTAGATAGATGGCTTTTTCGTCAAGCTCGGAGTAGGTAAAGCTCCCGTCCCAGGCACAAATGGCGGGCAGATCTGGCTGGGTGCGAACACGTTCCTCAATCATCTCATGCACGCACCGGTCAATCGGGTCGGGCGATACCTTATTCCACCCCCAAATCCTGTCCATATCATCCTGGGCCATCGCATTGATACTCGACAAGCATTGCGACGGGCCTGCTGAGGAAAGTTGGTATACTACTGTCTCAACTCTTCTCAATAAGGCACGTACTAGCCAAGGTTGAATGGCAGACGGGTCGAAATGAGCGGTGGTCTTGATCGAGGCGGCCGTGATGAATATCTCGACTGTGAACGGATACGTATGCGGGCCCTGCTCTTTACTAGCATCGAGCCATCTGCCGAGTTCTGTATGGCTCTGGGTATTGGTGTTGTCGTCTTGAGGCTGAATGACTATAAGTGTTTGGAACATGCACGCTCGACGACAGTCGTCTGACAGTTTGGCGATCCGCTGCAATCCCATATGTTCAAACGGAATCATGGAAGTAGCTTGATTTTGTACTTTCTGTAAGTAGTCACAACATAGTTTATTAGAATCTAATTGGACTCGAAGAGGAACCGTTGCGAAGGTTGGAGCTGGCATTTTCCCAATATCCGGGATAGGAGCATTCCTTCCAAAGACGGTAGCCCCAAACACAACGTCATCAGAAGAGGTTATGCAGCCTAGAATGAGGGCCCATGCGGCGCGAACCATAGTTGACGGTGTAACGTGCGGGTTTCTGGTATTTTGGTGATCGTATTCGAACTCGTCTTCAAAAATAGCGGTTGTCCGGGGCGTATTATTATCCTCTCCTAGAAGCGCCGGGAATGGAGTGGCGCCGCAGTCCGAAAGAGCATCACGCCAGTAGTCGGCCGTAGCTTGGTTACCCTGCTTGTCCTGGCAATATTTGATAAACAACTGAAACTGAGGAGGATCAATTTCCCGTCCTTGGCCTGTGTATGCGCGTGTCACCAAGTCCAGTATAAGGCCGAGGGACCAACCGTCGTACAGCGCGTGGTGTATGTTCCAAACGAACCGAGTAAATATGCCGCTGGGGTTAGCGACGAGGGTATAGCCTGTAAGTCTCTGGCCGATGGACATGGAATCTCGGCTTGATCGCCCTGAGAGGTCGCCATCGTGGCCGTTGGCGACCTCGATCCACTCAATTTGCTCTTCAAGCACAACCTGGAGCAGGCCCAAGATGTCGTGTTGCACAATGCGTGTGCGAAGAATTGGGAGAGCCTGAACAACATGGCCCCAAGCATCTCGAAAGCGCTCCAGTGATATTTCTTGAGATAGTTCCAGCACAAATTGCATGGCGTACTCGCCTTCTTCTTGGCTTGAAAGTGAGAGTAATCCTCCCTGTAATGGAGTGCACGGGTATATATCTTCAATTGAGCTTTCATCAACCCCGAGCCGGAGGGAGATGTCCTTGACGAGGGATGTGATGTCTGCCCGACCCCTGACCAGGGAGAAAGGAGCTAAGCGTTCGACTTCCGTAACCGTGGATCCCTTGCTATGGTTGGCCAACTCGGACAATTTGGGATACCGGAACATATCCGCCACAGTAACTTGCATTCTGTGCGTGTGAGCCTCAGCCGCAACCCTCATACAGGAGATCGAATCGCCGCCGAGGCGGAAGAAGTTGTCATCCAAGCCGATCTGGGAGGGTTCGAGAGCCAACACGCGGCACCAGATTTGGTGAAGAGCCTTCTCAGTTTCCGACTGGGGCTCGCGCCGGTGCTTTGCAATGTCGCCACGGGTGTTCTCAATGTGTTCTGTCGAGATGCGTGCTCCTATTTCCCTCAGCTTCTTGCGATCCATTTTTCCATTCTGTGTCATGGGGAGCTGAGGTATAGAAATGAAGAACGCAGGGACCATGTACTGGGGCAACACTGCCGCAAGCTGAGACTCTACATCGCCAGGAATGGCAAATATGTCCATATCGGCACTTGAGACAATAGAAGACTCCTGCTGCAAAAACACCACGAGAACTGCTCTTGACTCATCTTCCTGAGGCGTGACAATCTCCGCCACAGCCTGGACCTCGGAAATGTCTTTCCCGGTCCCATGCAGACACTCTGCAACCCTGCGCTCGACTTTCCCAAGTTCCACCCGCTGGCCTCTCAGTTTGACTTGGGTATCCTTGCGGCCAATAAACGTCAAGCCGCGTCGTGGATCCCATCGGACGAGATCACCAGTTTTATATATACGCCCGCGACGCCCAGGATAGGAGGGAGTTCCCTGGAGGAGCCATTTGGGGTCCTGAATGAAGGCGGCAGCCGTCTCCTCCGGTTCTTTGACGTATCCGTTGCCCACGAGTGGGCCTTCCAACAGAAGCTCACCGATACATCCGGGCGCTACCAACTTATCCGAATTCGTGGGATCGGATATCCAGGTAACGACACCAACGCCGTGACCAACACCGGTGGCACTCTCCGCACTATCCGAACTAGTATTGATTGTGGACGTCGACGTGCATTCTGAGGGGCCGTAGGTGTTGAAGACCCGTACTTTGCCCCACCAGGGAAGCACATGCCTAATATGGACGGCTTCTCCGCCAAATACGAGGGTCTCGAGGTCCGGCAGCTGTGCTGGGTCAAGAACTTGGGCGACGGAAGGGGTCAACTCAACGAGATTGGCGCGGAAGGAAATGAGGCTTTCTTGGAGCCTGGACTTCCTATCCGCGTCGTTGGGAACGCAGAAGCATCCTCCAACAGAAAGGGTAGTAAGAACATTGCAGATGTATACATCAAAGCTGTATGAGGCAAAGTCGTAGACCCTAGACTTTGGGCTGTACCCGAGCTTCTCTGTCTGATAGTGAATCGCGGTTGAGACGTTTCGATGGGTTACCATGACTCCCTTCGGCACTCCTGTACTACCAGACGTAAAGACTATGTATAAGAGGGAAGACGGTGAGACGACGGGTAGGTGTTGCTTGTCAAGGGGTCCCGCTGGCGGCGAAATTAATGATTCGCAAAACTCTGGACTAATCGTAATGACCGTGTCGACTAGGCTAGCACACAGCTCCCGGTTAACTGCTGACGAAACAATGGCGGTAGCGTCTAGCTGTTTCAGAATACTTTGAATGCGCTGCTGAGGAAGGGTTGGGTCCACCAGGACGAAAGCCGCTCCCATCTTCATGACGGCAAGCATGGCAACTGTCGTCCACATGGACTTCTCGAAGAAGAGGACCACAGTAGTCGTCTTTCCATAAACTCCAGTGAGATACCTCGCCACAGCGGAGGACAGTTCGTCAAGCTTTGCATAAGTAATATTACCATCCCAGGCTGATACAGCAATTTGATTTGGCCGAATTCTTGCCTGATCCTCTATTGCAACGTGGACACAGCGCTCGATAGCTTGGGGAACCGTCACGCTATGCTCCCATATAGTGTTCAGGTCTTCGGCCGTGCAAATGTCCAAGTCAGTGAGCAATTTCTGTGGCCCCGCTTGCGAAAGCTGGGAGAGAATCCATCCGAGGCGTTCCAAGGCAGCTCTAACCATACTGCGATCTATTGCTCGGGGATTAAAGTTGGCCTCAACCGTAACGATACCGTCCGCGCCCGGACACACCTCTAAGAGGAGAGAATATGTGTTGGAGTTTTGTTGCCGGTGTAAGTCCCGCCAGGTGCCGAGGGACACATCTCCAGCGGCGAATTCTTCTTGCGTTTGTACGAGAAGCAGGGTGTGGAAACGGCAAGCCTGGTGGCAGTCGGCAGAGTACTTTGATATGTTTCGCAAGCCCGTCTGCTCGTATGGGATCATCTCTACCGACTCATGTTGGATCATTTGAAGGAAGGCGAACACAGTTGTGTCCCGTTGCGCCTGCGTGTTGATGCGGACAGGCACCGTAGCGATTGTAGGCCCAGCCATTTCCGCGATGCCCTCGACCGGCGCGTTCCTGCCGGAAACGGTTACTCCGAAAACCACGTCGTTCGAATTTGTGATTCTGCTCAACACCAAAGCCCAGGCAGCGCGAACTAACGTTGATAATGTGATTCCCGAAGAGCGAGAAGGTTGCTTTGAAACAGAGAAGATATGCTTGGTTGTTTGATGGACTGAAGAATCGGTGAGGTCCCCCGGCGATAACGGTGAAGGGAAGAGTATGTGCTCGCCATGAGCTAGTGTGCGACGCCAGTAATTTACAGTTTCATCTTCGGCACGACTTTGAATGTATTTGATGAAAGATCGGAACTGCAAGGACTGCTGCTGCTCCACGGAGGCGCCGTTGTATGCGGCACTAACTGCCCCTAGGATGATGGGGAGTGTCCATCCATCGTACAAGGCGTGGTGGGCGGTCCAGACCAGCCACCTTATTTCACCTTGTTCTTCAATAAGGGCGTAACGTGTCAGGCCTTGCCCAATCCCCATTGGTTCTCGTTTGTCAGATGCGAGGTAGTCGTCGAGCGACGATTTCGGAATTATCCAGGAAATCTGATCATCCACAACCAACTGGAGAAATCCGTAATTGTGCTGATAAATGATCCTGGTTCTAAGGATATCCATGGCTCGGTAGACCTGCTCCCAAGCGTTGCGGAGGCGATGAATGCAGATGCCCTTAGCAATGTCGAGTGTGGCCTGAAGGATATATTCCCCATTCTGTTGCTTGGAGGTTAGTGATAGAAGACCCTCTTGGAGAGGTGTGCATGGGTAGATGTCTTTGATCGATGTCTGTTCTATGTTATATTGTTCGCTGGTGCCCTGTATTAGCCTCTCTCTAGCGCTGACATCCATTCCAAGGAGGGAAAACGCCTCAGGATCACCCTGGAATGTACTGCTGGACGACCCAGCGCAGGCTCCTGCAACCGCACGTAGCGATTGCCGCTGAAAGATATCTGCCACTGTTAGCGTGATTCTAATCCTGGAAGCCTCAGCCACAACTTTCATAGCAGCGATGGAGTCACCACCGAGCTTAAAAAGGCTGTCATCGAGGCCGATGGCGTCGACATCTATCTGAAGGACTCGCGCCCATATGGTTTGCATTTGCCGCTCAAGTTGGGTCGTGGGCTGCTCCTTTGGGCCTTGTCCCGCAGTTTTCATGGCAGCAAGCTCTTGTGACGAAAGGGAGCTGCCAAATTCCCGAAGACGCTTCCGGTCTGTTTTGAAAGTGGTTGCAAGGGGCAATTTCGGAAGGCGAAAGAAAACATGCGGGATCATGTAAGTTGGCAAGTGTTGGGATAGCTTAGTTTCGATATCAGCAGAAACAGGAAATATATCCCTAACTTCGGCAGCTCTAGCCAGCGTACGTGTTCCTTGACTTTGGAAACGGCCTTGATCGTTGGGGTCGGAGATCTGCAAAAACGCGACGAGGCTGGAGTTGGATCCATCGTCTTTGGGGTGAATGATATCTACCACGACTTATTCGGCTTCCGGTATGTACTCTTGAACCCAATTCTCCACTTCGGAAAGCTCTCCTCTCTGGCCGTGGATCTTGACCTGGAGGCCTTTTCTGCCGACGAAGCTGAGACTGCCATCCTCATTGTAAGTCACAAGGTCTCCTGTCTTATACAGTCTTCCCCTCCGACCCGGCACTCTAGCGTGTCCTCGAAGAAGCCATTTAGGGGTCTCGATAAATACTTCGGCGGTGTTTTCTAGATCTCGAAGGTAGTGACCGGAATCAACAAGAGGTCCTTCCAAGAGCAGTTCGCCCACACAGCCGGGCGGTAGCAGCAAATCATGATTGTCTGGAGGCACAACCCAAGTATTCACACCGCAGCCTTTTCCTAAGCGAGCGGCGTGTTTGGTGCCCAGCGGGTTTGGGTTCACGAGACTCACAGGGGTGCACTCGCTAGGCCCGTAGACGGTGAATACATTATGCCACCACGGCTCAATGTCTTTGGCACTGATTGCTTCGCCACCAAGGATCACAACGACCCCTGGAAGTTCGCTAGGAGTGAGCAGCCTCGCAACTGATGGCGTAAGTAGAACCGTATTAGCTTGGAGGGCACGAATGCTCCGCGTCAGGTTATTCTTCCGGTCATCGTCAGATGGTAGACATAAACAACCACCGGCTCCAAAGGCCAGAAAGGCATCAAGAATCGCGGCGTCGAAACTGTATGGCGAGAAATCATATATTCTAGATTGCGAAGTGTATTGGAACGCCGGTACCTGGTAGTGTACGGCAGCGGCAATGCTTCGGTGAGAAATGACTACTCCCTTTGGGGTACCAGTCGTACCGGACGTGAAGACTGCGTACACACTGGAGTCCATATCGATGCAAACTGAGCAGGCCACCTCGTATCTTGTGCCCAGCTCGGCGACGAAGCCAGATGAAACAATGGCGGTGTTCTGGCGGAGCTCGCGAGCTAGGCGCTCGTAGTCTAGGGAGGCAAGAACCAATGTAGGCTTAACGCGGGCGATGATCAACTCGACGCGTTGACGGGGTAGGGAGCCGTCCAGTAGGACGAAGGCGGCACCGGACTTCACCACGCCCAACATGGCGACTGTGGCCCACATAGACTTGGGGAAGCACAAAGGGATGAACTGATTCCGTACAACACCAAGCTCGACAAGGTAGTTCGCCACTACCGTGCTCAGCTTGTCAAGCTCTCCATACGTCAGTTGGCCGTCCCACGCGCAAACTGCGGTAGCTTCCGGTTGGGCATGGACAACGCGCTGGAACAATTCGGTTATAGGCAGGTCGCTAGCCTTGGGTACAACCGCATTCCACGCCCATATCTGGTCCAAGTCCCGGGTATCCACAAGATCTATATCAGAGAGGGTCATCTCGACGTCGGCTCGGCAAAGTTGCTGCAGGACCCAATCAAACCGGGATAGCAGCCTCGCCACATCAAGTGCTGTGATGGTCCGGGAATCGAAACTGGCCTTACATGAGATCTCTTTTGCGCCCAACCGTAGCTCGACCATCAAAGGGTACGCGTTGAATTTGTGGATGTTATCCCCTTCGTCCCTCCACTTCCCCAAAATAGAGTCGGGCGTCTCATCTAGGTTATTGTTCGGTTGCACAACTAACAGGTTGTGGAACCCGCACGCCCTCTGGCAGTCTGGAGATAGCTTGGCGATTCGAGAGAGTCCCATTTGTTCATGAGGGATCATATCGGTAGTTTGGCGTCGCGCCGTTTGCAGGTACTCATTCACCGTTTGACCTTTATCGAGCTTGTACCGCACTGGAACCGTGGCAATGGTTGGGGCGGCCATCTGCTCGACGTGGGCGACATGAGCTTTTCTCCCTGATACAGTTGATCCAAACACGACGTCGTCGCTGTTGGCCATGCAGCCCACCACGAGAGCCCATGCGGCATGGATAATGGTCGAAAGTGTAACGTCTAGGGTCCTCTTGGCAGGAGGTCTATGTGGCGCTCAATCAGAGAATCGGGCTTAGGTTGTGGGTGTTGGTGCTGGCCCTGCTCCTGCTCGGAACCTAAGGGAGACGCTGAAGTAAAAGGGAACGGCACACTCTCGCAGTTGTTTAGAGTCTCCTTCCAGAATGCGGCAGTGTCTTCTACATCCCGCTCTTCGATATATTTGATAAAATTTTGGAAGGGTGGATTTTGGTGCTTCAGCCAGGCCGGTCCTCCTACATAAACCCTGCGGACTGCGGCTAGGATGAGTTGCTGAGACCAACCGTCATACAAGGCGTGATGGACCGTCCATACGAATGTCTCATATGGCCTGTCGCTGCCCTGGGACTTGATGAGACCGTAGCGCACGAGAGGCTCGCCGATGTTCATAGGCTTGCCCCGATCAGCAAGTAAGTAAGCTTCGACATCGACATCCTCTACCCACTTAACGGGGACGTCCTTGACGATCACTTGGAAGAAGCGCGTGGATTTTTCGTGCTGGATGATTCTCGTGCGAAGTATGGGTGTGTCTCGAATCACCATTTCCCAGGCGTGCTGAAAAGCCGCAACGTCGAGCCCCGGCGAAAGGTAGAGGACAGCCTGCATAGTGTAGGCACCGGAGTGCTTCGAGGACAGAGATAGAAACCCTTCCTGTAACGCTGTGCACGGGAATACATCTTCAACCGATGATCGCTCGAAGTCATACTGTTGCAAGAGGCTTCCAATGTCGACGTCGGAGCCCAAGAGACTGAACGGTACAGCGCGGTCAACCGCGTCAATATGCACGCCCGCCACCCCTGGTCTCGTCTGGAGAGCAACTTCGCCCAGCTTAGCATACTTGAAAATGTCTGCCACAGCGGACTCGAAGCCCTCCTTACGTGCCTCCCCGACAACCTTCATTGCGGCAACTGAATCACCTCCAAGCTTGAAAAAGCTATCATCACTACCAATTTGGGCGGCGTCGATGTCTAAAACTCGGGCCCAAACCTCACGTAGTTTTTGCTCTATGTCCATTCTGTTGTCAGGCATCGTAGCCTCCTCCAGGTACTCCCCGGCAGTGCGCCGTAACCTCTCTCGGTCGGGTTCTCCCAAAGGTGTAAGACTCGTGTGCTGCATGAGGAGGAAAGTCCCCGGAATCATCCAGCTGGGTACGTGGTGCTGCAGGTACTCGCGAACAAATTGCGGAATTGGGAAAGCGGCAAGCCCGCTTGACGGGTTGGGGTCCCCTTGAGCTGCCGCATAGTGTTGCGGCTGTAGGATAGCTACAGGCCTAGGGGTTGCGATTCCCTTCTGCGACACCATCTCAACAATGACTTTGCCAGCCTCTGGCATAGCCACACCAATTCGGCGTTCCACTTCGGCAAGCCATACTCGCCTTTCTTGGCCGAGGGCGGAAGACAGAATGGCATCTTTACGTCCCATATACTGAAGGCTACCATGCTCATCGTAGAGCACCAGGTCACCGGTTTTAAGCAGCGCGCCCCTACGACCTGGTTGCCCCGGAGCTCCCCTTAGGAGCCACTCGGGATCCGTGATGAAGCTACTGAAGGCTGATTTGCTTTCGCTTTTGCCCAGGGATAAGTACCCTGAACTCAACATCGGGCCCTCCAACACCAACTCGCCAACACATCCTGGAGGAAGGAGAGTGTTGTGGTTGCAGGGGTCAACAACCCAGGTTGCAACCCCCAAACCTTTACCTATGGAGGAACTCAACCGCCGCTTTGAAGGATCGAAGTTAAGACAAACCACCAAGGGGCACTCGGCACGGTCATAGGCAGTTGTGACTCTCACTTGTTCCCCCCATCGCAGGACGTCCTGAGAATTCACGCCACCACCAAAGAATATAACCGAGCGTATGGTAGGTAGGCGGCTGGGTTGCAAAGATGCAGCCACAGCAGGAGTGGTCGCTAGCTGGGTAGCCCTCAGCGACAAGATACTTTCGGTGATATTTGACGCCAAGTCAACTCCTCTCGGAACGCAAAGGCAGCCTCCCGCCACAAGAGTAGCGAGGATTAAATAGACTGAGATGTGGGACTGGTACGGGATTGACTCATAGTGGTTGGTATCAGGACCCAATCGCAGGTATTTGGATTGAGTTGCGAAAGCAGTGGCTAGGTTTTCGTGAGATATAGAGAGGCCAATCGGCTTGGAATTGCCAAACGTGAATGAGACATAGGCCGGAGAGGACGGATCAGGATTGCGCGGGTGAGGCCTATCCTGGTCGTTCATATCCAAGCCGCTAAACTCGTCCGGATGGAAGTTTAGTACGTTGGACCCTATCCGTACGCTCAAGTCGTAGGTTGCCGACGAGGATATCACCAGCTTCGCCTGGACTTGGTCGACAATACTTTGCAAGTCCGTCTCGGCAAGTGAGGGGTCGAGCATAACAAAACCTGCGCCAGTCTTCAACACAGCCAACATTGCAACCACGGCCCAGACAGATTTCTCGAAGCAGAGAGCGATTATGTCCCCCTGGCCAATGCACGTACGATCGAGATGGGCTGCAAGTTTGTGAGATAAACTGGCAAGCCCCTTATTCGTCAACTTCCCATCCCATCCCACCAGAGCTATGGCTCCCGGGCGGGTGCGTGGCCATTCATCAATTGTTTCAACCGCGGTCTGATTGGGGAGGGCGGGGACAGCCCCGTTCCATCCCCAGATATCGGCTAAATCATCGTCGTGAAGAATTGAGACAGTCCCAACAGTTCCAGCTCGACCTGATTCACTAATATAGCGAAGCTGGCGAATAGCAGCAGTCACGCAGCGAAGTAGCCGTTTCACGGCCGATGCACTCATGATTCTCTGGTCGCTTCGGGCCTTGATTGAGATACCCTCTTCGTTACAATCGGAATGGAAGAGTTGAAAGCACAAGGGATATCCTGGAATTGTTACAGGACAGGTTTGCATATCGGTCCTGCCATGTTCGTGCGCCTCATGTAGAACTGTGTTGAACATGCACACTCTCTTTGGACAAGTCGATGTGAGAGTGGGAGAGTAAGATGAAATTTGGAAGGCGACTTCAAGCTGACGTACCATATTTAGGTAGCTTTGAACCGTTTGGTTTTGGCGTAGTCGGATATGAAAAGGTATAACATCTTCCTGCGAGCCGACTAGATGTATCCCAAAACAGACGTCCTCCGAGTCTACCATGCGGCTGATTACGAGGGCTAGAGCAGCATGGAGCAACGTGTAAAAGCCGATATCCGGAATGGACTTCATGTAAGAAAAGTGCGGGACCATGACCTCTACTACCGTATCTAGCCTGAGGTCTGTCTTGACTGTTGGGTCCAAAGCCGGGAACGGTGCTGAGACGGGATCGGGGGGAGCATCGTGAGAAGAACTAGCCAGTTGGGACTCAGACAAAATCATTTCCGAGGGATGAGCCGACTCGTTTTCCGCTGGAGTATCGGGAGGAGTATCCCGTCCCGAATTAGATGAGCTAGAGCTGTCGACCCTTCTCGACTGGCCGTCCGGAGGCCAGTTTGGACGCTCCTCATTGGCAGGAGTCTGGGCAATTTGAAGTATGGTGGTCCAGTGAGCCCTCACAAATGGGGAATGAGACAAAAGGTGGATAGATTGGATAAATTGGACAAATAAGGTTATCAGTGAGTGTAGGTAGGCAACGTAAGTGTAACGTGAAGTAAACCGTTGTTATTGGATTTATGATGAGTTTTGCTGAACTTTTACTCCTGTGTAAGACTTAATTATCCCTTTCTCTAGTACTCCCTCGATACAGGATGCTAGTGATGAGACACCCACGTCTTTTAACCTTGGAACACGCAGTCACGTTTTGCGGAGGCCATACGACTATACACCTCTCTTTGGTGTCCTGCCCAGTTTTTCTCGGGCTTGCTTTTAAAGGCATCATCTCGGCGCATGATATCGGGGACTGCAACTTTACACCTCTGCACCAATGTTCAGCCGAGGCATGGCGATGGAATATGATCGCCTCTCTATCATTTGATGGGAAATCGCACTCTCTTCACCAGTCAAGCGGTAAATATATAGTATATTATGTGTGTACGTATGATAACCGTGGGATAGCCCAGTGTCTCGGATGCAGGAGAGACCGGCCGTTGATCAACTGCTATGCTTATTTCGGAGGTTTTCTAGCCCTGTCGCAGATGCTGATTCGTGACGCACCGCTTAATTAAGTCGTCCAGGACTGTACCTTACTCGTGAATCCATCACCGCGGCCGGACTTAACCTTAAGTTCCAACTCTAGGGTTACCTAACACTGACTGTGACTGTGATGCTCACCCAGGATTAGAACTAGCATCCACCGTTAAAAGATGCGCGAGGTGGCGGCTTGCACACACGTCTTCTAGGAAGGGTCTGTGATCCTGGAGATGACTTGGGAAAATTGGAAACCGACTCGAAGCAGTTAATCGCCACAGTTGCTGAATTGCGCCATGTAGACCGCAAAAGACGACTTGCTTAAGAACAGCACTTCATACACATTAATCCATAACGATGTCATGACATATTCACTCACCGCTTCACTTCGGCGACTGGCGGTATGGACATACTCCTACTTACATCATATCCGATCTGACTGGCAGACGAAGTCCAATCGTCCAGGGACGTTTTGCGCTGTTAATTTGCTTTTGGACATAAAAGCCTTGATGGAGATCCCCGTCTTCCCGTGTTGTAAGACACCATGACAAGGCATGACGGGAATGGGCATCGGCCGAGTCTCCCGTCTAGGGACTGATCGTCGGTAACTGCCATTGAAGGGAAGTTGTTGGGTCGAACTGCGACAATCAGGACTGAGCCTAGTGGGGACTGACGACCTCTTTTTTCTTTTTTATTTTGGTACCATGGCAAAACCACGCCAGCAGGGAGGTTTCCTTGCTTGTACTAACGCTTGTTTCTTAGTTTTCCCGGAAGCCTGTCCCATTTTTAGAAAGCCCCCTTGTCTGCCAACAAATT